CCCATTTTGATCTGCCACTTCGTTCCTCTCGCCGCACACGCTCTCTGCCCACACCGGGCTTGTCTTCATCCGGGCCCGATGTTATCTGCGTCAAGTTCTTGGACGGAGCTGCTACACCACCGCGACACCGAACCATGAGCCAGGACTCCCTATCTGTGCCATTCGAGCGGAACTCGTCGGAGGCATCATCCCCACCAGCACGAGACGCGTGGTGGCGACGGGGTTCACGCGAGGCGTCCGCGACTCTGAGCAGTAGTCTCGCGTCTAGCGCGAGTGCACTCATGGGGAGTCCCAGTGGATCTGGTCTTGCCGAAATGTGGGACGCACTTGCACGACGAGGGAGTCGTTCTGGGCTGGATGATTCCGAATGTGAGGGGGAAGAAGCAGTATGGATCGTACTCGACATGCTCACTAGTGCAGGTACGTGCGGACCTGATTGTTACGTCAACCAAGCTGACTATATGCGCGCATATAAGCATGTTCACATATACTGCGAGTGCTGCACAGACACGCCCCGACCTCATGCGAATCTTCTTTTCTGCCTGAGCGCGCGCCCTCGCGATCCGCACCATCACCAATCGTCTTCAACACGCGAACATCGTCGCCCTTCTCTCCGTCCGATCTCCCTACTCCCGGCCCCTCTTCATCATATACCTTTCCTCCCACAGCATCTTCATCTCCTGCCAAGCCATCGTTCTCATCGCAGCCACCACACGAGTCGGGTACCGCATACCCCTTCCCAAGCTCCCCACTCGCCTCTGCACCGCCTACTCGTCCAGTTACGCCCGCGCGACCACCTCCATTGCGCATAGACACGCTCATAACGGAGCACGGTGTGCCATATCCGGAATGGCGTCTCGCAATCACGCGCAAAGCGCGACGCGCGGGTCTTGGTGCGGTCGGGCGCGCAATGGAACTTGTGATGTTCGGCGACGAAGAGAACTCAGAAGACGAGGATGAAGACGACGACGAGCTCGAGATCGAATGGGCGCGCCGCTTAAGCGCCCTTGAGGCCTCCCCGCTGGAATACCCACCACGCTCGCGCTCGCGTCCACGGCCCGGACGGCATGTCAGCGACTCTGCCGTTACATTCGGCGTTGACTCGAACTCAGCGACGCTGGGCGAATTCGACGCGCCTCACCCAGTTCCTCCTCTCGCCGACGATTCGGACGAAAGTGAGGCGGAATGGGAGGGCTGGCTGGACATCGCGATCGCGCAGCGCCGTCGCGAGCAGTCCATGCTATCTCGCCGGATCCACCGCAGCGACACACTTGAGACTGCTATTCCCGGGGACCCTTACTGGAGCGCCGGCAACGAATGGGACATAGACCGTACAGGCTCCCCTTCTCCTGCCTTCACCACGCCTGAACACGAAAACCCAGATCCGTGGGCGCACGTCCGGTCCCGCGAGCCCAGCGGCAGCGACGCGGAGATGGACACAGGCACCGAGGGCGATGGGTCCTCCGTACATAGCGGCGACCCTGCTCCCAGCGCGCGGCCGAGCTCGTACTATGGCTACCTCCACTGGCAGCCCGTCCCCAGCTCACGCGGACGGCGCGTGAAGCGCGGCACGGCTGCGATGGACCATGGCGGACGGACGCTATCGAGCTACTCTTCCGTGGACTCGCTGCTGAAACGCACGATGCGAAGCGCGATTGGGGGTTCGACGAAGAGCCAAGCCCAGTCGAAGCGCGCGTCCGTCTCCAGTGCGGAGCTGCGTTTACACCGGGGTCAAGGCGCCGCGGAAGCACCTCCTCCGCGCTCTTCGTCCGCCTCTCCGCCGCTCTCGCGCCCGTCGATGGGCAGCCTGCGCAGCGTTGGGAGCGCGCGATCACACCCCCTGTCGCCGCTCTGCGCGCCAATACAAGATTCAGTGCCTGCCGCAGCGGCGCATTCAGAGCAGGCGCACCGGCACTTTCAGCAGCAACATCATCCCATTCCGCTGCCGGGCATGCCGATGGTCCCGAGCGGGTACACGACGTTCCGGCATTCTGCGCTGTATGGACGACGCTCGGCCGCACGAGGTTCAAGCTCTTCACCCACAACACGGACTTCTGGGGCGGGGGCGGGGGGCGAGAGGGACAGCGAGGAACGGCCGCACGCGGGGCTGGCGCACGGGCAGTCGATGCAGCGGATGCCGGTCCCGATGTCGATGATGATGACCACGGTGAGCAGCACCGTGAGCGTGGGGCCCGCGAAGCCTGGCGCGGCGTCGCGATAGGAGGGGCGGGCCCCGCGCTGCGGGTGACGCCGCGGATGAGGAAGCTCTGCGAGAAGTGTACTTGTGAGTTACTGTATTGTATCCGGGGGAACCTAATGTCAGGACGCGGCGCGTCCGGTGTAATTATATGTGTACTTCTCCTGCCCCGCCCTGGCGAACGCCGCGGCGCGTTACCACACGTTCGTGGTTGCCTGAACGCTATTAGCTGGAGCGTACTCGGAGATCGCTGTGCCCCAATGGGAGTCCGGTGCTTGTCAGAGCTATAGGTGAGCCTTCTTGCTTCTGTTGGTAGGTTGATGTTAACGTCTTCATGTCTTCTCTGTCCTTCGTAGTGGTCACGCGCAGCGCATATTTGGGGTATAGTCCTCTGCTTCAGGTTGCAACAAGCCGCCACCTGATGTAAAAGCGTAAGCCCGAGGGCCCTGGATCCTGACAACGTGTAGCTATCAGGAGCCCCGTGAAGTCCGTTCGGCACTTCCGCTGTCAATAATTGTCCAGGAGTGAGTAACTCGCCCAGCGGTTATTTAGTAATAAGCTCATTGCTGTCCGTCCTTGCTACAGCTGTTGCTTTTAGATTGCAAGATTCAGCAGCCGACTTTGATTCCGAAAGCTACTGAAGGTGGTTGCGATGTATATGACATCAACTGTCGACCGTGTTCCTCAGCGCCCGAAGAACGTTTTTGTGGGACACCGGACGAAGCTCGTCGCGGTTGACCGTTTTTCCTCTTCGGCTGCTCCAGCAAACCTAAAGGCTACCTGACGTCCCTCGGTCCGGTGAGTCGATACGTCTATATCTGAAGCCATGAAGATGATACATACAGGGCGTGGCTCGTCGACGCCCAACAGCATCTCTTGCCGCTTGACACTGCTCAGTCTTGTTTCAGTACAAACACATTCAGGATGTCCAGCGATGACGTGACACCGCCGAGTCCAGTCGAAAAGAAGGTCCCTGACGACGCGGAGGCGATGGTTTCTGAAGCCCGCCCGCTCACATACGGAGAAGATGGTCTTCCGCCTCCGCCCGCGTACACTGCCGAAGAGGAGAGGCGTCTCTGGCGCAAAATCGACATGCGGATCATTCCGATCGCCACGCTGATGTATTTGGTCTCCTACCTCGACAGAGGCAATATTGGTACGTTGATGTCAACCAGCGAAAGTATCGAATCTGGTTCACCATACAACACGATGCAGGCAACGCGAAGCTGCAAGGGCTGCTCATCCAACTCGATCTCAGCGGCGAGAGGTATAACATTGCTCTGGTGAATGGATCGTGGCAACGGTGTTTGATATCATGCTTATCGTCTTGCCAATAGACCATGTTCTACCTAGTAAGTGTACGCCCTCGGAGAGTTTACGAAAGATCACTCACCGAAATTCAGTTCTACTTGCTTTTCACCGTACCGTCAAAGTGAGCGTTCGGTGTTACGTTAACTTATCCGATGCTCGAGACCGACTATCGCCTTAGTCTCGTGCTCAAGAAGTTCCGGCCGTCTCGCTGGCTTCCTGGTCTGACTGTGAGTTTCCTCTTGGCAAGATGAGAGCGAAAATAACGAGAGTTCCACTGCAGCTCGCCTGGGGCGTTGCAGCGTAAGGCGTTATACCTACATCACCCTTGTAGTACCTCCCGTATTGACGATGCTTACGTCTTACTACAGCACGCTGACAGGCCTAGTCAAGAGGTACTACATTCTTTCCGTGCGTGCACTTGTTGCTAACATCTTCTCCTTAAAGCTACCCTCAGCTTGTTGGTGTTCGAATCTGCCTTGGTGCAGCAGAATCCGGCCTGTCCCCCGGCATATATTACTGGTGAGTTTTTAACGTGATATCACGTTCACATTCGACACGCCATTTACCTTTTGCTAGGCTGTCGATGTGGTACCCACGGCACATGCTTCAATGGCGCTTCGGCCTATTCTGGGGAGGAGCGACCTTCGCTGGGGCATTCTCGGGGTTGCTGGCGTATGCCATCTCCTTCATGTCCGGGGCGGGAGGATTACTTGGATGGTCTTGGATCTTCGTGAGTGTCAACACGGTCCGGTAGGTTTTCAAGATACTTACCATGTTACAGATAATCGAGGGCCTGTTGACTGTGGTCGTTGCGCTGATTGCCTTCGCTGGTATGTGTTCTGCGAGCCTTGCGGAGCACGAAACTTTGATAACACGTGTGAACTTGCATGCAGTCTTCGTCGATCTGCCCGATACCGCCACTTTCCTCACGCTAGAGGAGCGTTCATTCCTGATCAACCGCCTCAGTAAGCAGCTCGATATTGCCACCGGAGTTGCCGTCGTCGTGTCGGTATAACTATAACTTAACCATATGAACAGAGGACGACAACGGGTCTGTTGGGGAAGAAGAAGGATTTCGGCCTCGCCATTTTACTGATGCGCTCTTCGACTGGACAATTGTGGCTGGGAGTATCGGAAACATGGCTGTGGTAACACCCAGTGTGTACACGCTCCGCCTTGCATTGTGGGCTTCTTTTTTCTAACCATCATGCTTTCTAGTCTACGGAGCTGCGCTCTTTCTGCCGTAAGTCAATGACCCTTTACGATCCCTTCCATGGCGCTGACATGGTCAACGGCAGGTCGATTATCAATGGGTAGATATGCTCATCTTTGAATGATCTGTCTACTGACCTGGCGTAACCCCCTTGAAGGTTCGGCTTCGGCACTGCGATCTCCCAATTGCTGACGGTTCCAGCCTACATTACAGCAAGTAAGTCGCCAATCCGCCTTGCCCAGCTCACATAATTTTGCTCACTTGCCACCGCGCTCAGCCGTCACAGTACTGGTATGCTCAAAGCTCTCTGACCGCACCAAGATGCGCTCGCCATTCGTATTCGGAGGACTCCTGTTCTCGTTCATCGGATTCGCAATTAACGCCTCTCACGCGAGCATTGGCGTCAAGTACTTGGGCACGTACCTCATCGTTATCGGGTGCTACGTGAGCGCCCCAATCATCATCGTTTGGTGCGTCTTACTATGGACCTCGTTTACTACTTATGATTTCACATACTCTCGATAGGCTAGGGAACAACACAGTGGGCCACTACAAGCGTGGCATTGGCATCGGATTGCAGGTCATGGGCGGAAATATCGGAGGAATCATCGCCAACAATGCCTACCGCGTACGGGATGCACCACGCTATCTCCCCGGTCGTGCGTCAAAGTCGTTCCTGTTGGCGGCTCCTTACTCACAACTGTCTGTTTCCTTCTAGATATTGCAGAGCTGGCTCTCACGGGGATGGGCCTCGTCCTCATCCCGCTGATGGCTTTCGCGTATCGGCGCGAGAACAAACGACGCGATGAGGTCCAGCGTCGTACGGGGGAAACAGGGGCGAAGGTGGAGTATACAGCAGCAGAGCTGAGAATCATGGGTGCACGAGCGCCCACTTTCCGATATACATTGTGATCTGCTCAGGCCTAATTCTTATGACTTGCTGATCCAATGCCGAAAGCTTTCATGTCACGTTCTCGCGAGGTTTGAGCGCAAACGTACTTGTTATTCCATCAACGGTGCGTCTCACCCTGCCATACTCGGAACCCAATCAGTGCTGCGGCCTCTGGAGCTCTTTGCTCGTGTCCGCTTCCACGCCCCGCTCGGCGCCGGCGAAGCATAAACGCACACAAGCCGCATCTGTATCCCTTACAATATGAATGTCGTCCGAGCGCGAAACGATGTTCTTCCGCTGCGGGGGCTGCAGTGGCCGAGTCGGCTCCATACTTGCGAGCTCTACAGGGAAGGAAGTTGAAGGTAAGTGTCCTTGCCAGGGACGTTGTAAGTTGCATCATACCCTGATTATAGGAGATAATTTACCCCTTATCACCGTATACTCACAGTCTCGTGAGGCGACCGTAGCCGCCTTTCGCTGACTGGAAGCCCCTGCAGGTTCAGCGTTCGAGCCAGGCTTGCATTGTGACAATGTTGCTCCGCGTGAGAGCCAAGTCTAGCGAGTTTCAATTATAGGTAAGTCACCTCCTCTTGATGGCTTCGCGGCAGGATCTGAGGCTTCTATTCCCTGAGCATAGAACTGTAGAAGCGGCGGCCTGATGTCCATCGCGGGTCCCGTAGTCTCATCCAGGTTGACCATTTCACAAGTGAGTCGTTCGTGGCAGTTGTCGCTCTTGCTGCAGCTCATCAATGTCATTTTACGATAGCGTTGAAGACCTGGGTGCTGGTATAAGGTCCGGATAGCCCGTACGCACAGGCTCTCACGGAGCGCCGTGCGCAGAGCGCCGAGAGACCTTCGACCACTGTTCGGACGCTCCAGTGAACTTAACGGTTATGTGATGGATGTCGGGTCAGGTGAATTCATAGTTCTATAACTCAAATCGTGCGCACGGGGGTTAAATGAAGTCGGTCGTCGGCACTCCGCCTGTATTCACCACCCGTCCCCGTGTACGGCCGCGCCCAGTATGTCCAATGAAGGACAGACACCACTACGGCCGATCGGGGAGAAGAACGGCGATGTGGAGGCCACGATTGAGGTCTCTCAGCTCGCTGTGGGAAGTGGCGGGCTTCCGCCTCCACCCGTGCTTACCGCCGAAGAGGAGAGACGCCTCTGGCGCAAGGTTGACATGCGCCTCATCCCAATATCGACGTTGTTGTACCTTGTCTCCTATCTCGATAGAGGCAATATTGGTGAGCTCTTGCTACACAATCTGCGGTTTCAAAGTGGACAGCGGACTTATCAAACGATGCAGGAAATGCGAAGCTGCAAGGACTTCTTACACAACTTGACCTCAGTGGTCAACGGTACAATATCGCTCTTGTAAGCTATTCAGTACGTATGTGTATGTGGTGCCTGATGCTCATTATCTCCGGCAGACAATGTACTATCTGGTACGTCTCGAACATATTATTCTCTCAGTATGCTCAAAGGGATACAAGGCCTATCTGCTCTTCAACATTCCAGCAAAGTAAGTAAATATGTAGCTGGATGACGTACCAGGCGTCGAGTCCCACACTGACGAATTGACGCGTTCGAAGCCTGGTCCTAAAGAAATTCAGACCTTCTCGCTGGCTTCCCGGAATCGCGGTAAGCCTCCATGGGGTCTCCTGATGTGCCGAGTATCATTCCTGACTAGTATGTAACAGCTGGCATGGGGGATCGTCTCGTGAGGCGTTCAGTGTCGTCAGCGCAGGTCGTTCCATGCTGACGATGGACTCGGACCAACCTACAGTACACTTCAAGGTCTAGTGAAAACGTAAGCAGAGCTACCTTTCTGGCTCGCGGCCCCAATCTTAAAGGCATTTCGTTTTACAGCTACCCTCAGCTCGTCGGTGTGCGTGTCTGCCTCGGTATCTCTGAATCTGGCTTGGCACCTGGTATATACTACCTGTACGTGTTCCGCACTCTCCGGCCTTCTGCTAGTACACCCACAAAGCTAAATCTGCACACTCGCTTTTCCTGACAGGTTATCGTTATGGTACCCGCGACACATGCTGCAGTGGCGCTTCGGCCTCTTCTGGGGAGGCGCGACATTCTCAGGGGCGTTCTCTGGGCTGTTGGCATATGGGATCTCCTTCATGTCCGGTGCAGGAGGGTTGCTCGGGTGGTCATGGATCTTTGTAAGTCTCAGCAGTCGAGGTCTGTTGAGCGAAACGCTGACGCTGACGCTTCTGTAGATCATCGAGGGACTATTCACCATAGTGGCTTCTCTTATTGCTTTCGCCGGTACGGAATCTCGCAGAGTGACAAGCGAAGAATGCTGTTTGACATCATGCGCGTCTTCGTGCGGCGCGCAGTCTTCGTCGACCTGCCTGCGACTGCTACCTTCCTCACCCAAGAAGAGCGCTCCTTTGTAATCAATCGCCTCAGTGAGTAGCCCTCACTATCTTGAGTCTCCTGTTATGCATCGATAATAATATCGCGGAAATGCGAGTAGAAGAGGACAACGGGTCCGTAGGAGAGGAAGAAGAGTTTCAGCTTCGGCATATCACGGACGCACTCTGCGACTGGAAGATCATCCTTTGGTGCATCAGCAACATGGCTATCACCACTCCCAGTAAGCTCACACTTCTGCCGTTGCATTCGTATGACACAGGCCACTCACTATTGTACTTCCTAGTGTATGGCGCCTCGCTTTTCCTCCCGTGAGTTGCAAATGCATTACTGACCGAGCCGCCAAACTGATATATATCCCACGACAGGACGATCATCAATGGGTTCGTGTATCTGTTACCAGCAGTCCCGTGTGTACTGATCACCCCTGCCATCTGAAGTCTTGGATTCAACCCCGCGATCTCGCAGCTACTCACCGTTCCAGCATACGCGATAGCCAGTATGTCGCGCTACCACTTTTTTCGACGTACTCCTAAGATGCGTATGTGTGATCAGCTGTCACCGTCGTGATATGTTCAGCACTGTCCGACCACACCAAGCTGCGCTCCCCGTTCATTGTCGGGGGACTCATGCTTGCGTTCACCGGTTATGCGATCCAGGCTTCCGACGCGAGCATCGGGGTCAAGTACTTCGGAACGTACCTTATCGTCATCGGTGCATATGAGGCCGGTCCCTTTATGATCTCTTGGTGCGTCATAAAGGACCAGTATGGGTCGTTTCTTACCAGCTCTCCGTCTTTCTAGGCTGGGGAATAACACAGTGGGACATTACAAGCGCGGCGTAGGTATCGGAATGCAGATCACGTTCGGGACTATGGGAGGAATCATCGCCAGCAACGCGTTCCAAGTCCAAGACGCACCACGCTATCTCTCGGGACGTACGTGGATTCCAATTCAAGCCAGAGTCCTCAGCTCTTCATATCCTTTGACCTTTTCTGTGCTGTACATGTCTAGATGCCACCGTGCTGGGTTTCATCGGTATGGGTCTCATCCTGGTGCCCCTTACGGTGCTCGCGTTTTGGCGCGGGAACAGACGTCGAGACGCAGCGCAGCGCCAAGAAGAGGAGACGGGGACCAAGGTGGAGTACACAGCGGAAGAGCTGAAGAGGATGGGGGAGCGCGCGCCCACCTTCCGGTATACACTGTGACGCGACAGACTGACTTGAACACTACCGTATTGCTCCTTTCCCGATCCGACGCACGTCCGCCACCTCTTGCGTTTTAGTGTGCGTAATAGCTGTATACGATAGCCATACCACATCAGCGGTGCATGCTTATGCGCGAAAACACACTACGCCTACAGAGCAAGTGTGAGCCAGCGCTTGACGCAGAGCTGAGGATAATTCAGTGTACGCATGGTTTGTTGCATAGCACCCGCACGCCCTCAGCTGCAAAGCATGAGACCTGGGATTAGGGTGCTGCGGACATGTGGGGGCGACACGATGTGCGAGCTGCTCCCCATAAAGAGATGGCGCTGACACCGGACGATTAGATGGTCTCCGATGGGTTCGTGTCGAAGGAACGCACACGCGTCCTAACGGCAGAGCTTCTCGGGTGCTGAACAGAGTGAGCAGTAATTCCCCCATCAAAACCCCTGGTCTCCGACCGGGTTTCCGTGCGTGACCGAGAGGCATCACAGACCGGTCGGAGAGGGGCGAAAGCTGTGCCCGCCGACAGCCACGGCCCAAAGTGGACTGTGCCGCAGGACGTGCAGTACGTTGCATGCTCTCCGCAAAGTCGGTATATGCGTCAGGCTTAGAGGCCACTGCAGTAAGCGTCCGCGCCCTGCGGATGGACAGCTATGCGTCGACCAGCTCGCGCAGAGGGTCGAGAGCTGTGGATGTGCAGTAGAACTGGTATATAGAGAGGTGAGGACGACAAAAACATACAGAAACTCACAACGGCATACGTACACCACAACACCACAACACCAGTCATGGCACAGTTCATCACTGAGGGGGCTCCCAACATGCCCTACTTCACCCCGGCGCAGAAGCCACCGGCAGGCACAGCTGCACCCTCCAAGGACGGAACGCCCATCCCGTCGCTCTTCCAGCCTATTAAGATCCGCGGGGTTGAGTTTCAGAACAGGCTCTTCGTACGTTCTTCTCGCAACGGCGGATGCGGCGTGTGGCGTACTGACGGCTTCTGGTACAGGTGAGCCCTATGGGCCTTTCCTCTGGCAACACCGACGGCAGCGTTACCGCGTTCCACACCGCCATCCGTACGTCGCCCTTCCCACCTCTCTCCGCTCACGTCGATTCCTCACCCATCACCTCTATAAACAAATAGTGGGCGCGGTCATCCTGCGCGGCCCGGGCCTCACGATCATCGAGGCGACCGCCGTGTCCCCCGAGGGCCGCGGCACGCTGCACGACTGCGGTCTGTGGTCCGACGCGCAGATCGCCCCGCTCCGCGAGCTCGTGCAGTTCGCGCACAGCCAGGGCCAGAAGATCGGCGTCCAGCTCGGCCACGCCGGGCGCAAGGGCTCGACCGCCCCGCTGTGGCTTGCGCCGAACGCGATTATCCCGAAGGCGCTCGGCGGGTGGCCGGAGGAGGTGCTCGCCCCCAGCCCGAACGCGTACAAGGAGGGCGACTTGAAGAAGGCGTGGTTGGTGAACGAGGAGTTCAAGGCGACGCTGGAGGAAGGAGCGAAGGAGGCCGTGCAGCAGCCGAAGGAGCTCACAAAGGACGGGATTCGGGAGGTTGTCGGGCAATGGGCGGCCGCTGCGAAGCGCGCGGTCGTCGCGGGAATCGACGTGATCGAGATCCACGCTGGCCACGGGTACCTCTTGCACGAGTTCCTGAGCCCGGTGGCGAACAAGCGCACGGACGACTACGGCGGGAGCTTTGAGAACCGCGCACGCATCGTCATCGAGGTCGTGGACGCCATCCGCAAGGTCATTCCTGATAGCACGCCTCTCTTCCTGAGGTACGCCACGCTCTCCCGATCAGTCCTAGAAAGTAAACTGATCACCGGATTTGCAGGCTCTCGGCGACCGACTGGCTCGAGAAGATCGCCCCGAACGAGTCGTCCTGGCAGCTGGACGACACCGTCCGCCTCGCCGGGATCGCTGCCGACCACGGCGTCGACCTCATCGACGTCTCGTCTGGCGGGATCGACTCGCGCCAGAAGCTCGAGTTCGTCGCGTACGCGTACCAAGCGCACTTCGCGGAGGCCGTGAAGAAGGCGCACGGAGACCGCGTCCTCGTAGGCACCGTTGGTGGGATCAAGACGGGCAAGCTGGCGCAGGAGGTCCTCGACAAAGGCCAAGCGGACGTGGTTCTGGCGGGACAAGCGTTTTTGAAGGATCCCGCGGCCGTGGTCACCTTTGCGGCGGACTTGGGCGTGGATATCAAGCTTGCGAACCAACTCGATTGGGTGACCAACGGGCGCGGTAGTATCTGGCGCTGGAAGCAGTGAGTAGATGGTGCATAAGGGTTGTGTAATGGCTAGTGAATATACATGATTCAAATCGTTAAACCACGTAGTTTCTCAGACTACCGTTTGCAAGCGACAACAAATTTGCCAAGGTCTACAGAAGCCTGACAGGATCGAGTGTTAGCGATCGCAGAGCCCAGCTAAATTCCGGATGAGCTGGGAGAGCAAGTGGAAGGGTGTAACGTACCTCATGGTTGCAACAATGCTCTCCGTTGCTACTCAGACTATCTGGAGAAGCCTGTGGTACCCGCTGTGAGCACGGGTGCAGGATAACATGGCGGACAGGAAAGAGGAGAATGAGGAGCAGTTTTCCTGCAAGCGCCCAATTTCTACCTGCCCACGTGGGGTTGACGTGGGATTAGACGCTCGCGCACTGGTGGCCGCACGACGAGGCAAGCAACTCCTTTCCCTCAAATGTTCAACGTTCGTAACGAGATCGCCCACAGGTACACGCAAGCCGGTTCTCTGGTGTTTCTTATAAGCACTTGAAAGACACCAAGTAGTCTTGATGGTCGGCGTATCTTGCTATAAGCTGACGGACACTCAGGCTACTGACTGCGAGGTCCTCCGATTAGGTGGGGCGAGTCCCTCAAAATTATCGACAAGAATCTCGCTGACGAGCATTGAAGCACGTAGGAAGCAAAATATATATTCAATGACATTACTTGGAGTCCCTCGCAGGTCGCTGCGCTGTCTGAATTGTGTCCCACTCTGGCGACAGTGCTTCCATGCATACCGCACACAAAGGTTCACCATCATGTTACTCCCGCACCGGTTGGAGCATCGAACTCCGCCCGACGGCTCACCGCTTGTTCTCTTCTCCATATAGCCATTTCTTGCTCGCATGGGCTTCTCGTTGTCCTCCGTGGGTGGTCTCTCGCCGCCGCCTACCGCTCTTATCAGAATCGGACCAGCTGATAGTCGTCGAACTCGACCGTGGCTATCCTGCGCCCTTCTGCGTGTAACGGACCCCGTCTTCCGACACACCCTCTATGCTGGTAGAAGCAGGGATGCGTTCTGCATAAGCGACTCGGCTCACACGACTAGGCTTCCTGCGGTCAGATGGCACCCGTCGTGCTCCCATAAGTATGTGGTCATCGCTTCCATACCGACAGCGTGTACTGGCACAATCCCAGGTACCTCCTCGATATGCCCGCACCGACGCTACCCTCCCTTCCTCGCTATACGCCTGCGCCCCCTACCAAGGAGGACTGTGAGTCACACCGCCCGTTCGTCGGTTTGTATCCATGCTCACGCCCACGCTTGCGCTGTAGTAGAATGGGCACCACTTCCAATTATCGATTTTTCCGAGGCCGGCACGCCCGAGGGCCGCTCAGCTCTTGCTTCCCAAGTGCGCGATGCGATGCGCACGTACGGCTTCCTGTACATCGTCAACCACGGGTATACCCAAGCTCAGGTACGTTGCGCTATCTTTCGGTCTATCGCCCATGGGATGCGTACCGATATGCATCTATCTCCAGAATGCGCGAGTCTTTGACATCGCCGACGCGATGTTCACTCAGGTCCCAGAAGACGAGAAGAAGCGCCTCACCGGGGACTTTCAGAAGACGGGGTCCTACAGGGGCTACAAGCCGCGTCAGACTTGGGTCAGTTTCCCAGTGGCCTTCTGTCACTGTAGCTAACTAAAATGGTATATCAGGACATCAGCAACGGCGTGCGCGACCAGATCGAACAATACAACTGTACGAGCCGCGCCCCAGTACTCTTGGCTCAGGCTTCCTTGCTGAACGCGCGCGCATGTAGTCCACCGCGCCGTTACGGACCCAGAGCTGCAGCAGCACCCGCGTGCGATTGAGCCGTTCCTACCAGAGTTGCGCGCGTTTACAGAGCACAACCATCACAACATCTTGCACCCCCTGCTCAGGTTCGTTGTTCGGCCCTGTATGTGCGCGAAGATCGTAACATCGCTGTTCACAGGATGCTTGCTCAGGGAATGGAACTGCCCGACGACACATTCGTGAACCTGCACAACTTTGACCGCCCCGCGGACAGTTCAGCACGCGCGATGAAATAGTGAGCATATCTATAGACCCCATTCTCACGGTGTTTACTAAAGCACCACGCAACGATCTTCTCTAGCTATCCCCGCTCGCAAGAGGAAGAAGTAAACACGAACAACGTATGGATGAAGGGCCATACCGGTACGTCCAAGCATACGCGAGTAAGACAAGTCCATTCATGCGTATCCTGGTAGACATCGGTACCATCACCATCCTCTGGAGCCAGCCCGTGTCCGGCCTGCAAATCCAGTGCCCCGATGGGCAGTGGCGCTGGGTCCGCCACATCGAGAACGCCCTGGTATGTTCCGGCCGCCTCCTCTCGCGCCCTACGCGTCCTCACTGTCTCCCCTGCATAGGTCGTGAACATCGGCGACGGCATCGAATTCCTCTCCGGAGGCTTCTACAAGGCGACGATCCACCGCGTGCGCCAACCGCCGGCGGACCAAGCCGGGTGCGCGCGCCTCGGCGTGTTCTACTTTTGCATGGCGGACGACGACGTGCCGCTTGCGCCGCGGCTCGAGAGCCCGGTGCTGCAGCGCGTGGGCGTCGTGCGGCGGTTTGAGGACACGCGCGCCCCGACGTCGCGGCAGTATCGAACGGGGGTGACGAGCGCGTACGGGGTGTCGAAGCTGGAGAAGAGGGAGGACGGGAATGAGGTGGAGGTGATACACGGGGTCGTGGTGAAGCATTACAACTGAACGTGTGGCAGGCTGTGGAGCTTGGAATGTAAGTGGTGTACGAATCCGAGACGGACTATTTACGTCTGCTCCGGCGGGATTGACTTACGCCGATTATGTCGCGGCTGCGTTTTAGGCCCACTTTGCGGACGTGATAAAAAGGCACATAGTTACCATGTCCTCGTGGACGTCACTGGGGGCATCAAGGCAGACAAGTTTGCATAAAAGGTACGCCACAAGGGCCGGACGGTCGTTGTCCTAGCGGGGTACTATCAGGCCTTCTGGAAGCACCGGGCCGCAATACTATCTGAAGCTGAAAGAGATGAGTGAATCGTAAACTGGGTGTGAAATTAGAGTACTTGGTGGAAATCTTTGAGGAGAGCCGGCTCGGTTTACCGCAGGAGCGCAGAAGCATGCCAGTAGTGTGGCGTGCTGGGAATCACGGATGCAATAGATGAATTCTCTACTTCCATTGCTTTGCAAATTGTCGTGCAGCGATAGGTGCTCTAAGGGAGTTCAAGGGAGGTTTTGAGTTGCCGGTCAGGAGAATCTGGCTTATAGCCTGCAGGAGTGCTCGCTGAGGAAACCGGATGAGAAACTTACTATTAGCGCCTGCCAGTGTTTCCCGTGGTATAGGCGCCCGAAAAGATTCACCCACGTGGCGAGAAAGACCAGCGAGTGAGGACGAGGGCGACGACGTTGGGATAACCGTTCTTGGAATCCTTAGGGTTAAACTGCCCCAGAACGGATTGGATTTCGCCGCCTAATACTCTGTGAGGCGATTCAACCCAACGTTCCAAATCGGGCAAACTTAAAGCGCCCAAAGACATCCCAATCGGGCAAACCCCGGCGCCTGCCCTCTGATATATACTCCCACCTCCTTTCCCTTTCCCCCTCGTCGACGCCCCCTCCCCGGGCGTCGCGCTGCTCAGCGGTGTCCCCGCTGAGCACGCGTTCGGCATCTTTGGTGCAGGGGCGGCCTCCTCCCGCCCCTCCTCGCTTATTCGCCCACCCCGCCCCCTCGCCCACCCCGCCCCCTCGCGTACCCCGCCCCCTCGCGTACCCGCCCTTTCGCGTACCCGCCCACTGCCCGGCCGCCTGCTTGCGTGCTCGCCCTCGCCGTCCCCTGCTCTTCGCGGCCTTGCCTTCGCCCGCTCTTCGTGCGCTCGCCGCGCTCTCTGCCCGCTCGCCCGCTCGCCATCCTCCTCACCCTCGCCCGCTCTCCGCGTCCTCGTCTGCCCGCTTCCTCGCTCGCTCGCCACTCTCCTTGCCCGCCCGTTCTCCTCGCCCTCACCCGCTCTCCTCGCCCATCTACCCGCCCGCTCTGTCATCGTGCTCTCCAGCTAGCTGCGATACTGCACGCGCCACGCGTACAATTCGCGCCGCTTCCCTAACCTTGTACGTCCGCACCCTAGCCCGTGTTTGTTTTACACGTCCTCGTGCACAGTGCACACCGCCCTTACACCCGCGTGCATCGTCTGCGAGCCCCCTACCTCTTTGTGCGTCGCCACTACGATTCGGCTCTGCCCTGCGGTGAGCAATGCGCTTTTCCCGTCGCCATAAATAATTAGTACGCTGACTAGACATCTCTCAATTGCATCCTTCAGTAGTGTACTTTTGTACAGATGTAGGTCTTAGTCGCTTTCCTGATGTTTGTATGCTCACTCTACAATCATCAGTCAGGTTTGTGCGTCTTTACCATGCATAGCTGCTGCCTATGCGATGGAATATTGGGGAAGTACGATTGGTGAGTTATTTTGTTTACAAAGCTGCATTTATGCTGTGTTTAATGCCTTTTCACCCTTGAATTGTTAGAGTGATAATGACACGTAAGTAGCTCAAAGCTCGCCACCAGTGCTGTTGGCGTCCAAGTAAGGTGAGCATAGGATCGGCTGTTCCATCTGTTTATAAGGCATGTAGTACGGCTCAGGGGGTGCGGGGAGCGGGGCTTATCCAGTGCCGCTCGTCTGATGTAGTTTGTCTCATAGCTTGTATTCTGATGCAATGTAGTCCTGTACAGACATTATATGTGTGTCAATATATCATGAGCACCGACTCAATGGTCTCTTATGTCGATGAGTCTGCTTTGAAATATAGTCAATAATTGATAGGTGTAGCTGCGACGTCCTCAGTATGGTGATACGACGTTAGAAAACCCGCACATCTACTGCGTCCAACCAAGGTGGCTTTGACACCGCGCCCGTCGCTGCATATGAGCGCAGATTTATGCCAGACACATACTCATACACGGGACTGAGGTCGGCGAGCAGACAGTGCGGAGCTTCGTGTATAAGTATGAGGAATAACAACTTGAAACGAATCGCCGCAACGGGACAAGTACGTATTCGATGTAACAGACGCAGGCTAGTCTTGTACTCCATCTAGCCCCCATGTACCACCTCGTTCTCCGAGTCGCACGTTCTCATCCGTTGCGGGGCACTTGTTCGTTGCTACATCTGCACGCCGCCTGCACTGACCAAGCATTTATTTGATGCACGCTGATTTAACAAGTGGGCCCTGTAGTCGGACACCAAAGCAGAAACTTGTCCACGCTGGAATGTAGGCAGCCGCAGCATGTACAGACATTCACCTACACTGGCAATTTGCTTCATGCAGTGCGTACGTACGGGAACACCAGTGCGGATGATGTCTGACTTGAGCAGTGCCGCTCTAGATCTGCCTGTACTCACCTCAAGCGTGCTACGTTCCTCCACCCGGGCTGACTCGGAGCTAGCAAACCAGCGACATAGTACTGGTTTACGATTTCACTACCGGCCATGCATTGCTCATAGAGTGTGCGGGGTACCCTCGCAGGCCCGAGCGGCGAGCCTGCGCGGTACTATCTAGGCTTCGCACAGGGCGCGGGGTGCGTGTGTGCCCGCCTTGCGCCCAACTCGCATCTTCCCCGCCGGATTCGTAATACTGGGACCGTCCGACAATTGCAACCTAGTACTAGTACTGACCTGTGTGAGCATCCAACCCGCCCGCCGCATTCTCCGCGCAGTATCCGGTGCGACCGCGAGCCCGCCTCGCGCCCTGCCTCGCGATCGGACCGGCCCTTACTGTACGTTACCCAACACTCTCTCTAGGTTACAATTCCGCGCCTCGTTTCCCGCCCGCGCTCGCTTGTACACAAGTACTTTACTTGATTAGTATCTTAATTGTCTGCGCCGTTCATATAGACGCATCGCGCGTACGCTCACCTCAGTCCCGCGTAATACTTATTGTTTGCTTACTTGTTACTTACCTACATACGCGCCCTTAGAATCGCGCTCATAGGCACTTGAAATATACTCCATCACCTAACCCACGTCTGCCTGAGAATTATACTCATAGCCCAGGTGTTCTGACTTCATAAGTACCGCCATACTTATTGGACGTCACAACTACATCCATCGATTACTGACTAGATTTCCAAGCAGACATAAGTGATCATCAGGCCGATGCTCGTATCATAATATATTGACACACGCCTATACAGGACTACACTACATCTGAATACAAACTGACGTACAACATTCAATAGGGTCAGCCAAACCACATCGGACGAGCGGCAATGGATGAGCGCCGCTTTCTGCACCACATCGTACTACATGCCTTATAAATAACTGACCCTAAACGCACCTTATTTGGACACTAACAACCGTAGTGGCAAGCTTTGAGCCACATGTTGGTCATTAGTACTCTGACGACCTAAGGGTAGAAAGGCAATAAACACTGTGTAAACACAACGTTGTGGATAAAATGACTCACCAATCGCACTTCCCCGGACTGCATCGCATACGCAGCAGCTACGCATGGCGGTGACGCACAACCTGACGGATAGCTGTACAGTGAGCATATAAGCATCAGGAAAGTGGCTGAGACCTACATTTATACAGGAGTATACCCCTAGATAATGCACTTGAGAGAGATCTCTAGAAAGTCATGACGCATGATCAGCATGATGATTATCTATGGCGACGGAAGAAATGCATTACTCACCACGGTAAGCATAAAAGGCAGAGCCAGAGTGTAGTGGCGACGCGCGAAGACGTAGGAGACTCGCACAAGGAGGATGTACGCAGGGGTAAGGGCGGCGCGCACCGCGCGCGAGGACGTGTAAAGCAAACACAGGCTAGGGTGCGGACGTACTGGGTGAAAGAAGCGGCACGGATTGTACGCGTGGCGCGTGGCGCGCAGTATCGCGGCTAGCCGGTGCACCTGACGAGCACGGAGGCAGGGCCGGCGGGTATATGAGCGAGGCGAGCGGACAGGTGAGAGCGCAGAGCGCGGGCGATGGCGAGGAGAGTAGCGGGCGGGCGAGGGAGCGGAGAGTGCGCGGGCGGGGGCGCGAAGAGTGGGCGTGGGCGAGCGAGCGAGGAGGCGGGCAGAGGAAGCGCGCAGTGCGCAGGTAAGCGAGGGGGCGGGGTGGGCGAATAAGCGAGGAGGGGCGGGAGGAGGCCGCCCCTGCACCAAAGATGCCGAACGCGTGCTCAGCGGGGACACCGCTGAGCAGCGCGACGCCCGGGGAGGGGGGCGTCGACGAGGGGGAAAGGGAAAGGAGGTGGGAGTATATATCAGAGGGCAGGCGCCGGGGTTTGCCCGATTGGGATGTCTTTGGGCGCTTTAAGTTTGCCCGATTTGGAACGTTGGGTTGAATCGCCTCACAGAGTATTAGGCGGCGAAATCCAATCCGTTCTGGGGCAGTTTAACCCTAAGGATTCCAAGAACGGTTATCCCACGACGTTCGACCCGAACGCCCATGGCCGAGTCACCCGCTCTGTTACCCACCGCCAAGCCCGTCGGCATTGCTCACCAGTACTACTCCCGAGACCTGACTGAACTTAGGGACCTTTATAAGTAGCTTTCGGCGGCTAGTGATATCGAATCTGTTGCCAGCGTGTGCCAGGACTTTCACGGTATGCAGCTAATCATTTGACCGATTAGTCCCATTACTGACCAACCGTTAGGCAGTAAAGTATCTATGAAATGGTGGTACCTAGCCCTCGTGAACGGCTCATAAAGTGTTACGCTGCCCGAATTCCATCAATCTTCCAGGACGGCGGTGCTTCAATGCATACCACACCCGAAGCTTCGCTATCATGTTGCTCCCACACCGATTGTAGCACTCAACTTCGCCTGACAGCACACTGGTTTCTCTCCTCTCGATAGCGCACCGTCGCGTTCACAGGAGTCGTTCGCAATCCTACTTGGTGGACTTCTCGTCGACGGCCATTCTTATCAGAACCTGTCCAGCTGATTACCGTCGAATCCAACCGTGTCTCTCGTATGTTTTTATGCACATAACGGATCCGCCTCGTCGACATCTGTACTACTAGACGAGGCGCTGTGTCCTGCATGGGTAACTCTACTCTCACGGCCGCTTCCTGCGGCCAGATTGCACCCACTGCACACTCCCATAAATATGTGATCGCTGCTTCAATCACTGCAGCGCGAGCAAGCACACCCCCAGACACCTGATCGAAATGCCTGCGCCGACGCTTCCCTCCATCCCTCGCTACATACCTGCGCCCGCCACCAAGGAGGACTGTAAGCCATGCCGCTGATAGTCATCCAGATTTCGATCGCTATGCTTACCGTTCGGTTTGTAGTAGAATGGGCACCGCTCCCCATCATCGACTTCTCCGAGGCTGGCACGCCCGAGGGTCGGGCGGCCCTGGCTGTCCAAGTGCGCGACGCTATGCGCACGTATGGCTTCTTGTACATCGTCAACCACGGGTACACCCAAGCTCAAGTACGTTTTCTCATCCCTCTGACTATCGCACATGGACTGCATATTAATTCACATTTCTGCAGAACGCGCGCATCTTTGACATTTCCGATGCAATCTTTACGCAGGTGCCCGAAGATGAGAAGAAACGCCTCCTTGGGGACTTCCAGAAGACGGGGTCCTACAGGGGCTATAAGCCGCGCCAGACCTGGGTAAGTCGTGCACCATTCGTGCTCTCGGGAGACCTGACATTTCACTCTAGGATATCAGCAACGGCGTACGGGACCAGATCGAGCAATACAACTGTACGAACTCCTAGTCCTGTACTCCTTTGCCGTCCGCAGACCTCACGAGCCCCTGTTGCTGTAGTCCACCGGGCCGTCACCGACCCCAAGCATCAGAAGCACGCGCGCGCGATCGAGCCGTTTCTCCCGGAGCTGCGCACGTTCACCGAGCACAACCATCTCAACATCGTTCATCCCCTTTTAAGGTTCGATCTGCTGCTCTGTGGATGCGTGATGATCGTTGTGACACGTCTATCTGTAGGATGCTTGCTCTAGGCATGGAATTGCCGGAAGAAACGTTTGTGAACCTGCACAGCTTCGACGGGCCGTCGGACAGCTCGGGTGCGTATTGCACGCTTAAGATTGTATGCATCGCTCACTGCTTCGGCGAGCAGGGCGCATAATGAAGTAGTGCGTTTATGTCGATTCTACACACCGAATCGGCGGCAGCTAACATGACATTTCCCTAGCCACCCCCGCTCGGAAGAGGAAGAGGCCAAGACGAATAACGTTTGGATCAAGGGACATACAGGTGCGTTCCGACAACAGTCTGAAAGCTAATGTATCTGACATGCATTTGGGTAGATATCGGCACCATCACCGTTCTCTGGAGTCAGCCCGTGGCCGGCCTGCAGATCATGTGCCCCGACGGGCGGTGGCGCTGGGTCCGCCACATCGAGAACGCCCTCGTACGTCCGCGCGCCCCTCCCACCCCAGGGTGCATCCTGACCAGTAGCTCCCACCCCCGCGCAGGTCGTGAACATCAGTGACGGCATGGAGTTCCTCTCCGGGGGCTTCTACAAGGCGACTATCCACCGCGTGCGCCAGCCGCCTGCGGACCAGGCCGGGTGCGTACGCCTTGGAGTGTTCTACTTCTGCCAGGCGGAGGACGACGTGCGGCTCGTGCCGCGGCTGGAGAGCCCGGTGCTGCAGCGCGTGGGCGTCGTGCGGCGGTTTGAGGACGCGCGCGCGCCGACGATGCGCCAGTACTACACGGGGGCGATCAGCTCGTACGGAGTGTCGAAGCTGGAGAAGAGGGAGGACGGGACGGAGGACGAGGTGGTACACGGGGTTGTGGTGAAGCACTATAACTGAGCGTGCATGTGGTAGGATGTAAGTGGAGTACATAACCGGGGCAAACTGAGGAAAGGAGTCCACTACTTCTGCAGCCAAACTTTGATCCGTCAACACGACCTGCACCGTACTCGTGTTGGGAGTATGGGAGTTCCTTCAACCGGCACATCTTCGCGCTTGCGTGGCTCATTGAATTTAGCTTCTGGCGTGCACAATGGCTGTTCATCCGTACCGAACCCAACTCGAGATACTGCGAAGCTGTCTTCGTGAGTGATTCATCTTCTCTGTCTCCATGCCTGCGAAAGCATATCTGACAGATGTGCCATTCGTGCTCGATGACCAGTAGCCCTCGCTGTCCAACACATATCAAGTCAAGTTAAGATGGTCTCCGGTAAGTCGACCTCATTACCTTCAGTCCCAGCCAAGTATACTCGCGTAGACACAGTAATTGACTACAGGCCCATGTCAACGAGAATATAGGGCCATGTCTCCCCAGTGCGCAACTGCGCGTGTCATGATCATAATTCACAAATCTGTGAGTGCTGTGAGCGCGTTGATATCAATTTTTGAAGGCATCGGTCTTCCAGCGACTAGCCGAGCCAAGCTATCATTGGTGCCACTCCCGACACATGATAACAAATGATATACACCCCACCAACCGCCACAAACCCCATAACGCAATGGTATGTTCATGTTTGTTTGTTGAGGCAAGGTGACTTCTTAATTTGGTTGCGAAGCCGCTATGAATACCGTGACTCATGTATTAATAGCTGTCCATCATGTAACAGGCCAAGCTTAATATGCGATCTTGAACCGCCCAAGGAGATTCTGATCTGGGGACTGTCGATATGTCTGTTGTCAGTCACCACGTATATAGCGCCGCGCGCCGAGCAGATCGATTTCACTAGCTGGCCATTCGGACCCCCACGCCAGCCTCATACCTACCCTGAAAGCCATCCGATACTACCAGGTACGTGCAAAGCATCTGAGCGTTTACGCACTATGCTCACCATAGCATTCAAGTTCACAGTCGCCAACAGTATCAACGACTTCGCTGTCATTATCAACCCGATGATCTCTGCATTGGAATGTGCAGCTTTCATTGACGGTGAATGCATCCAAGATCCCAGTACATTCCATGTCGCAGGCACGAGTAGTGAGATGTTTCCCTATCTTCGCTTTCTATCACGCACTGACTATGCGTGTGGTCGCCCATAACGTTAAATCTAATTATGCAGATCCCGTAGAAAGTCCCTCATTTGCTACACCCCAAAGCTCCCCTTCGCCCACCGTCGCCGAGCCGAGCTACTTGAAACCGTCTGTGATTCTATCTCAGCCATCCGTTCCAGTGTCAAGCTTCAATCCCGTGTCAGCCCCAGCCCAAGGACAATCTACTACGTCTAGCTTGAACACTGCTGTGTTGCCGCCCTTCTCCGAGTCAAACCCTCCTACCTCGACAATCACCGATGTAGCACCTCCATCAACCTCGACGAACGTCAGTGGTCAGCACGCCCCGGAGGTCGTGGGGCTGAGTTCACGGCACACCACATCTGGCTTGGCCTTCAGGATCTCTCTTCCGCTCGTTCTAGTGGCCTTTGCTATCACCGGAGCGGTATGCTTCTACAGGGCGAGGAAAAGAAGACGAGTTTCTAGTCCTGACGCAACCTTTGTGGTACCCTTCAAGCACTGCGACCCTCCTCCTTCGGCACACATTCCCCCGTACTCAGCGAAGTATGCGAGTGACGAGCTTCTAATCCACGGTATCGAGCCACCCCTCTCCGACCCGCAACTATCTCAGTCCGCCACCTCCTCGCGCCCCTCCCATCAACCTGTGTCCAGGCAGGGTTACAGCAGCACTTTAGTACACGATCCGCTAACGGAAAAGGAGGCGCACCGTGGAGCGTCGACCCTTCCCGGACCCACTCCAGCAGCTTTAGACTGCCCTCCTTCCGATCATCCAATTCCACCAAATCACGATCTCTGCCGCCGATTTTCTGCAGGGCCACTAGTCCCTTCCGTATCCCCAGCCCACGTGCCGCCAGCCGCCGCCTCTAGTTTCGATAATCTTGCACCAACTTCTACGTCCGGACCTTTCTTTCAGACTCAGGCGTCTCTTCCACCGCCATCCACTTCAGCCTACGATACACATCCTCTCATTGGAAGCCCTCATTTAACACAGGACGTCTCAGGCGCGGGAGGGCAGGATCGGGTGCTCGTGCTTCCTTGGCCCCTCGGAGAGCGCCTGCTAGCACTCCTCGCGAGCACGCCGCAGGAACATGGATTGGGAGAGTTCTCCTCTAGTGCGGAGTCCGAAACGCTTCCCGCATATGAACCTCGGGAATAGGCGTGGTCGGTTGACGATGCGCGGTGGATTTTTGATAAGGTGATGCACCAGTCTCGTACCTTCGAACGCGGCGTGCTCACGCGTGTAGTCTTGCTTATGCAGATCACGGTAAAGGTGTTTCATGATGGGGGCCGGAGGAGAAATGAAGGCTTAGTTTTGGAGGCTACAGTAGAGCAAATTTAGAACAGTGTCAGTGACATACTAGTTAATTCAGTTCAATGCGCAGGAACCAGCAGCAGGCCAGAAAGGCCACGGTAAGTTCCCCGTAGAGGAATTAGCGCCCAAAGCACACAGCCACGTGGAGGCGACGCAGCGAAGACCCCGGGCGAGTAAATCCGTTCACGAACGTCCATGACGGTCACTCTGCACTCCGTCATCCATAACTGGACTCACCGGCATCGCCTATAGGTACTCTCAAGACGCTGATATATATCTATCCTCGTATCTATCATGCTGTGGCTTTCGGAAACTAGGATTGTCGACGTCGGATCGTCCCACTGACAAGCATTTGTTGGACAAATGAGGGTATGTTTTAGTCCCTACCCGGCGTCCAAAAGCGACCCGCAAATTGCTGCGCTGTTTGCATTGCGTTTCCGGGAACGAAAAACAATGTTTGGATGAAGGCCTACATTGATGCGTCCAAGCTTTCGCAAGCCAAACCTTTCCATACCAGTGCATGACGGAAGACGTATGCACCATAACTACATTGAGAACGCTCAGGTACGTCCGGAGAACCTCTCCCTCCGCCTCGCATCTTATTAACCCTTGCTCCTTCTCCATTGCAAGTGGTAAAAAATGGGCAACGGCATGGAATTACTCTCCGCCTGCTTTGTAAAGGCGACGATCCACCGAGTGTGCCAGCCGCCTGCGGACCAGGCTGGCTGTGCGCGCCTCGGTGATGTCTACTTATGCATTGCGGACTATGACGTGCCCGCTTCCGTCGCGGCTCGAGCGCCCCGTGCTGTAGCGCATGGAGGTGGAGCGCGGTTTGAGGACGCGAAGGCGCTGACGTCACAATAGTACCGCATGAGGCTGATGAATGCGTATGGGAAGCCGGAGTTCGAGACGAGGGAGCTCGGTACATAAGAGAAGACGATACCAGAGGACGTGGATGTGAGCGTTGCTTCAAACGGGGACGCCGGTGTAAGTTCCAGCCTCCCCGCGACGATATCTGGCACTTTAAACAGTATACATGCCGTTTGTTGCTGATATTTTTGGTGTCCCGTAGTCAACCCAGTCAGCTGCATGATGCACATCGGTCGTTCGTCCTCCCTTCATCTGACTGCGGATACCGGGGACACACCTATGTGAGTGATTCGACTGTTCTATCTCTACACGTGCGAAAACACCGCCCACATCTGACGAACACGCAGTGCCAGATATCTGTCAATTGTGGTCAAGACACAGTGCCCTAAACGACACAAGTTATATCGGACGTGAGTCTACACAGTATCTATTCTAGCCGAAAGTCACAGTTGATCGTTTCATCTCACGGGATTAAACGGCACTAACCTGAGCCTCACCAAGCAGCTGCAGACATTGTTAATCAAAAAGACTGGGTATCAAGGAATACGTTGCCCGAATGCGCCGCAACATGCACTCGGAGCAAACGCGCATCTGCGCTGTGCACATCGCGTGTTCAAGGCTTCGAGATCTCGCAGCAAGTAGCGCTCTTACCTCATTTGCCCAAAGGATACTTACTTCTCGACACAGGATAATACACGATGCGCTTTGTGCGCGATATTGGGAGCCTCCGTGTATCATAGCTATCCGCGCATGTAACCCCATCTACCGACGCGATGTCATTGTACGTCGTGACCATGCAAACCTCTAGACGTGGCCGGAAAGCCTATCACAATCTGTTCATCTTCTATCAGCCCTGATTTAATACGAACCTAATCCACACTGCCCCAACCGGGGGCGATATTCTGATCATATAGGTCCAACACTCACAACCGACATCTCCCCCCTCGGCTACCACCCACATAACACAGGTCGCCTAGTCCGTCGAGTCAACATTCGACCAATAGAACCATTTCATAGCATAGTGCTCACTGAGTCCATACAGTCGGTACGTTACAGCGAGTCTGACACTCAGTCGCGCCGTATGCTCATCATTTGAATCGGCCACAGGCGTATCCGGCAACGTCCTCGACGCACTCGACGCAGTAAACACCATGAATCTCCAGAACTGCAGTTACTTCTGTAACAGCCTAGGACGCGTCGACGTCCCGCCCTCAGCTTGTGGCCACTTAGAACCCCTGATGTGAGTATGTTCGTTCATTCTCACACACATCCGAGTGCATTCAACGCTGGGGCGCTCCTAACCTGGCCATCAGCGCTCCTGGCTGCACCTGCACGGAATCCCCGGTCAACGGAAGGCTGGAATGTCTGGCAGCGCTATGTTCTACGAATCAGGTCAACGTGTTCGTCGATGCAGAGCTTGCTAGATGTGGCACAACCGCATTCTCAGGGGGTGAGTTTCGTTATCATCTTCGCCTGATTACCAGGTACTCACTGTGTGTATTGTCGCTCGACTTCGTATCTGTATCGTGCAGTATCCAGCATGCCTATCAGTACAGTCGCCTCCTCCACGAGCTCCTCGTCATCCATTACTAGTGTCACGACATCCGCTCAATCCCCGACAGGCATCGGAACTTCAACTTCTACAAGCCCGCGGACGACGACACAAGACAGCACGTCACGGTCGAGTAGCACTGCTACTGGCAACATTACAACAACTTCCAACAGCCGCTCGATTACATCCGGATCATCTCAGCCTCCACCAACGTCCGAACCCCCATTCGGAGTCTCAAATACAACACAAGGAGGGCTTAGCAGCAGTACATCCGGCACCGCTGAACATAAATCAACATCCGTCGGTGACTCGACCATCTCAAGCACCTCGGCCGGCGCCAGTATAACACCTTCCGGTCATGAACAATCAGGCTCAAGCTCGCCACATCATGTATCCAAAACCCTCGCCATCGCGCTTCCAATCATCCCAGTCGCCTTCTCAGTCGCAGCAGCGCTATATTACTACAAAGCCAGGAAAAGGAGACGCCTTGCCAACCTGAACGTGGCATCTACGACAGGCGTCACGGTCGACGATCCCTCAACACCTCCGCCCGCATTGACGCAGAACAGTACTCGGGGTTCGAACGGCGAAGCGAAGAGTGAACCCCATGTGGCAGACGACCGTGAGCCGCGCACCTCCGACGCGGAACCATGGCTACCTGTTCCCCGCCAGTCCATCATTTCCTCGCACTCGCGTTCATCTCCACGACGCGCGTCCACACAACGCCGCGACGTGATTGCGCCCCAGAACGAGTCGAGTCCCTCCAGCGTCCGAGCATCCCCTTACGATCCTCATCACAGAACATCAACATTTTCCGTGCCTTGTCCGGCAGCCCGTACATCTCCGGACGTCCCCCAGACCCCGGAGAGCGATCTTCGTCAACGACGTCTTCACCCGCACAACCAACCTGCATCACGATCCTACGACGCGTTCATCGCTGCCGCCGACCTCGCATCCCATGAAACGGCCGTTGTGCCTATGCCCTCCCTCCAGGTCCCAGCACTCTCCCCGCAGCCACCCGTTTCCGCTTTTGAGACTCGCGTTGTCATAGAAGGCCGACTTTCGGCGACAGACAGAAACGACCAAGACGGCGCGATCGTGCTTCCTTGGCCACTTGGAGAGCAGCTTCTCTCGTTTCTTGCGAGCACACCACGGTCGCGTGGAGCGGTGGATGAGTCTAGTACGAGTGTGGGTTCGGAGACGCTCCCTGCGTATGCGCCCCGGGAATAAACACGGTGGATTCGGATAAGGGGTGGACTTCTAGAAGAGCCCAGGAGTCCAGGACCGTTCAATCTGGGAGACGTCTGTTGCGGAGCTCGTGTTCAGGTACAGCGGAGGGTTTTGGGAGCTCACGAATCCTATGGTGAAACTTCGTAGCGTCGGAGTGCTCAGGCCGTCCCTTCCTTGGGAGTGCAACCCCGATATAACCCGGAATAGATACTACAGTGACCGTGTACACGCTCAGGTGAGTGACAGCCGCCTCTTCCGAATTCCTACAATCACATCTCCTATTCTGACGGGGGTATCTGCACAGTGAAGATGAAACACGGAGCTATCAAAGTGTCGTCTCTAGAGGATGGCATCCTGACAGACGGTACCGGTCTCCTCTCCGGAGGATGGTCTCCTGGAAGACGAGATACTATCTGTGTGATGGCGGGGTTCCCTGGATGACCGGAACAAGGCCGCGAGCAGCATTGGCACACATTTTCCTAAACATGAAAGCTCAGAGAGGTGCCAGTGGTGAGCAAACCCCTGCTCCTTGCCTGCCACTGTTCAAACCTGGGGCCTGTGATTTGTACTTATCACGAACGGCCAGTTACACTCTACATGCGCAGAAGTCTCGCGTGGTGGTTGAGGCGCCGCCCCGCCGCATCTTCTGCTGTTGTGCAAGCAACGCGATGAGGCTGTGGGATACCGAGAACGCTAGGCTCATCACATCCCAGGTGGCCAATCTGCATCTCCAAAACTGCTCATCATTCACTAAATTAGCATGTTCTATATAAACTCGATCTGCAAGCATGTTTTGGCCTGCGGAGGCTCGCCGCTCATAGGCGTCTCTCCCTGCAACGTAAGTCTTGGCATATCTAACTTGGTGGTGAATCATTAACTGAGCGCAGTCCCGTCCCGGGCCCTGACGGTTTAGGTAAAGTCAACTTCAACTTCAACTTCGATGTCCAGCTAAGGCCGGAGACGTTCAACTATACTATACGAAGTTGTCTTCGGAGCACGTCTGGTACGTTTGTGCAAAGTATACTTGCCCTCGCTTTGCTGATACTGACTTTGAACTTGGTATGCTTAGCAAGTCCGACTCAGATCGTCGATATTTTTGACCGTCGCAGAGGGCATCAGTGCCATGGTTGATCTGGAGTGCGAGTACTTCTGTACCTCTGTGGGCCGTATAGTCATCCACATATCCGATTGCGACGGATTGGGGACCCTGATGTGAGTACGCTTCTCCGGTATCGCCCTTATGAATGCTACGTCTTCGTACGTGCTGTTTCCGGTGACAAATTGAACTCAATGTGTCTACAGCTCTGATGAAGGCTGCGCGTGCTCAGAATCCCCGCTCAATGAAGGGCCTTCATGTCTTGAAACCTTGTGCTCGCCGCAACAATTCAACAATTTTCTCAATTCGGAGGTTGCTAGATGCGGCACAGGTGCATGTAAGGTTTTCCACTCTGCTCTCGGAATCCATCAAGCGCTGATACTACATGTTTCGCCTGAATGTATTTCAATCGTGAAGTTTCCAGCCTGAGCAGTGAGGCAGAACCTACTTCCACCGCGGCACCAAGCTCGTCAAACTCCATTGTCTCAACGTCTGTCATTTCGAGCACCGACATCATTATACCCACCACCACTAGTGGGGATGGAGCGACTGGGAGTATGATCGTCCCGCCTGCCCTTCCACACCTAACGTCGGACGCCAACATCATACATACCCCTTCCTCGAGCAGCAGTTTGGGAGTGTCGAGCTCTATTGTCGTCTCCCCTACTTCCGTAGATGGCACCAACAGCACTGGCAGCTCCGTGAACACCACACAGTCACCGACAAGCACTACGAGTGGAAACACGGTCTCTGGACTATCCTCGCATTCTGCGCCGCTCAATGGTACCATCGCACCCAGCGAGCCCCCCACCTCATACACAGTCGGCTTTTCAACCTCCAGTTCTCTCAGCGCCTTGACCAATACTGTCGTTACACCCTCCAGCTCGATCGGAACCAACGTTGGCAGCGGCGCGACCTCAGGTTCACTGCGGCATACGCCCCATGCCGTCGTCATTGCGCTTCCGGTCGCTTCGGCCATGTTTTTCGTCACAGCGGCGCTATGTCTTTACAAGTCCAAGAAAAGAAGAAGTCGAGAAACCTCCGACATGACACCCGCGGCGTGCGTACCCGAACCGCGTAGCACCGAGCAACACTGGACAGATGTGGCAGATGTTTCGCTCGTCGACGACTATGAGCCACATCTCATCACCCCAGGACTATCGATATACATTCCCCCAGCGCCATCTATGATATCCTCTCCTTCAGCTCACCGAGACGTCTCTGCACAGGGCTACCGCTCTCCTGCGCTCGACAGCATCTCGAGCCCCTCTGTCACCGATGACTTTCCCCACTGCCTATCAGACGGAAAGGTGACGGGCGATACCCCGGCATCTCCTGCTTCGCTATCAGTCTGCACGCCTCGCGACCAAATGCCCCAGCAAGACCGTCTCCATAGACGAGGTTCCGATGCACCAATCCCTCCCGAGTCGACATCACTGGCCTACGCCTACGAACGACACATCGCTTCCTCCGCTCCGAATCATCTTCCAACCTCTGCGCCTGATTCTTCCCTTCGCAGTTCGACACTCCCCATTCCCCAACCCGATACTCCCACTTACGATACGCGCGTCATTATCGAAAGCCGCCGTTCAGCCCAGGACGCCGACGGTACCGGAGGGCAGGAGCGCATCGTCAGGCTCCCATGGCCGCTCGGAGAGCGACTGTTGGCCATCCTCGAGATTACGCCACAGCAGTACGGACCAGGCGAGCTTGACTCGACGCGCGTGGGTTCGGAAGAGCTTCCTGCGTATGCGCCCAGGGAGTAGGCGTGTGGTCGAGAACATGCCACAGATATGCTGGAGAGGTGATGTATTCCCAGCATCGTATCCCCGAGTTGTATACTAACGTGTCCGGTGTAGGCAGATGTTCCAACTCTGTGGTTCGAGATTGGGCAGGGACTGCGGTGACATCTTTTGGTGCGACAGGGACTTTGAAGGATCGGATTCGCGATGCTATACCGTTCTTTTTATATACCCACAGCTAGATTCAGTTCAGCCTTCGGACGGTTTGTCTTAGTAGACGTCGTAGTCATACAGACATTTGATACAGACATGCATATAGGTTGAGCTCATGACCAACCGCAATACAAAGCACCGAACTACTCAATTGCACATATAAGCAGAAAATCTGACCTCGAAACCTCACCTCACTACTCCGGGACGCCTCCTTCCAATCCCCGCGCCCGCCCCGAGCGCTCACTCGCAAGAGCAGAAGCTGACGTCGAGGTGCGCCGCGTCTCCGTCGAAGTCGTAGTCATACGTCCCGCCCGCCGTGCTGTTGTAGCACTGATCGATGATTTCCTCGAACCCGTCCCAGCACTCCCGCTGCGTCGCAAAGCGGCCGCAGAGCACCGCGTGCGCCCAGCCCCAGCATATCGGGCCGGTGCCCGCCCAATCGTTTGAGCCGCAGAGGGATTCGCGCAGTGACCAGACGGAGTCTTCGGGTTCGCACAGTGAGCACTTGCCCTCGTTGTAGCATTCAGCGGCGAACGCGGTTGGGATGGGGATAACTGCGACAAGCGTGGCCGCGAGGATAGAGAGGGGTGCAAGCTGCATGGTATGAGCTGGGGAAAATATAAGCTCGAGAGGGCTGTATCAAACATATAGAGATCAGCGTACTGTGCGCGTATGACCGAAGGGCTCCGAGGGAGTGTGATTGGCTGTGTCCTCGAGGATGAAGGTGAGGATAAGGGATCTCGCGCCTCTTCGTCGTCCTTTTAAGCCTCGCCGTCGGTCGTAGTGGCGGCCTGTTCCCCGGCGACGTTTATTTTCGCCTCTCGGTGGGTTTTCGTACAAGTAGAACCTGTCAAATCTTGAGAGGACGCAGAACGCCCGATATGAGGATCAAGAGCTGTTCGGGCCAGGGAGTTGGGTGGGTGAGCTGCAAAACAGGTGCGTCAAAACTTAATATTCTCTTCTCCCTCTTCTTAGCCCCTTTCGAAGCCCTTGTGGTGCCACACCTTGTTCAAATTTGACCAATGGTGTATCTTCAAGCCGTGCAATTAATGGGGGCACCGCCGCACCAATGTACACTCAGGGCCTAAATATCTTCAGCGTCGAAGTATGATACAGACACGTTCTGGAGCTTACGTTCTGATGGCCTGCCGGAAGTGTAATATGCCGAAGATAGAAGTGTGTTCGCGACCGCATAGCTGTCAGTGGCCGCATGGCATTGAGGTCGGCACGTCCGGGATTTGTTATTGTAAACCACCATAAATATTGTCAAGATATTACTTCACTATTCCACGAGCACATACCGTCCCACACGCGTATACCAATGCATCGAGGAGACTGTCCAGAGCACTCTGTGCGAAGAGCGGAAAAGATACTAATGGATTGCACGGGTCGATCGCTTGTCAACATATAGAAATGTATCCACATATTTCTGGGTGTGCAGCGCGCGGATGAGATGAACATGAACCTTGAATGGCCTAGCTCGGTGCTGGGCAGTGTTCGGTGTCGAGGCGTCGTCGGAAGGTCGCGGTCTGCGTGGCAAGTTACCAAAATACTCGCCAAATCTTCGGTGAAAATCTTCAACGCCGATGTATGTACACCTCAGCTGAGTCTTTCAGGGAAAGATCGCGGTATAATCCGGCGTCTCAGCGGAGTGGCACGAGTCGAGTGAGAGCAAGACGGAGAAAGACTCAGAGTCAGAGTCGTCGGAGCCAGACGGCCGATAGCCTGCAACCAGCAGTACAAATAACAGCAAATATGCGCGCCACCACGCTTGTGGCGGGGCGTCTGCTCGTCTCAACAATCTCTTCCTGCCTACTACCAGTGCCGCCAAAATACTCGCTCGACGCTTGCGTGTTGCTATTATCCGACGCGAGCTTGTCCAGCACTTAACAGCTGAAGCTTTTTGCGCTACCGCTTCTTGCATCTCGACCTCCAGGCCGCGAGCACACTGGCGGACGCGTTCTCACAACGTGTCAGCGATCTACCGGTCACACTCGGATGTACGGGTCCCCGCTTCGTTGAAGAAGGAAGCAGACACAGACAGCAATTCCGTGCTTGTACCAGCTCCGGACGGGCTCGCTATCTCCATATAGCAAGATGCATATATATACACCACGGGCTTCCGTTGCCCGTTCCATTTTGACTGCAGATAGGAAAGACGTACGTAGAGCAATTATACTCGAATACACCGGCGCTGGGTTGACACTCAATACCCACCCGCATCAGCAGCATCCAGGGAGCTTCCCACACGAAGCAAATTGGAGAGGCAAGAAGCCTTCAGGCACCTGTGGTTCGGCGCCAGGACCCTATATACCTCGACTCGCTCTCACTCTTATGCAATGTTGGAGTGTCGCTGGTCATGTGTTCGCGAGAGGCAAGTTAGGATTGCACGCGGCGCTCCCATATGACCCTTTCAAGTACTGGCGAAGCGGCCTTTGCGAGCGACCCCGCTCGCTCACCGTCCACCGATTTGCCCGCCGAAGCCGTAGCACGCTCGCCCAGACATTCGATCCTTTCTCATGTCTCAGACAGCTCACGCGTCTCGACCGGAGAGTATCTCCAAGGGTACCATCGAAGCCATGGAAGAGAAAGTCACAACCGAGGCAACGGACATTGCTTACCCCGTGGAACAGGAACTCTCCACACCGCCGACACTCACTGCGGAAGAGGAGAGACTGCTGTGGCGGAAGATAGACCTTCGTCTCCTGCCGATTTTGATCATCATGTATTTGGTGGCGTCCATCGACAGGAGCAATATAGGTGAGTACTCTTCAAACATCTCTTTGTCTATTCGCGCTGACTCAAGTTGTCAGGCAACGCTAAACTGCAAGGGCTACTAACCCAGCTCAACCTCACCGGTGACCAATACAATGTAGCCCTCGTGAGTATAGTCATCGGTTCCCGAGAAAATTTCAACCTAACCATCCTAGACCATGTACTTTGTAGTACGTCACCCTTCTGCCCCAGAGACGCTTTCCAACATGAGCATTGCTCCAGTCCTACACTTTGTGTACCGTGCCATCAAAGTATGTCATCCATCCCGCCTTTACCCGCTAGGTTCCTCCCAGTGACTCGGGTCTGGAATCGCAGCCTGCTACTTAAGAAGCTTCGGCCTTCGAGATGGTTACCAGGAATTACCGTCAGTCCTCCGAAACCTTGAAGTCCGAACTGGATGACCTACATTTTTGCAGCTCGCGTGGGGTATCATCGCGTACGTCGCACATAATCGCTGAGGGAACCTAAACTCAGGGTCGACCTGAAACAGGACGCTTATGGGCCTCGTAAAGACGTCAGTACAAGCAATTTTGGTACCGTAGTTCATTTCTCTAACACATACACCGCCATAGATACCCGCAGCTCGTCGGAGTGCGCGTCTGCTTGGGTATCGCAGAGGCGGGCCTGCCCCCCGGTGTCTTCTACTAGTCCGTTCAATCCTCTCAGGTATCCGACTCCAAAGTGCTTCTCTCACTCGCTTTGCAGCATCACGATGTGGTACCCGCGCCACATGGTGCAGTACCGCGTCGGCCTCTTCTGGGGTGGGGCGACTTTCGCGGGCGCATTCTCAGGTCTGCTCGCGTTCGCGATCTCGTTCATGTCCGGCACAGCAGGGCTGCTTGGGTGGTCGTGGATCTTTGTGAGTGTCGCCTGATATGTGTTCTCGCCCAACGTTGACGGTGGACCGTTGCGCGCTTTTGCGTGTAGATTATCGAAGGACTCATAACCATTGTCGTCGCGTTCGCTGCATTCTTCAGTGAGTCATGTTTTCTTACCGCTGGGGGCATTGCGTGAGTTAACCGCGTCGACAGTACTTGTAGACTTCCCAGACACTGCGATGTTCCTCACGCCGGAAGAGCGGGCGTACGTGGTGCACCGGAAGAGTATGTGCTTTGGCACAGTTCTACAATATTTTCACTAACAGCCTTGCGCTTGCAGAATACGACAACTCCTCCGTAGGTGAGGAGGAACACTTCGAGATGCGGCAGTTGTGGGAGACGCTCTTCAACTGGAAAGTCATTCTCTGCTGCCTGATCAACGCCTCTGTGATTACGCCTGGTATGTGCATCATTGCTACTTTCTCTCGAACTTCAGCAGTACTAAGTATAATTCACAGTATACGGCATCACCCTGTTCTTGCCGTGAGTGATCCTCCAGATACGACATTATAATACGTTAACTAAAATGCGCGCAGCTCAATCATTAACGGGTAAGTCACACCATATCGTGGGCTGCGCACCTACTGAACAATTCTTAGGTTTGGGTTCAACACCGTCATCTCTCAGCTTCTCTCTGTGCCGCCATACATCGTAGGAAGTGAGCCCATTTGCTGGCTGCCCTGCGTCCTCTTCCTAGGACACTCACCTCTTCTTCCTACAGCCGCAGCCGTGGTGGCATGGTCAAAGTGGTCGGACATCCATCAAAAACGCTCTCCCTCGATCCTCGCGGGGCTCCTGTTCTGCCTCGTCGGCTTCGCCATTAACGCGGCGGACACGCCTATCGGCGTGCGGTACTTCGGCACCTTTCTCGTCGTCACAGGGGGCTACGCGGGGTTCCCGGGGAACGTTTCCTGGTACGCACCCAACTACAATCCCGGATAATTGTCTGAGGAGATTATCTGTCAATCCACTAGGATGGGGAACAACACCGTGGGGCACTATAGACGTGCGATCGCCATCGGGATGCAGGTTATGTTCGCGAACGCCGGCGGCGCGATCGCGTCCAACATCTACCGCGTCCAGGATGCGCCGCACTACCTCCTCGGACGTGAGTGTCCGAACCATCCCTTGCTATGATGTAGCGCGAAAGATGTGATTCTCATGATGCGCCGCCTCTAGATGCCGTCGAGCTCGGGTTCGTCGGTATGGGCCTGACGCTCCTGCCCATCATGGTCTTCACGTACATGCGCGCAAACGCGCAGCGGGATGCGGCTCAGCGCGATATGGAAGCGCGTGGTGTGAAGATCGAGTACTCGACGGAGGAGCTGCGGAAGATGGGCAACCAGGCGCCAGACTTCCGGTTCACGCTGTGAACACACTGTGTGGCATAAGCGTAGGTGATGACATACAAGTAAGGAATGCGATGATGATGTATAGTACAGTGTGCAAGGAACCGTTTCTCGACGTGTTCAGTACCTATCGTACGGAGGAGGGAGTGTCACGATGCTAGCTGTGTCGTCATCATCGCTTCCGTCCAGCGGCCCCCCTGCGAGACGAACACCCCCGTCGCGGGCGTGCCTTGAGGCTCGCGTCCCAGCGTGCAAATTCTGGCTCTCCTGTAAGAGAGAAGAGGCGATTGGGTCGGCAACTGATAAGTCATCGCTTCGCGAAGCAGAGTCCGTGGTGGATGCGGTCTCTGGTGGATGTACGAAGGGCAGAGCTGAGAATTCCGGCTCTGGAACGCCAGCGTCGGTGCTAGATGCGTTTTCGCCAACTTGTGTTGTTGTGGACTCGCCTACAGCCCTCAGCTCCCTTGTGCCAACAGGAGACCCCTGCGCGCTCCCCAAAGACAGCTCGTATCGGCCCATCGACGCCCCGGTCGACAGTCGCAATTGCGAGGATGTGGGGGAAGATCTGCCGGAGTCAACTAGAGACCGTAGTATCAGGCCGACGTACTTCCGGGATCGCTGCATCACAGACTATTGAATGACTTACCGCTGTCTCGTTTGCCAGACCCGTTTTTGCAGCATCTTTTGTAACGAGTCCAACCGAGCAGAGCGAGCAAGGCAAAACAGAGAGCCGCTCCCGCAACAGCAATGCCGACTATAGCGCCTGCGTTCAACGCTGTCGTCTTGTTCCGATTCGACGTTGCACCTTGGACAAAGCTAGGGAGCGCGTCTTGCCTGACTAGAAAGCGACGTGATGTCGCATTCGTCCCATCGGCGTCCATGCCGAATACAGCCAACAGAATTTCCGCGCTCGCGTTTGCGATCCAGATGACAGAGGTGCCGGTAAGGGAAGGAAATTGGGCAAGGCTATGCTCTGTAGTGGTGCCCACGGTGATGTTATATGGGGGAGTTCCTCCTATCCAGCGAAGTCTGACTGGCATGGATTCGAGAGGTAAAATTGGGGTTTCGACACGGAAGGGGATTGCGGTAGTCATGAGTCGGTATCGGTGTCAGGGTGTCTGTACTTCGTACTCCTGGTGGATGTCGTATCGGAATGACGCTGAGCCGAGTGCGGGTGAAAGTGGAGTAGAGATGAGGGGTATGGACGAGCTATGGAAGCTTTCACAGCGGAAGCATATTAACACGAATAGCGGTGTAACAGCTTGGAGATGGACTCACCACACCGCGGGAAGGGCGCAAGCGCAGTAGCGGGGTATGTTCAGGCAGAAAAGTAGTTAGTGAGTCGTCCGGCTCCCTATAAGTCTGCTCTACAGTGGGCAGCCACAGCATCAAGCATCGATTTGCGGTTGCGGTTGCCACAGTCTACTGCATCCGCCCACCCTTCGCGGGACGCATGCGTAGCCTGTGCACTGCCTTGCTACGACTGGGGTCATACGAAGATCGTTGTTTGCGCGTTGTGAGACCAGAAGAGTATTGGGGCGGTTCCGTGCATCTTCTCTGAGCTGTCCACCAACGATGAGCGTACAACTTCGGTAAATTTCTCACGTACTGGAAGGCGGGGATTTCGGACAGAATATGAGTTCGCAAGACAGAGCTGATGAGCCGTCCCCAAGAACTTATCTGTTCAATTCGAGATGCGTGGAAAGATAACGGAATGGGAGGGTACATCGAATATCATCAAGTATCCTCAGTACCGCCTGTATGGAGGAGGAAGCGTGCCCGTCGCGTCGGCGTCGTCGAGCCCGTCAATGGGTCCGCCAGCGAGGCGAACACCTCCATCGAGCGCATGTGCCGGGACGCAATCCTCGTCTCGGCGATGTTGAGCGTCGCTGTGAGCGAGTGCAAAGCGCGAACTGTAGCTCTCCTGCGTAGTAGCTGCGGAATCCGAGTCATCTTGTTTGGACCTGATCGGCGGCGGGCGTGCGGAGGGAAAGGTTTGGCGGTTCACGATCGCCACGACGTCCGCGTCAGCACAAGGTGTGTAGTCTCCAACTTCCGCGAATATCGACCCTTCTGCGACGCTCGAGCCCGACGATTCGACAGCTGCTTCGGCGCCCTCGGCACGAAGCTCGCGCTCGCGCAACATCGCTTTACTGGAGAGCTGCAGATATGCGGGAGCGAGAGATGACCCATTGAGGTCCACTGGAGGCCGCAATATCAGATCGACGTGCGTCTATGAGCGCTGCAACGCGGGCTGCCGAGGGGCTTACCTCTATCTCGCCTGAGCCAGTCTCCACGGCGCTTCCTTCTCCGAGCCCAGACGAGGGCAAGCGCAACAACGCATACGACCGCACCCGCAACGACGATATCTGCGATGGCGCCTGAGCTCAGCGCTTTCTTGTGCTGCAGGCAACTGTCGCTCATTCCTTGACCCATGACGAACAGGCCCGAGTTCCCAAATGCTCCACCCGCATCCGTCCCGAACACAGCTACCGCGGCGCCAGCAGTGACGTTCGCGATCCCAGTGGTGGAGGTGTTGGTGGTGGAGTAGTTTGCAAGGATCTTTTCGAAGGTAGTGGCGACAGTGATGTTATATGGAGGTGTTCCGCCTGCCCAATGAAGCTCGACGGGCGAGCATTGGGTGGGTAATAGTGGAGTATCGATGGTGAAGGGTGTCGATGTCCAGAAGGAAGGTTGACGATCAAGGTCTACATCGCGCCCACAGTCAGTGTGTTTTCTAGGGGCAGAGCGACAAGCACAGAAGAGGTGATACGATACGGTATGAGGTATACCCAGCTTCTCACAGCAACGTAAACCATTGACACCCGCTGCAGTATGGTTTTAGGGAATAAACTCACTGGAACTGGCTAATAATACACCGCAGATAAGGCGGCGGCGCAACCTGGCCAAGAATGCTCAGCTTGGAGGGATAGATGATTGACGGTCGAGCTGTTGCAGGACGCCCTGTAAATCACTGTGAGGAGTCACGATTGTAATGACTTCCCGACGGCGGTTGCTATAGCTTATTGCATCCGTCTGCTCTTCGCCAGGCGTAGGCATGGGATATATACCGCATTTCCACGACTAGAATCAAACGTCGAGCGACGAAGATCATCGCTTGGATGCTGTGTGCCCATTTGATATATAGATGCGGCTCTTCATCTTCTCTGCGCAATCCCTTGAAAGTGAGTGTAGTCAAGAAGGAATCATACGCACTTGTAGTCAGAAGTTCAGAGATAACATCGTCCTCCCTTACGTCGACAATCAAATTGACCGTTCTCGAGCTGAAAGTCCCACATTCGTGGCCTGAGGACACCTTTACGGAGTGTGCTGGAGATTATGGGCTGCACCGGAGTGGTAACGGCCGGTGGGTGTAGCATACAGAAAGCTGAAGTCGCGGATCACAAATATAGGCGATGGTTGGTGCTATAGCACACTCGTGTGCGACGTAATCTAGGTCAGGCGCAGAAGGATTAGCTACAGCGACCGCACAATTCAGTCGCACGAGGAATAGAGCGCACCTGATGAGACGATGGGCCATATTATGGTGCAGCGCTGATCGGCTCAGCTGGGACCCCTTGCCTCTCCCTGATCAGCACTCGCAACCGCATGCCCTCCCACCCAAGCAGGTCCGGCTTCGTGGCCAGCAAGTACTTGTCGATGTTTCCATGCTGCATGCCCAAGTACGGTGTGAGGGTCCAGTCCTGCCCCACCCAAGTACCGACGCACCTTCTTGATCGTCTTCAAGGCCCGTGCAGCGACCTTGATCTTGATGAACCGCCCGAGGGTGTCGGAAAAGAGGCGTTGGTTGTGGACGTTCGGGAGCCATGACCGGCGCGTCTTGTGCTTCGAGTTCGGTACGCTGTTTCCGTACTGCTTCATCTTCCCCTGGAAGAGGCCCAGCTGGGACCGCTTGAACGGCGTGCTGACGGCCGCGAAGAGCGGTATTGAGGGGAACATGGCGGGCGGGGACAGGCGGCAGCCGGCGCGCGGTGGTGAGTTGTCCAAGCAATTTGGGCGCCAAGTCCCCTTACCGTCGGCGGGAAATTGGGTGGGGGCTTATCAGATAAGATAAGATGACTCATCCCACGGTGCACCCAGATGACTGCCCCCGCTTAGCCTTGAGCAGAGGTGATTCGGCCGAGGTTCTCGCAGGCATCTATTATCCCACTGCCAGGTTGCTGGTCACCATCCATTTTACCCCGACACGCGGTATATAAACTGCCAGCACTCGGCCAGCGAGCCCACCGACGCCCTTCTGCTCTGTCCACCATGTTGTCGCGCTACGTCTCGCGCTCGCTCTCCGGCCGGCAGTATGCCGCGGTCGCCTTCCAGCGCGGTTTTGCAAGCAGCTCTCTGAGGATGCGTGAGTCCACGCAGTGCCGTTTCCATGCGAGAACTGGCTGATGACTGTATTCGATGCTTGTTGGGTGGATGTCGCGCTGGACTGCATGGTATTGCGTATGCGGGGGATGTCAACGAATGTGCGGGGAAATGATGCACATGCGCAGAGAGCAAGATCACGGTCCAGAACCCCGTCGTCGAGCTTGATGGAGACGAGATGACGCGTATCATCTGGAAGAAGATTCGGGAGGAGGTGCGTCTCGTTCCTGATCACTCGACGTGCTGCAGCGCTAACACTACAGTTTGTAGTTGATTCTTCCTTACCTGAATCTTGATATCAAGTACTACGACCTTGGCCTCGAGCACCGCGATGCTGTACGTCATTTTTCTTGACTAAATATCCCACATTCCAGCACGCCTTAAGGAAACGAAACTCACCCCATGCGCAGACGGACGACAAGGTCACGGTTGATGCGGCAGAGGCCATCCTCAAGCACAAGGTCGGCATCAAGTGCGCGACGATCACCCCCGACGAGGCGCGCGTGAAGGAGTTCAAGCTTAAGCAGATGTGGAGGAGTCCGAATGGCACCATCCGTAACATCCTCGGCGGCACCGTCTTCCGTGAACCCATCATCCTTGACCGCATCCCCAAGCCCGTCCCCGGCTGGAAGAATCCCATTGTGATTGGCCGTCATGCGTTTGGTGACCAGGTGCGCGCCTTTGCTTGCGTGTGCTCCGACTATAACTGAATTTCTCGGGTATAGTATCGCGCTCAGGACTTCCTTGCGCCAGGACCTGGCAAGCTCCAGCTTGTCTACAGTCCCGCAGACGGCAGCAACCCCACAAAAATTGATGTGTACGACTTCAAGGGCGCGGGTGTCGCGCTTGCGATGTACAACACTGATGAAGTGAGTTATTCTTCGTATGGTCACAGCGAATATATAACTCAGCTCGCTCTCTCTAGTCCATCACTGGTTTCGCCCACTCCTCGTTCAAGATGGCGCTTGCGAAGAAGCTGCCCTTGGTGAGTCGCTACATAGCCAGGAAGGGCTCCGAATGCTCATGTCATCATGCGTAGTTCATGTCGACCAAGAACACGATCCTGAAGAAGTACGACGGTCGCTTCAAGGATATCTTCGAGGAGATCTACCAGAGGTTCGTTTACCAGTCCCACACCTGTTCACACCCTTGTCCTTACATTCTCCCAGCGACTACAAGTCTTCCTTCGAGGCTGCGGGCATCTACTACGAGCACCGGTTGATCGACGACATGGTTGCGCAGGCGATCAAGTCCTCGGGCGGCTTCGTCTGGGCGTGCAAGAACTACGACGGCGACGTGCAGTCGGACATCCTCGCGCAAGGCTTCGGCTCCCTGGGCATGATGACGAGCGAGCTGATCACACCCGACGGGGACGTGATCGAGAGCGAGGCTGCACACGGGACGGTGACGCGCCACTACCGTGAGTGGCAGAAGGGCAACGAGACGTCGACGAACCCGGTCGCGTCCATCTTCGCGTGGACGCGAGGATTGTTGCACCGTGCTAAGCTCGATGGCAACGACCAATTGCGCACGTTCTGCCAGGACCTTGAGGCGGCGTGCGTGGAGGTCATCGACAAGGACGGCGTCATGACCAAGGATCTCGCGCTTGCGATCCATGGGAAGGCCATGAAGCGCGAGCACTGGGTTGTGACCGACGTCTACATGGACAAGGTTCATGTGAGTACCGCTCGCTTTTGTCTAATGATATGTCGCTGAACACTTCTCGACCACAGGACAAGCTCAAGCAGAAGCTTGCTGCGAGCAAGACGCTCTGATTAGGGAGCTACGGTCTCGTAGTCAGGGATCTTGATTATCATCAGTTCACACTATGTGTAGTTGTATCATGTGTCAGAGTATACACGTTCTGTTGCTTCACTGCGCTGTCTTCATCTCGAGTCCATGCATCCTCGCTGTGTCCCTTTCACTTCCTGGCCTCTTCATCTCTGTTGACACGTCGTATTACACTCACTAAGACATCCCATATCGGCCGGCTGGCCTAATGGTTAAGGCGTCAGTTTCCGATTTATCGGGTCAGCTGGAGATTCCGGGTTCGACTCCCGGGTTGGTCGATAACAGCCCGCTTAGCTCAGTGGTAGAGCGCGCCACTTGTATGGTTCAGATTCGTAAGGACTTGGACTCAGCAATGGTGAGGTCAGTCGTTCAAACCGGCTAGTGGGCACACGGCGCTATAGTGTAGTGGTTATCACTTGGGATTCTGAAGAGTGTTCCCAAGACCCAGGTTCGATCCCTGGTAGCGCCTACTTTTGCCCCCTGGACGGAGGTTCTTTAGTGTCTGTGGTCTTATGTTTTTGTTTTTGACGATTTTGAATTGTTACTGCCGCCGAGGATCCGAGTACGGAGCGGCTTCGGGCGGGGTGGCTGTGACGTGAACGTCCAAAAAGAGGCAGGCGCCGTCCCAGAACGGCAATAGCGCGGCGGCGATTCGCCAATCGGGGTGTGCATTTGATGTGCGTTCAATGAGGAAGACCTCTTTCTTGCACAACGGCCATGCCCTGGCCCCCAGCCCCAGGCCGTCCTCACCGTTCCCCACGACGTCGAGCACCATAACACCCCCACCCGCGGTCCCCCAGACCCTCCCCTTCCTTGCCGTTATCGACGTTCGCAAGCCCCTGGACCCCTCACGACCACTATGCCGCTCTCCGGCCGCGCCCGTACGGACGGCGACAAGGAGCGGTCTTCGAAGAGCCAGGAGCAGGAACTCAAGCGCGCAAGGGGTGCGATATCTTGCGCAGAATGCCGCCGCCTCAAGCTCAAATGCGACAAGACGGTCCCGTGCTCGTCCTGCAAACGCAGGGGGTGCGCCTCCATCTGCCCGAACGGCAGCCTGACCACCGGCCAGGGAACGAGGTTCATCTTGGCGGACACGGACCGTCTGCATCGCAAGATAGCAGAGATGAGCGACCGGATCCGACAGCTCGAGGATGGGCTCGCAATACTTCAGTCAAGCGTCACTCGCGAGACACACCCCCTCCTCACGCAGGACCTGCTCGGGATCAAGTCCGGGCTCGAGCTACACTCCGCGACTCGGTTCGCGAGCGGGAGTGGAGGCGGCGGCATGGAGGCGCCCGGAGAGGGCGACGAAGAGGAGGAGGAAGAAGTCCAATACATCGACGCGTTCGGAACGCTTGCGGTGCGGGATGATGGCGCGGCGACCTTCTACGGACGCTCGGCGGGTTCGGAGGTGCGTCCTGTGATATTTCATCACTCGGAGATATGGCTGAGCGCCCCGTCGTTTTCAGAGTCTGTTACTGGTAAGTCATGCGCGTCTTGTAGCAAGTCAATTATTTACGGTGCGCCCATGCAGGACGAGAAACCTCAACTTACGCTGTCGACCGTCGCACACACATCCAATATGCATCCCGGTCTCTCACCAGAGCTCAACCGCCTAGCGGCGACATTCCCTTCTGGGCCTACCAACCTCCCCATCTACGACCTCCAAGACCTCATGCAAGGCTATCTCCCGCCCTGGCAGCGCGCCGTCGAACTACGGGACCTCTACTTAGAACAAGCCCCATGGTTCTTCGGTGCAGTGACGAAGCGTCAGCTCGACGACGAGGTCCTTCCGCTCTTCTACGAGGAGGCGGCGGAAGAGCTGCGCGCACGCGTGCAAATGGGCAGCAGTGCCGTGGGGAAGGGTGCGCTCGGGACCACCTCCGAGGCGTTCAACCTGCCTGGCGCGAGCACGCAGTCGTCATCGCATGACATGGCGCTCATGCTCGTTGTGTTCTGCTTCGGCGCACTGACCGACCCTTCTCTACCCCCCGCGCCGAACAACGAGGAGGCGGCGACATATTACCAGCTTACCCGCGCCGCGCTCAGTCTCGAGCCAGTGCTTGATCGGCCACCGAGTGTCACTACGGTACAAGCCCTGAGTCTTATGGGCATCTATCAGGTGCGTTCTAATGCGTGGTGCATCCGGTCGTCCTCTTAATCACGCTTCAACCACAGGGAATGGTCGCGGACGAGCACAGTATCGAGACGACGTGGGCACTTATGGGACTGAGTTCGAAGCTCGCTCAAAGTGTGAGTAACGTGAGCCTTCGCATCACAAGTGGACGATATGCTAACTCGATGCGCTTGCAGATTGGTCTCCGTACGTGCTTTCACTTCTCTCGCGGTAACGGCGTATCTCAGTGCGCCTCTAGATCGCGACAGCGCCCGGTGGAAGCTCTCTGCGTCGGAAGTGCAGAAGCGTCGCTCGCTCTTCTGGGAGCTGTTTATCACCGACTCCTGGCAGGTATGGAGCGCAGCACCTCCCCTCCGTACCTTCTTGTCTTATCCTATACGATAGGCACTGGCTACCGGAAGGCTCCCCACCTTCACACCTCCATTCGTCGACACAGAGCTCCCTGCCGACCCGGACCAGACACTCGCGGACGACGGCACGCCGCAATATAGCTGTAAGGAGCCCCCATATTACTCACTCGCCGCATATGCTGATAAGATAGCGTTCAGTCCCTGCATGGAAGGCTCGATGGGGGAAAGAGTGCGTCTCGAACGTGGTGACGGGTACGCTGACCGCACAGGCGCCCAAGTACTCGGTCATACTCGACCTCGATCGCCGAATTCGCGATATGTCTCTACCGAAGTATGCACTAGGCCCGCCGCCGCAGAACGCAGGGCTCGCGCAAACGATGTCTCATTACATGCCGACAAACTACCTCCACTTGAGTGAGTATCACGCTGCTCCCCTTTAGTCGATCGCTCATCACTTGTGTGCAGCTCTGCTCTACGTACACCGCTGCTTCTTCGCACAAGCCATTCTCGACAACCCCACTGACCCCATGCGCAGCCAGTACGCGCCGTCCTTCCTCGCGGGATATCGCAGCGCCTGCGCGCTGCTCGGCTCCATCCGCGACCAGTTCGCGCTTTTCCCCATACAGATCGCGCGCTTCTGGGTGTTGTGGACGCACGCGTTTTCCGCTTGTGTGAGTACTACGCGCCTCGCCCGTACCCCGACGATCCCTGTGCTGACGTGGGGCGCTGGATTGGATCTGCAGGTGATGCTCGGATCTGTCGTGACCCGCGGCGGGACTTCCAAGACTGCGCAGGCGGCGCTCAGCGAGCTTCGCATCGCGTGTGATTTGTTCGAGCACGCGGCTACGCATGGCGGCCGGGCGCGCAAGTTCTTGGTACGCCGCGCCTACTTTGCCATGCACTCGAATAAATCACTGAACGTACTTTCACGTACAGCCCGTGATACGCAAGCTGCACGAGAAGGCGCAGGCGGCGTACTTCAAGGGCTTCCAGCCACTGCGGCGCGATATCTTCACGCCGCGCACGGACGAGAACGACCATCTCGACGAGCTCTCAATCTTCAGCGGGCGCACGGCGCGCACGGTCGCCACGAAGTCAAATCGGCCGCAGCGCATATCACCTAGCGTGTCGTCTACATCCGCAGGGACACCAACGGAGGTGTCGGCGCAGGGCTCGCAGGCAGGTTCGGACGCGCGGAATTCGCAGTCGCCCCCCGCGGACGTCTTCCCCGCGCTCGAGTCATCGTACCGCGCGGTTATACACCCGGGCCTCGTCGACGAGCTCAGGACGTTCGAGGGGCAGCTCGACGCGCAGATCAACCAAGGCAATGTGTACTACGCGCACGCCCAGGGTGCGCAGGAGATGCATCAGCCTGTGCATCCCATACAGCCGACGCAGGAGTATGTGGGGCACAGTCAGCACGTCCAACAGCCCCCGCCACAGATGCAACAGCAATACGCCGAACATTATCAGGCTCCCCACCAGCACGACAGCGTCTCGCCCTCGGTTGCGCACGTGCAACACGAGTACCCTGTCCAGTACACCCAGGCGCAGACACAGCAGTACCCTCTCCATCACGCTGAGCCACTATCCCGACGCTCGTCATACCATTCGCTGGCAACCCCCATCGAGCCCGCACCGCTGTCTCGCGCTCAGCAACAAATCGCACCTCACACAAGCGATCCGCACGACATCCCCATGTACGGAGGCTTCTCAAGGGCGCCCTCGCAGCAGCATTACGATGCCTACGGCCGGCCGGTGCCGTCCTCATCACACCCAGCTGAGCCCTCGGCGTACTCCGTTCCTGTACAACGCTCCGAACTCTGGAGCGTCACGGCCCCGCCGCCGAACGAGCCCTCTCCCGAGCCCCACCCGCACCAGCAACAACACCAATACGCTCAGCCGCACATGTATCAGCAAATGGAGGAGCACGTCTCCCCGCACGCGCCATACTCCCAACACGTCCCTCCGCCACACCAACAACATTCGCATCCACACCCGCACGCGCACCAACAACACCAACACCCCGCCGCGCACCCTCAGTCGCACCCGCACCCGCACGCACAGGAACACGTACAGGCGCACGTCCACCCGTCGCAGACGCGGGACCAGTACGCGCAGGGCCAGCAGTATGCGTATACGCAGGTGCAGCAGATGGTGCCGCCGCCCCCGCCGCCGCTCATCAACGTGCACACGGGCGGGTACAGCCTGCAGGAGACGTGGACGTCGTTCATCCAGCAGGAGCTGCCCGCGCCCCCGCACGGCGTTCCACCACAGAGCATGCCCGCGAAGTGAGCGTGTGTGTGTAATTGTTTCGTGTTAGTACTCTGGCGTCAGGGCCGGATGAGTGCCCTCGCGGAGTGTGCGTGTGTTGTACTTGTATGTCCTGCTTCTGAGACCCGCTGTTGCTCTAGTTGTCTGCTCCATATGCCTTGCTTTCGCTCTTGTCGTCCTCTCTATGCGTCCTAGACCTGTGACTCGCCGTTTCTGTATCGTCGCCTCCCCGGATGTCGTAATGTATGCCTGCCTGTGATGTAAACCCCGTACATACCCAGGATTGTTGGAATGCTAGATTGTTTATCTCAGGCATAAGGTGCGAGCGTGTTAGCATACCCAACGACGCGCGCGAGGGGAAGAGGTACGAGACGGGAGCGTCGCAGCGATAGGTATGCTTGTGCATGGGAAGCTTGTTCACATCCAATACAAAAGCAATACATAGATGAATCAGTCCTAGTCCTGTCCCAGGGCGAAAGTGAAACACGGGATGTCCGACACAACGGTACATGCAAACGGGGATGGCGAGGAGAGAAACGGCCACCGACACCCTCAGCGGCGCCCGCAGCGGAACCAGAGGAACGCGAAGCTGGCTGCTGCGAAAAGAAGTACAGCGACGAGCTGGACGTTGACGACCGAGGTCTCGTGCTCGATCTGCGCGCGTCGATGTGAGTTCTCGGGCTCTAGAATACCGGGGAGAAGACAGTCGCACTTACCACGGAGGCGAACGGTGAGAGTATCGGGATAGTAAAATGGAGCGGTCCGAGCCAGCGCGAAGCAGCACCCGCTGGTACAGTGTGCCGGTATAAGAAGTAGAGCAGAGCAGAGCTCGCGGCAAGGACGGTTCCAAGCAGCGACCACTGTAAAGAGATGCATTAAGGTTCGAGTAACGATCAGATGCATCTGCAAGACAACTTACCACCATCGTTTGCTGCCTCGCATACGCTTGCGAGTGTCTTGTGTTCAATTCAGCTAGTTCTCGCTGTACATGTCTGGTTAACACTTGCGCCAAAACTCGTTTACGAAGACAAGCTTACAGATCGTCTTTCCTCGAGCGACAAAATCTCTCGTCGGTGCACCGCGTGGGCATCGAGCAAAGCCTCTGCACGCGTAGCGCGCATCGCCCAGTGGTGCTCTACCGCGGAGACTGGATGTGTAACCGCCCAAGCTGAGTAGGCAATCGATTGTTGGAAAAATGACAAGGAATATTCGGGGAGAGACCCGGAGTGTGGTCGTGCGACCGCGTGTTCTTCGCTCCGGTATGCCACAACACTTCTGGAAGTGGATTCGGCTTCGGATATAGAATCGTCTTCGACATGTATGGCTCCCCAATTTGTGATACGTGCAGAAGTGGAGGAACTCGACGGCGTCCACGCAGTAGTGCTGTTAGTGCGGCTGGAACGTCCTGTCTCGGTACTGTGATCAGTAGACGCTCCCATACTTCGAGCTAAAGACATTGTTCTGCTTTCTGCCCCACGCTGACGGTGATAGCTGGAGGCCTCTGACGAGGCCCATCCAGGTGGGCTCTTTCTTAGTTTGTTAGTTTGCATGCGGGCACGCTGCGGCTCAAACTGCCGGAACAATCGTTATTGGTCAATGTTCGACTTTAGATCGGAATAAATGACATCACCTCCAGTCGAGCGTGATAGTACCCCAGAAGGACTGTTCTCTGTAGGTACACACATAATCAGTCATCATATCCTCATATCTTGCGGACATATACGTACTGCACGCTTGACCGGAGAGTGAGGGTAAGGAAGAAAGGGATATAGACGCCCGACGGAGGCTGAGTGCGTCAGTGAAGGCACAGGCACACAGAAGCGCCATCTCTCTTTCCTTTGACCCGCGACGACTCAGGCTCAGATCTAACGCCCTCCTTCAGGTAAACCTCTCCTGAGGCAGGCATCTCCTCAACATCCCCGACTACTCAAGAAGCTAACATGACTACACAAATAGTGAGCGTTGATCGTAACCAGTCTTAGGCACAGTAGGACTATTCTTCAACCACTTTTACAGATTCAGAGGTCGTTCGAAAGCTTCAATATCGTACATCATGATGAAACACCGCTCGTTTTTCACGCATCGACCTGCCTCACATCCCGAAACTCTGCCGTAAACTCGTCCATGGCATCCAGCGTCGCCATCAGGTCCGCGTAGCTTACTTGCACCCCCTTCTTCGCGGCCAGAGAGCTTGCCGTGCGCACCGCGTTCTTGATTTGTCGCCCGTTCACCTCGCGCGCCGCGAGCTTGTCGAGGAACGCGTCCCCGAACTGCGCGGGTGCGACGCCAACCTTGGTCAGGAATGCCGCCCAGACCTGCTTGCGCGCATCGCGCGTGAGGTCGTGGAAGTGCAGTGCGACGTGGATGCGCGAGAGGAAAGCCTCGTCGAACGCTTTGACGCGGTTCGTCGTCAGAAAGAGGATGCCGTGGTAGTACTCAACGTGGCGCAAGCTGCGGTGCTTGGTGAGCGCAGTTCAAGACGGGAATTCGAAAACTGGACTTACAGGACTGCGACCATAGCGTTCCGCCCCATGTCGTGAAGCGACCTCTGCTCGAGAAACACGTCCGCCTAAGGAGAGGCGTCAACCGATGCGCGGAGCAGACCAGGAGACATTTACAGACCTCGTCAATGAGCACGATCGCCTTCCAGCTCGTTGCGATGTCAAATACCCTGTCCAATGACTGATCCAGGGTGGACGCGTGCGTGCCGAGGTCGCCCGCACCAACGACATACAATGGCTTTCGGACGTGCTCGCTCGTTGCCTCCGCGGAGAGCGTCTTGCCCACACCGGGCGGTCCGAAGAGGTTGATGACAAGCCCGCGGCCCTTGTTGGTTACGAAGTCATCGAAGCTCAGGTCTTCGTTGTGCGCCTCGACGAGAGACTGGAGCAGGATCTTGCGGTCTGCGGGGAGGACGAGGTTCGCAAACGCCTCGTCGTTCCAGACGATCGGCTGAACGTGTCGGATATTGAATTCCACTGGGCGAGGGTTATCCCGGAGCGACATATCATAAAAGGTTGCTTGACTTACGCCAAGTCTTATCGGTTAGGCTGAAGCCGTACACGAAAGAAGGGGTGAGCATCAGCTCGTCCTCTGTCAGCTCGACAGTGTCGTGTGGGGCTCGGGCTCGGACCTTCAGTGTTGGCACGGTACTGTCTGTTCACAGGGCCTGTCAACCAATAAGAGCCTCCAGGTTTAACGATAGAACTTACTCGGGTTGTAGGACACTGGGGTAAACTCCTGAGGGTAGTATCCACATGACCCGGGGTGGCGCCTGACAACAGGAGGCAAATTCAAATAGCCTGCCTTGACCACAGGCATCTTGTAGTTCGGGTTCAGGCGGCGGAAATTACCTGAGCGCGATGTCAATATCAATCGTAACGTGATGGTACGGCACTGTACCTCTGTCGACCATGATGCGGGATTTCACCTGCAGGGAGTGTTCATTAGTACTCGAAACCATATATATGCCTCATAAGATCTCCTACACTGTATTTGATTGTCGACTTGGACCCACCGCAGCTAAGCGTGTACCCCGCAGGTCCGTCGTACTGCATGTGGTGAATCCCCCTGAGCTCGAGCCATTTCTTTCCTCGCGCGATAAGTGACATCTTGAGCCGCCCAGCGTCGGGGTGGTATATGATCGGGTAGACGTCTAGGGAGCTGATGTTCACCGTCCCTTTGAAGTGCGAGACGAAGATACGGCTCTGTACGCGCCCGAAAGGCTTCCTCGCTGCCTGTGGAATCCCCGCGTCCGCTGGGTTCCCCGGGGGCCCGGGGTAGGCTCCTGGTCTTGCTGAATAGGCTGACGGTATTGCGCCTATATGGATTGAGGTCGCCGCGGTGGGGTTGAATCTCGAGGCGCTATATGCGCCCCAGGAGCCACCCTCGCTCACGTCATCGAAAGCGTCGACACTCTCGCAAAGGAGTTCATACAGGTTCACTCCAGTGTTGACCTTGGTCGTGGAGACAATCTGTAAAGCGCAGGGCTCGCCCGTAGTCGGACAATTAGTCACGACGACCGTGCGGGGGACGAAGAGGGCGAACAGCGTGTCGAAGGTGATCTCGCCGTGCGCGGTCAGGTTGTTGAACTTGGCAATTGTACCCTTGTAGTCCGTGTGCAGGTACTCTAGCAGGACATCGACGGTCTTCATGATGGTCGTTTCTTCGGAGGTGCACTTGCTCTTCGCACGCAAGTCGTCCCTGTACTTCTCGAATTGCGAGAGGAAGGTAAGGAGCAGGTGTGGATCCAGCTAATGACGAATATGGCATGAGCTGAAACTGGATCTGCTGGGTCCACTCGGAGAGTTGAATCGCACTGTACCTCTACCGGCTCATCCGTCCAAGACACGCCCTGCACCTTCTGGATGACGTCCTTGCAAGCCTTGAGCAGGTAGGGGCTCTTCACAACGACCTGATACGTGGGTTCTCCGCCGTCGTCGCCCGATTTGGGTAGTTTCCGTACGACCACAAAGCAGAACTCTTGCCATGGATCGTTGCCATCGCGTGCGCCGTTGCCCACGGTCGTGAGTACCTCGGGAATGAAGCTAGAACCTGCGTTGCGGAATTTCCAAGCCTTCGACCACGAGCTGTAGTAATTGTCGACGCGTTTTATCTTGAAGCTTGCATGGGGAGGGAGTGTGGCGTCCACGGACGTGGTCGCCGGTGCGACGTTAGGATGTTCATCGTCCTCGGCGTTATCGTAGATGACTTGCTCTCCGTTCATATTGATGTAGACAGGGTGAATTTTCGCTTGGGAAAACCCGCCGGTGAGATGAGATCCAGACGAACGAGATCGAGAAGAAAAGCGACGCATGGTAAGCTGAGGGAGCGGCGGTCACGGTCGAACAATCTGTCTTCATTAGCATACTTATATGTCGTCTCCAGCCACGGCCTTCTTCCAAAGTCCAGAACTCTGACATCGGAAAAGAGTTATACACCGCATGCAATGTAAGTCACCCCAGTGGAGGTACGGTGGAACCACATTGCTCCGGTGTCCCGGAGCCAACTTTATCAGGAACCTACGCAGTTGAGCGGCAGAGGCTCTCGCCCACGTCGAGATGGGAAGAGTCACTAAAAGTGGTATCATGAAGTGCGACACGGGGCTTGTAGGCCGTGATACCGATGGGTATGCGCTTCGAATTCCTGGGACGCTCGTCCGTCATAGGTAGCTCGACAACTTCGTCCACGGCGGCCCTGTCTTCTTACACTCACGCTGTCTTAATTAAACTATGCCATGCACAGGTTAGAACTAACATGTGTTGGATAGAAATAGAACTACTTACATACGAGAACAGAAGGCAGAACCGCTGGTGTTCGAGTCATTGAGCCTTAGGCTGTCGGCAGGGCCGCCTCCTGAGGTGTGGTGCAATGTTCTCGACGCCATCCGGCGGCCCAGTGCTCTTTAACCCGTATGTTGGAACAACCTGCGCCCGGTAGATATAGCGAAGACGTTTCACGGGCAACAACTGCGTCGTGACTGAAGTGGAAGGATACCGAGATGGTGGTGAGAGACGAAGCCATATATTTGCCAAATATGAAAGTAAGGCGCTCAGATTGACGCCGAGAGCGCGACATCGTATTGTCAAGCTCCTTGGACTGATTCCCTCACCAATCATTACATATAGGTTTCTTCTACTCCTCTAGATATCGTACATACATGGCTCGTCAGTTACGCATCAACTTGCCTCACAGCCCTGAACTCCGCCGTAAACTCGTCCACCGCGTCCAGCGTCTCCATCAGGTCCGCATAGCTCACCTGCACGCCCTTCTTCGCAGCCAGCGAGCTCGCCGTGCGCACAGCGTTCTTGATCTGCCGCCCATTTACCTCGCGCTCCGCGAGCTTGTCGAGAAGCGCCTCCCCGAACTGTGCAGGCGCGACGCCGACCTTGCTGAGGAATGCCGCCCATACCTGCTTGCGCGCGTCGCGCGTGAGGTCGTGGAAGTGCAGTGCGACGTGGATGCGTGAGAGGAAGGCCTCGTCGAATGCCTTGACACGGTTCGTCGTCATGAAGAGGATGCCGTGGTAGTACTCGACGTGGCGCAAGCTGCGATGTTAGGTAAGCGCAGCTCGAGACGCGGATTCGAAGAGTAGACTCACAAGACTGCGACCATCGCGTTCCGCTCCATGTCGTGCAGCGACCTCTGCTCGAGGAAGACGTCCGCCTACCGAACCGAATCAGCCCATGCGCGCACTATAATATAGATATATACGGACCTCGTCAATGAGGACGATCGCTCTCCAGCTCGTCGCAATATCAAACACCCTGTTCAGCGCCTGATCCAACTCGATGGCGCTTGTGCCAAGATCCCCAGCGCCGACGACGTACAGCGGCTGTCGGACATGCTCGCTCGTAGCCTCTGCCGACAGGGTCTTTCCGACACCCGGAGGCCCGAACAAGTTGATAACGAGTCCGCGGCCCTTGTTGGCCACGAAGTCGTCGAAGCTCAAGTCTCCGTTGTGTGCCTCGACGAGCGACTGGAGCAGGATCTTGCGGTCCGCGGGGAGGACGAGGTTCGCGAACGCCTCATCATTCCAAACAATTGGCTGGACGTGCTGGATGTTAAACTCGACTACGTGGATGGTTAGCATGAAGCAACATGATGTAGCGTCACTGTCACTTACGCCAGGTCTTGTCGGTCAAACTGAAGCCGTACACGGAAGGAGGAGTGAGCATCAATTCGTCCTCTGTCAGCTCATCAACATCACGCGTCGCGCGCGCCCGGACCTGGAAGGTTGGCACGGTGCTGTCTGCAAACCAAACTATCAATTCAAAAGGACCTCCAACCTGCCGATGGAACATACTAGGGTTGTAAGGAATTGGCGGCGGACTCGGAGGGTAGTTTCCGTATTGATCGGGCACGTTCGGAGGCGGCGCATTGTCGACCTTCACCATGGGCATCTCGTAGTTCGGGTTCAGGCGACGGAAATTCCCTGACCATGGTATTAGAACCCGCCACAACACAACGATAACGGAAAGCATACCTTTGTCTATCATGATGCGCGACTTCACCTGGAAAGCGTGTTCGTCAGTGGCTAGCCAAATACGCATCTAAGGACCACTTACTCTATACTTGATCGTGGACTTTGTCCCGCCCATGCTAAGAGTATACCCCGCAGGTCCGTCGTACTGCATGTGGTGGATCCCCCTGAGCTCAAGCCACTTCTTCCCCCGCGCGATAAGAGACATCTCGAGCCGCCCAGCGTCGGGGTGGTAGATAATCGGGTAGACATCCAGAGAGCTGATCTTCATCGTTCCCTTGAAGTGCGAGACGAAGATGCGGTTCTGCACGCGCCCAAACGACTTCCCGGCAGCCCGCTGCATCTCCGCATCTTCGGGGTTCATCCCTGGGGGAGTCGGTATATAGGGCATGAATCCACCGTTCGGGCCCGCAGCAGGGTTGAAACTCGCGGCGCCGTATGCACCGTAGGAGCCGCTCTCGTTCGCGTCGTCGAACGCGTCGACGCTCTCGCAGATGAGGTCGTACATACCCCCTACGATTGTGGACTTGATCTTGGACGCGGAGACGATCTGGAAGGCGCGCGGCTCGCCCGTGGTCGGGCACTCCGACACGACGATCGAGCGCGGGACGAATAGGGCGAAAAGCGTGTCGAAGGTTATCTCGCCGTGCGCGGTTAGGTTAGCGACCTTCGCGATCGTGCCCTTGTAGTCCGTGCGCAGGTAGTCGATCAGGACGTCGACAGTCTTCATGACGGTCGTCTCTTCGGAGGTACGGTTGCTCTTCGCACGCAAGCCGTCCCGGTACTGCTCAAACTGCGGAAGAAACGCGAGGAGCAAGTGTGGATCCAGCTTATAACAAAGCGATTAGCTCAGTCTAAATGTCCTCCAAGTCAGGGAGGTCACCGTACCTCTAACGGCTCAGCAGTCCAGGACACGCCCTGCACCTTCTGGATGACGTCCTTGCAAGCCTTGAGCAGGTACGGGCTCTTCACTACGACCTGGTAGGTAGGTTCACCGCCGTCGTCGCTCGGTTTAGGGAGCTTCCGCACGACCACAAAGCAGTAGCTCTGCCATGGATCGTTGCCGTCGCGCGCACCGTTGCCCACAGTGATGAGTGCCTCGGGGTTGAAGCTAGATCCCGTGTTGCGGAACTTCCACGCCTTCGACCATGAGCTGTAATAATTGTCGACGCGCTTGATCTTGAAGTTCGCAGGAGGGGGTGGGGCGTCTGCGGGTGCGCTTACGAGCGCGGCGGTGGACTGCTCGTCATCCTCGGTGTCTTCATAGATGATTGGCTCGCCCTGCCGATTGAAGCGCTGGGGAGGGTTGAACACATGGGAACCCCACTTTTCGGATGCAGCATCTGCAGAATGAGACGACGACGATCGAGACCGAGAAAGAAAGCGGCGCATGGTGAGATGAGAGTGCGGAAGATGGCACGTTGTTGTCGCAAACCTTCAGAATCATACTTATATACCGATCCCCTCAGCTCAGGCCCCGTTCCCAGCTCGATGACTCTGGGCGATCGGCGGAACGAAAGCTACCGCACGCAGTGCAAGGTTGTCCCAGTGGGGGTACGGTGGAACCACAGAACTCCGATGGCCCGGACCCGACGTTATCGGTAGGCCACGTAGCCAAGTTCAAGGTGCACAGAAGGTCTACTTAGCCTATTTGCAATCGAGAGGAGAGTGAGTGCATATCATGGGGTGCAGCACGAGGCTTGGAGGCGGTGGCATCGCCGGGGACGTGCTTCGAATTCCTGGGACGCTCACTGATCCTGAGTGCTGCGGCACCTGCACCAACTTCTTATTTCACCCACGCCTGCTCAATCAGGCGATGCAAATGCAATGAGCATACAATGCAAGTCATCTTTGGATGAAAAAGTGACTCACGTACGAGGACAAAGGAGAGCCGTAATGGTCGTACCGCCGCACTTCGCATGCTGTGACAGTGCCCCCGATACCATACGGCCACTTATTGCTCGACATGTTGGTATTGTACGGACCATATACCTGCCCGGTGGTTTCACCAGGCAACCACGACGTCGCAGCTAAGATGAGAGTATTCCTAGATGGTGGTGAGGGACAGAGTGTCGTGGGAAGAAGACTCCGTTAGAGTTGGTGGGCGTTAAAAATTGCCACTGCCATGTAGTCACGCAATGGCATGTAGCGACAGGCTCGACGTCTCCTTCAACGTTGTCCTAAGTCAAGATATGATCGCGCGCCGACAAAGAATGGGTGGAAATGTTCGATGGTACATATACAACATATTTCCGCGCGGGCAATGATAGAGGTTTGATGTGGAGCTCGTCAGAACTCGTACCAATGCAGAGCCCGATAGCAGTGCAAAACAGAGTGCGAACCTACACCACTGATACTACCAATACCACCAGAAGAGCACCGAGAAGGGTAGACCAGACGTGAGACGTGATCTTCAACTCGCTGCTCGGACGAGCCGCACCAGTGATGTTCGTAGTACTGCCGGCGGAAGTAGGTACCGAAGGCGCTGTGGTGGATTCCGATGCAGTCGTAGAAGCCGCCTGAGGGAGCTGTCCGGGGGTGGTAGTGGAAGCAGACGCCACCGGGGCACTAGCAGCTGAGCCCGACGTTGCCACCGAAGCGGAGTTGTCTGCGCTTCCACTCCTGCGAGAAGCTCGTTAGCCATATATCTCAGGTTATCATTATCACCCTTCGACGCACGGGCAAAACGTTAAGGTGTAGTCCGCATTCAGTCCAGAGTCGCATGTCCAGAGCGCTGTGTTGCTGGACTCATCGAAGGCGTACGCGTACGCGTTCGGGCAGTTCCCCTCTATCATCGACGTTAACGGCGTACATAGTTCTAGAATCGCAGACTCACTGAAGTAGCCGTAGTACTGCACTCCTGAAGAAGGGCAGGTGGCAGCGGTGTCATGACTGCCTGAACAACAGTTTGCAGAGTCGGCTGATCAGGGCATTATGAATGAGCTTCACGTTATCAAGAGTGAGAATTAAATCTGCGCACTCGGGTCTCCATCCAGATTCGCTGCGCAAGCGCTCTTGCATCCCACGGGGAAACCGGTTGAGTCGAACGGGCCCTGTATCGGTGCGGGACCTGCGTACACATATGAGGCGCGTGCGATACACAAGCGCCGGCATACTCACAATTGGGTCCAAGGTCGACTGGACAGTCGGCGACCGGGCAATTCGCGGAGTTGGTGACAGCCATAGGAAGGTTGTATCCGTCGACAAGAGATACTGCGGCATGTAAGTCAGCGAATGTGGTGTGTCACGTCTGCGAGGTTGCGTTACCGTCGTAGAAATCGCGATTACCATCACCCTGGAGCGTCCATTCTGCGACGGTCGCGGGAGGCACACCCTAGGGAGACCTTGTCAGTATATACAGGATCTCGATTTGCCAACGATACGTACAGTTCCCGTGGCGGGATCGCAAAGCAGTCCGCCATTACACCACCCGTCGAGACAGGTGGGGCCAGTCGTGATCGTGAAGTCGCAGTCTCTCCTACCCTGAGAGCAAAGGTATCAGCCTTTTGAAAGAAGACACGTCTGATTTGGAGGCGTACCCATATTCTCCCGGCTTTCCAGTTATCGGGGACGGCGAACGTGACGGAATTCGTGGGCGGCGCTTCCCATCTAGTAAATCCTCGACATCAGTGAACGTTCAGTGATAAAGAATGTTGACATACCCAGTTGGAAAGTTGGGCACAGCTGTGCCAGCACTGAGGTCCGTGAACATCTATACAGACGTGTTAGTGGCGCCTTGAAACCTAGGAGCAGGGCTCGACAGCTTACTGCTGGCCTATGGAACAAATCGTGAGTGACAATCGGCACATCAAATCCGAACACGTACCATATCGTGAAAGGACATGAGTTCGTCACAGTAAAGGTGCGCGCAAGCGCGAGCGCAGGCAGTTGCGCAAGTACCCACGCGTTGAATAACCCTGTCACAAGCTGCAGTGTCGTCATTGCAGTCATGGGTATCGTCGGATATGGTACCGCGTCGGTGGTCGTGGTGGTTGAGAGACAAGGTATGTTCGTGCCCCGGCCGCCCTGCTGTCCTGCTCGAGCACAGCTTCAACGAAGAACCTAATAAGTGGCGCGGTACACGTTTGGTTCCGACACGAGAGTTCTGACCCTTTGCGTCGTGCGCAGCCGGCTGGGCGCCACGAAGCCACGCCTTTCTTGGAGTCATTCTTGGAGCAGACGCCCAAAATTGGAACGCCTCGAGGCCGGCACAGCTTCGCCACCCCTCGGCGTCCAAGACACTCTGGAACGAAAAAAGCGTCCGCAGAATGACACGTATGCTGAGCTAGAGGTGAAAATTGTGCGGGCGGTTATTTAAGGCAGGATGAAAGTGTTGCTTCATTTCCGTCGAACACAAAATCGCAACCAAAACATGAAGAATAAACCTGCTGCGATGCAAAGTAAGACCACCTGCCGGAGACCGAAGGACGAGCTCTCGTGTTCAACCTGGAGAAAGAAAGTTCAATAACTGCAGCGTTGAAGGCAAATAAAACGTGCATACCACAGACGAGAATGGCGACAAGATCGGGATGGTGAAGTGCATCGGGCCCGACCAGCGTGACGTGCGCGCCGGAGGTACCAACAGCCGATACAGCAGCAAGATCAACGCAGGGATGACAAGGCCACCGATTATGATCAACATCGTGCGCTGCAGCCGTGCGTGAGCACACACAGAACAGGGGGGTGTAGAGACCGAGCTCGGCGCACCATGATCTGCCTGTGTAGTGCATACTCGGCAGCATACTTGGCATTCATCTGCGCAAACATATGCTGCGAGATCCATTCGGGGTTAGGGAGGCACAATGCAAAATCTAGATACCGCATACGCACCACACATTGTTCCTCGATGCTCGCCGAGAACGCTGAGAGCTCTTCTTTGCAGAAGCGCTGCACATCCGCCGCCGTGTCCCTTTCGGCGGTGCGCACAGCTTCACCCACCTGCTCCATTATGGGGGATGCTATCGCAGCCGGCCCAGCGTCGTTGCCACCGATCGGTGGAAGCTCGATCGAACGGTCTATTTCCTCGGCGCGTGTCATGCATTCGGCTTGGTTGCTGCCGCACTCATACTTTGTTGGCACACGTACGTCGCTGTCAAACTCGGTAGGTCTAACATGCTCCACGTTGAACACCACTACCTCGCACATGTCAGAAGCGAAGTGGAGATTATGTGAAATCAAGTACATACACCATCGTTGGTCGGATACGCTGAAGCCGTACAGGATGGGGGGAGCGAGGACCAAGGTTTCTGGGTAGCTCGACGGGTCGTACAGCTTTTTCGCGTTGTCGAGCTTAACAAGGGCCGCGTTGCATTCCGAGTTGAGCCGAAAGAAGTTCCCTTAGTGTCTTGTCAGTACGAGCGCACGAGCATGATTCACGGTGCAAGGGCTCACCTCGATCGAGCAGGACGAAAGATTTCACCTATAACCACCGTCAGCCGCCGCATGCCCGACTCATAGAACTTGACTTACATCATACTGCACCGACGTCTTGCACCCGCCAACAGAGACGGTGCACACTGCAGGGCCGCTGTACCGGACATGACGGATGCCCTGCAGCGCAAGCCATTTTCTGCCGCGCTCGGCGAGCGAGGTCTCGAGCTTCCCCGCATCGGGATGGTACGTGAGCGGATACACATCCAAAGAGCATATCTGCACCGCGCCTCGGAAGTGGGGCACGAGTATGTGGCGTTGTACTCGCCGCAAGCTCAGCAGTCCAGATGAAGCACCACCCTGCGCAGAGTGTGCGCCAGTGGAACAGCTGCCGTTGGGATTGGTGGAACACCGCACGCTGCAACAAGCGCAATGTGCGGTATCGTCCGCCACGTCGACGCTCTCGCAGACAAGATCGTACACCTCAGCCGATGGTGTACATACCTTCGTTGCGGACTTGAGCTCGTACGCACACCGCTCTCCAGTGTCTGCGCATCTGGCGGTGACGAAGGTACCGGGAACGAAGATGGCGAAGAGGGTGTCGAATGTTATCTCGCCTTTGGAAGTGAGGTAGGCGACTTGCGCCAGCGTACCGCTGTGCTCCGCCCGCAGGTAGCTGGTAAGAGCCCTCACCGCCTTGCAGGTGGGGTCGTGCTCCGGGTGTGGGGTGTTCACCCTCAGCGTGTCGAGATACTTCTCCAACCGGGGGAAGCAAGCCAAAAGCAAGCCAAGCTCCACCTGCGATGACGCCTCAGACGCTACTGGTGATATGCAGGATGATTCCTCACCTCCAACGATTCCGTCGCACCGGACGGTTCCGAAGGCACCTGAACGATCTCCCTGCAGACAGCCTGAAGAGATGGGTCGTGTATGACGACCCGCGATGGTTCCGTCGATGCTGCATACCCTGTGTTTGACGGTCTACGAGTGATGGCGAAGCATGGGGAGAATGAGGGAGCAAGGCTCCGGTCGGCCCGGTCTGTCCAGACATGGGTAGGGAACAGGCGCAAGTTACCGGTGGTGGTTATCGGGCTAGGCGGAGGCGTTGGCAGAACGGGCGTGGGCATAGGCTTCATCGATCGCTCGTCGACCGCACACTCAGAGGCGATCGACCCAACTTGCCCGCTGTACTGAGGGGGGCAGTCCACAGGCGAGAGGGAAGGCGCCTTTTCGGAGGACGCCCACTGTGAAGGAAGGGGGGCAGAGCGAGAGCGCGAGAGGAAGCGGCGCATCTTCGAGAGGCTGAGTTGATCAGAGGGAGTGACCGGGTGGAGAATCTCGCGGGAGATGAGAGCGATATATAGGTTCTGGCTCGCGCCCAGCTTGGAGCGCACATGCGAGGGCCATATTGACGTCCCCGGGATCGACCGTAGGCAAGTATGTCAACTGTGCACCGAGGAGAACTGAACCTGCAGATATCGAGGACGATCAGGACATGCGGCGCATCAAGCGCTCTCGCCTCCGATGCAAAGGAGGAGCAGAGAAGACCTCATCCCTCCGGTTCGGCTTGGAGCAATGCGCCGCGGTGTAGACATCCAGGGTCACTCTTCGAAACCCAAGGACCGCCCCATACAAATCGCGGAAGAACTGTAACTTTTTGCATAGTTTCCCATGATACTCTGCCCTGCGTGGTTCCAGAGTTAGCCATGATCGATGAAAGAACAGACGATCTGACCTTCAGAAGAGCAGGATCGAGTGATAAGATGTACGTGCCGCCTGTCGAAGAACGGTTGTAGAGCGCTGGGACCCACAAAGACACAGCCTCAAAGCCACGGTCTGCCACTACGCTCCGATTCCACACCGGAGGAGCTATCAGCAGGTGCAAACGACACGTAAACGCGCCGAAAGTGGAATCACAGTTCTTCGCATGAGCTACGACACGACCGGATATGAATTTGAAGCCCCTCGTCCGTGCACGCCCTCTCCGTTTACGAGAAGGAAACAGCATGTGCATTCAGTATGTGAATCCACGGAACTTACAACCCGACCTTCTCGTCCTCCACAGCCTCTGGGCTCGCCGTCTGCACCGGACCTTCGAAATGGAAACGACCCCAGAAAGCCCAGCATGCACCGACGAGGAGTATGACAGCGCCGATTGCTACGATTGCGTAGTTCATGTTCAGCGCGTCCGTCGGGTGGGCAGTAGGCAAAATGAACAGAACGCAAATGAACACCGTGAACTAGCGAAGATATGCGTTAGTTGAGGGAGATAAGCACAGACGATGCACGTACTAGGAAGCTAGCGAAGTTGATACTCCAGGACCAGCGTCCGAGTGAGAAGGGTCCGTGGACTGGCAATCTATTACACGATCAGGCGGTCAGGTTTCTGAAACAGCATAGGGATACATCTACTGACGAAGTACTGGGCCAGAAGACCCGAATGATAATCGGTTGCAGATAACTCAACATCACGGCGATAGCGGCGGAGGAGAGGATAGCGTTGAACTATAGCGTTGCACCTTAGCGAAGACGTCGGTGTTAGTTGTAAAATCACGCACCGCCACGGCAGAGCCAATATATGCGCATGAAATGACGCATCCGACCAGCACCGACGTCCACACACCCCAATAAGGCGCCTGGTACCTGTTCAAAGACATATACCGCCCCTTCATTGGGAACGCATTGTCCCTAGCAAGGGCGTAGAACAACCGCGAGCTCGCAGTGAATGCTGTCACCGCTGCCATGAATTGAGCGAGCGCGACCACCGTCAGGCACATGAGCGTCAACCGCGGTCCGACCGCGTCGTAGTACAACTGCGCGATGGGGATCGCGAAGGATGTGGCTTGTACGCTTGCGATGCTCTGCACGGAGAAGAGGAGGGCAAGCATGTAAGCGAGACCTATGATCCAAGAGCCAACGATGCTCCCGACGACTGCGAGTGGGGCGAGAATCTCCGCCCGTTTGGCCTCCTCGGCGACTTGTGCGGCTGTCTCGCAGCCTTCCAGTGTGTAGACGGCCTAAAGAGGATGTTTAGCAATCAAAGCGAACGAAATGGAAGGTATTCCGACCTGAAGAAACCCAAGAAGAACTACAAAGCCGCGGCTCTGCCAGCCTGTAAAGCTAAACAACGGTGAGCTAGGAAAACATGTTAGGTAGGTCAGTATGTACTTCTCGTAGTCCGTGAAAACGAATGCTGCGCTATTCTGCAGACGCAGAGGTCAGAGATGTAGTTGGCGTTGAGGCAGATGTTGATTATCGAACAACGCACCTTGACAGGCGCCTTCACAAGCAGTGTGATGACTAGCACTAGTGTCCCGCCGAGGGTCCACCATAGATTGAAAGTACTCATGCTTCCTATGGCTTTCGTGCCTATGGTGTTGATGATGCCAGACGCTATGTTCACTCCCCATGCAATAGCGGTCACCTCAACTCTGGTAAGAGTTCGCCCTTGACCGACTTCCGCAAGAGAGGCCAAGTATAGAGCAACACTAGCACATTTCAGCAACAGTGCTCAGTGGCACGCCTAACACCAGACATACCTGAGATTCCCGGACGTCCCGGTGAATGTCATGGCGATGCTGTAGATCCATCCCGTCTAAAATGGATGTTAGAAAAAGTAGCGCATATAGTCCGGCATAAACGTACGCAAACTGTGGTCCGCTCAGCGTCTTTCAGCAAGGTGAGATTGATTGAACTCACAACCGAGCATCGGCACCTCGGGCTTCATTTTGCAAACCCAAAAGTATAAACCGCCCATCGTCGGGCTGATGTACGTTGTTAATGCCGGACTAACATATAGAGAACAAACATACTATGCACTGCAGATCTCCGCCAGTGACAACGCAATTAGCAGCATGAAGAAACTGCAGATCTTCGGCAAGCGTATCAGAATCGGCAGGTCAAAACGCATGCTATATGAACAGACGTACATTCCATCCCCAGAACAGCCCGAGAGGTCCCCCGGAGAAAAGTCCAGTCTGGAATGCGCTGCTCATTCCTGTGAGGATGCCAATCGCGCAGAAAGAGATCCCAAGAACGCCGAAGAGAGACATGTCCCGTCGGAACTCGCTCTTGTAGCCTAGCTCTTGAAGCCGCTGATCAGACTCCGAAATAGCAGCATCTGGCCTTCCCGGCGAGAGGTAGGATCTGTCGACGCTCTCGACATCCGTCACAGTTGGACTCTTCATGGTAGACGGTAGAGAACGGAGCGAGGGCGGTCAGTCTGATGGGATACAGACCTCGAGTATTTATCTCCCGCGCAGCCAGATAGCTCCCAGCGTTGGGCCACATGATAGTGAAAGTCCAACAAGGGCTATCAGACTACTCGCGGTTCCGAGGTAAGATCAGGACAGGCAAAATATTCTCAACGATAGAGGAGTAACATGTCTGATAAGCACAGTAGATGGAATCAAGGGGTCACCGCAAGCCATGAGAGAGCATGATGATATGGACAACGTTGGAGGCTGGTAGTGGATCGCAGTCAAGACGCGATCGCGAACGAGCGCTGGACGCGTCGACGTCGCGTCTTGCTGTTGCGCTGCCACAGTTTGCCCTCTTCCAGATACGACATCCTGCCTTTCTTGCAAGTTCTACTGGCTTTACCCTCGGGACCGCGCCGTGAAAGCCACGACATTTTTACTGGTTCCTGGTGCTCTGTCTAGAAGACCCGCTCGAGGTTAAGCTCGTATAGGGCCGGGTCAGGACGCCATCCAATTTCGCGAACTCCCCCATCTACACGTATCACCATGGACGACAACTACAAGGCATCGAAGGAGGCCTTTGTGTCAGGAATGACGGGGTCGAGCATTGGGCATATCAATATGGTCTCGCTGGCAGCACTGGTGAGTAACGGCAGTAGCATGTCTCCCAGACCTCGGCTGATGGCGACCAGATATCCATCGCATTACATTCAGCGTTTAGGACGCGTCTTCCACCCAGCCGATCATTTCAGTTCCTGGGAGAAGTTTTATTTCTTGTTATACCCCTCATCGTGTCCGTGACGATCTCAGCAAATGCTCCGGGGTTACTATGCCTCGCTTTGCTGGTTCCAACCATCTTGCTTCTCCTACTACCTCGACGGGAATCTGGAACGTACCTTCCTTCTGCCCTCACGCACAGCAGAGCCTCTTCGCGTGAATCCAGCGCGTTGAGAGACGGACATTCGTTCGGCACCCTCACCATACCTCCACTCCCCGCCCTGACGACCTATCGCTCTCATTTGTTGCTGCTGACTTTCATCTGCATCCTCGCGGTCGATTTCCCAGTCTTCCCGCGGTTCTTGGCGAAGTGCGAGACGTATGGGGTATCCATGGTGAGCTCCTCCCTGATATGCATAAGAGTCGCGCTAAGCGTAAGCAGATGGACCTCGGTGTGGGCTCCTTCGTGTTCGCTCAGGGCATTGTTTCGGCTATTCCTCTTGTGAAGAACCCGGAACATCTTACCCAACCCCTCCTTCCTAAACTTGCTGGTATCATGCGGAAGTGCTCGCCGGTCCTCTTGCTAGGCTTGCTCCGAACGATTTCAGTCAAAGGCACCGAATACCCAGTGAGTAATGCCCCCTGGTGACGTGTAAAGTGCATTGTCAATATGGCTCAGGAACACGTTACAGAATACGGAGTACACTGGAACTTTTTCATAACACTTGGTTTGATACCGGTTTTGCAAGCCCTTCTGCACCCGGTGATGGTACATGTGCCCATATCGTTTTTAGGCGTCGTTGTAGCAATATGTATGTGTGAACCTACATGCAAGGATCGCTTTACAAGCTAACGTGACCCAGCACACCAGCTTGCCCTCTCCCTGGGAGGCATGCAAGATTTCGTTCTGGACGCTCCTCGCATTGGCGTTATTTCTGCTAATAAGGAGGGCATCGTCTCCTTGATCGGTAGGTCTTCGCTGAGGAGCGGAAAGCCCTGTTGTTAATCTGCGTAACAGGCAACCTTGGTATCCACCTACTCGGCCTATCCACGGGCACGATGGTCCTGGCACCGACGCCCTCATATTTCCGGCGGCGCCAGCAGCAATTGGCTCGTCAAGACGCCGCACCGATACGGCCGCGTACTCCAAGCACCGACTCAGACTCGGACGATGACGCTTCTTCCGCACACGTTCCTGCTCCTGCAAACGAGCCTCGACGGGAGAATGACAAGACTGCAACAGAACTATGTGGATACGCGGTCCTCTGGTGGGTAGCGCTGGCGTTCCTGAAGCTCTTCGGCATCGGCGGGGGCGTCTCGCGCCGCCTCGTGAACTTGCAGTACATCACCTGGGTTACTGCGTACAACACCACATTCCTCCTTGGTTATCTGGTGCTGGACCTGTTCTTCTTCCCATCGCCCATGTCGAAGTCGGTATACTCTCCGACGTCAAAGTTGAAGGTCCATCCGGATCCAGACGTGCTGAAGGCCACACGGCATATGCGCGGTCGCGAGCTGAGCGGAGGTAGCGCGCCCGCGCTACTGGAGGCGGTGAACAAGAACGGGCTCGTCCTGTTCCTCCTCGTACGTATCCTCTTCAACCTTGCAGGTGAGGTATATGCTCACAACCTATACGCAGGCGAATGTCGCAACGGGCCTCATCAACCTCTCAATGCCGACAATGTACATGTCGGACCTGTCCGCAATGCTCGTACTCTCATTATATGGGCTCGGCATCTCCGCAATTGCTTGGTCGTGCCGACACAGGCGGCTCTGGCGTTTCTGAAGATGTCCACTGCTCTCTGCTATACACACCTCCGCATATAGTCACGTTTCTGCCCGCTAATCGTACAACATCGCGTATTCGGTCGTCGTATCAGCCTCGCATAGCCGTAAACTGCGTGACGAACTCCTCCATCGCGTCCAAGGCCTCCACCAGGTGCCCGTACTGCATCTCCACTCCCCGGCTCCTGGCGAGCGACGTCGCCGTGCGGCACGCGTTCTTGATCTGGCGCCCGTTCACGTTTCGTTCGGCGAGCTTCTCAACGAGCTCTTCCGGGATTCGCCCTTCCCCCACGCCGGCTTTCTTGAGGAACGCGCGCCAGATTTGGATCTTCGTCGGGGTGCCGAGCTCGGTGTAGTGCAGCGCGACGTGTATACGCGACAGGAAGGCTTCGTCGAAGGTGGAGATGCGGTTCGTGGTGAGGAAGAGGATACCCCGGTAGTACTCAATGTGGCGCAGACTGTCTTGAATTTCAGCATGTGCAATCACAAACCGGAACAGGGCGACCTACAATACCGCAACCATAGCGTTTCGCTGTAGGTTCTGCAACGAGCGCTGCTCCAGGAAGACGTCCGCCTTGTGGAGATCATGATCATTATTTGGTACGTTGGCTCTGATGCGTACTGCTAATCGTTACTCACCTCATCGATCAGTACGATGGCATTCCAGCACGTTGCGACGTCAAACACTTGTCCGAGGGTGGTGTCTAAGGCAGAAGGGCTCGTCCCGAGATCACCGCTTCCCACTACATACAGCGGGTGCCTGATGTGCTCGCTCGTCGCCTCAGCCGAGAGCGTCTTGCCCACTCCCGGGGGTCCGAAAAGGTTGATGACGAGCCCCTGTCCCTTACCGCGCACGAAGTCGTCAAAGCCAGAGTCGGCGTCGTGCGCCTCGACGAGCGAGCGTAACAGCGTTTTGCGGTCCGCTGGGAGTACGAGGCCCTCGAACGTCTCTTTGTTCCACTCGATCGGCGAGACCTTCTCGACGTTGAATCTGACTGGTATCCAGGCATGTCAGCGGGAGGAGAGACGCCGCCAAGCAGTAGCTACTCACGCCAAATCTTGTCGGACAGACTGAAGCCGTACAGCAGGGGCGTCGCCAGGAGAAGCATCTCGTCGCTCGGAATGAGGACCGATGCATGCTCGCCCTCTGCACCGTTTCGGTACTCTGCCCCTCCCTATCAGTTTGATGCTCATGGTGGTGTAGTTCAGGGCATTCTACGCACCGTCTAGCGCGGATTGCTCGCTGCGTACACTCGGGCTCGGAGTAGGCACTCCGAGATTAGGGTTCACTCGCATGAAATTGCCTGCCATGCACAGGTGAGTGGTTTACAAACGAACGTGCGTCAAGAGAGCACACCTCGGTCGATCATAATGCGCGAGTTCACCTACAAATTCTATCAGACCCAAGATGCCATGTCCCGCGATCCACTCACACTGTATCTGTTGTGCATCTCGTCAGTCCCCAGCCCCCTGTATGCAACGTGGTGTATCCCGCTGAGGACCGCCCATTTACGCCCACGTCGGATGAGCCTGGCTCTGATAGCATCGGGGTCCGGGTGATACTGAATAGGGAATGCGGAAAGGGTGCTGATTTTTCTCGTGCCCTTGAACTCGTGTATGTTCAGCCAGGTTTGATCCAGTCCGAAGGACAAGGTACTGTCTCGCTCGATGTCTGCGTCTCCGTCGTCATCGTCATCATCGTCATCGTCCGCGGATGCAGCCTCCACACCGTGGCAACACAGAGAGTAGAAGGGACCACGGGGCGACATTTCCAGCGTGGCGGAGAGCAGCTTCAGCGCCCGGGGCTCCCCCGTCTTCGTGCAACGGGTGATAAAGACGGTACGCGGGATCAGAACGGCATAGAGGAGGCTGAAGGTGATCTCGCCGTGGGAGGTGAGGTTGCTGATCTGGGCCAGAGTACTTTGGTAGTTCTTCTTCAAGTACGCAACAAGCGTGCGGATGGTCGTTATGGTATTGGCGCTGTCCTCGCTATCGGGGCCTGTGCTGAGCTTTCCTTCGTACTCCTCGAGCTGGGGCAGGAACTTCAACAGCAGCTCAGGGCTGAGCTGGGGTACATCAGGTAAGCCAATTTGCCTCCGCAATAAAAATGTGCCAACGAACCTCGAGTGGATCGGCGGTCCAGGAGAGGCCAGAGATGTTGCCCATGACATGCTTGCATGCCTGCAGAAGGTGCGCGCTCTTGATTACGATCTTGAACGCAATGACTTCTCCAGGGGCCCTCCGTGCTGGGAACTTCCGCACAATCACGAAGCAATAGTCTTGCCAGTCCCCCGAGCTAACGACGGACCCGAATGGTGTTACGGCTTCCGCGAGGACATCGGAAGTAGTGTCAAGGTATTCCCATATGTGCGACTCCTCGTTGTAGACATAGTCGACGTACTTGATGTCTACGAGATGAGCAGTACCGCTGGAGGGCGATGCGGTATGTACTCCGTTGGGCTGTTGTGGTCCTTTCTGCTCCTTGCGCGAGGAGTCGGATGAGCCAAAGAAACGACGGAGGTACTCAGTGAGCTTGGCCATGAAGGGAAGAGCTACGGGAGGACCGTGGGGATATACGGCGGGGACCAAGTTGAATGCAAGCTAAGGTTACCGTCCGAGAGCCTGGCCAAGACGTACTCGGGGCGTGGTGGCTCAGAAGCCCACAATTCCGGCGCCGGCGGTCATCTGCATTGTATCGCGAAGGCTGCGGTCTGACCTATAACGCCCAGGTGTTATTGATGAGAAGCTTTCGTGGATGAAATTAGCATACTAAATACTCCCATCACGAAGTATGCTTTAAATAGTGTGGCAAGGGATACTTCCTAGGACTCGGAGACTGTACACTGGCGTTTCTGGCGGTGTCTGAGGCGGTGAGGTTGGGCGCTTGGTATTCAATACAGGACCATTATACAGTCCCACACACGGTTAATGAAGAGTATACGTAGGAATGGATAAAAACCTTGTGTTTACGTGATCCAACGACGCAGGCTCATCTCAGTGAGAGACCCAAGCGCAACTGCATTCCACACGGATCGTACCCAGGACCCTTATACTAGTAGTACAACATCCAAGTTCGCGCAGATGGTCGGCTGTCACTGCGCCTCGAGAGTACAATCTTTGACGAAACCGGCAATGGTCTTTAATATACGACCAGCTAGTGTGAATAATATGTTACCGGTATGTTTTGAAAGGAATCGCGAGTCGAAACTGCCCGCAAACGTTGTCGCAGCACCGCCACCCTCCCGTTAAACGCATTTCTGATTTTGATTCTGCTGTGTTGACACACACACACCGCCCGGGGGAGAGGAAACATGATGCTCACAACGAAGAAGCCATGGGAGCGACCAATATACGAGGAGGAACAGGACGAGCCCGTTCTTGTTCACCGCCTCTAGTGGGGGCGCGCTCGCTTAGCTCGCGACCGCGCATATGCCGCGTGGCCTTCAGTACGTCCTGGTCCGAATGGACTTTGAGCTTCGATGTCGGAGAACATGCCGAATGATGCGGAATGGGGTGCTGAGAAAGACACTGACGAGACTGGAGTCGGCAGTGGCGTCACCTCTTCCAAGAACGTGAGCATCGACCCTCGGATCAAGTATACCCTCGAACAAATTTGGCCTGATGGTTTGGCCTGATGGATTTGTGGCTAACCTCGCAGAAAGGGATACACACAGCAAGTAGTGTTGGAGCAAGCGAGAAATCGGGTCGTGAAAGTGAGATGATTCCGGTTGTCCTGTACAGTAGCGTCGTGGTACAGAGGCAAACGGACAGGGTACACAAAACGCCTCGCGCGCGATTGAACGCCTCGGCAAGTACCGGCGAGCAGGCGCTCGCTCGCTCAGAACCACAATCCAACAAGTAAGGTCCAGCCTCGTCGGCTGTAGGGCATCGCGGGCGTGGCGTACGACGATGGCTTACCAGGTAGATAGCGTTTTGAAAGGTCTTCGCTGCTCTCCGCTATACACACCCGCATATAGTCACGTTTCGCCCAAGAAATCGTACAAGATTGCCCATTTGGTCATCGTATCAGCGTCGCATAGCCGTAAATTGCTTGACGAACTCCTCCATCGCGTCCAAGGCCTCCACCAGGTGCCCGTACTGCATCTCCACACCCCGGCTCCTGGCCAGCGACGTCGCCGTGCGGCACGCGTTCTTGATCTGGCGCCCGTTCACGTTTCTCTCGGCGAGCTTCTCGACGAGCTCGTCCGAGATCCGTCCTTCTGCTACACCGGCTTTCTTGAGGAACGAGTACCAGATTTGGATCTTCGTCGTGGTACTGAGTTCTGTGTAGTGCAGCGCAACGTGTATGCGGGAGAGGAATGCTTCGTCGAAGGTGGAGATGCGGTTCGTGGTGAGGAAGAGGATACCCCGGTAGTACTCGATGTGGCGCAGACTATCATGAAATTTAGTATGTTCAGAGACAGACGGGATTTGGGAGACGCACAACACGGCAACCATGGCGTTTCGTTCCAAATTATGCAACGATCGCTGCTCCAAGAATACGTCCGCCTAGTAGAGGTTCCGAGCATCGTTCAGTGCGTTGAAGCCGATGAATACAGCCAGCTGTCACTCACTTCATCGATGAGCACTATAGCATTCCAGCACGTTGCGACATCAAACACCTGTCCGAGGATGGCGTCCAGGGCGGAAGGGTTTGTCCCCAGATCACCGCTCCCCACCACATACAGCGGGTGCTTGATGTGCTCGCTCGTCGCCTCAGCCGAGAGCGTCTTGCCCACTCCCGGGGGTCCGAAAAGGTTGATGACGAGCCCTTGACCCTTGCCGCGCACGAAGTCATCGAAGCCAGAATCGGCGTCGTGCGCCTCGACGAGCGAGCGTAGCAGCGTTTTGCGGTCCGCTGGGAGTACGAGTCCCTCGAACGTCTCTTTGTTCCACTCGATCGACGAGATCTTCTCTACATTAAATCTCACTGATAGCCTAGAACGTCAGCGGCCTGAGAAAACACTATCGAGCCTACGTTACTCACGCCAAATCTTGTCGGACAAGCTGAAGCCGTAGAGAACGGGCGTCGCTAAGAGAAGCATGTCGTCGCTCGGGATGAGGCTCGATATATGCGCGCCTTCTTTTCTATTTTGATACTCTGCGCGCCCTGATGAGTACGTATCAAACCAACGGCGATTGGTACCTAACATACCATCGAGCGCGGATTGCTCGCAGGCCACATCTGAGTTTGGCTCAAACACTCGGTTATTGGGGTTGACTCGCATGAAGTTGCCTGCCATGTAGCGGTGAGTTGACTATACACCGATGTTGAACTTGAAAAAAAGCACCTCGGTCAATCATAATGCGCGAGTTGACCTGTCACCGGCGGGTCCTGTCAGACTAAGCTATGTATATAACGTCATGTCGCGCGGTCAACTCACGCTGTACTTGCTGCCCATTTCGTCAGTCGCAAGTCCTCTGTATGCGACGTGGTGTATCCCGTTGAGGACTGCCCATTTGCGCCCGCGCCGAACGAGTCTGGCTCTGATTGCCTCGGCATCGGAGTGGTATTCGATGGGGAATGCGACAAGGGTGTTGATCCGCCTGGTGCCCTTGAACTTAGCTATGTTAAGACAGATTTGATATAGCCCAAAGGACGGAGTGGCATTGGCTAGCTCGTCTGCGGCGCCTGCGTTGTCGCCCCTGTCGTCGTCCGCGGATGCGCCTTCAACGCCTTGACAGTACAAAGTGTAGCAAGTACCGCTCCATGTGGCGGAGAGCAGCTTCAGCGCCCGCGGCTCGCCGGTCTCCGTGCAGCGCGTGATGACGACCGTGCGGGGGACCAAGATTGCATATAAGAGGTCGAAGGTGATCTCACCGTGCGAGGTGAGGTTGTCGATTTGAGCGAGGGTACTTTGGTAGTTCTTCCTCAAATACGCCACAAGTGTGCGGATAGACGTTATAGTACTGGTGTTGTCTTCGCTAGCGGGGTCTGCACTCAGCGTTGCCTCGTACTTCTCCAGTTGGGGGAGGAAGGTCAGCAGCAATTCAGGGCTGAGCTAGATTACATCGGATAAGTCTAGCGCTACGGCGAGGGAAGATGTGCATGGCATTGTAACGCACCTCAAGGGGATCGGAATTCCAAGAGACGTCAGGGATGTTGCCTAGGACGTGTTCGCACGCCTGCAAGAGGTGTGCGCTCTTGATCACGATCTTGAACACAATGACCTCCCCAGGCATCATCTGCGCTGGAAAATTCCGCACAATTACAAAACAGTAGCCTTGCCAATCTCCCGATCCAACGGCGGGACCGGATGGCATTACGGCCTCTGCGAGGGTGTTTGACTCGGTGTCGACATACGTCCACTCGTGAGAATCTTGATCGTAGACATAGTCGACGTACTTGATGTCGGTGAGACGAGGACTCGGAGAAGTGTCTGGGGAATATGAATCATCTGGTCCGTTAACGGCTTGCGTTTCTGGTGTCTCTGCACCCCGTGAGTCATCGGGTGGAGAACCTGATAGGCTAAAGAGATGACGGAGATATTCTGCGAGCTGAGACATGAAGGAAAGGGTGATGAGGAGATGTGGGGGAATACGAAGGGGGTGAGTCGTACAGTGTGGGCTGAGGAAGCTATTTGAGGGTTTAGTTCAGGGGTACTTGAGGCGTGGTGGTTCAGAAGCATACGGCACCGTCGACAGCGGTCAGTGGCATTGTACTACAAAAGGCCGCCATCTGGCATATAACGCTCAGATGTCATTCATTAGTAGGATTCATGGAATCAGTTGACGTACCAAGTAAGGCCATGTCGACACGTCCCCCAACTTCTATATGTGCATGCATGAAGACACCAGCTTTTATAGTAGAGTAGTTTCAGCGATCGGTGAATGCACACGATATCTCGAAGACTGCACGTTAGAAGAGGGCCAAAAGCAGAGAATTAGTGAATGTGACCTGCCACCGTGTAGCCTTACCTGGGGAAATCTGATGTGTGGCCGCACCTCGTTTGATTACTAGTATTTGGGTCATTGATGTTGCCATATGCATCACCGAAGTTCGCTCAGAAGGCCAGCCGCTGCTGCGCGTCGGGCGTGCGTGCTGAGGCTTGCACCTATGAATCGCGCCGGAAGTCACTTTGGAACGACGTTGACCGCAGTCCGAGCAAATGATGAGCTGACGTTGCTGAAGGTTCGCCGATTGGCCGTGGACGCTACTGAGGCACCAAGCCACTTGCCGGTTAGCTGTGTTTTATGCTTGATTCTGAGCGGACTAAACATGCACCTGAGGTTTGAGCACATAAAAAGTATCATTGGGCTTGACAAACGTGTCGCATAGCCGCTAGTTCTCTGAGTCCTATTGCAAACAGCGATGCCCAATTCTTGAAGGAGTGCGATCCGAGTATATGACACCTGAAACCACTGTGGTGTTTGAGGGCAAGGGCCGGCAGGTCGATATTCATACCCATAAATAGAAGTACGCTGATTTGACAGGGTCCCAGTGAATATATACGCACAATGCCACCGATTCAAAGTCCAGCCATCACGATAACTCGAAGTACACAGGAAGCGACGCCCATAGCCTCTGCCTGACAGCCTCGACCTTGGCGGCGATGGCACGAGCGCAGAGGGCGCATACATGGTATTGCAAGTGTCCATTGGTCGCCACCGGTATCATGTCGTACCAGTCTTCTATCGGCCGCGAGCGGCGCCGAGCGGGCGGCAACAGCAGCGGCAGCATCGTTGACCAAATTTGTGTAGCACCCAAGATGCAGAAGTGAGGCGGGTGCGTCGGAGATGCGGGGAATTCGGGGGTGACAACAGCGAACGAGATGTGAGCCGTCCGAAGGCGTTCGGTTCCTACCACGAGGCGCTCCACGTCCGCCGAGGAGAGTGGCGCAAGATTGAGACCGAGGGAAGGTCCGCCGAACTGCCACGTCGTGCAGCTGAGAGCGTAGAAGAGGGGGTAGAGGAGGTCCGCGTCATCGTAGCCACATTCACGTAGGAGAGAGATCACGCTTGCAGGGTGAACGATGGTATCCTCTTCCGGCGCCACAGGCTCGGGAGGGGGAGCATGCTGAGGAGGCTGTTGGATACCAGGTGGCCTGTTCGCGTTTCCGTATATCCTGCTGAGGCGGTCCCGAAGCTCGCGCTCTTTCGCATCGTGCTGGACGAGGTTCGCGGGCCATTCGGCTCGTATGCGTGCCAAGATATCGTCACACGGACGCCCCACTTTGTACTTGGTTGCCATTCGCAGGATGTTGGACAGGGAGGGAAAGGTCTCGACGGACAATCTCTGGACATCGACTCGCCTATGCGAAGAGAATCGTAAGGGGCATGCCGCACGGCAGTAACTCTGGGCAACTGGTACTCACAGTCCGTCATAGATAACGTTGAGCAGGGCCTCTACCTCCTCCGAAGTCTCTTCCATTTCGAGATGTAGAAGTCCTCGGAACCGCGCATGCGACTCTTCGAACAGGTCGCGGAGCACACTGGAATGCTTGGATAGGAGCGATCTATGGACGCAGAAGAGCATCCTCCCAGCAGTGAGGATGGCATTGCCATCGTCGAAGTAGAGAGTAGCATGGTTGACGAAAGGCTTCTCGTCCTCGTCTTCGTTTTCGGGTGACAGTCGGGGTCGTTTCCGCTCTGGCTGCGATGATGCCGCTTGTGCCATGTCGAGAGATTCGGTCGCAGAGAGTCGAAATGGGGCTGAGCCAAGTAACGGTGAATGCGAGGCTTTAAGTACGCGGATACACGCTGAGAAGCCAGCCTATGAAAGGCACGGACAACACCGATTGTTTGATAGGTTGCAAGCGGCGCACCTAAGGTCCCACTCTCCTCCTGCTTCGAGTGAAAACGAGCTTGGATGGGTTGGAATATCTCGTCCTTGAAGTAGTAATCCGTGAAGTTCGTGTGGGGCATGCGTATGAAAAGGACATCGTGGGAGAGGACAAACCGTGCGGACTACGTCGCCTTTGGACTCTGCTCGCCCGCGCCTCGCCTTCCCTGTGTCGGCGAAAGAGCGGCCTTGGAAGGAGCTGTTCAACGTTCAATGCTCAACTTTTATCTGACTCATTCGCATAAGCACCGCCATGAAGATTGTGAGTACTGAGCCGCATAAGTGAGCAACCGGTCCTAGGGCTTGCCTGATATCTCGTCTTGAGAGATCTCTCACTGGGTGATTGGTCCTACTCCTTTAACCTGGGTATCAATCCCAGCGCAGCATATATAAGGTCTGCCAGTGACCATGTTGTGTTCGTGCAGCTGGGCAGCATGTGAGCACCAAATGCGAAGTTTTATCTCATGAAAATGCGAGCGAGTCGAACACCAGGATGGATCTCGATAGATCTGGATGGATGACATTACTTCTCCTTTGGGTACTCCTATCTCCCGATTTGGTATCAAAAGGGCTGGGAAGCTCCACAAAAACGCCCATAAGTAGTAATAAGGCTGGGTCGGAGTCTGGCGCCGTGACGCACCGAAACCATGAGCTCAGCCTCTCACACTCCTTCGCCGCCCGCAGCGGGTCGCTCCTCACCGTCTTCCACGTCCTCCCCATCACCCTCAACGTCCTCGACGCCCTCATCACCTTCTGGAGAGCAGACGACGCGGGATTCCGACGAAACCATGGCCGGCCGTGGCCCCCGCAGCCAGGAGGGCATGTACACCTCTCCTTCCCCTCCGTCCTCCGACCCCCACGATCCCTTCAGCAACACGCAAATGCCTGAACCTCACCGATATTATGACCAGGAGGACGACCATATAGACCAGTACGGCCGTCGCGACACCTATGGCTCCGAGGGGAGCAACCTCGACGAGGACCGCTACTACGAGCAGGGCGGCGCTTATGATTACGGTGAGTCTTGGCCGTCCATACTCAGCGCCCTCGGCCTCTGATGCTTCATCTTGCAGCCCAACAAGACACCGACTCCGATGTCGACGTGTACGGCCAGAAGTACCCTCCGTCGCAGGAGTCGCTGGGCCCACCGCGCATGGGCATCTCGGAGTCCTCAACACCGACCTTCATCGACCATAACGGAGTCTCGGGGCGCGAACCCTACCCTGCATGGAGTTCCGAGCGACAAATTCCTCTGTCCAAGGAGGAGATTGAGGACATCTTCCTTGACCTTACGCAGAAGTTTGGATTCCAGCGGGACTCGATGCGCAACATGGTACGTTCTGTTCTTCCTTCACACGGCGGCTATGGTTGGCCATTGCCTCCGAATCTCGGACCCCTGTCAGCACTGGCCATTCGGGCCCACTATATGCGGGCTAGACACGGTGCGCAGCTGATCATACCGTAACCCATCGTACACGGACGACTTCGCTACGATGCGAGGTCCGGCACCAGTGATAGCTGCGCAGGTGTGAAGCATATGCGCCTGGTTCCGTGCCCCCGCGTTCTGGGTGGAGGGGCTACGGGATGTCCATTGCGGCGCTGACATGCAGTGTAATCCTTGGCTGGCCAAGCCTACCGCGCGTGCGCCTTCATCATCAGTGTTGACGGCTTTCTCTACAGTTCGATTTTGTGATGCAGCTCCTGGACAGTCGAGCGTCTCGTATGTCGCCGAACCAGGCTCTGCTGACCTTGCACGCCGACTACATCGGTGGCCAGCATGCGAACTACCGCAAGTGGTACTTTGCTGCGCAGCTCGACCTCGACGACGCGATCGGTCAGACGCAGAATCCCGGCCTTTCGCGGTTGCGATCCCAGAAGCGGCAAACGAAGGGGCACAAGGCAGCCGAGCGTCAACTACACGGTGCACTAGACCGGTGGCGGCAGGCGATGAACAACATGAGCCAGTACGACCGGATGCGTCAGATCGCGCTGTGGCTGCTGCTCTGGGGCGAAGCTGCGCAGGTCCGGTTCGTGCCCGAGTGTCTGTGCTTTATCTTCAAGTGTGCGGACGACTACTACCGGTCGCCCGAGTGCCAGAGCCGAGTCGACCCCGTGCCAGAGGGACTCTACTTGCACGCGGTAGTCAAGCCACTCTACCGGTTCATCCGGGATCAAGGGTACGAGGTTGTAGATGGGAAGTTTGTACGGAAGGAGCGCGACCACGACCAGATTATCGGGTATGACGACGTCAACCAGCTGTTCTGGTACCCGGAGGGCATTGCCCGCATCGTCTTGACTGACAAGGTGCGCATACAGTTATCTCTATCGTAAGCTTTTGCTGACCCTCCCTTAGTCCCGCCTCGTCGATCTCCCTCCGGCACAACGGTTTATGAAGTTCGATCGCGTCGACTGGAACCGCGTCTTCTTCAAGACGTACTACGAGAAGCGCTCTTTCGGCCACCTCCTCGTCAACTTCAACCGCATCTGGGTCATCCACATTTCGATGTATTGGTTCTACACGGCATACAACTCCCCCACGATCTACAACGGCGAGGCGCATGCAGCGATGCGCTGGTCTGCGACGGCACTGGGCGGCGCCGTTGCGAGTATCATCATGATCTGTGCAACACTGGCGGAGTTCTCGTACATCCCTACAACCTGGAACAACACCTCGCACCTCACTCGGCGACTTATATTCCTCTTCGTCACCCTTGCTCTTACTGCTGGTCCGACCTTCTACATCGCCATCGCTGAGAGCAATTCTCCCGGTGGTTCGCTGGCTCTCATCCTTGGTATCGTGCAGTTCTTCATTGCCGTCGTCGCCACACTCCTCTTCGCCATCCTCCCTTCCGGTCGAATGTTCGGTGACCGAGTTGCCGGCAAGTCACGTAAATACCTCGCGAGCCAGACTTTCACCGCCAGTTACCCTTCGTTGAGCTCCTCCGCGCGCCTGGCTTCTGTCGGGCTGTGGCTCCTCGTCTTTGGGTGCAAGTTCACGGAATCGTACTTCTTCCTGACGCTGTCGTTCAAGAACCCTATCCGGGTCATGGTCGGGATGCAGATCCAGGGCTGCAAGGACAAGTACTTTGGCAACGCGCTCTGCCGGAACCAGGCCGCGTTCACGCTCACGATCATGTACCTCATGGACCTCGTCTTGTTCTTCCTGGACACGTTCTTGTGGTGGATCATCTGGAACACGGTATTCAGCATCGGTCGTTCGTTCGCGCTTGGGTTGTCTATCTGGACGCCGTGGAAGGACATCTACACTCGCCTCCCGAAGCGGATTTACTCGAAGATCCTTGCCACTGCTGACATGGAGACCAAGTACAAGCCCAAGGTCAGTCTCTCGACCTTCATGCGACGAATGTTATATTGATATTAGGTTTAGGTTCTCGTCTCGCAAATCTGGAACGCCATCATCATCTCGATGTACCGCGAGCATCTCCTCTCGATCGAGCATGTGCAGAAGCTGCTGTACCACCAGGTCGACGTTGGTCAAGACGGTCGTCGGAGCCTCCGCGCGCCGGCGTTCTTCATCTCGCAGAGCGACAAGAACTTCCGCGGGGAGTTCTTCACACCCGGAAGCGAAGCCGAGCGTCGTATCTCGTTCTTTGCGCAGTCGCTCACTACGGCCGTCCCTGAACCGCTCCCTGTCGACGCGATGCCCACGTTCACTATCCTGACCCCTCATTATAGCGAAAAGGTGCGCATATATACAGGGTTCTTCGCCGTCATGGTGCTCATGCTTTACATAGATTTTGCTCTCTCTCCGTGAGATCATTCGCGAGGAGGACCAGAACACTCGTGTCACGCTACTTGAGTACCTGAAGCAGCTCCACCCGGTCGAATGGGACAACTTCGTGAAGGACACCAAGATCCTCGCGGAAGAGTCCCAGACGTTCAACGGGTCGAGTCCCTTCGGCGGCATGGACGAGAAGGGTGCGTCGAAGGCCGACGATCTGCCGTTCTACTGCATTGGCTTCAAGTCTGCGGCGCCCGAGTTCACGCTGCGCACGCGTATCTGGGCGTCGCTGCGGGCGCAGACTCTCTATCGCACGGTCTCCGGCATGATGAACTACTCCAAGGCGATCAAGCTTCTCTACCGCGTGGAGAACCCGGAGGTCGTCCAGCTCTTTGGCGGCAACACCGACAAGCTTGAGCGCGAGCTCGAGCGTATGGCGCGCCGGAAGTTCAAGTTCGTTGTCTCGATGCAGCGATACTCGAAGTTCAATCGTGAGGAGCAGGAGAACGCAGAGTTCTTGCTCCGTGCGTACCCGGATCTCCAGATCGCTTACCTCGAGGAGGAGCCCCCGCGCAAGGAGGGCGGCGACTCGCGCATCTTCTCGGCGCTCATCGACGGGCACTCCGAGTTCATCGCCGACACTGGTCGCCGCAAACCCAAGTTCCGCATCGAGCTTCCTGGTAACCCTATTCTCGGTGACGGCAAGTCCGACAACCAGAACCACGCGATCATTTTCTACCGCGGCGAGTATCTCCAGCTCATCGACGCCAACCAGGACAACTACCTCGAGGAGTGTCTCAAGATTCGAAACGTTCTCGCGGAGTTCGAGGAGTACAACGTCTCGAGCCAGAGTCCGTACGCGCAGTGGGGCCACAAGGACTTCAAGAAGTCGCCCATTGCTATCGTCGGTGCCCGCGAGTACATCTTCTCGGAGAACATTGGTATCCTCGGTGACCTTGCAGCCGGCAAGGAGCAGACGTTCGGTACTCTGACGGCTCGGTCACTCGCATGGATCGGCGGCAAGCTTCACTACGGTCACCCCGATTTCCTGAACGCGCTCTACATGACCACGCGCGGTGGTGTCTCCAAAGCGCAGAAGGGTCTCCATCTCAACGAGGATATCTATGCGGGTATGAACGCCTTCGGACGTGGTGGACGTATCAAGCACACGGAGTACTACCAGTGCGGAAAGGGTCGTGACCTCGGCTTCGGAACGATCCTGAACTTCCAGACCAAGATCGGAACGGGTATGGGCGAGCAGATGCTCAGTCGCGAGTACTACTACCTCGGCACGCAGCTTCCGGTCGACCGCTTCCTGACGTTCTACTACGGCCACCCTGGGTTCCATATTAACAACATGCTCGTTATCCTGTCGGTACAGATCTTCGTCATGACGAGTGAGTATTTTGTGTGACTATATGCGCTCTTTTGCTTACTTGCATGCGTAGTGGTATTCTTGGGCACGCTCAACGGTCAACTCACGGTCTGCAAATACTCGTCATCTGGCCAGTTCATCGGAACGACGGGCTGCTACAACCTTACGCCCGCCTTCCAGTGGATCGACCACTGTATCATCAGTATCTTCCTTGTGTTCATGATCGCCTACCTCCCTCTGTTCCTGCAAGGTGAGAATGGGTTGCTCTTGATTCCTATTTGATCTTGCTGACCTCGGTCTGTAGAACTGGTTGAGCGTGGAACTGTCAAGGCCGTCATTCGTCTGGCGAAACACTTCGGCTCTCTGTCGCCTGCGTTCGAGGTCTTCTCCACTCAGATCTCGTCTCACTCGATCATCACGAACTTGACCTTCGGTGGTGCGCGGTATATTGCGACCGGACGTGGCTTTGCGACGACGAGGATCTCGTTCGCTATCCTCTACTCGCGGTTCGCGGGGCCTAGTATCTACCTCGGGATGCGTACCCTGGTCATGCTGCTCTACGTGACGCTCACGATCTGGACTGGATGGATCACGTACTTCTGGGTGTCGATCCTGGCACTTTGCGTCTCTCCCTTCCTGTTCAACCCGCACCAGTTCTCCGCGGCGGACTTTATCATCGACTATCGGTAAGCAATGAGGGCGCTTGTTCGCCATACGTTTTCTGACCCCCCCTTACAGCGAGTTCTTGCGCTGGATGAACCGCGGCAACTCGCGCGCCCATGCCAACTCGTGGATTGGGTATTGCCGTCTCTCCCGGACGATGATCACTGGATACAAGAAGAAACGTCTCGGTCACCCCTCAGAACGGCTGTCCGGCGACGTCCCCCGCGCCAAGTGGCGGGCGGTCATCTTCTCCGAGGTCATCTTCCCGCTTGTCATGGCCGTCCTGTTCACCATCGCGTACATGTTCGTGAAGTCGTTCCCCGACAAGGACGGCAAGCAGCCGGCGGCGCCACTCATCCGTATCGCGGTCGTGGCTATTGGTCCCATCGTGTGGAACGCGGCGATCCTGCTCGTGCTCTTCATGTTCTCGCTGTTCCTGGGCCCCATGCTCGACACCCCCTTCCCCAAGTTCGGTTCCGTCATGGCGTTCTTGGGCCACACGCTCGGTGTTGTCGGCATGATCGCTTTCTTCGAGTTCTTCGTGAGTGATTTCGGTGCATGTCTGTTTCGCTCCTCGCTAACAATATCTTGCAGTGGTTCTTGGAGCTGTGGAACGTCGCGCACGCCGTGTTGGGTCTCATCGCGATCATCTTCATCCAGCGTGCGACGCACAAGATCCTCATCGCTGTGTTCCTGTCTCGCGAGTTCAAGCACGACGAGACGAACCGAGCGTGGTGGACGGGCAAGTGGTACGGCCGCGGCCTCGGGTCGTCGGCCATGTCGCAGCCCGCGCGCGAGTTCATCGTCAAGATTATTGAGTTGTCGCTCTGGAGCTCCGACTTCCTCATCGGACACATCCTCTTGTTCATCCTCACACCTCCTATCCTCATTCCCTACATCGATCGCTTCCACTCGATGATGTTGTGTAAGTCGCCCTGTTTATACAAGTGCCGCGTCGTGCTTTGCTAACTTCATCTCGTGTAGTCTGGTTGCGCCCGTCTAAGCAGATTCGCGCGCCGTTGTACTCTATCAAGCAGAAGAGGCAGCGCAGGTGGATCGTCATCAAGTATGGGTTCGTCTTCGTGCTGGCGGTCGCCCTGTTCGCCGCGATGCTCGTCATCCGTGAGTCAACTTGTCCATTCTTGCTCCCTCGATATATGCTGACGATGCGCTCTCCAGCCCTAATCTTCCGCCAATCCCTGCATGTGAACTGCACGATATGTCAGAGTATCTGATGGACTAAAGTTTCGTTCCCCCACATCGCCACACCATAGACAGGCTGCACTGTATGCTCTCGACGTACTATTTCCATTCCCCCGCCTCATGCGTTCTGTACTAGCCGGACTCTACATAGCCTTTCTCGCCTGTCACTGAGATGGACAATTCACTACTAGCACCCCGTTTATTCCCCCGCCCTCGCCGCGCGCGCTCTGCAGCCTGTCTTCGACCCGCCGCTTGGCCTAATCCCCGTCACGGTACCGCCCGACCCCTTCGAGCTAGCCCTCGTCCCTCCCCCCTCACCGTGCACCCGTTTCCGCTACGACTCTGAGATGATGACGAATGAACGCTTTGATGTTACTTGCACTGTAGTCTTCGTAGGTAGTATCTAAAAATCGATTGCATGCATGGTTCTTGACTTCTAACGCGAACGATGTGTACGACTCTCGTGATGCTCAACGCTGGATGCTGCTTGCTGGACGTCGATGTGGTCGCGCGACTCATCGTGAACGCGGGGATGGCGATCGGCTGAAGGAGATCGGAGATCGACACTGCGTCACATCGCGCAAACGCCCAGGATCGAGTGGTTGAAGTTCGACCTTCTTCGCTTCGGCTACTATGTTGCAGACGATGAAGCTACGTTATCCTATCCCCTCTCTTCTCGTTCTGACCCTTGCGGCCAGAGATACCCGTATTTGCAAAGCCTGGTTCTCGTCGTTAAATAGGCATCCGGTAGTAGGAAGAGCTTGAATCGCTGGACAGCTGCAGCCTCACCTGGCTCGACTGACAGGATGGGTCTCCTTCTGAGCCCGGACCATGTCGATCGAACGGACTTCTTCACATATTCTGACAGGGTATATAAGGGGACCGATATCGTTACGATGGCCAGGCCTCCCTCCCTCTTCTCCCGCACCCTCCCCTCCCCTTCCCCCGACACCCTTCCCGGCCACAATGTCTACCCACAGCCTATTCATTCTTTTACTCACAGTCACTCTTTCAGCTTCGTCCTCTCCAATCCCTCCACTCGGTGCTGGGCCGTTCTCAACGCTCTCCAACACGGGCCTCTCGTCATCCAACGCGATACTCTCCCCCAATGTTCTGAGCATGGCCTCAAGGCCGCGGATGATGCTCCCGCTAGCCAAACGGGTCAACAGCACAGGCTCCGCCAATATTGTCAAGTTCGACCAGGATCGCGCGAGGGCTACGAGGCAGCGCTCTCAAGCAAGCGACGCGACAGGTCCTGCGGGAGGCAGTTTCGCTGTCGGGCAGGCTTTCAACGACGTCGCAATTTCTCAAGCTGTTAGCTACGTCGTCGAGGTACGTGTGCTTGAAACGTTAGATTGTTTAGGTCTAACTGCTTTACCTAGGTTCTCGTTGGCTCAACTCCATGTGAGTATCTGTCCAGCTGCTCTAATCTGTATAGTACTGATTGACAGCTCAACGAGAAAAGATTCACTCCTGGTAGACACGGGTAGCTCGAACACCTGGGTGGGTGCGGGGAAGCCATTCGTACCTTCTGCATCTACTAGGCCGACGGGAGACATCGTCGTAAGTGCGCTTGATTTACCGCCTCAGGAGACGTGCCTGAACCCCCTTCGCTTTCTGCCAGTCTGTTACCTACGGAAGTGGATCTTTTACGGGTATGTTGAGTTGCACACGCTCCTCGTTTCCAATAACAAATGACACCAATCAATAATTCCAGGCTTTGAGGTCATCGAAAATGTCACTCTGGCCGATGGTCTCAATCTTCCGAGTCAGTCTATAGGCGTAGCAGCGCAAGCCATGGGATTCGATGGGGTGGACGGTATCCTTGGGTGAGACTTCTCACCTGTCAGTGCGGAGCCACACTGACTTCCATATAGCGTCGGGCCGCAAGACTTGACCTGTGGTACGTGACTGATCAGTCTTCGCAACCTTCCATTCAGTTCTGATATCCTGCGTGCATAGGGACGCTTATCAACAATCCGAAGAAATGCTTGTCCACCGTGACCGATACTGCGTGGGACTTGGGTCTTCTTGACAGCTACGAACTTGGCATCTCCTTCAGCCCTTCACAGTACGTGGATCAGAAGAACGGCGAGATGACTTTTGGGGGCGTCGATCGTTCAAAATTCGACGGAGATCTTAGTTATGTGTAAGCATTGCACTCAGTGTCTGCGGTAATGCGAGTAACGTCCTCTGACCGCGGTGATGGTTAGGCCCCTTACCACCGTCTCGCCGGCCAGCCATTTCGTTGGTTACGACCAGTCGATCAGGTATGGCGACATGGGAAGTGTCCTTGATACCGCTGCGGGTATCCTTGACACAGGCACTACGCTCATTTTGATTGCCTCGGGTACGTTACCTCTGAACGAGGCCCTTCAAAAAACTTATTACTATCTTACCTGTTTCTAGATGCGTTCCAGAGATATCAGGACTTCACCGGAGCCAAGGCGGATGACGACACCGGACTTCTGAGCATCACGCAAGAACAATACGGAAATCTTCAAAACCTGTATTTCAAGATCGGAGATGTGGGTTGACCAGGACGCCTGTCGCATAGAGAAGTCACTCACCTATCACGACTGGCAGATCGACTATGCGTTGACTCCGGATGCCCAGATATGGCCGCGCGCGGTACGTAGAAGTCTTACCGTTGTCGCTGCCACACGCTCACTCTCAGCTATCTTCGTCCAACAGCTCAATGCCGACATCGGCGGAGCGGAGGACGGCATATACCTCATCGTCGCTGACCTGCAGAGCGACTCCGGGAGAGGACTCGATTTCATCAACGGGATGTCGTTCCTTGAGAGGTACTATGCTGTGTACGACATCGCTAATTCGCGGATCGGCCTCGCGAAAACTCACCACACCGACGACGAGACGAACCACTTAGTCCCAGACGGCGAGGATCAGGACAGGGTTGTCCCCGTTTAGTTCTGATTTGTGGTTGACTATGTATCGGCCTACTTGGAGCGTCGTCGCAGTTGAAGCAATCTATGGAGGATTCACAGTAACGCGTCGCGTGGAGTCGTGCGGTACCGGGAGCGATCAAACCGACTTTTCTGGCCAAAAGGTAGGCATTATAATCCAAACGCATCCAACACAACATCACGAGCAACATAAGACCCAAACAACCCCGGCCGCAAAATCCCCTTCAACTACTCCCTCCCGTCCGTAACTCCCCTTTCCCCCTTCGCCCCTTTGCCTGCTCACTCGCAGTTACAGAACCCGACATCAAGGCGCGCCGAGTTCCCGTTGAAGTCGAAGTTGTAGATCCCGCCGTCCTTGTGCCCGTAGCACTGGTCGATCACCTGCTGGAACCCGTCCCAGCACTCCTGCTGCGTCGCAAACTGCCCGTCGAGCGTGACGTGCGCCCAGCCCCAGCTGATTCCGCCCGCGTGCGACCAGTCGCTGCCGCCGCAGAAGGTCTGGCGGGCGGACTCGACGCTGTCGTGCGTCTCGCAGTTCTTGCAGCCAGACTGGGAGTAGCAGGTGGCTGCGAGGGCGGTGGGCGCGGCGGACGCGAGGGTGAGGGCGAGGGTGGTGAGGGCGGCGAAGTTGAGCTGCATGGTGGTGATGATGAGGAGAGCTGTGGATGGGGCTCTTGTCAGTGCTGACCGATGTGCGGCTCGATGCTCGGGACGTACTGGTTTGTAGGTGAGTGGTTTAGTTGGTGTGAGAGCGAAAGACTGCTGACTCGAGTGCTTGGTGCTGAAGACGAGGGTCATCCTCGACCTGCTTATATGCACTCCCTGAGCGTCAGGATCCAGCTCTCGCCGGCATTGCATGTTCCACGCACGTTCGGGCGTCGGGCGTGTCCTCGGGATGCACTCCACCCGCACAACCCGCCCCGAGTTGTTTCTCACTATCCGAACACAACAACGCGCTCATCGTTCTTACAGACATCCCCTCCGCGCTTTCCACGCAACAAATAGCGTACACAAGACGCTCTCGCAGTGCTTCTCACCCGCCTAGAATCACACCAGACTCAATCTGGCCGCTGGAACAACGGCGTCGCACAACCACATGAGCGTTACACCCGACACAATTTCACTTGCGACGCGCTGTTCTGGGCGATTCGCTCTGCAAGAATGCACTACCCTGGAGGAACATCGGCACGCCCGCCGTCGCGCTGTCATCGCGTCGTACGTACTGACGGTCTCAATGTTGACTCGTGGAGGCGCTTTGGTCCAGCTCATTCGTATTTTCTTTGCACCGTTAGGTGGCCGACGGTCTGTTGACTATGTTGTCTCCGAGTCCGAGCCCGAAGCCTTACGCCCGAAGCCATGTAGTTGTGTGTCTTGGGAGCCTCGCCTGAAGTGGGCCTGCTATACAGCGCTCAATCAACAGCTTGGCAAACATTCCCTCGAAACCCCCGGCAACGGTCAATATGCCAGTGCCCCGGATTGCAAGCGCTGTCGTGGGCGATACAATGAACGCCCGCAGTAATGTGTCTCGACAGATCACCAGTGGCTCTTGCACAGCATCACCCCGACTCGTCCATGGTCCGTTGCTCGAGAATTTCTAGAGACATAAGCTCCAGTATAGGGTGCCCGACGCGCGGGGGTCATCAGAAAATATATACTATTTACCCGGTACGGCCACTAGTTCTTTCTTAAACCATCAAGCTGCGATCGCCTTTGAAAGAGCAACAAACAGGAATGTCGAAATAATACGCGTTGTACGCAGTGAGATCAACATTCACCATCGGTGGAGAATATCATCCTGCCCGACAGCGGCGGGCCCCGCATGCAATATTGCCCACCACATTTCAACACCAACATGTCTGTGCAATGGAAGATTCCAGTCGTGTTCACCGGACCTAAGTGGCGCCCCATACTCTAGCATCTCGGAGGATGCGGGAGCAATAACTAGCCGCCTACGCGTTAAACTCCGGACAAAGCGTGGACACACAGGAAGCGCCTCGGAGCGGGGCAAAATACCAGTTAACCTTTGTAGGTCTGGGCCGTCGGCCTCGCTCCCGGGCAGCCGCTGGTGTGTCCTGTTCACCGAGCCTCGGGGAAGGCCACCCGACCCTGATGCGCGCACTGCTTGTGGTCGGGATAGAACGGAGCACTGAGCGAGCGGGGTTGTGTGGTGAGATGTTGACCACACCTATTTGTTTTTGTCCGTACGCACGGGTGTCAGGAGACACAGCTAGCGACGGGTGTACGAGAAGGTCGGGGGACCGCTCCTGGGCACGGTATGCTTCTGCGGATTGTGTGTCAGTGGTACGCGCACACACTCGGGCCGACCATTGGAAACAGTACTAGGCGGGTTGTACGGGCTAGAGGTCCACAGAGAGTACGCCCGACACCCGAACGTGCGTGAAACCTGCAAGGCCATCGAGAGCTGGATCCTGACGCTCAGGGAGTGCATATAAGCAGGTCGAGGATGACCCTCGTCTTCAGCACCAAGCACTCGAGTCAGCAGATTATCGCTCTCACACCAACTAAATCACTCACCTACAAACCAGTACGTCCCGAGCATCGAGCCGCACATCGGTCAGCACTGACAAGAGCCCCATCCACAGCTCTCCTCATCATCACCGCCATGCAGCTCAACTTCGCCGCCCTCACCACCCTCGCCCTCGCCCTCGCGTCCGCCGCGCCCTCGGCGCTCGCAGCCACCTGCTACTCCCAGTCCGGCTGCAAGAACTGCGAGTCCCACGACAGCGTCGAGTCCGCCCGCCAGACCTTCTGCGGCGGCAGCGACTGGTCGCACTCGGGCGGGATCAGCTGGGGCTGGGCGCACGTCACGCTCGACGGGCAGTTCGCGACGCAGCAGGAGTGCTGGGACGGGTTCCAGCAGGTGATCGACCAGTGCTACGGGCACAAGGACGGCGGGATCTACAACTTTGACTTTAACGGGAACTCGGCCCGCCTCGATGTTGGATTCTGCAACTGCGAGTGAGCGGCGCGCGGGCTCGCTCGGCTGGAAGGGAGGGAGGGCGAAATGTGGGGGCACGGGAGCTTGAAGGGGGTTCTGCGGATTGGGGTTGTCTGGGTCTTATGTTGCTCGTGATGTCGTGTCGAATGCATTGAGTCGGAGTATAGTGCCTACCTTTTGGCGAAAGTTATCGGTGCAATCGTGTCGTTTGGCTTGGCCGTACGGCTTGCTAGCCGCTATCCAGCGGTCAGCTCCCCGTGACAATCCGGCGCGTTCATGGAGCAGGCAATTCGCTCATGATCAGGTGGCGTACACGAGGCCTGGGCGGCGATACTGCCAGTTTACGCGGTGGATGCACCACTGCCCGATGTTTTATGGCTGGCGGTCTAAAGACCTCCTGTGTGTCACTTTGTGGATCTTGATGTGTCCTAGAAGACATGGAGTTCTGATTTATACATGGAACAAAACAAGGTTTGGAGCCGCACCTTGTATCGCGATCAGGGAGTTAAAATACTAGTATTGATATTCTGGCGTCCCTTTCGCTGATCTGTGACTTATGCCGATGTTGTTGGACCGCGATTTAAACGATAGAAGAGAACATTGAAATCCTTTGAAAACCATGATCAACTGGATAGCGTAGCACTTGAAGGAACAGAGAAGAAACAATATGGGCAGCGCGGCTCGGAGTTAGCCACAGTTTGCGGTGACGTCGATTATTGAGGCACAAAAGCCACGTGGCTATAATGACGGGCGCTTGGCGCACGCCCAAGCGCTCCGTGAAGCTTGATGGCGGCAGCCAGGCGAAAACACGCTCCTCTCCCTTCACCGTTCTCTCTTCCTGCCACGACGACCCCGCCACGACGACCATCGGACCCTCGCATCCCAGGAGACCTCGGCCTCATCCACCGCATCCATTCCTCTCTTAGAGATCTCACACAGCAATAGCACACTGGAATCCGGAACCTTACACCCGCGGAACAGACGCCTCCACCTCCGGCTCTCATCCCCGCACACAGCAATCGATCCAAGGAAAGCTACATCGGATCCTCTAGCTTCGCCATAGTGACTACTTGTGCTTCACACCACCCCCTCGAATAACGCGGCCTCAACAGTTCCGTTCGTAGAGAACGCGGCTTTCCCGGACAAGCCCACACACGCTATCGGCTTCTCATCTTCCGCGGGTCCCGGAGTCGCCATTTGCGCATACACACCCTCTACAATTTTACCGGGATGCACGCGCTACCAAAGGAGGTCTTTGGGATTGTGTACATCATCGACACTGCCCAACAGTTTTGGTCAGGTGCGTGTTCATCCTTCATGACTCTCCAGAAGAAGCGGGCGCACCACTTCATGCAGTGGGGACGTTGGCACACCCGACGCATGGCATCATGTATGACGGGTTTTACGATTGTGTTGCCTACCCTGCGTCTTGCGAGTCGAGAAGTATACCTATACCGCACCGATCTACCGCCCTTTGCACGTCCCTACGCCCCAGTTCATGCACGTTCACTGTCGTACTGCAGCTGATCATAGTCCTTGATAGAATTGGACGATATACTGAGACTACCGGAGGACTGCACCCTCTCCAGACTCGACGCCACCTTGCGGCGGTACGCGTCCTTCTGCGCGGCATACCATGGTGCGTGCCGGACTTACCGTGGTGCGCGCTCCGTAGCTCACGTCAGATATCTTTGGCGTGTGATTTGTGCGGCCCGTGGAAAATGATCAAACAGAACAGTACCTGCAAAGCCCTATGCAGCTCGAACATGCATGCGATAAACTGCTAGCCTCGGAGCTATTCGCTTTTCACAGCGAACGCCTGAGCGAGTTATTGACCGGCGACGCGCAGACGGTATGTGTTGGAACAGGCCTCTGCTTTTGCTTCCTTTTTTTATAGACTAATCTCCCGGCTCCGTAGAACACCGACCCACATCTAGAGATGATCCTGTACAGCATCATGCTCTCATGGGGTCGCCGGAAACCCGCTTTTCTGCGCTCACAGAAACGCTGGCAGCCACTTCTCCCTCTACTTATGGACCACATCCGGCTCGACGTCGACCCGGAAGTAGAGGACGGCTTCTACGGTGCAGGCACAGACTCAAACTCTGGTGCGGAACGCGCTATTGAGGTGCCTATCGAGGCGAAACTGAGATCACTCTCGGTAAGGCTTCTATATGAAGTCTGTAGAGTGCAGAAGATGTCAATACCCGATCTTCGTGAGTCTATGTGCCTTGCGTCCGGTCGAACTCCGCGTGGCTAAGCGCGTAATCGCAGGAATATTCGACGACGATTTCATAGATTACCTTTACGACCTCGTCGAACAGACACGCACAATGCAGGACGAGTCTTTCAATTATTCAGTGATCAAACTCCTTGTAAGCTCTATTCAATTCGCTGTATACCACACGCTCTAACACAACACAGGTCGCACTGAACGAGCAATTCATGGTCGCGTCTCTGCAGCCTCATACCCCGTTATCGCAGGGCGGATTGGCGCAACAGCAAGCGGAGTCGCGAAGTCCGGAACACGCGAACCGGGTGCTGCGCGTGCTCATGCTCCGAGCTTCGACGAGCCCTACGTTCGGCGAGAACCTGATCTTCATGTTGAATCGGGCCAACCGGACCGCGGAGGATCTCTGCATGCAGCTCCTCGTGTTGAAGCTGCTCTACCTGCTTTTCACGACGAAGGGCATGGCGGAGTACTTCTACACCAACGACCTGTGTGTACTCGTGGATGTATTTCTTCGCGAGATCGGCGATATCGACGAGGAGAACGAGTCGGTGGGTGCATTCCATCAGTCATATTCGCCATGATATTGATCGGGCGCCTCCAGTTGCGACATACATACCTACGCGTCCTCCACCCACTCCTCACCAAGACGCAGCTGCGGAACATGCCTTACAAACGCCCACAAATCGTGCGCACGCTCGAGAACTTAGTCGAGAACGAGTCCATTCGCGACATCGATCCCACCACGAAGCGCCTCGTCGATCGCTGTCTAAGCGGCGAGTGGTGCGTCCAGTTCCGCAAGTCCGCAACTGCGAGGACAGCGGAGCAGCGCAAGTTTAGCATGTGGGACGGGGACATACAGCGCGGCGATAGCCCAGGGCTGGACGCGGTTTCCGCCGCTCCAGCGCCTCACTCCGCGGGGCCGATGTCTGGAGCGGGCGGCATGAAGCCACAACTGGACCGGATGGGCTCACTGCGCGGAAAGAACGGGAAGACAAGCCGCAGCGCGGAGCACCTCCCACTCCCCGCGGCCTCATCCTCGTCCGCCCAGAAGCCACGCCCTAGCCAGCCATCACATCCACATCCACACTCGCGCGCAGACGAGCCGCCATACAAGGTGTCCGCGCGCGCGGTGTCAGTACACGCGGTCCGCCACGGCAGCGGGGACAGCGGCGGGAGCCTCCCACGCGTTGCGGCGGCGACGACGCACTCTAGCGCCGCCGCGGTGAAGCACCGCTTCCGTGCGGGCTCGTTCGACGTCGAGGGCACGACGAGCAGCTTCTCGTCCTTGTCGCTACAGCCGGATCCGCTCGCCGCACACCACCTCCTCGACGACACGGCGCCGTACGTGGACGAGCCCGCGGGCGGCTCCCCACCCGAGATCCGCGTCCTCTCCCCAACGTCCCCGGGGCAGGCTGGATTGCTCTCACCGACGGACCGCTCATTCGCATTCGCGGCGTCTGCGCCGAGCTCTGCATCGTCGTCGAGCACGTCGCTCGGCTCGTCCGCAACAGTACCGTCGCCGCAACGACGAGCTGCGCCGCCGCCGCCCGTGAAGAAGCGACGAAAGCCGCCAGCGGTGCCGGCGGGGCGCGGGGCGAGCCCGTTGAGTGCGCTGGCCGCGTCGTCGCAGCCGAACTTGGCTGTGCTTTCGGCGGGTGCGCGGAAGGCGTCTGGGTTGTAGGGCCGGTGCGAAGGAAACGCAGGTAGGAGGGATCGCAAGGCGCTAGCTTTGCACGCAGGCGTTGTGGGTACCAGTCTTATTGACATACGATATCACATTCGCCACTTTTCTTTCTGCTGGGTTCAAGCGTGAGTGTTGTGGTACGAGGCACTTTTACGCTGCCTCGTACGTGAGTGAGTGAGGAGATTAGTGGGAAGAGTCCAGAATGACCATGCCCGAGGGAAGATCGCTGTATCTAGCTGACTGAGACGTGAACCTCGACGCCCGGGGCCCGAGGACCGAAGGAGCAAGCTACGGCATAAGGTGATACATGCTCATTCATGTTTCCGACGGCGTAAGCTAAACGACCACTCTTCAACACAGATACGAGTTCACCCATGTGCAATACCTGCGCACTTCTCATCGTCTGTATGAAGACCATGGCACTGGAGTTTGGGCAGCGCTGCTGCTCAAGCCCACGACACACGAACCCGGCGGGAATGAACATGGCGGGAATTCGAAGCCGTTCCTACCTCATGGAGCGCCGGTCCCACCGCCTAACCGAGCACGCGTATTCCAGCTCGAATCTAACCGGCCATCCATGAGGATGGTTGCTATGCAGGCCGACAAGAGCTTGAACTGCTTCCCTCACGAGTGTCAGATAGTCGCAAACGTCGCGAACAAGATGTGTCGCTGCGTCACCCTACCCGTCGGGGAGTGGCTGCATATATGCTTTCCCGGCGACCCTCTCCCGCTCGAGCTGGTGTACACAGACTTCAGACCCTTCTCTGACATCGAGCTCCGATCCGGGGAAAGGGCCATGTATACAAGTTTGGTACGTACCACGACTCTTGGGGATCGCTAGATTGACGTAGGGTTGGCGCAGTGTAACGGGTTCAACGATCTCTTCAGGAAACTCGACGCCAGGGAGTACTCGATGGGGATCGTGGACGACATTCCCAGCCAGGCCGACGCAGCGTCCGCCGAGAAACGGGATGGGCTCCCTCGGAATGCTCTGTTGGCTCTGTACTCCATGCAAAACGCCGCTCGCGCGGGACACCCATCTCCCGTCTCGTCATCGTCAACGGCAGACTCGGGATCCCAGTACCCCGTTCAGCAAGGTAGCGCTTGATATATGTGACCATTCGCGCGCGAGCTAACACCGACCCTTTTGTTAGAGAGCCATTCTCCTCACGAGTCGCGCTTGCAGGCTACAGCCGTCTGGGCGTGGGCGGAACTCTTGGTTGACGTGAAGAACAGACGAGCTTCGGCGCCTTCAGTGTTCTTCGACCTCATCGATTCGTCCAAAGACGCATCCTCGGTAGCCTCCGACAGACTCCAGCACTGGGATGAAGTCGCCGAGCACGCGACGGAGATGTGCTTCCGTCAGCATCGAACGTCCATGCCCATGATTACCGTCTACCACGACTATGCTCGGCTTCTCAGATTCGGCCCCGCCGGAGTCATCCTTTCGGAGCCATTCAACTACATCGAGGACCCCGAGCCTTTCTGCACCTTTCTCTTCCGTTACTTGCGCGCGAGCCGTCAAACGCGCGGGTTTGACCCGACAGCAACTCTAGCTTCGCGTGACGAGCTTGAGATATTCACGAAGCTGACCGATAATCAGACGTTGCCAGTCCATGTCAGGGACACCTTGAGGATAGCGGTTACCCCTGGCTGGCCACTTCACAAGCTCTCCTACCAGGCACCGTGGTCCGCGGACGGAACATCTCCCGTCCGCCCAGAAACACCGAGGTCCATACGCGAGTTCCTGGTAGGGAGACCTTCCTACAGGAGCCACTCCATGATGGGGAATGGAACTCGGGCCTTCGTCGCCTACGATCTTGAGCGCAGGACCGTCGTCTTCATCAAGGACTACTGGAGGCTAGATTTGGGGCCCGACTACTTAACGGAGCGTGAAGTCTACTTGGAGCTGTCGAAGGACTTTTTGACGCGGCCCTTGCACGTACCAACTCTCCTTGGAGGCGGCGACGTCTTCGACGCGCGCATGGAGACCCAACGGTCACTGGCTCACGCTGTCGTTGCGGCATCACGGTCTGGACATGTCGACCGTGACGGCGTATGCCCGGGTAGAGTGCACACACGGCTTGTATTCAAGGAAGTGTGTCGTCCCCTAGAATCATTCAAGGACGCCCGCGAGCTGGCTTCCGTTGTACATGACGCTCTCCTAGGTTTGATGCTGTATTCCATGTTATTTCCGCTCCTTACTGACGAGGATCCGTTCACAGCCCACAAGCACGCTTGGAAGGAACATGGGATTCTCCATTGCGACATCAGCGCCGGGAACATCCTCATTTTGGATACCGCCAATGACGGTGCTATGATGCGATCAGTTGGTCTATTGTGCGATTGGGACCTTGCGAAGAGAAGGGTCCATATCGCGCACCCAGAGATGTCGCAGCCGACCCGCTTGGTACGATACAATGTGCTTCTCTCAGTCCCCTTTAGAGCATGATGCTGATCCATACGGTACATAGGGAGCCTGGCCGTTCATGGCTGCTGCTCTGCAGTGGTATCCTCGAAAGCCCCACTTGCTTTCTGACGATCTGGAGTCCGCCTATCATACCCTAAACTGGTGTACGCTCAAGTACCTCCCACACGGATCCACCGATATGGCGTGTCTTCCCCAAGAGATGAACACCATCTACAAACTAGCGTTACCAGATGGTCGAGGCAGCAGCTTGAAGTTCAGGAGCGTCCAGAATGGGTACCCGTTTGTTTTCGACCTCGAATGCAGCCCAAATCACCCCTTTCTAGAGCTCCTTACGCGCCTCGGTCACATCTGCCAGGAACATTACACGCATTTCCCGCCCAAACTCGTTGAGCAGGACGCGATCGAGGGAAACTTCGAATTTCCTGGGGACCCAGACGACGATTGTCCCCCTCCGGACCACCAGCATTTGTATGGTTATGGCGCCATCTTGGACGCGTTCTCCGCCGCGCTTCAGCAGAGCGAGTGGCCCGAGATCCCGAAGCTTCCGGACCAAGTCCCAGACTCGACACCCTGCTCGAAGGTCCATCGTTGAAATTGGGTCGTTCTGGTGAGTGCTTGGAGAGATCCAGGCATGTAGGGCACCCCCTGTTGATGGTGTTAGAGTGGTGGCGAAGGAGAGGGATTCTAGCTTGAACTCCAAGGTACTGGTCTGACTTCATTGTCGGCGCACGTAGATAGTCGCGGTCTCCACTGTTTCTCGGCATAGATGTATCCGCCCACGAGCGTACTTTGTTCATCGCATAACTGTTGTCGTCTGTATCACCATCAACGTTCGCGCATTGCTATCCGCAATGGGAACCTCCTTTGCTCTACCCCCATGCCTATATTTAGCCATGCATCCGCGTACTCGAAGACATGCCGACGCGACCGTCCCTTCATAGATTTTGGCATCGAATCCGATGCCATCTACCCATCCGCGTTGTCCAACCATGATGCCTGTGATGAATGCTATGCGATTTCGGAGCATTCATCAATCAAACCTTCGGGCGAGGTAGTTTATCTTCAGCACCAGTGTGAAGCTGTCGGCCGATTCTCGCGATGATGAGATATTCCACTTATAAACTAACATTCATAGACAGCTACAGACGGCGATGTACACGTATCAACAGCGACTAAGTTTCCGAGTATTACACTAGCGCCACGATGCACAATAACGATTATTCGAAGCAGATCCAAGAAATAAGCGAGCGATTAAAACAGATGGAAAAGAGGCAAGTCCGGTGTTGTATGCTCCACGCTTAGCTGTCGGGGCTATACGAAACCAAGTAAGCATTCCTGAAGTATCGAAACAATGCCTGGCGGCCAGTCTACTCACACAACAGGGACGGAAGTCGGGCCGGCCTGGGTCTGGAGGACGGGGAAGGGCGTGCCCTTGCAGGACTGCTCGATGTCCTTGATCGTCTTGCCGTCGGGGAAGTGCGCGACGTTCGAGGCGGCCTTGGAGGGGACGGGGATGACCTCGGAGCAGTCGACGAGCTCGTACACGTTGTTCCCGAGCGTGGACATCTTCGCCATCGCCTGCGTGAAGCGCTCCACCATGAGCTTCTGGTTGGCTGTGATGCGCGTCTCGTTGTCAGCGAATAATTCTAGGCGTAGGGGGATGGGAGATCTGCGACTTACTGACGAAGGACTGCCACTCGCAAGCAGAGCGAGGGTCCCTAGGATAGAGTGTGAGCGCAAATCATCAGTCAGCCAGAATGCATGGACAACGCACCTGGCGATCAGGTCGTCAGACGCGAGGCGGAACTCCCCAGGGATGGGAGACTTGGCCTCTCCAACGTTGGCAGTGGTATCGTTGCCACTGAAGGCCGTCCCCTTGAGGAGGGTCTAGCACACGATGAAATAAGTATATAATTGATTACCACTATGGCGTTTGAGCGTCACGACGAAGACGCACCTCAACGTAGAACTGAGCATCGAAGGTCGACGGGGTGCTGTCAAACGGACTACCGTGAACGTTCTGTGGTCGGGGTGTGAGTACCACCGCTCTAAGCAAGATATTCGCGCGCACTGACCGGGTTAATCTGATCCTGCGCAGCGACGGTGTGCGACGCGAGCAGGTCGACGAGCTCGTTGGGCGAGAAGCCGGCATCGGCCATGCGCGCGAAGATCTTGTCGACCGGGTCCTCGGGCAGCGGGACGAGGTCCGGGGGCGACACCTGCGAGTGGTTCGAGCGTCCGGCCAGGAACTGGAGGCGCGGGCCGCCCGCGCAGTTGCTCACGGCGACGGCGCCAGCGAACTGGATGCTATAGGTGGAGGTGATTAATATGCTGATGATGATGGCAGGAGGGAGATGCGTTTATTACGCACAAGTCACCGAAGGAAACCTTGTGCTTGAGCGCGAAGGGGCGCTGCTCCTCGACGATCTCGTCCATCCCGACGCTAGCCTTGAAGTTGGTCTCGATCTGGGCGAAGGCCATGATGGAGCCGTCAGCGCCACCACCGCTGTGCATTTGATCAGTACGATGTTGACGCTGAGCGGAGGGCCGTAGTACGTACCCGAACTTCCCCTGGCGAGCCAGGGCAGGCGAGAAGCCGATAGCATCGTGGAAAGTCAACTACAGACGCCGTTCAGTAAATGGAGATTTTCTCGAGCTGCGCGGATGCAAGAAAGTTTTGACGTACGCGCAGAGACTCATGAGCTTCCTCTCCTACAGTAGCGCATGGAGTGAGCATTTGGCAGTCAATGTTCAAGGAAGGCGGTCTTACCGCACTGAGATCCGTCGAAACTGTGGCAGAGAATATTAGAACATAGAATGTAAGAAGGGCAAGAAATATTTACAGGTTCGTCTGGATATCGTCGAGGACGTCAAACCAGACGCAGCACTAGAAATCAACGGTTGAGCATGCCTGCAAACTCTGATACCAATTACAGTGCCAACCTTTGCATTGCTGGCGCTGCGACCCTTGCTGCAGGACGCTCTCTTCGACGGGACCGCAGAGACGACCGCGGCGAGAGCGAGGAACGATACGAAGACTTTAGAAAACATTGTAAGTTATGAGGGGTTTCAACGAGGGTGACCGTTTGTGGGGAAGCGGTTGAAGGAGAGAGTGCAGAAGAGAGTGCAGGTGAGTGCTCTGGGGTCTTCCGTCGAGCCAGAGGCGGTCTTTATACTCGTCTTCCTGTGTACGGGCGTTCTGCCCAAAACGACCAGCAAGCACGAACGAGCACACCGCCACGGCTACCTTGTGTGTCCCGCGGAGGTTGTGAGTCACCCAATAGCAACGACGCAGTTCCTAAGCCAGTGCAGGTTAGACAGATCCGGCTAGGACAGTTCACATACCTCTCAAGGTCACCGACGACCCTAGCCGCAGCAATTCGCGAGTCAGTGGGGCGTTGTCGCCGTGTACGCGTCGCCGACTGCACGGTACCGCGGGCAGCGATCCGGAGCGGGGATGCACAAGGTCTACCTGCTTGTTTGACGTGCACGGCCAACAACTGTTCCGTGTGATCGTTACGAACCCCAGAAGCTGCTGGGAAAAATAACGGGCCGCGTTTGATATTCCAAGCCACATTTCACGCCACGCTCAGATGTCGACGCCGCCAGGTCAGTACGAATGCAGTTGACGTTCTGGGATATTTCTCGAAGTCACTGGCAACGAGCCTCCGGGAGTAACTGAGTGGCTGTAGAGGGTTGGGCATGAGCTGATATCCATACGACAAGTCAACACGACGTACCCGTGCAATTTCTCTTTCTGGTAGGAGAAGAAGCATAAATGGAGTGCTAGTACGAAGATGCGGCGCACGATAGTGACGTGAGGGCGGTATACTAGCACTGCTTAGTGCTGGGATCAACAGCGCGGAAGTTATCTTTTCGCCTCCGTACCGGGAGTCCTGCCAGTCGTTGCGGTGCCTCACCGTGATATTCGGTGTACGTTTGTCGGTTCTGAGCAGACACGTCACCTTTGCAATGGGACTCTGCTAGTATCCCGCCGTTGCTACCATCCGGAGCTTGAAGCTGCGGTGTCCATGATCCATTGCCCCGACGGCGTCGGCGGGCGCGGCACGGAGTAATTGAGCCGTATCCGATACCACAGCCTCACTATAGACAAGACGCCGAGCGTGCACGCATAACAGAGAGGTACCGCAGGGTTATGCCAAAGACGCCGAGATCGCGGCAAGAGTCGAGATCCAAAAACGAACGCCGCGGCGAGCTCAGGGTTCAATGTGGCTGTGCCCCGGGTGCGGTGCGCTCGCCCAATTTGGTATGGACAGTGATCCTCCTCGAAATCTGCGACGAGTCCGCCACTTACGTTAGGGGGCAAGGGTGATAGCAACTGTTGTCCGCAATGGTCAAACCTAATGTGCGATCATGGGTGAGTATATCCTTAACAATGGGCTCATTTGTCCGAGTGGCACGGGATCCCGCGGCACCGACACATTTCCGGGAAAGCAGGCACACCGTTTAGAGTCCCTGAAACATGTGCGCCAGGAGCAAAAGGTGGCATGGAAAAGGTAGTAGACCATGAGTCTGTCTGCCATTTGGTATCATAAATACTGCACACAGGTGTTAACATGTCAGCGCCGGAATGACATCTTTCGCTCGCTGGGTGCAGTGGCGGACCAACTTTGTGCGCATTTCCCGGGCCTCCTTGCACTTCCACACGGTTCTCGAGATCCGATGCATGTTCCATAAATACTATATGTGGAACTCCCATGTCGCGCACTTGGAGAGCATTGCAGCAGTCACTCGATGTCGCACTTGGCAGATCGATGTGTAACGCATGCGGACACTCACTCACGGCCCGTACGGCTATGAGAAACTACCGGCCCGGAACTCTACGCCTTCCATGTCATTCTTGTGTTCCAAATTCCAATGCGGTGGGCATGAGCGGTACTATGATGCCTTGATGGCCGGACGAAAGGATCTCGGAAGACATTCTAGTAACTGCCTCGGAGCGGCCCGCCCATGACCGTGCCGAAAACAAGCTTTACAGACGGCCCAGCTCGAAGAGGGTGAGATCTACACGTGTGTGCTAAAAATAGGAGTGAAAGCCAATGAAGCACTCACCTCGTGGGACAAAGTAAGATGCAACGGTGATACGACGAGGGCGTCGCACTGCCTTGTAGGTGAGCGCGCGACGCGGCGAGGGCCCGGCAGTTTCTCCATGACGCGCCCTCACCCAAGGAGCAGGTTTCACGCCGACAGACAGGGACGAGCGTGTGAGAGAGACCGGAAGAGGGTTCGATGCGCCGGGCGGGTTGCCAGTGCGCGCCTCCCTCGGGCGCTCCGATACCGCGATGATGATCTTAGTCGCCTTCCTAATCGGGCGACCCCAAAATCGATCTCGGCCTTCGTATCTCTCCTGCTCCTGACCACATCCTGCCCGCAGGAGACACCCACAGTCCTGAGAACCCGGCCAAGATGGTAGTCCTCGGCGCAGAACAGTCCGACGCCCAGTCGCTCCCCTTCGAGGCGACACTCGCGAAGCTCGCATCCGTGCTGCCCGAGAAACTGCGCCGGCCCCGCGTCGGCATAGTCTGTGGCTCCGGGCTGAGCACGCTCGCCGCCGCGATCCGCGACGTCGTGGAGGTGCCTTACGCATCTCTGCCCGGGTTCGGCAAGAGCACAGGTACGCCTCCCACCCTGCCGTGTGTGTGATCGTGCGACTGACAGCGCCACCGTCGCGTCGTGATAACCTTTCGTAGTCCTTGGACACAAGAGCCAGCTCGCTTTTGGCTTGATTGGCCCGGGCGAGGGTGTCCCGGTTGTTGCGATGCTTGGACGCGTAGGTCACTTTCCCCTGGTGTGGCGAGCAATGACTCCTATTCACTGGGGTGTGTAACGAAAGCAACGGCACTGGGCTCTTGCCACCATCACACTTCGAAACGAAGTAGGGTGGTGGCTGCTACTCTGCTCACTGTTGTCCCTTGACGTGCGCAAACAACGGACTTTCTCAGGTGCATGCGGCTGGTTCCTGATGACGGCAGGAGTACAGTGCACGCATTGCTCTGGGGAATATGCATGACTTGACCCGTCTCTCTTCGCATGCAGGGAACCGTTATTGATATTGCGGCTAGATAGCTTCATCCATACGAGGGACATGGCCTTGCGACCGTGGTATACCCTATTCGCGTGATGGCACGGTTGGGAATAACCCATCTCATTAGTACGTACTCACTCCTTACCTCAGTGCGCTCGATGCTGATGCTTACACGACAGTCACGAACGCCGCTGGCGCGCTCAACCCTGACATCGCCGTGGGCACGAGTACGTGCGCCTGGCACAACCTCTACGCGCCCACACTGACACTGGTCGCGTAGTCGTTGTGATACAGGACCACCTGGCGCTCCCAAACCTGACGGGAATGAACCCGCTTCTCGGCCCCCCGGCTGGGCCCAACTACCCCCGCTTCCTCCCCCTGTCCTCTGCCTACTCTGCCTCACTCCGCCGGCTGGCGTTCCTTGCGTCGCACAAACTCAAGCTCGGGCTAGACGCGCTCGCTGAGGGTGTCTACGCCTGGGTGTCTGGGCCGACGTACGAGACTCCTGCGGAGGGCCGGATGCTGCGAAATGCTGGCGCCGACGTCGTCGGTATGAGCACGGTGCCTGAGGTGCTGGTAGGGAAGGAGGAGGGGTTGGAAGTCATGGTCCTCAGTCTGGTCACGAACATGGTAGTTATCCCGCAGAAGTACAGAAGCATCAAGGAGGAAGTAGAGGCGGAGGTAAGCCCTTGCGCCCGTCTACTCGCCGCTCTGCGGTGGCACATCACTTCACGAAGCTCACTAGCCCTTCCTAGCTCGCGGGGAAGCCCGTTGTCCAGCAGAAGGAGGAGACAGTGTCGCACGAAGAGGTGCTGCTAATTGGCAAGCAGAAGGCGGAGGTGATGAAGAATCTGGTCGGGAAGATTGTCGAGCTGATCGCGAGCGAGAGCGGCTGACGGGGATGCGTGGTTTTGCCGTATTAGTGTATTACGTAAGCCGATATATAGCCCATCGCGAGCGCCGCGTTCGTCGACGAGCCCACCGACGACGACGACCCCCGCCCGTCGACGAGAGTAGGTGCGTGTTCATCGTCCCCGACGGCGCCGATGAGGTTCTGACCGTCGTGTGCCCCGTTTTCTTTGTCGTTCGCGTCACGCTGCTGCGACCACTTTGTCACCCCCCGGTGTGGCGTCGTCCCGTACCCGACTTTTCCCTTCGGTCGACCTCCCACCTCCTGCTGTTGCTCGACCTCATTGCACCCGGCGACGACCTCCATCTGCGCTTAACTGCTCTTTTTCAATCATCCTGCCGTCCCTCCTACGTGGAAATCATCGTGCTTGACACTGTAATTCTTGCCGGCCTCGAATCATCGTGTCTAGCCACATCCCCCTCGTCAACCCACTGCTGCAGAGTGCTTGGACAGTCGTCGTCCTCTAGACTTGATTTTTGCCGTCTTTTATACCAAGTGAGTCATGTTCTTGATGGTCTTCGATGGTTTGCGGAGGACGTTGGAGGAAAGAGAGTCCTGTGGCTAGGCGAAGCCACAGACGCTCGGAGTTGGTCGGCAGTTCATGCCGTCGCGATTTTTGCGCAAAGTAGGCGTTTTCCTAGGGTGGGCATACGGCACATGCATTGTCTGGATACTGACGGAAGCCGAGGAGGATGCGGGTACATCGAGTGCTTGCCCCATTGTCGGGCAGCAAGTCATTGAAAAACTCCCTCCCGATCTCGCTGGCTTCGCCTCATAGAGATGTGTACTGACTATTTCACTTACAGCATATACCCGCTGGCCGACATTTACAATCATTGATATATCCTAACTAATCACCACTAATTCACCGACATGCTCGTCCGGGTGATCCCTCCGTATGGCCAAGCGGACATAATGTTCAATTGCACCATGTCGGACCCGATGCACGACGACGATAAGCCCTGTCCAGGCTCGTGGCGCGTACAGCTCGACACCCTGGAGGCTTTGCAGGAGGAGGGCCTCGCTCTCGAGTATCCTAGGGATATCCACGCTCTCGACAAGGCGGCGTGGCAGTCTGCGCTCATGACCGAGATCATTTTCGACGTCAGGCAGCAGGTGCTCGCGTGTATCTTTTTCGACGGATATACCGTCTCCTGGCCACTCCAGTCGACGGCTAACGTCTCAAGATGCATGGCCTCACTCGAGCTCGTCATGTCTACGGCGCGTGGGATCAACCCAGGCCCGGAGTCCGGCCGCAGGTCCTGGGGCCACGATCTGCCATCAGCACCAGTCTCCGAGGCTGCTCCTGCTCTGCAGTCCGAGACTTCGTCGATATCCACGTCCTCCCACCGCTCGAAGCACAAACGGCAAAGGTCGCTGCTCGGCTCCATCGTGTCTGCCTTCAAGGGCATCCTCCCGGACAACATGGGGCGCAACTCGGGTCCTATCCTTCCTTCGTCCCTGCCACCACTGAAGATTCCCTCCGGGCATGCTCGTTCGGCGTCAACGTTCTCTCGCACTCAGATCTCGCCCCCGGGTTCTCCAACGGTTTGCGAGCCTCCCCCACCGCCGCCGTCGGGCTTCAGGTTGGTCGTCCGTCCTCGCGAGCCTATCCCTCCTCCCCCGGCGTGCAAGCCACTGGAGCCGGACCAGATTCTGCGTCGATATGCGCGGTCTGTCTTGTTGGACACGGTTCGCGAGCACGTGTATCCCATGTTCTCTACTACCGGGCCACCGTCCTTTGAGGACAACTCTCGTCCTATGGAATGGGCTGCGCAGGTGGCGGGGTATCCGCCTGGCTTGTATCCGGCATGGGCTGCTCGGAGCATGCTCCGCCAGACCGAGGACCGGTTACGGGAGATGATCATGGATGCGAACGCGCGGGGCGTCGGAGACGCCATGGCGTGCGGTGCAGTGGGCTCCGCGCCTATGACCAGCCAGTCATCGCGGGATTCGGACGACTCGGATGATACTATCTCTGCGAGCACCAGCGCGAGCGCGACCAGTCTCACCACGGAGACCGACGGGTCCTCTGTACACACGCCCCTCGATTCGCCGACGTGCTCGCCTTTCGTTCCTTCTACGCCGTCCTTCGCCAAGCTTCCTCTGGTCGAGCCGAAGATGCTCCCTCAGGTTCCTCGCAGCCCCTCCCCTCCACCGTACGACTTCGACATGTCGGCATACCACGCGCTCACGAATCTCCGCGCACGGCTGTTCTCCATCCTGTCCCGTCTGGGTTCCACGCCCCGGCAGATCCACAACCTGCAGCTGGGCATCCGGAACGGCTCGGATCTCACCGTTCTGGAGATCAAGAGCCGGCGCCGCGCGTGGAGCTGTCGCGACTTCGTGGGCGGGGCGCGTCTCTCCCTTGTCGGATTGTCCACCCCTGCTCGCAGCTCTCCGCTCGCGCGCTGCGAGCCCGTCACCGCGGAGATGGTGGCTCAACTACAGGCGCAGGCTGCGCAGGAGACGGGGCGCACGCGCTTAGCGTGCCTGGCGGACGAGGGCGCTGAGTTCGGCATCCCCGGCGCCTGTGCGGGCGTCAAGGTCATGACGAAGGAGCTGGACTCGCGCCTGTTCTCGCTCGAGGAAGAGGACGAGGAGGACGAGGAGGAGCCACATGCGGGGTACCAGTCTGGCTACGGCTTCCAGGAGTATGTGGAGGACGAGGAGTGGCGCAGCGGCCCCGAGTATGACCTGGAAAGCGGGCTGCTTGCGTTCCCTCGGCCTGAAGCTGTCGCCCCATCTGGACCTAGTTCATACGCATTGCCACCGTCGCATTCACATCCGATGGTCCGGACTCGTACGCGGAGCATGCGAGTAGAGCGTCCTTCTGTGCCGTCTGCCGAGTCGGAGCCCCATTCGCTTTCGTCCGCAGGAGGAGGGCTATCGCCCAATTCGCTACTATGTCAACCGCTGAACGTCAAGGTTCCCGTACCTGTGATCCTTGACAATGGCTCCGAGTTGGCCGGCGGCCTTCGACATGGCTCCGAGTTCACACTGTCCATGGACCTGCCTTCACCGTTCTCTCCTGCGCCGCGAGGGTGGGTAGGTGACAATGTGGCTGGGGCGCCGTGGCGATGAGCTACGCATCACCGTCGTGAATCTCGAATGCGCTTCGGCGTTCCACGCGGCGAAGCCTCCTTGGTCTCGCCGAGGTTTCTCTGGCGCCACACTTGACGCCAGGTCGTATAGGATGCGACTCATGCTCCCAGGTCTCCATCTGCATCGCAATCAAGGTCCGCTTCATCTTCATCACTGTGCTTCATCTCCCTGCATTTCTTCATGCCTCCTCACGAGTACTCCCTAATATTATATCCACGGTATTGTCGCATTTTCCTGCATCGGCCACCACCATCAATCATTCATCCCGCGCATATTCTTCCACACGCACTCATTGTCTGCTTTCTCCCCATAACTGCTTTCGCACACTCGTCCTTCGCATCGTCGCATATTATAATGACCCTTCACTTGCTCTGTACATACTGCATGCGTTCGCACGCACCCATCCCCCATCCCTTCTCGTAATCCGTTGCACGAAACCAACCATCAACCACGTCATTTCTCCCTTCCCCGGCCGTGCCTGCTTCACGTATAATGTCCCTTTGTGTATCATATAGTCCCTCCCTTCTCGTGGGTCCGGGATCAGTATCTTGGAACTTCCCGTCTGGCCGACGCCGTTGTGCACGTAGTAGTACGTACTGATAGAATCCGGAAATCAAAGGGTGTACAGACACCGCATAGACATCGTCAGCCGGAGTCGTCAACCGGAGGCTCATTCGGCCCCGCACGAGGCGAGCATGCTTTCGCTGTCATCCTCGTACCCGCTCAATGATTACACTACAATTACATCCGGCTTCTGACATTTATACCTACAAGGCCAGGGATCTAGCTACCACTTGATGTCCGTCTCCGGTTTCCTATCCACGCATATACTCAGCTCCCAGTCCCCCGTCCGCTTCGCCCACCGATACATCTTCACGCCCCCATACCCGCCCCTCGGGCCCGCCATCTCCGCCACCAGGTCCGCGAACGTCGCCGGGTCGTCCCTGCGCGAGACGTACACCTGGCTAAACGAGCGCAGGCGGTCGTACACCACAATGTTGTCGCGCCCAGGGCCCGCGAGCCCGACCTGGAGCTTGACGAGGAACGGCTTGTCCGCGTGGACGTTCGCGTGTGGGGTGGACGGGCTGCCGACCTGCATGCCCGCGAGGATGTCCTCTAGCCTCGAAGTCCAGGGGCCCGATGGGGAGCAGGACGGAGGCGCGGTAGTTGTCCTCAAAACGCCGTTTCTCCGGCCGGAAGTCCGGCGGAAGGAGTTTCGTGTTCATTTCGAGCAGCTTCAGGAGGAGCTTCTGCTCGAGCGCGGTCGCGCTGATGTTAATGCCGATGCCGCGCAGGGTCTTCGGGTCGTTGGCAACCTGGTACTGGCACCAGCGGGCGCCGTCCATCGCGTTCGTGCGCGTGACCGAGTGGTAGAGGAGCACCATCGCGGGTGTTTTTGTGTCTATCTCGTGGACCTTCAGAAACTGCACGCATCGCGGTGAGCATGTATACGCGAGTTTGCGGCGAGATGTAAATGTGACCTACCCGGATGTTTATGGCCGACTTTTCACGATCTGGGTCCTGTATCGTGCACCACATAAAGCCGTTGTCCAGACCATTCGCTAAGCTCATATGCGTTTGGCGCAGGTCCATGAATGGATCCGTGAAGAGCTCAGGTGAGGCGGACAACCCCAGGAGTGCGGCCTGGCTGTTCTGCCGTGCTTCGTGCATATTGCCTCTCTTCACGGCGTCGAGCAGGAGCCGGGCGCTGCTGTTGATTTCTCCGGTCTTGACGAGCGGCCACATGGGAAGCTCTCGGAGTTTTGACGGGTCGGGACACCTGTCCTTCCCCTGAGCGGCGTCGAGTGCGTTGACCAGACGCTTTTCGAGAACCGCATCGACGAGTTTGGTGTCCTCTGGAAGCTCTATTCCCATCGAGGCCAACACCGTCAGTTTCTCTGTGCGCGTGAGTGGCTCCATGGCGTGTGGCGTCGAGGAGAGAAGACAAGTTGCGGAATCCATTTTTGCGCGAACTTGAAGCCCAGGGGTATTTCCAAAACAGGCGATCTCTCGGAACTTGCCGGCAGAGGGGGAAAGTGGCAGGAAGCGCCCAATTTGCCTCCTCCTCGGACCTCCTCCACCCATGGCACGTCTTCAAAGCTTCAAGCCCTATGCTGGCTTGCCGTATAATGTTTTCTCCGCTATGAAATCCCTCAGAGTGAAATATACCAACGCGTTCAGGAGCGGCCTCCGTGTGGATCGCCCTATCCACCTAGGCGAGACAGGTTTCGACTAAGTTCGAGGTTAGTGGGAAACTAAACAGGTGGTTCGAGACGGCCCGATGGAGACAGACCACAGCAGGCTGTTCCTCGCCATCGCTCGTGACAAGACCCAGCGGCCGCTCTTCGTGGATTCTAGCCGATCCTCACAGCCCAAGGATCTACCACCTAATGTCCGTCTCCGGCCGCCGGTCCACGCATATGCTCAGCTCCCAATCGCCCGTCCGCTTTGCCCACCGGTACATTTTCAAGCCCCCAAACCCGCCGCGCGGGCCCGCCATCTCCGCCGCGAGGTCCGCGAACACCGCGGGATCGTCCTGGCGCACGATGTACACCTGGCTGAACGAGCGTTGCCGGTCGTACACGGCCATGTTGTTGTGCCCGAGCTGGAGCTTGATGAGGAACGGCCGGTGTCCGTGCACGTCTGGGTGCGGGACGGACGGATCGCCGGGGCCCATCGTGGGGATGTCCCTGATGCGCGTTGTGGACGTGTAGCGGTTGATGTTCGCGGAGTACATGTTCTCCATCCCGGGCATGGTGGGGCGGAAGGTGACGGTGGACCAGCGGCCGCCTTTGAGCGAGCGGCAGGTCGGTTTGTGGTGTGGCCAGTCAATCTTCTGACATGCTGAGGAACAACTAATCGTAAGCGATCACGGAAAAACGACAATGCACAGCATCGGGACGAGCCATATGCTGGTGTTGAGAATATGCGCAGGACTCCGCAGGGGGGTTCCCTATGATTAATGCGTTTCTCACTCTAGCATATGGCTTTATCCATTACAAGAGGGCTTACCTGGGGAGCAGTACGTTGCAGACTGGCATTGACTGCATCGGGATGTGCCGCTTTTGCCACAGACCTCGCATCCAGTGTCATGGGTGAGTTTGCTGATCGCCTCAAATCCGAGAGGACCGATGGGGAGAAGTACGGAGGCGCGGTACTGCTCCTCGTAGCGTCGTCTTTGGGGCTGGAAATCGGGGGGGAGGATCTTCCTGTTCATCTCGAGCAGCTTGAGGAGGAGTTTCTGCTCGAGCGCGGTCGCGCTGATGTTCATGCTGACGCCGCGCATGTTCTTCGGGTTGTTGGCGATCTGATCTTGACACCAGCGGATGCCATCCATAGCGTTTTCACGCGTGAGCGAACGGTAGAGGAGAACCATCGCCGGTGTTTTATCGTCGAGTTTGTAGACCTTTAGGAACTACACATTCCGCGATGAGTAGGCATGCTCAAGTCGATAAAGCGGGCACTTACCCGGAGATTGATGGCCGAGGTTTCGCGATCCGGGTCCTGTATAGTACACCACATGAAGCCTTTGTCCAAGATGTTCGCGAGACTCATATGCGTCTGGCGTAAGTCTATGAACGGGTCGGCAAAGAGCTCGGGCGCGGCGGACACCCCCAAGGACGCGGCCTGCATGTTCTGCAGCGCTTCGTGCATATTGCCTCTCTTCACGGCGTCGAGAAGGGGACGAGCGGTGCTGTGGATGTCTCCCGCATTTACACGGGGCCACGCAGGAAGGTCCAGTAGCTTCGACAGGTCTGGAAACCGGTCTTTGAGTGTGCTCTTTTTCCTGAGCAGCGTCAAGCGCATTGCGCAGCCGTTTGTCGAGAACCTCCTCGAGGAGTTTAGTGTCCTGGGGAAGCTCTATTCCCATAGAGGCCAAAACCTTCAGCTTTTCCGCGCGTGTAAGCGGCTCCATGGCGGGTGGCGTGAAAGAGAGAGAGCGACGAAAATTCGGACTTGGCCCATTCCCGAAGGAGCGATGTCTCGGAACTTGCCGGAGTGGATATCCGGAAGCGCCCGTTTTGCGACAATCCTCAGGCTCCTCCGACAATCCTTCGAAGTTGCTCGGTTTCCTCCTCAATCTTGCAACAGAGTCGATGGCATCATATACACACCGTATCTCATAAGTAAGTGAGTAAGAAGCATCTGAGCGTCGTCTCTAATGCTCACAGTGGATAAGCCTTAGTAGTGAGTAACACCGCTCTATGGGCGTCGCTGCCTTGAAGTCGCGGCTCTGTACGACTTCCCTGCACCGAGGATATTTTGCTCGGGAGCCTTGCATGAAATGCTGCTCCTGTCACTCCCCTGTTAATGCAACGGTTTACCGCTGAAGATAATCTGTGCCGTGCTGCCCTCGAGGTGGTTCTTACACTTCCGAAGACGTGTCTCGCCAGCGCGAATATGCGGCGTGCGTCAAGGGCATGACGTCCTTCGTCGTCCATTACACGTCTTAAACGTCATTACCCTCATATACCCACTTCATGCGCTGCCATAAGCGGGAGTGCTACGAGCGTAGCGCTCCTCCCATGCGACAGAAGTCGCTGGCGAGAACCCGGTAAGCGCCATCTTGACACGAGGGAGCGCGTTTGCTGATAGCCCTCCGCCACAGGTATCTGTGCTACGATATCTGGAATGATACCAAAGACGCTGTGGCGGCATGATATCAGGCCAAGAAGGCGAACGTAATAAATACTCAATCAGATGCCGCGGAGAGGAGCCTACCGACCGCCCTCCGTCCCTCCCCCTGCCAGACTATGGACCCCGAACTTGCGGCCGCAATGGCCGCGTTTCCCGCGCGCTCTGCAAAGAAACCCGCATCAATTGCGGAAGCAAGGGACCAGATGGACAAATTGTTCACTGCACAGTTCGTAGCTTGGACGAAGACGCTTCTTCCCCCCGGTATGTCTTCTGCGTTCTTTTCTGAGATGCTTACGCAACTCACCGTTCCACAAACAGCCTCCACGTACGCCGTCCAAGACAGGGTCGTACCCGTAGAAGACGGCAAAGTCACAGTCAGATGCACTGTTCCAGTAAACGAGGATGAGAATATGATATTCCCGCTGCTCTTCAATATACATGGCGGTTGTAGGTCCCTTCATGCAATGTTTACCAGGATTCAGGTTCTGACTATACTCGCCATAGCATGGGTGTCTAATGATATCAGCATGGAGGACTACTATCTTCGTCGAATCTGTGTAGATCTGCAGATATCTGTTGTAAACGTCAACTATCGGTACGCACCCTCATACCGCCTATACCTCGCCGCTCAAGAGCTCAACTTCCAAAGTCTGGCTCCAGAGTACCCGTTTCCGACTTCAGGAAACGACTGCCTCGCGGCTCTGAGATGGGTACGTTTCATGCTGCAATGTCCTACTACTACCATGCACTTTCTTATCCCGCTCCGATCATAGACGGCCGAGAACGCGCAACTCCTTAAGGCAGATCTGTCCAAGGGATTCTTGCTATTGGGCGACTCCGCGGGAGCAAACCTTTGTGCTGTGCTCACCCACGAAATACGCGGCGACCCCGTCTTCGACGGTAGGCAGCTCACTGGACAGTTCCTTCGAGAACCATTTGTCGTACACCCGGAGGCGTACCCCGAGAAGTATCTATTATTCAGCCTTCTGTGTGATGCGGGCGTACTGTATGCTCATGCACCGTCTACAGGTACAAGGCAGACTTGCGCTCCAACGTGGATAATTTGAAGTACCTCCCGCACGGCGTTACTGCCGAAGAACTCAACGGCTTGATGGGTAGGGCCTTCAGCATCGATTGTCGCATCTCGTGGCATCCCCCGCTGATGGTTCTCGGCCTGTAGCGCTTTACCAGGCACCTCCGTCGGACCCGCGTTTCTCCCCGCTCCTCTACCCCTCCCATGAGGGGCTCCCACGGGCATATATACAGGCGATGGGGCTCGACACCGTGCGCGACGACGCGTTTGTATACCAGAAAGCACTGCAAGAGGCGGGCGTCGAGACGAAGCTCGAATTGTATGTCCGCCCTTGGCTCGCTCTACTCCGTTCAACTCTGATCTTCGTTGGTACGGACAGATATCCTGGGGTGACGCACGGCTTCCATAACCAATTCCCGACTATATCTATGGCGACGAAGGTCTGGGATGATACGAGGAAGGGTCTTCAATGGTTGCTGAGGCGGATGTGATAGAGAGGTACGATCATGCGCTCGTCATATTGCTACTCGCGGCACAGGCTTTTGTACCTAGGATGAACGTTGAAGTGTGATGCAGCTACGCGTTTCGCGCGTCGTGCGCTGGGCTACGGGTACAGATGGTTACATGAGAAATGAGGTAGAAACAGAAATGTGCAAGCGAGAATGAAGATGCTTCGTGCTTCAAGGGCATGATAACTATTGGATCGCGAGCCGGAGGAACCTTCGAATGTGCGGTGCACGTCAAGCACGAGCAAGAGAGGCATGAAAGGGGTTGCATAGGGATCAGAGATGAAAGCGGGGATGGAAGACGAGAGTGGATAGAGACGAGCGCGGATATATACGGCAAAGCTGTTCTGGATGAGCGAAAGTGGTGTAGTGGGCGATGGAGTTTAGCTTCCAACCGATCTTATGGTCGATGGCGATGCGGCGTCTGAAGTGAAGTACTGGCAGTGAGTCGAATCGGCGTTCAACCAGCACATCTCATGCACAGAAAGGTGACTTACCGAGTGTCAGGCGACATCCCTGGCTTTACCCTTCTCGCTTGCCGTTCCCTGAAGGCCGCCACTGCAGGCAGCTTCTGGCGAAGGAGAAAGCAAGCACAGATGCGGCGAGTCGTCGGAGCTGGCGACATCGCCGCGCAGGGCAACGGTCTGAGCTGGGAGGTGCCGGCACGACGGCCGGGCCAGCCCCATCCTACAAGGGCAAGGTAGGTTGTGGCGAGGACGAAGGTGAGCGGGAAGCCAAAGCGGCGGCTCGGCAGGACCGCGTGCCCCGAGGGCTGACGAATGGCGACCGACCGCGGCAGGTTGTTCCTCGTCATTGCGAGAGACAGAATCTACACTGCCGCTCTTCGCAGAGTGCGGACCCGCTTCGCATGATACCGGAAAGCCAGCTTGCAGTGTGCGCCTGATTTGATCCGGTAGTTTCTCGTACGCCGATCTCGGCCACTTTACCGCCTCGCCACTTGCAGGCAAAAGAATGGTGTCGATGGCGTATTCCATCTCGTCATGGGTTTCGAGGGGCGATAGTTTCGGACTGGGTGGGCGCGGCGGCGCAGTTGGCTTGTATGCGCTGGGGCTCGGCATACTCGCTGTCTCTCCAGAGCACTGCTCGCCGTCTACGCCACCCCGGGCGGCCCCCAGCCTGCGCATGAGTGCCTGTCTCCTGGCTCGGGCTTTGACATTTGAATAGCTACACATGGGCCCTGTGTCGTTACTACGTCCGATTGGGTCCCAGTATGCCTTGATCCTGTCGCTGGAATAGTGCCGCTCGCAGAGCTTTCCTAGTTTCGTCAACAGACGAGCGAGTGGGTTATCACTCCCGCCCAAGGGCCTGTAGACGAACGCTAAGCCTTGAGAGATGAGTGTAAACTTGCCGGATCCATCCCATCGGGCCAACACTTGGTCAGCATATCGACGTTCGTAGGCGCCGGTGAAATTGCTCGCAAGTATTGATTCATCCGGGCAATTAGTAAGGGCATGCTTCAGAAACCTCAGTGTGCACCAATTGAGGACGTGCAAAAACGACTCTAGGTCGTCCGACAGCTCATACGGCTTGTCTGGGCATAATTGCACCAACGCTGACTGGAAGTCCCAGGTGCCCTTTCAAGAATATGCGTCATATTCCACGTCTTCAACCCAACAGCCCAACCAACGATGAGAGACGCACTATGTCAACGGTAGGAGCGAGTTTATCCTTCGCCGTAGCAAGTCTCCAATCAGCAAGGATGAATTTTCGCCCCATTGGGTCGGTGGGATCCTCGTAGATGAGAATATTCCCGACGCTGATGTTGCGATGGAGAAGCTCCGCATTCTCCCAAGCGTCCCTATGGACTTGTTGCGCATATGATCAGTATCAATGCGTCGAGTATTGTGAGACCAGACGAACGCATACCCATTATAGCAATGGACACCGCAAGCATGAGCTCTCTAGCATCGTCAAACTCCTCCAGGGTTCGGCAAACCTCTTCAAAAACGAGTCTGGCATGTCTTCTAGGGAAGTGGGGGGTTGAATCTTCCGCGCCTGGTGCATAATCGTGTGTGAGGGTAGTTTGCGTTTGGGGTGTTTGGCTCCCGAACCAAGACTCCGAACGGGCACCGGCCTCCGAATGAGCAGCATGGTCTGGAAAGCAAGACGACGGGGGCCATAGGACGTCACCTCCAGCGCGGAGCGTCAATAACCCCTCATCCAAGACGTCAGGTGTCATCTTCCGGAGCAGCGTCTGATAGTTGTCAAACTCGCTCGGGACATCCGCAGATAGCGGTCGCCAGCTGTCCTTGATCCATACTACCGTGCCCTCCGTAAGATCGTACGCCACGAACCCTCGCGTTCCGCTCTCGTACAACCGATCACTGATGTAGCTTGGTCTCCCGACGAGGCAACGGTGACTTGTGCACGCCGCCGTAGTTCCCGCGTCCAGGAAGGTGTGTTTCGGCGACCACGGAGCGTAGACATCTAGCGCGTAGATGAGCCACCCTGGAGTAGCAGCCGTCTTCAGGCCGCGCAGAACTGTCGGGTTGATAGCAGAGTCTTCAGAAAAGTGGGTGTGGAGCTGACGGAAGAGTGCAGCCTCAGAGGAAGAGGCGAGTGACGCGGTGGGATCGTGTCCGCGTTGCTCGCGCGACATTTTGCTGAATCGATGGACGAATCGCCCGAGTATGGCGGTCGGGTCGTTGTAGAGGTCGAATGGCTCCGAAGATATGGCCCCGGCCCTATCAAATCGGAAGAAACGTGCAGAGCTACCACAGATGCTGACGACAAAGAAGAAGACGCGATGCTGGTGGCTGAAGATGAGAGACGCATAATCCGCAACCCATGAAGGCACCTGCGTGGATCCTCCTTTCGAAGACAGCACAAGGGCGGTATGGACACTGATGCAAGCTTCAGCCAATGACCACGCCGTATGATGATTGGACGGCGGCTCTCCGGAGAGACCATCGACGACGAGCTCAGTCGGAGGAGCCCGGCAGGGAGTAGAAATTGAAGTGGGTGAGCCGCGCGGTGGGGTTTCGCAGCCTTCTTTTGCCCTTCCCGAGGTCCCGATCAACTCAGGCTGAGGGTAGACTGCAACATCAGGCCAAATCGTGCTCTTGGTTCCCGTGAAAGCCCGCTCATAGCGTTTCGGGAGGGTGCCGTAGCGGTAAGCCACGATATTGCGACAGCCAGAAGTTTTGAAAATCTTATTGAACGCACTGCTCTATTAAATTTATGATAAGCTGCATCATATAAGATGTAGTATGAGCTCACCAAGTTTTTGCGCATCGTTCCCTTCGACATCGTTAGATCAGGTGTAAGCGCATGCCAGCATCGAGATGCCACCGCATCATCGTCGCCGGGCATGAACGCTCGCATCCACTCCTCGACAGGGATCTGGTGAGATCGCATGGCGATTTAGAATATTGAAGTAAAAGATATTTTAGCAGATGTACATCGGTGAGGAAGTCAAAGTCCTCGAGTGTGTCGTGCCCCGATGGAGGTAGAGTGGTTGAAACTCCGCTGGCGCCGCGGCTGGAAGTTCACAGGCACAAGGGCGGCAAGACTTGCCACTCATTCTCGCGCTCTTTCCCACAAACCACATCAAGACATAGCAAACTTAGACGAATAGTGAGCTACTTGAATGAGTACCGCCAAACCAGGCTGTCCGGGGCTAATTTCATTCGTGTTTTACTTGTAAAGGGTTTGAATTGCAAGACGGGCGCTTCGATTGGCGATGCTACGATCCTCGGAGACACCAACCACGACATGAGTGAACAAGCAGCCCGTCCTCGCTCCACTATCAACAACACCCCTTTATACGCGTTTTCTGAAACTATGTCACTCGTTTTATACTTTGGAACGCAAACTGGAGTATCGCTAGGGGCAGAGAGCGTCGAAAAGGCAGCAACTAGTTGCTACGAGTGACGTATATGAAGCAGGCCATCGTCCTCTGTCCGATTCACAGCGTTCTCGCTCTGAACTACACAAGAAGACCCGTTTCTGGACACTCTTGATACTGTAGCCAGGAAAAGTACGCGCAGGTGCGCACGTGGCAATTTCTTGTGACTTCGTCCACACGACCTCTAATCGACATGAACTTAGTGTGATATGGCCAGGGACCATGAAGACGTGCGGAGCATCGGGAGCGGCATAGCGCGCGAAAACTGCCAAAGATCCCGGCCTTACACTCAATAAAAAGATACACAGCCGCTTGAACGCCGGCTCCACGTTTTGACGTCTGTGAGAGCTCATTGAATGTCTTCACTCTGCATAATGCCACCGAACGGCACACAGCCTTCGAAACTGTTTTCCCTTCGGATGCATCTATAGTGAGTCGGGACCCTACACCAACGCCGTATCACTGGCCTCACTCCATCCTAGGTCTCGACGAAGCATGTCCACCAAGGCCGCTACACAAAGTCATGGCACCGTGTTCTCGAAGCAACCCAACCTTCTTTTCAATGAAGCGAATGCAGCGCACGGATTACAAGGAGACCATAGACCTCTCGTGAGACCTACAAAAGTCTCACCCGACAACGCTCATCATCAAATTTGGAATGCATTCACGCGAAAAGATGATACACTGGAGACGGTGAGATGCATGATCGTCGTTCTGTCCGCGGAAATGACAGTATACTGACCCCGGCTGCCACCCTATTGACTTGGTAGGATGGTCCGTGCGATAGACATCAAGCGACAGAGCCTCGAGAAACCGGGGCACTGGCTAAGTAACCTCGGGGATGTCGGACAGACACATTCGTCGGCCATGGAGAGCTCTTCAAGGTTTCTCTGTTCTGGAAATTTGCTTCGTGGCATGAGAAGAGCAAAATCTATCCACTCTGATTGGCCTCTTCTAAGTTGTGGCCTTCGTCTTGGCATCCCGACGCGGCGGGACAGGGACCCACACCTCACGCAGTCGTGCTCTTGCATCGAAAAATGCCCCGCGATGGACGCAGCAAGAAACGTATATAAGGGAGGATAACGACGGCGACCTCCCTCAGAGCCTTCGACTACTCTCCTCAAGCATCACAATGGCCTTCAAGAGCCTTCTGACCATCGTCTCTCTCGCCGCAACCCTCGCGGGCACCAACGGTACGAAGCTCATGATCGCTATACATTCATTCCGTCGTAGCTGACGTTGCTTTGTAACTCAGCCGCACTGACGCGCCGCGTCACCTGCCCCGACGGCGTTAACACCGCGACGAACGCGGCGTGCTGCCAGCTGTTCGCTGTCCGACAGGACCTCCAGCAGAACCTGTTCCACGGCGGCCTGTGCACTGCCGAGGCGCACGAATCCCTCCGCCTGACGTTCCACGATGGTATTGCCATCTCGCCCGCCATGGAGGCGCAAGGCAAGTTCGGCGGCGGCGGTGCCGATGGCTCCATCTCTATCTTCCCCGAGATTGAGACCGCCTTCCACCCCAACATCGGCCTCGACGAGATCGTCGCGCTCCAGCGGCCGATCCAAGCGCGCCACAACCTCACACACGCCGACTTGTAAGTCTCACAGCTGCTGAGCTCAAGAGAAAACACTGACCTGTCCATAGCCTGCACTTCGCTGGTGCACTCGCCGCGTCCAACTGCGCCGGTGCGCCCCAGCTCTCCGCATTCGTCGGCCGCAAGGACGCCACCCAGCCCGCACCCGACGGCCTCGTCCCCGAGCCGTTCCACACTCCCGACCAGATCTTCGACCGCCTCGCCGACGCGTCCGAGGGCGAGTTCGACCCCATCCTCACCGTCTGGCTCCTGACCGCGCACACCGTCGCGGCGGCCAACGACGTCGACCCGACCAAGTCCGGGCTGCCGTTCGACTCGACCCCCGAGATCTGGGACACGCAGTTCTTCGTGGAGACGCAGCTGCGCGGGACGCTGTTCCCCGGAAAGGGGGGCAACCAGGGCGAGGTCGAGAGCCCGCTCGCCGGAGAGATGCGCCTGCAGAGCGACCACACGATCGCGCGTGACTCGCGCACGGCGTGCGAGTGGCAGTCGTTCGTCGACAACCAGCCGAAGGCCCAGGCGATGTTCCAGTTCGTCTTCCAGGTGCTCTCTACCCTTGGCCAGAACCAGGATGACCTGGTTGACTGCACTGAAGTGGTACGCCGCCGCGCTCCTCCAATAGCCTATTGAATGTACCGCTAACTACTGGCGCTTCTAGGTCCCGATCCCCGCGCCGCCGCAGGGCCGCACTCATCTCCCCGCCGGCATGACCATGAACGACATCGAGCAAGCAGTAAGGCCTCATTCCACATTATCCGCTACCAAATTGTACTCATTCTCGGGCACAGTGCGCCGAGACTCCCTTCCCCACCCTCCCGATCGACCCTGGACCGCGCACTGCTGTCGCCCCCGTGTAAGTATTTGCACCCATTAACATTACATTCTGGTGCAATACTGAAATGCACCCCCCCAGTGTCCCCCCGCCGAAGGTGAACCTCTAGAAACCTGCGCTTGAAACGCGTTTGTGTTCCGGTTTATGGACCTCGCGGGCGGGGTCGCTCGCTGTCAGGGTACCCTTGAGATATCTTGGATTCCCACTGCTGTATTAACCGAACAAACGGGTACACATCGCTAGTCGATTCCACCTCAGTGCGTCGGCGTCAAATATCATAGCATGCAAAGAGTATGCAGGCATTCCATTCAGAACTTGCCTTTTGGAGAGAATCGCACTCGGCTTGAAATTGAGCGCTTCTGTCCTTAACGCTCGCGTCCCCGCCTGTCCCCGCCTCCTCAGCGCTCACTCACTGGCCGCCGTCCGTTTGAAGCCTACGCCGCACATCCTCTCGCTTGTCTCTGTTATAACCTGTTGCGATGTCCTATCCTGCTATATAGACTTGCTCATAACTTCAAGTCCTTGATCTTTTTGACAGATCAGAGGAGACGACTCCGGCTCTCTCCAAGAGCGACGCCAGGCCATCCCTGCTTTGGCCATAAGGCGTTGAATGCCACCGTCTTCCGTACCACAGTCAAGAATAAGAATACCAATGGAGAACGGATACGATGTGGTGTTGCCGAACTTCAAAAAGGTGGTGGGCCAACTTGCGCTCGCATTGATCCTCACGGGCACGGTGAAGCTCCTGCCAGACTTGGCGTGCAACATCATGTACGACTACTGAACACTGCACGGCTAAGGAGACAGTGGAGGATGTGCAGACAGCTTGACCTCCATGGTTCCCAACATCAAATCCGCTTTGCACCTAGACGTCGGTCTCGACAACATCGTCGCACTCTAAAAGCTTCCGCAGGCGCGCCACACATCAACCTCTCACATGCTGAATTGTACGTCGAGCACTACGTTGTTCAACTCGCTTTTACTGACGCTCTGCCAGCTTTCATCTCCCCGGTGTGCGAGTCGAGTCGAGTCGAGTCGAGTCGAAGTGTACTTGTACGCCCCCACTCTCCGCGTTCGTTGGTGACAAGGACACCACCCAGCTCGCACCCGACGGCCTCGTCCCCGGGTCGTTTTACATCCCCAACCCAATCTTCCACAGTCTCGCCGATGCGTCTAATGGTGCTCTAAACACTCTAACACGACCATCCCGTTGATTGCATCCCAGTAGTATGACGCCACCTCTCGAACATGTTGCTCACTCTCTCCGGCAGTACCTGATGCCTGTGCACTCGCAGGGCCGGGCTGCGCTCTCCTTCCTGCTGAAATAGCAACGAGTCACATTTTGTCGTTGACCTACGCTCACTATTTCATACGCAGCGCACTGAGAGTCCATGCTTCACTCTTCCTATCGACCCCAGTCGGCGTACCACCATGTACGCCGCCGTCGCCTCCGCCTCCTCCTTGTAAGTCCTGTCTTCTGCGCATATAACATCGCCGTACATCTCTGAGCAGTACGCCTCTAGCGTCCCACACCATTGCTATGGTAGTGGTGAACCTGTAATGGCCCGCGCCGGCCTAGAGACCTATACCACAATGGTACCGGAGGGAAATTTGAATTCCGGTGCGCAGTGCGGAACGAAATGGGTGTTTGTCTTGTTGTTAACTTGGGAGGGCTCTGTGTCAGGAGAAGCGAACCTCAGAGTGGGGCACTCCAACGTCGAGGTACTATACTCAGTAGTACCAGAGTAGCAGTTGCCTTGAACTTTCTACGCTCCTGTGGCAACATGGCCAGTGAGCGCGCTCACGCAACCTAAAGCACCCGCCCTTGCAAATAAAGTTCAGTGGCATCGTAAACGTGGAGGCGCAACAGCTCTGAAGCTCGGTGGCCCTCTAGGTAAGCGCTTGGGATTGGCAATTGGCAAATGTGGCTGCGAGGGGGCGCGGCCGTATCCACGCCCCCGGACGGGTTGTGCGTGATCCGCAGCACAGAACAGTATCGATGATGTGATAGTAGAAGCCACGGTACGCCCCCCTTCACATTTATGATACGGCATGGCAATATTGGACGGCGTGGCAATATAGGACGGCGCGGCAGAGCAGGAGATGCGGACAGATAGGACAGGCTGAGGCTTAGCGCTTAGCGCTTAGCGCCAGCTAGGGGCGTACGAACACACCTGCCTAATTCGTCATCAGCGCTGGCCACAAACGGCCACTCATTCTAACTCACCCTCTTCCTCAGAGGCGTTGCAGCTGAGAACTTAAGTTCATCCGTGCTACAGGCCTTTCGAGAAACGCTAGTACGTAACTCAAGATGCGCCTCGTCATTCCTCGTTGAATCACTGACTTCCGTTTCTCGTTCAGCTAGCCTGGAAGTGCTCGCGGCGTGTTGCCACCCTCGCCACCTGGCACTGCAGTCCTCACTACCCTCAAACATATAAAAGGAGCTAGTTTCTTGGGGTACGTTCTCTCAGACCCACACTCTAACCCATCTTCGATACTAAAAACATCCTCTCATCCTATAACATTATGCAGCATTACTCCGAGGCTTCGCCCTCATTCTACGTTCCTACAGACGACTCCGACGCTGGGAACAGTAGTGATCAAGACACAGAGCTTTACCAACACGGACTCGAGTCTTTAGACGCCAGATCCTACACTGGTGATAGCAGCGATCAAGAAACCGACCACCCCGCTCCCGACGACTCCGAAGCCGGAGACAGCAGTGACCAGGAGACCGACTACCGTGCTCCCGACGACTCCGAAGCCGGAGACAGCAGCGACCAGGAAACTGGTCAGCCCGCTCCCGACGACTCCGAAGCTGGAGACAGCAGTGATCAAGAGGCCGACGACCTTGCGGAAACCTCTTCTGAACACAAGCTTTCCTCCAGGAACGTCTCCGCTGTTGAACGTTTCACATCTCTGTCCTCCGACCCAAACCCAAACCCTCACAACCCGCCTCCCACTCACGACGACGACCCTCCTGAGGCGACCGTTCCTGTAGCTGCTACTGCGGCGGGCACCGGTCCTCGCGATTATAGAACTATTTTTTCGAACACGCCCTCGAGCACACGCCAATTCGAGGTGGAACTGTCCAGAAGTAACTTGAAACCCTATCGAGAGGATTTGAACTCAGAAATGTGGTGGAACGAGCTCCCGTGCTATGACTGGTTCAAAGCCTGCATACCGCCGTCTATCCTGGCCCAATGTCCCACAGACGGTTACAACAAGATTCACATGGACGAAGAACTACCTCCACTTGAGAAAGATCTCTATCCTGGCATCGTACGTCAGTTCCTCACTCTTTTCTGAGATATGAACTCATGCTCCCTATACCACAGCGCGACGGCCTTAACGGATTGTTGCCAAACACCGAGTTGGTAGTATACTGCAACGCCGAGAAACCCGACCGTCTCCCCTCTGGGCGCCATAAGACTGTGCGGCCGGATATGGGCCTATACTTCCTTCGTTCTGGGGCAAAGGAGGCCTATAGTGATGATCCCCCGCCCGAGGTCTCCTCTGATCAGAGCGCCGTCACAGGTGCTCCAGACACTCTCGAGGCTCCCGAGTCATTGAATCCCGCGCCGACTCATCTTTCTACCGAAGACAAAGCTCGCATGGCCTGGGCTGCGGTGGAGGTAGTGATCGAGGTCAAGCGTGCCGACAACAGGGCACCTTTTGGACACGCTAGTAGCAAATCGTACCTGCCACATGGCGCGGAGCGTGTGCAGGCCAGGGGTCAACTGATCCATTACGCGATAGAAGTCTACAACCACCAGCACCGTACGCACATTTTCATGATAAGTATCGTTGGCCACACCGCACGCCTTCTCTACATGGACAGAGTGGCGGTACTTGTGTCGAAGCCGTTCAACTACGTGGAAAATCCAGTCGAGCTCGGGATGTTCCTTCACGCCTACAGCAACATGACCCGAGAACAGCGTGGCTTTGACCCTACAGCCTCGCCGGCATCTCCGGACGAAGTCGCGCTCTTTCGGGGTCTCGCACTCGACGCCGATCCTGAATCTGCTGTTGGCCGTGGACTCAAGTGGGCCGCTACGCCTGGTTGGCCCATAGTTGCGCTAGACATCCTTTCGACATGGTCAGATCCGGATACCTTCCTGGACGGCAGGACCACAACACAGCTCACCACGCATCGCTGCCTTGTGGGGAGACCTGCCCACCAGACCGCTTCCTTGGTGGGCAGAGGGACGAGATGCTTCGTTGCGTACGACAAGACAGAGCAGAAGGCGCTGTATATCAAGGACAGCTGGCGTCCGGTATCTGCGGACATCCCGAGCGAATTCGACAACTACCAGAGGCTCTTGGAGAAGCTGGGGCGCGACGGCTTGCAGGACAATTTTCTCACCCTTCGTGCAGGAGGCGACGTCTTGTGGCGAGCTCCGGGCGATGACGTTAACGGGACACCTCGGACGCAACGCACGTTCACCCAAGGACTACTTAACGCCACATTACCCGGCCTCCCGCTGCCCAGACAACACACCAGACTGGTCTTCAAAGAGGTATGCAAGTCGCTGGAAGATTTCGAGGACGCCAGGGAACTCCTTGACGTAGTCGGTTTTGCTCTCCACGGTATGCCATCACTCCGCTTCCATTTACAAACATGTTGCAGCATTAGAGAAACTCATGCACTATTTATATACAGCGCACAAAGATGCCTGGGAGATCGCCGGGCTTTTACACAGAGACCTGAGCGTCGGGAACATCCTCATATACGACTCTGAAGACTCTTCGAAGTTTTCAGCCATTCTCGCCGATTGGGATTTGGCGAAAACTAGAGAGCGGCTGCTTCCTGGAAATCAACGCGCTACCCAGCCAGGACCAACGTCGGTGAGTGTTTTTTGACCAACATCCTCTCTCTCCCTCGGGTAACTGATGCGCACCGTTCGCAGGGCACGTGGCAGTTCAAGTCAGCAGTGCTGCAATGCTGCCCAAGCAAGTTGTGGGAAGTGTCGGATGACCTGGAGTCAATATTCCACATCCTCAACTGGTGTTCGCTCAAGTACCTCCCGCATTCTTTGACAGACCAGAAGGATCTCTTGACACTCCAATTCCACCGTTGGTACGACGCACCCGTCATCAAAGACCCTTCCGGTCTGGGCAGCGAATGGATGTTCAGCAACAAGTTTCAAGCAGTCAGCGGAGGTAGGCCGTTTGTGCAAGGTTTACCGAACGAGAACGTCAATCCGCTGGCGAAACTTCTGAAAACCCTTGGAGAGCTATGCAAGATGCACTACGCCAGCGACGACATCAAGAGGTTTTGGCCAGACATCATTCCACCCAAAGTCGATGAACCCGTCGGCGCAGCGAAAACGATGACCAAAAGGCCAAATGTGTTTCGGCCCGGGCGCGTGCTTGAGTCGGATGACGAGTCCGACACCCAGCCGACAGGGAGCGGCGCGGCCGCCGGTGAGGCTGAACAGCCACAGCATCCGACTTCATCCACCGGGGCTACCTCACCCCTCAAGGATCACACTCTGTTCATCGAGGCATTCAAACCGTACCTCGGCCGCGCTCACAAGAAAAAAGTTGGATGGACAGAGGCTGCATGCGAGAAGCTCGGGAGTCAGCTCGTTGTGCTCAACCTGCGCTTTCCTGCGGGACTAGGCCTCAGGAGGACATTCGACAGCTATTCGGAGGAGGAAAGCGGCAGCACTAGCATAATGAGCTCCTCATTCTATGAGGGCGAGGAACAAGCCCCCGCCAGTGGCGAACGACTCGGACGCCTGCCAGCGGCAGGCCCATCTGGCTATGCCACGCCCGGTTCAGCTGTCTCAGAAGGCCTCTCCCCATCCCCCTCGGGCTCACGTGCTATCTCGCGCCTTCCAGACAGGGCTGGTTCACGGGCGAGCTCTGTGCCTGTCACCCGGGGCGGCCTCCACCATCATGCCAGCACCTCCGTCTTTCCGAGTAGCAGCAGCATCACTCTTCCGCCTCCTATTCCTGCTCCGCATGGAGCCCAAGGTCGCGTCCGCAATGTTCGGCCCAGGGGTAGCACGACCTCCAAGGGTAAGGGAAAGGGAAAGGGACGAGGGAAGGGGAAAGCCAGGGACGTCGACTGAGCCTCCCTCCGTAAGCGCTTTCGAAGCAATAAAGCTACTGTTATCTGACTAGAAGTTACCTTACTAGACCAGCGACCTGCTTCGGATGCGCCTCTGCTGCCAGTTATCTCAGAGACGGGCTCTCCCGGATACCGTCGCGCTTTTCACCACCCCAACGTCTTGCCGTAGAATCCTCGGCTACTCTATTTCGCTCCGAATGTCCCGACTCCCAGTAGTGGTCTTCACTCCTGACTGCCGCGTTATATTTCCTCGCCTTTTCACATTTTCTTTCCTCGCTCTATCTCTCTTCGCCGCTTTGGTGAGCGTTCGACACGCCTAGTCATCCAGCATCGATCACCCAGAAGCCAACAATGGTAGTACTTCAAGTTATCCCGCGACCGCATCTCGATACCGTCTTCGGATCGGAATCCCAAGCTGTTACACTTATGCTCATCTTCTTCCTTTCTCTGTACCAGAAGTCCGGCGCACGACGCGGAACATTCGTACTAGCTACATTCACCCCGGACGCGCATTCGGATAGTGCTTATAGTCCAATTCGCGACCGGCAGCACACTGTATCATGTATCTACGCATCGCGAACTTGCCCGCCACTTCTGTCCCAATGTACAACAAGTTCTCGTCTCGCATGACATTTTCACGGTGCCTCTAAACCTGGCCATCAAATCCTGTTGTGGCCGCACACGCGCCGTAAGTTGAGCAACCTAATAAGCTTCGAGCTTCAAACTTCAAACTGGAGAGAGAGAGAGAGAGAGAGCTTATCAGTGGAGCATGCCCTTATTCATTGCTCGGCGGTCAACGTTCCGTCAGACGGCCGCGGGCGCTTACGGCGGCTGTTTTGCATCCCTGTTGCCAGTGCAACGTTAACGGGCCCACGACCTTGACTCCTTACTCCCGCAACTCGTTGGAAAGGCTTGGCACACATACGACTCCTGCCTGTCTCTCTCATAATTCACGGCGACGCATCATCCTGCTACTCGTACTTCTCTCAGATGCTCAACTAGCCCGCTATGCGGCAAATGAATGGCATCGGACGCGTCCGAATTCCAGGCGCGCCGACTCTGTACGTATGCTGCACATGCGGGCCACGCGTCAACAGCGTTCCCCTCGCATGAGAATTTTGAGAAATCCATCGGATTGGAGCCTCGGCGCGACGATATCGGACTCTACCAGCGACCAGGTGACTCCTTATTATCTCTCTCTCCTCCGTGAACTGGTCACGCCACATTGGCTTTCACGCAGACATCACCAGAAGACGCAGAACGCTCGGGGTCGCCGATCCTTTGACTTCGGAGATGCTGAGCTTTCAGGAAGTCTCCGTTGCATACTTCATGCAAGCATATGTTCCCGGTGAAAACCTTCTCCCCACATTCAAGATCCACAAGCTCCAGATAGCAGATTTTGGGAACGAGCGCGGGATGTACCCTGGCCAGGCCGGTCTGGTATGTGCCCCATTTAGCCTTGATTGAAACAGCGTTTTTAACTGTCGCTTTCAGTGTTCATTCTTCAACGAGGTCTTTAAGGAGTCCGGCTATGTATACCTCTGTGCGTACTCGAGCGACGCTTATGTGGACCAGGTTGCTCCTGGCTTCATAGATGAAGACGCAGACGATAAGTGGCGCCCGAACATTGGGGTGTACTCGACTCTAGCTCCGGCGAAGGGAGCGTTTGACCCATCGAGCGCGGAATGCAGGTGCGTCGGAGGTGCCGGCCACCACAACATATGCCGAAGACGGTACGATCGACAGTGAAGTTGACGACGCGCCTGATGAGATCAACTCCGCACCAGACGATGGGGACCCACTCTCGCTGGTCTCCCGCACTGCCTGGGCCTGGGCGTAGCTGCTGGAAGTCAACAGCGACCCAAACAACACTTCCTCTCTCCACGGAGCCCCAAATACCGTCCTACTCAACGACTTGGAACGTCAGCTCTCACAGGGTCAGATCATACACTACGTCCAGGAGGTCTTCAGCCGCCAACATCGGATCTTCGTGTTCATCATTGCCGTTCGTGGAAGCTCCGCCCGCCTCTGTCTTTTCGATCGCGCTGGGGCTGTCATCTCCGCGCTTTTCGACTACGTCGACGATCCGGCAATGCTCGCCACATTTCTCTACCGCTTCGCCAAGATGTCGCGCGAGCAGCGTGGACACGACCCTACTGCCACACTCGCGACCGACGTGGAGGAAGCGCATTTCAGGACCCTGTGGAAGACGTTCGGCTCCGATCCCGACTCTGCGATCACCCGCGGCCTGAAGAAAGCCGCCACTCCTGGTTGGCCTGTCTACGCATTGGACATCTTTTCGCCATGGTCGGAGAGGGACACGTTCTTGGACGTCCAGGCTACGAAGGCGCCTACGCACCATCGTTGCCTCGTCGGGCGGCCCGCCTACGTCGGCGCGTCCATGTGCGGCAAAGGCACCCGATGCTTCGTGGCATGGAGCGACGCAGAGCAGAGTGTGCTGTTTATCAAGGATAGCTGGCGGGAGATGTCGGAGAACGCCCCAAGCGAATTTAACAACTACCAGCTACTCTATCGCAACCTCGGCACAGATGTCTACAAGTTCTACCCAACCGTGCGCGCGGGAGGTGACGTTGTGTGGGCGCCCCAGAACGCGAGGGATATTGGCCTGTCCGAACACTCGTCGCAGGGCGGAAGATACTACGCCACTGCCCGAGCAGCGCCGCAGGATACCTGCTCGCACAGGGTCGCGTTGCACCTGGCAACTCCGAGGAGACATACTCGGCTAGTCCTGCAGCAGGTATGCCGAACGCTCGAGGACTTCAAGCATCCACGGGAGCTGGTTTTTGCCCTGATGGTTGCTGTTATGGGTGCGTTTCTATCTTTCCACGAGGATCAGCCTGCAAAGCTAATCACGCGACGTTGAGTCCATAGCCTAGCGTGGAGTGACGCGAAACTGCTGCATGGCGACATAAGCCCCGGAAATATCTTGATCTACGACCCGCCCGACGGAGAGACGGAATGCTTCCTCTCGGACTGGGATCTGGGGCGGACTGTCGATCAGCTCCAGTGCCGGAGGCAGACGCAGCTGCCCCATTCAGTAAGTTTATTCGATACGATGTCCAACCTCAGTCTCTTGAGTAACGGCGCGCGGGATCTGTCCAGGGAACGTGGCAGTTTACATCGGGGCTCCTGCAGCATTACCCCCACAAGCCCTACGAGCTTGCGGACGAGCTAGAAGCGTTTGTCCACGTCCTGAATTGGTGTGCGCTGAAGTACCTCCGGCACTCCCTCAGCGGCAGCGGGAACTCTGCACTTCTTGCCCAGACCTTCCACGACTTCTACGGTTGGATCATACCCGGAAGCAGTAGCGCAAAGTTTCTCTAGATGCGCGTAGGGTTTCTCATCGTGGAAGGCCTCGACGAGGCTGCTTATAACCCTCTGTCAGTGCTCCTGGGCAAGCTCGCTGCTATGTGCAAGAAGCATTACGACACAAAGATCGCCGAGCTAGAACCGCCCGCGGTACAACCTGCTCCTACCCCCGGGCCCCGGATAGTGTCCTTCGGAGGGGCTGCTGTGCGCCCTTCTTGCAGGCGGAAGGCGGCAAGGTGTTCATGTGGTCGGCGCATTTCGTCAAGGTGAAGGACCAAGCGCCAGTATCACTGGCAGCTCATCCATCTTGGGTGACGCACGAGTAGGCACCGCCGCGCGCTCAGTGGGGATGAACAAGGAAGAAGGAAGGGGATGCGTGGCGTAGCTTGTGCCCGTGTCCTTCTACCCCAGTACCGAGAACATCTTCCCGTTCTCTGCATTCACCGTCTTTTCGCGCTTCGAGTCTTTCTCTATCACGTTCCTTTCCCGCTACGTACTGCTGCCTAGCCACGCTCCAGCTCCTATGCTCCGAGACCTGTCTCTGTTCACTTAGTTCTGTCTTGTGCTGTACGATACAAGGCGCACGAGGTGGCTTCCGAAGTCCGCCATCGGAATATACATGTCTATCCCGTCGCGTTGCTCGCCGTGTCTCGAATGAATGGCTTGAAATTCCGATGATTAACCATACTATCGATATTTCTTCGCAATATTTCAAATGTTAATCGCAAGTCTAAGTTCCTGTACCCCGACTTGTTCGAGTAGCATCGCGCACCCCACGCAGACCCGCATGCCAACGCCAGATTCCAATAGCAAGTGGTCGACAGCACCTTGAAGACAGAGAAAGATAGACAATACATATACAAGCGACGCGGCAGCGGCAGCGATGGCGCACGCCCCGCACAATATACAGCAGATACTCACTACCCGGCGCCGGTCAGAACCGCACCGCGCGTTCTAGATTAGGCACTTCTTCCAAGACCTGCCCCGCCGCCCCAAAGGAAGCCCTTCCCCCTCTCGCGCGTGCCTCTCGGTGTTCGAACCCCGTCTCTCCATAGTCCGTGATTAGTTGCGCGGCGACGCGCTGGTTTGTAGATGCGAGTGGACTAAAGGCAGAGGGAGCGAGGGTGGTATCGGCACGACGGCGGGCACCTAGATGGAGACCTTCGCCATCTGCTTCACGAGTGGCGTCTGACCCGAGGACCCGGACTGCGACACATCGTCGACGTTTTTGAGCTCCTCGCGCGACGATTCGCTCTCGCCGTAGTGCGTGACGGATCGGTCCTGCGAGTACCACGACCACATCAGCATCGAGCGTACGCCGGAAGAGAGCGAAAGAAGCGTACCTCGTCGACGTGCTCCTTCTCGGACTCCTCCTTCAGCTCTGCGATGTTCTGGCCGAAGCGCTGCGCAGTAGGTGATAGGCCCGCGAGCGAAGACATGCGCTTGGTGGCGATCATAGAGAACACCGCTTTCCGGACTACGTAGGCGCAAACGCATGTTAACACCCTACTCGCGGAGACCTAAGAGAGAGGACGGGACGTACAGGTCTTCTTCGCGTCGAAGGCTTTCTGGATGTGCGGCAGAAGGTTCGTGGGGCCACCGCTCGGGCTCGCGGGGTCGGGCACGAAGTGGCGTTGGTCGGACGCCAGCCACTTGTGTTCCAGCATCTCCGCCGCGGTCGGCCGCGACGTGGGGTCAATCGTAAGACACGTGCGCACGAAGTCTTTCGCCGTGTCCGAGACGTTTGCCCAGTACTCCTCTGCGGGTTTGTCAGCTACGAAAGACTCATCACGTCGGCAGAGGGAACGCACCGGGCTCGAAGTGGTAGTCGCCCGCGATGATAGCCTCCATCTCCTGCTGCTGCGTGTCCCGGTCGAAGGGCGTGTATCCTGGGAAGATGTTAGATACGGCACAGGTGGGAAAGGAATGCTGCATTACCACAGAGTAGGAAGTAGGTGATCACACCCATCGCCCATACGTCGACCGGCTTCCCATGACCGGCTACGAGAATATCAGACCATGTACGCGCCATAAAGAGTGACGGCACTCACTCTTCTTGAAGATCTCGGGCGCCATATACTACACTTGCGGTGTTAGAGCGGCCAACATGATTCGGAAGATAACACTCACTCCGGGGGTGCCGCAGATCTCTGTGAGCATCTGGAATTTCTCGTCGTCCATCACCCGACTGAGGCCAAAGTCCGCGATCATAATGTCTGCATCCTCCGCCTTGGTTCGGAAGATCAGATTCTCCGGCTTGAGATCTGGAGGATAGATAAAGTTATAGGAGTGCCAAGCCCCTATGAAAGAGAGCGACGTACCTCTATGTACAATACCGCACTCGTGGATGTACTTCACCGCGCCAAAGATCGTTCGTACGAGCGCCGCAGCATCTCTGTAAGGCAACTAGCATCAGCACTGCGCTTTACCCCATTCGGGCCGAACTCACTCTTCGTAGTAGTTGCCCTTGGCGCATATACGATCGAAGAGCTCGCCACCAGTACACAGATCGAAGACAAGGTAGAGGTTGTGCGCGGTCTACGGATAGGTTTGCATATGTCGCTCGAAACATAAACAGGCGGGCGACATACCTCGAAGTAGTCATGCAGCGTAACGATGTTTGTATGCCCCTTGGAGATCTTCTTGAGGACCGCAATCTCGTTGCGCACCTGTATAGCAACAGCAGGGGAGTTAGCGGTGATGACTTGCCGCCCGCGCGGTATAGATGACCGCGATAGCAGATCTACGCGAGCGCGGACATCGCGCGCCGGGCGGCGGGGAGCGAGGACGAACGCACCATGTACTCCCGCCCCTCCATGAGCTTCTTGTTGATGACCTTGCATGCAAAGTACTCTCCGGTCTTGATGTGGACCGCCTCCTTGACGATGGCGTACGTTCCACTACCCAGCGTCTTGCCTGTCCGATACTACGCGTTCGTCGGGCTGTCTATCAGTTGCTTGCAAGCTTGATGGGGAGAGCCCTCTCACCTGACAGGGAACGGTCGCGGGGGCAGGCATCGTTTCGTATATGACGGATGTATGCTGCTGTGCGCGAGAGGGGGTGCGGGGGAGATGGTGGTCGAGAGGAAGGACGGAGGGGACGAACGGAAGGGAGAGAAGCAAAGGAGGTTACGGCTGGATATAGATATAGGACGCGATCAAACACTACCTTCTCATTCCACTGATCGGCCCCCCTCCGTCCGCCCGGCCCTCCGCCGGCCTGTGCCCTGTCGTGCAGCGCGGTGTCTGCGCCCGGGAGGCCGTGTAGTGGCCGGGACGGCGAAGGCGCTGCAGGACTGGCCGGCGTGGACAGTGTCTGTGCAGACGACGCCCATGTGCCCGGACTTCGATGCGCTGCTGCTGCTCTGCCTCCGACCACCTCCCCCTCGCTATCATGAACCGCCGGTGCTGAATACTGCTCTCCTTGGAGCGCGCTCTCGTCACTGTCTTGATGTCTTGTTCGGCCTTCCTTGAACTGAACGCGGGAATTCCGGTGTTTGCTTACTTGCGAGCCCATGGCGCTACCGGGGGCGTTGCGGTCGGATCGAGGTACGTGAGGGAGGACAAGGAGAGTGGATGTGGTGGTACGCGCTGATACCGGCCCCTGACCTTATATACCGCAGGTCTTCCATTTCACCACGCCCACACTGCATGCATACGGATCAGGCTATAAACCTTCGGGCTCCGTCCGAATGCGTTAAGCGTCCCGTATACAGCTGCGTCAGTCGGGGCGGTGCGCACTGCTCCCGCCGCAGCAAGCGCTCCTAACTCTTCTTCGCACTGGCTCTCCCGCACGCCGGCTGTCCATCGCTGCTTCGCGTACAGCGATACATGACAGCTTAGCGTTTCTCGAAGCTGGCGAGTGCGGCGATGCATGCCACTTCATCGTTTATCTATGATATCTGCAGTGACTCTGCACCTTACAGGTCGTATTCTCAAGCAACGACGCCAAGGCATCTTAGTTGCGCCGTGCATACCCGTTCGGCGGTATCCTTGGATGAGACGCTGTAGCCACGCGCCGAAGTGCGTCATGTTGACACCCGAGCGTATAGATATTGGCCAAGAGCGCCATTGCCGGACAACCAAGGACACCGGTCTCGGCTTGTCTGCCGATCATGCCCGCGGCGCAGGAGCGCGGAGGCGCAACGGTAAGCACTGTTACATCCGCATTCGGGCTGTTCACCGTATGTCCATAGCACACTGGGTTGCTGTGCGTATGCATATTTGACTTACGTCGAGTACATCACACTGCTTGCTGAAGTCCCGATGTTGACACTTGGTGGAGATGACACCACGCACATCGTGCGTCGTGCAATGAGACCGAATCGAACCTCTCAGAGGTGAATACCTCTTCCCGCGTTAATTTGTACCTGCGCTAACGACAATAATATTGAAAGCTGGTCCGTAAAACCTTCTGTGGCATCGTGAGGGGACAAAAAGTACGACCAACCCGGGAGTCGAACCCGGAATCTCCAGCTGACTCGAAGAATCGGAAACTGACGCCTTAACCATTAGGCCAGCCGGCCGATATACGGTGCCTATTGCACGGATACTCGTCCGCAGCGTGCTCTCTGCCAGTGAGTCCTATGAGCCCCAGTTTGTGTTAACGGCCTTGCTCACCGGAACCATCATGTCTGCACTGGGAATCTGACTTGCTACGCGAAATACGGTTCCATGGGCTGCAGTGGTGAATCTGTCTCCTAACAGCAAGACATGGTAAGTACTAGCTATCAACAACTGTCTTCGCCATGTAGGCCTCGGGACCGGACCCCGGTGTTTATATATCATTGGTACGTCGCGAAAGTACTGGCCTTACCGTGGCGATTGTAGAGCAACGGTTAACCGTTTTTCATAGATATTCCTGCTCTCTACCACGAGGCGTGGCTGTCAAAGTCGCAGTCACCATCAACAGGGATGGCTTGACACCCGCGCACCTAACCGAGCACATGCAGTACTCCATGAGGCGCAGATACACGCAAGCGCCACCTGTACACTCGACTCCCTGACTACGCTGCGAGTGATAACCCTTCATAACACTCACTCCTTCCGTGAGATGTCTTGTGTCACTCTACCGGTCGGAGAGTGGTTGCAGACGTGCATGCCCAGCAACTGCCTTCCCCCCGAACTTCTGAGCCCGGAGTTCAGGCTTTTCCAGGGCGTCGAGCTGGCGTGCGATGAGCGGGCTACGTATACGGATTTGGTGGGTACTTCAAAGTTTCAAGACCCGCTCTTCATGCTGACGCAAGGTTATACAGCGACACGGTTTCAACATCATCTTAAAGCGACTCAAAATCACGGAATATGTGATGGCGATGGTGGAGGACCAGGTAGTAACGGTCTCCACACCAACAAACGGCCACTCTTGCGGGACGCTTCTGGCTCTGTACTCAGCCAAAGATGTCCCTCGCGTAGCCCAAGCCTATATCTTCTCCCCTCTATCAGCAGCAGGAACTGAGTGCTCTACTGGGGAAGGTATTCTCCGGATATATCTGATCACTACAGTGCTAGCTGACACGGAGCTGCTCACAGCACATGCTCAGGCCCATGATCCCGGCTGTCTTGAGACGTCACCCTCGCTGAATGCCTGGACCTGGGCAAAGCTCCTTGTCGACGTAAAGACAAGAAGCTCCCTGGCGCCCTCGACATTCCACCACACTCCTAGCACGTACACAGACCCAACAGATGGAAACCAGTTCTGGGCTCGCCTCAGTGCACACGCGACAGAGATGTGCTTCCGCCAACACCGAACGTCCGTGCCCATGATCTCCATATGTCACGACTACGCGCGGTTCCTCCGATTCGACCCCGCCGGAGTCGTGATGTCAGAGGCGTTCGACTACGTCGAGGATCCGGAGCCCTTAGTCACCTTCCTCTTCCACTACGTGCATGCAAGCCGTCGAGCACGCGGGTTCGACCCGACTGCGACTCTCGCTTCGCCCGACGAGCAAGAGGTGTTTCGGGCGCTAGCTCATAATGACTCCTTGCGTGGACATGTGAAGGCTGCCTTGAAGGTGGCGGATACCCCCCATTGGCCACTCCACAAGCTCTCCTGCAGGGCGCCGTGGTCTCTTGAGGGCGAGGCGCCCATGTGTGCGGAAAGCCCGAGCTCCACCCGCGAGTTCCTTGTCGGAAGGCCGTGCTACAGGAGCGACTCTATGATTGGGACAGCAACTCGCGCTTTCATGGCGTACGACATCGCGCGCCACACTGTCGTTTTCATCAAAGGCTGCTGGAGGCCGGATTTAGGGCCCAACCACCTGTCCGAGTACGAAGTATACCTGAAGTTGCTGAGCGGGTCCCCCATACATATACCGACACTGCTTGGCGGGGGCGACGTCCTCGACGAGGCCAAAAGGCCTCAACGAACGCTGATCACGGAATCGCGATGGGAAGACACAAGCTCGGGCCGCATCCACGCGCGTCTCGTGTTCAGAGACGTCTGCCGTCCGTTGGAGTCTTTCCGGGACACCCGCGAGCTAGTGTCTATCGTGTATGACGCTCTTCAAGGTGAGGTTTTGTACTGCCGAGAATCCTTGCGCTTCGCTAACCAGTTGCATGCGTTGGTAGCGCATAAGGTTGCGTGGGAGAGGCATGGAGTCCTGCACTGCGACATCAGTGTGGGTAACATTCTGATCCTCGACGTACCGAATATCGATAGCGCCGCACATGGATTGGACACCAAAGTGGTTGGCCTCCTGTGCGACTGGGACGGTGCAAGGACGCGAGCCGAGGTCGTTCATCCAGAGGCCTCCGAGTCCCAATTGACCCGCTTGGTACGGCACGACTTCGTACACCTCAGATAACGCGCACCCATTGCTCACGCGTCTCGTAACACAGGGAACCTGGCAGTTCGTGTCCGGCGGTTTGCTTTGGTATCGTCGCAAACCCTACCTGCTCTCTGACGACCTTGAGTCCGTCTACCACGTCCTCAACTGGTGCGCGCTCAAGTACCTGCCCCACGAGCTCACGGACGCACCTGACCACCTCCGGAGAGCGATGCAAGACTTTTACGATACGGATTTCGGCGGCAAAGGCAGTTTTGAAAAGTTCAAGCGTATCAAAGGGGGGCATCCGTTCGTCCCTGACCTACGATGCAGCCCGGAGCACCCCTTCCTGAGGCTGCTCACTTGGCTCGGTGACATTTTCAAGAAGCATTATGCGCGTTTTCCGCCTGGACGAGTGGAGAAGGACGCCGTCGAAGGGCGATTTGAAGGAAGTCATGGGCGGGAGACCAGCCAAGGAGCAACGCGCGGGGTCTGGTGGAGGAGTGACAGACGTCGGCGCTGTCGATCAATACGACACCCTCTTGTCGGACGGACAGCTACCTCATGAGAAGCCCCAGAGTCTGTTAGACCATACGGACATTCTGGGCGCATTCTCTGAGATGCTCGACCGGACGACAGAGTGGGGCGGCATCGAGAAACTTTCGGACCAAGTTCCGCCCCAAAGTCTGTGCTCGTCCTGGACGCGCGTGAGGGCTTGACGTTATGGAGAGAGTAGTGCAAGGTGGAGAAGTCCGAGGGTGTGGAAGGCAGTCCTGGGAGACGTCACAATGAGTACTACATCCGTAGCATCTACCCTGGACGTTGTTACTCATGAGTCACCATTGATAGCTACAACGAATTCCTGCCATATTGAACGTCTTCATGCGGGCACATGCGATGCGGAAGGTACAATAGAGTGTGTCGTAAATCTGTTTAGAGTCGTGTTACATCATGCATCATGTCTAAGATGGTAGCTAAACCGAGAACCCCGAATATCGAAAGGACGCAACAACACCCTTGAATACGGACGAGCCTGTGCCAGGCATCTGTGGTAACATTAGGCGATTAAAGGTTGACCTTCGGCGGGGGGACACTAGAGTGAAGGTGTCATGAGCCGCATAAGCATGTAATGCAAGGCGTGAAGCTTACACGGGGGCGACAGCGGTGCGCGGACCGGGGTCAGCCGGGAGGGTGGGGAACGGAGTCTCGGCGCACTGTGCATAAAATAGTGAGTATGATACAAAGACGAGCCATGACTCATACATACCGCCTGCTCAATATCGTTCATTGTCATTCCGGCGGGGAGGTGAGTATGGCCTTGAGGCGGCGCGGGGATCGGGACCTGCAAGCGAAGTCAGCATCGTGATAGAAAGGTTGAAGGTCACGCGAGACGTACGACTTCGGTGCAGTCGACAAGGTCGTCCTGGTTCTGCCCAAGCGTCGTCAACACCTGGAACACAAACTGGAACATCTGCTGTGCTTTCGGCTGGTTGTCCACAAACGACTGCCACTCGCACGCCGTCCGTGTGTCCCGCGCAATCGTGTGGTCGCTCTGCAGGCGAATCTCCCCAGCAAGCGGGCTCTCCACCTCGCCCTGGTTCCCGCCCTTGCCCGGGAACAGTGTCCCGCGCAGCTGTGTCTCCACGAAGAATTGCGTGTCCCAAATCTCGGGCGTCGAGTCGAACGGCAGCCCAGACTTGGTCGGGTCGACGTCGTTGGCAGCGGCCACGGTGTGCGCGGTCAGGAGCCAGACGGTGAGGATGGGGTCGAACTCGCCCTCGGAGGCGTCGGCGAGACGGTCAAAGATCTGGTCGGGGGTGTGGAACGGTTCGGGAACGAGACCGTCGGGTGCGGGTTGGGTAGCGTCCTTGCGGCCGACGAATGCGGATAGCTGGGGAGCGCCGGCGCAGTTAGACGCAGCGAGCGCACCAGCGAAGTGCAAGCTGGGGGAGTGTCAGTGAAAGCGAAGTGTATACGACGAATGTGGGACGTACAAGTCAGCGTGCGACAGGTTGTGGCGCGCCTGAAGCGGCTTCTGGAGGGCGACAATCTCGTCGAGTCCGACGTTGGGGTGGAACTTGGTCTCGATCTCAGGGAAGATCGAAATCGAGCCGTCCGCCCCTCCACCGCCGAACTTGCCTTGCGCCTCCAGCGCGGGCGAGATCGCGATCGCGTCGTGGAACGTCAGGCGGAGCGACTCGTGTGCCTCGGCCGTGCACAGACCGCCGTGGAAGAGGTTCTGCTGGAGGTCCTGACGGACGGCGAAGAGCTGGCAACATGCGGCGTTCGTCGCGGTGTTGACGCCATCGGGGCAGGACACGCGGCGCGTCAGCGCGGCTGGTAGAGAAGCGACATTAGCAAGTTGCGTGTGCATAATGCATGAAGCACGTACCGTTGGTGCCCGTGAGGGTGGCGGCGATGGAGACAGCTGTGAGGAGACCCTTGAAAGTCATGTCGGTGGTTGAGATGAGTGCCCTGAACCTTGTCAAGGAGTCTACACCTCCTTATATACCTGTTCGATGTCGTATCCCGGACGTGCGTCTACGCATCTCACTCCGAGCCCGTGCTGTGGGCGCGTCAAGAGGGGTGCATCTTCAGCAGACGAGTCGCTCTCCAGCCAATCCTGTTGCAGAGGTTTTGCACTCTGCTATGCTGCAGGGAAGATTCCAAAGCATAGATGGTGGGCGCACCGAAGGCGTGATTTTGTTGGATGTCGACGAGACTCTAGGTTGCTCGATACTTCTGAATCAGATGTAGGCCCACGAGCGTCGCACCTCCGAGACGTGTCGGGCCAGCGACTGGGTTCTGAAGGGAAGGGTGGGTGTCGGCATCAATATATGGTCACCCCTGGGATGAAACGATGATGCTAGCCTCTCACCCTTGACGGCACCGCGCCCTGATCATGGTGCGGACAGCCTTGGCTTGGGTCTTATTACGGTGTCATACTCATCCAAAGATGTACGATTTTCACATGATCATGAGTACTGTGATCCGAGTCCAGGTAGATGGAAAGATCTAGCAGTGATTGTCAGCGATTGCAAAACTTGCCTCGGTGGCATGAGTATCAATGAGTGTGCTCACTATGCTTCACTGTATGCGCCGGGTGCCTGGGCGCATATAGAGGCCATGTTTACAAAAAACAAACTCTGTTATGTACGATGTATAGCGGCGAGGTCTTGGCGTAGAACATGTCGAAGAGAGCAAGGTCAGGGCCCATGAACTTGTTGATAGAACCTCGCGATGTTGGCCGAGGTGGCGTGGTTTGAGTTTGACGTGATTCCGAGTTCAACAACTCCCTCCGAACTGCCGCTCGAGGTGTATACGGCGCTAAAACGAATACGAATGAGCTGCAGGGAATAGCACAGCTCATAATCAGTATATGTATATAAGAATGCTCTCCCGCTATGCTCACCAAAGATATACTGGTAGTAGCTGGCAGTACTAGCCTTCGGAGAAGGTCGCGGTTCAGTGCAAGCTACTATGATATACTTAGCGCCCAACAGATGGCTGCAGGGGCGCCTTTCCGTTTTGGGCGGGCCTCTTCCCAGGGCATGCTACCAGCTTTCCGGTGTCGAGTCTCTCACATATTTTCTTTCTTCTTCTCTCTTCCTCCACGTCTGCCATCCAGGTGGCCTAATCGAATACGAACACGGCTGGCCGAGTAAAACAGCGCCTGTTCTGCTGCAAAGAAACTGCCGCGCTCGAGGCACCGCTTCATCGGACTCGTTTAAAGTACTCAGCAGCAAATTCCGCTTTGACTTTCGCTACACGGCCATGAGCACGAGCCCAATACGGTCAGCGTGTCATGCTGAAGAAAAAACAGTATGTGCATTGTTCAGCGTTTACTGTCAGACCATGGCGGTTTGTATGACGTTGTGCCTTGTGGCACAGGATCTGTTGCGGTACTATTGTGGCAATTCAGATTCTCTTCATACTCCCACACTCCTGTGATGTCGCCCTCACGTTTAAATATAGTACTCAAAAAACAAACCGCCGAGATCTTGGAAAGCCTGCATACACTGGAGAAGGCTCTGCGACCGCCAAGAGGATTGCACGCCCTGGCATCCGCGAGAGTCTCCGCGCGGATCGTGAGGTGGGCCTACACGAAGATTCGATAGTATCCTCCAGTTGTCGGGTATGCGTTCTCTGACATGCATCGAGACTTCTTCATCATCGCCTCGCCGTACTCATGAATGTCAAAGCTGCAGATATGGGCTGTACAGGGGGCAACTAGGCAGGTGGCATGCGAAAACAACCTGTCCGCGGCCTAGTTGGCTCTCCATAACGCGTGGAATGTGTGAGTATCTCTCGGTGAGGATTACACTTAACCATTCCTTGAAAAAGGTACTAACATTCGTTCCGCTGCAGTGGACGATCATCCTCATGCCCATGCGAACTCCTAGTCCGTCCGACGGGTCCGTCTTCTGCCAAGGCAATTGTCTTGTCCATGTATGCGACAGGAGGAGAGCGGTGCCGCTGACAGTGAGAAGGTCAGTCTTTCTTGATGCCCATGAAAATTGCCGATGTACTGACCCCGGTGCGTATCTCAATCCTCTACAGCACGCTTTTTCCACGGTGGCATCGAGCGTGCGTGCCACGTGAGGCTAGGCCACTGACAGACCACTAGTGCTCGCTGTTACGATTGGACGGGAGCTCCTACCGAATCGGACACGCCGACGCTTTGGACGCGCTCAAGTGTTCGTTGCACTTCGATGCCGCCCGCCCCGTCAGAGGACCGAGTGAATATGCGGGCGATGATTGGCCAGCTCACAACCACTGTCGCCGTCTTGGCGTACCCACAACGCAGGCCCACTGCCCAGTGCGCAAAGGCACAACCTGGACATGTCGCGGTATGCGACATGGCATCAGTATATAAGGGAGTGTAGACGCGTCGACAAACCTCAGAGCACCGATCTCAACCACCGACATGGCCTTCAAGAGTCTCCTCACCGCCGTCTCCCTCGCCGCCGCCCTCACTGGCACCAACGGCATGTGCTCTGCGCATTGTACGCATACATTTTGCTGATGCCTCTTTTCCACCAGCCGCGTTGACGCGCCGCGTGTCCTGCCCCGACGGCGTCAACACCGCGACGAACGCTGCATGCTGCCAGCTGTTCGCCGTCCGTCAGGACTTGCAGCAGAACCTCTTCCACGGTGGTCTGTGCACGGCCGAGGCGCACGAGTCGCTCCGGCTGACATTCCACGACGCGATCGCGATCTCGCCCGCGCTGGAGGCGCAAGGCAAGTTCGGTGGTGGAGGCGCAGACGGCTCCATTTCGATCTTCCCCGAGATCGAGACGAAGTTCCACCCTAACGTCGGTCTCGACGAGATCGTCGCGCTCCAGAAGCCGCTTCAAGCGCGCCACAACTTGTCGCACGCCGACTTGTAAGTCCGTTTCGTATTCGCGCCCATATACCGATGTTGAGAATCCTCCAGCTTGCACTTTGCCGGCGCCCTTGCTGCATCGAACTGCGCCGGCGCGCCACAGCTATCCGCATTCGTCGGCCGCAAGGACGCCACCCAGCCCGCACCCGATGGCCTCGTCCCCGAACCGTTCCACACCCCCGACCAGATCTTCGACCGTCTCGCCGACGCGTCCGAGGGCGAGTTCGACCCCATCCTCACCGTCTGGCTCCTCACCGCGCACACTGTGGCCGCCGCCAACGACGTCGACCCGACGAAGTCGGGACTGCCGTTCGACTCGACCCCCGAGATCTGGGACACGCAATTCTTCGTGGAGACGCAGCTGCGCGGGACGCTGTTCCCGGGCAAGGGCGGGAACCAGGGCGAGGTGGAGAGCCCGCTTGCTGGGGAGATTCGCCTGCAGAGCGACCACACGATTGCGCGGGACACGCGGACGGCGTGCGAGTGGCAGTCGTTTGTGGACAACCAGCCGAAGGCGCAGCAGATGTTCCAGTTTGTGTTCCAGGTGTTGACCACTCTCGGGCAGAACCAGGACGACCTCGTTGACTGCACTGAAGTCGTACGTCGTTCTGCGTTCACTTTACCGTTGATATGCTCACTCGTTTCCAGGTTCCGATCCCCGCGCCGCCGCAGGGCCACACTCACCTCCCTGCCGGCATGACCATGAACGACATCGAGCAGGCGGTAGGCACGCTCCATGTATTGTCTTCGATTCGCACTCATTGTTCTCCGCACAGTGCGCCGAGACTCCCTTCCCCACTCTCCCGGCCGATCCTGGACCCCGCACCGCTGTCGCCCCCGTGTAAGCCTCACGCTTCGCATTCTATTCTGATCCGGCTCCTAACGGCACCTGTTCAGTGTTCCCCCGCCGAAGGTCAACCTGTGATCGCCCACAATCCGGGCCGATGTTTCGCGCGTCTTTGCATGAGTTCTTAAGGGTCCTTTCCCGGTCGTTTTCTTTTCGATGTCGGGGGTCCTCATTTTAAGTATGATGTTCGACATGTGTTATGAAAAGCATAGACGAATTGACGATATTCTTATACCATTTCGAGTATGCCTCTTCTGCTTCGAGCTTGACCAGAATGCTACTAGTGTCTGCTTCAACGTCGATGGCAGGCTGCAACTGATTGGTAAGGGCGTTCGGCGCATCTTTCAAGAGCATAGTACGTGCCTTTACATCGCTGCACTTTCCTGACGCACGCCGCGGCTGACTCCGTGCTGGTGTCACTCTGAGCGTCTTGGTTTATACACGGGATGGCACTGGGTGTAGGGCACGCGCTGGAAGAGGGATCGGCGGTCGGCGATCAGCGCTCAGCAGTGCAGGCGGCAGGTACGTCCTCGGTCATGGACGGTGTGTTTGAGCCTAATTGACAGGTGGTGACGGCAGGTCACGGATGGGACTCCATTCAGGGCGGGACGCCGGCGGCTTGAGCGGCGGAGGAACTTTCCTCGGGCGTACGGCACTGGTAGCATGCGGATGACGATACAAGACCGCACCAGCCTCTGCCGAGAGAAGCCTGAACCGACCGCTCCCAGCGGCATGAATTGTCGTCAGAAGGTGCCATCTGAGCACTACGGCAGGCGAGACTCGCCTGGCATGGCTCCGACTGTCTGACACACTGTATCGATGTGTTCATGACTCCTTTCAGCGCTATTTCTCAGTATGTCTCAGACTCAGTAGTAAAGACTCGCCGACTCTACTCGGAGCACTGGTGATCCACAACGACGCTTTGTGGTTGATCATGATGCGGAACCGGGCGGCGAGCGGCGCCGGCGTTTGTGGCTGAAATGACAATTATCAGCTTGAGTGCGCTTGAATGTGAGACGTAGCTTTTACCATGCCCATTGATTTAAGCTTAGACAGGGACAAATTTTTTCATCTCGCAAAGGAGGGAAGAGTAAAGTTGGGCGTCGTTCGGCGCAGAGACAGCGCGAGACGCTCGCCCACCGGCTTTTTCCGCGGTGTGACTTACTGTGACACGCTTAACTACGTTCGTTGGCGCCCGCCAGCACAGCTGCCGCGCCAACATCGTCAAGGACTCTCTTCCTCTCTCCCAATCGTACCTGCCTCTGCCTATGCTTACTGATTGCTCATAATGTTGTTATATGAAATCTAGCGGATGGGCGCAAATTTTATGAGCTATCAGCTAGTATCAGTGCCCTGCAAACAGTTAGTTCCTTACCCGCCGGGTCAACGCCGCCGGTGAGTCTGAACTTTGCGAATCCAGGAACGCTGGCTCACTCAGCGAGACCGGCTAGTATACTTACACCACCCGAGGTTCGGGTGCTATAGAGTACAAGATGGCCACTGATCAACTCGCCGCCGATACTTACTACTCGGGGCGCTCTGAAGAATGCAGGAGTAACGCCGCGGATCCGAATCGCAGAACGCCCGTTTGGGCGCCCAATCACTGGCATTTCAATGATCTTCAGACTTTCACAGCGCTGTAACGGTCAGGTGTGTTCTGCACAGCCGGTCCCGCCTAGTGGGCTATATGAGCTGACTAGTCTACTGTACGGCGACTCTTTCAGGCACTGCACGCCGGAGTATATGGAATACCCGCATTCTCTTTGATACGCTCGAAGACTGGGAATCCGAGTCGAAGTGTAAGGGTCAAGCGAGCTTGCCTATAGGACGCGGTATCCGCCTGGGCTCGGTCCGAACGTGATGACAATGTGCTCCATGCCCTGAACAGACCAAAAATAGGTTAGTAGAATGCCTACTGGCTCCGCCGACTACACACCGCTCGACACTTACATACACAGCAAAGATGGCCTTTCCCAGGGGCCAGCCGGACTCTGAGCAATGCAGCAGAAAGCACAGGATCGTGCAGGTATGCCTTACATACTCACACGTCTAGGCAGCATCGATTGATAGCTAGTCATCGACGATTTTTCTCAACTGAAGTACGAGGACAGTCGGAGCGGGATAGGATGCTGAATGGGCGGGTTTACGTTGCTCGTCGTTCCTGGCGCGTATGCAAGTGCAAATCCCGACGAGACTAGATCAGGATGCCGTGCTGAAGAATCAAGGCGGCTCTTCAGCGCTTGGGTGTATTGTTTACGAATCTGCTCATTGCCGTAGGCGAAGTACGTCCTGCGCTTCGAGGTTCGTCGAGACTTTGCGAGCTGAATGGAACTAAGCTCACTATTGCAAATCATCAGGGACGGCACCGCTACGCTCACCGTACTCTCAACCATGGCCTCAATCATATGATGAAGGAACCATTGCTCGGCACATGGGCGGTGTTGCCATACGTGCCGCCACGGCGGAGCGAGGGATCCGCTCCAGGTTCTATCTACTTCGAGCGTCCCTTTGGACACACTAGGCGCTGCTGACCCTTGTATAAAAGCACGGTCTCGATTACCATTTTCGCCAGCAGTTGAACGGGTCCCCACTCGCCCAATATGCTCGCTCTTAGAGCTCTCGCTGGCCTCTCAGTTTACCTGGGGGTCGTCTCCGCTTCCGCCCTCCCGCCCTCCCTCGAAGGACGAAACACCCTCCACGCTCGCGCCACCGTCAATGGCAGCTGCATCTCCGCCCCCGACGACGGGACTACGTCGCTCGTAGGCCTGTGCGTCAGCAAGATCGCCCGAGGAGAGGTCAGTGTCCCCGTTCGCGTCCGCCTACGATGTAATACGCAGTATTGACATGTTATCCGAAGATTGCCTCGAACGCGTTCTGGACGGACCCGCTGTGCGTCGCCGCTGCGGGTGGCTCTAGCGTACGCTATGTTTCACCAGGCCTGTAAGGTTGTGGACGTTGACCGTGATTGATAGATGGGTGCCGTTCTGGACGCGGCCTGCTGCGCTGGGACGTGCAGACAGCCTCTTGACACTGGCAATCTCGACGTTGCTACGGTACGAATTTTGTTGCCAACTTTCTGTAATAGAACTGTTTGACTCACGTCTTGTGTACATAGGTCTACCGTTCAATGGTCGGCTCGGGCTGTACTTCTACCCCAGCCTCGAACTGCGCCTTGACATGGCGTACGTTACAACTCGTTGCCTTCCATGTCCGCTTCTGATCAGCACCTGTTACAGAGCCGTTTGTGGACTTCATCTACGGCACCATCCAGAACACTGGCACCAACATCTGGCCTGAGTAGGTTATACGACGACGGTCATGATGATTGACAGCTGACCACATCGCTTGTGCAGCTCCGGAGACGTCATTCTGGACAGATGGCAGGAGATCGCGACCTGGACTGGGTTTTGCTCGGGCACCAGCTGTGTCAACGGCGCCATCCCATACAGCAACTTCAACGACTGGTTCCACTTCTCGTCCGCCGTTACTCAGACTACGCCGGGTACGCCGCAGTTCGTCCAGATATTCCCGACGCTGGACGAGAACCTGGACAACACAACTCCAAACGTGCTGTGGCCATGTCCCTTTGACGACCCCACTCTCTGCTCCTGGGACTGGGCCCCGCCGCCTCCAGGAACTTTCGACACGGACTCAGGTTTGCAGCCTGCGGTGGTGCGAGCAGCATCTCCCGCGGTCAACAATGCCGTGGCCATATCGGCTACCAGTTCTAGCAGCGCTCAGAACGGCTTCCCGCGGTTTGGCCGTGCCCCGAGTCAGCCTCCTAACCTCCCTCCTCCGGTCTACGCGAACGGACAACTCTTGCCCCTCGTTCTCAACGGAGTACCTGTGGTCTGGAACATTAGTACAAGCGTGGCCGCGCTCGACACCTCGTTCGCAGCACTGCACCTCAGCCCAGAGAAGCCTCATACAAATGCTTCGACGAACGCCGTGAAACGCGCGATCACCCCGGACGCCTGTCGCGGAACCATCGACATCCCCTCGACTTTGCCGACACTCACCTACTACTGCGACAAGCTCCCGCAAATCTGCGCGAACATCCGGTCTCATCCGGATTGGAACGCTGCTACCGACACCATGGATCTCACGTACGACCCTTGGGACGGCGGAAGCAGGCGTGGTGGGTTGTGCAAGCCCTCTGTCACATCTCAGATGCAGGCGGCTGGCAAGTGCGACCCACTCCAACACTCTCCCTACCACTGGAAGGTCAGTCTCCTTGTGTTGGACTCGCCGTTTTGCATGTCGCTTATCTATATTTGCTCCTCAGGTGTCATGCGACGAGTTTCCGTTCAGCAGTTCCCTTGAGGGCGGCTCGGGGAACGCTGTCATCCAAGCAGTATCTCACTACGAGCAGGACCTCCAGAGCACGCTCCAGTCATCGATCACCCATCTCAGGACTAACCAGAGAGACAAGCGGACCAAGTGGTCGGGGGCGAGCAAATGTCACCGATACACCCTCAAGCTTGGTACCACGCCTACCACAGGCGCGAGCCCCTCGGCGATCGGCTTCCTCGACGCGGGCTCGAACTTCTTTTCCAAGGCAGGAGAAACGGCTCGAGAACTCACGAACAGGCACGCAGTCGACGACGTCCCTCCGGATCCGTTCACGATGCCTACGGACTACACCGGTCCGAACGACAATTCTTTGTCGATCAAGGGTAGCAAGGACATTATCGACTGCACTCCTTGCGACTCCGATGGCGATGCCATTTTGGAGAATGACGATGTCTTGAAGCCTTCTCCTGCAGCGCAGGATGCGACCGCACCGACTGCGCCTCCGGATGCCGCCGCTGCCAGCGCGGCGATCGAGAAACGCCAGGCATCGTGTACTGTCCGTCCTACCACTGCGCCCCTTCCCACTTCCTCAGCCGAAGCTTCCGCCATCGCTGCGAATGCGGAGTCAGTTGCGAAGGCCGCCGCCGCTGCTGCTGCCGCCGCTTTGGCATCGGCTGCGAACCCTGCCGCCGACATGGCTGCTGCCGCTGCCGCTGCCGTGGCTGCAGCGAGCTCTCTCGGCCCTGCCGCCGCTGCTTTGGTAAGCACACATTAGGTCTTTTCCTTTGATTGATCTCATTCTAGCTGGGGCAGGCAATGGCTGCGAGCGACTCCGCGCTGGCTTCTGCCATTGCGTCCGCGCAATCAGTCACCTCGATCGCGCAGAACGCGCTGGACAACATCTTCAACTTCGGTCCAAGCGTTCCGAGCTGGCTCAGTGACATCTTGAATGATGTATGTAACTGTCCTTTCTGGTTGCGTGCGCCCCGCTTACGACTTTCTCTGTGTTCCAGGTCTCTCCGGCATCCTCCTCCGTCTCGACAGCCGCCTCGTCCTCAATGAATGTCCTCAACCCAGCCACGCCGATCCCTCCCGTTTCCGACCCTGCTCACGACCCAAACGTCCCTTCACCCCCGCCCGATGCGCCCGCAGCCGCCTGCTTCGGGGCGGGCTCCCACGGCTTCCTGAAGATCGGCGACGCCTTCATCGTAGACGGGAACGGGCCCGTTCCCGCGGTGCTCGTCGACGAGGGCTCCGACGCGTACTTCGGGCTCACCGTGAACACGAACCGCGTGCTCGGCGAGGTCTCCGGGTGCGACGGCGTGTACCAGTGGATCGACTCCGACCTGGCGCCGAACTTCCAGGTCGACTGTTCAACGAACGAGTTCGGCAGCTTCTGGAGTGGGGTAAAGCAGCCGTGCTACATGTACAACCTCCCGTCCGACACCCCGGGCATCGCCGTCTTTGCGCTGTACTGTGGCACCAGCGCTTCCAACATCTACTCCTGCCTGCAGCAGAACGGTTTGTTCGGGGGTCTGCAGTCCGCGTTCCTTACTTGGGCAACGTCTGATAATTGAACGGTGTAGTCTGTACTTGTGGACCCCCTCTGGTGTTGTAACCCCCGCTCTTGGTCAATGTATGTAGCGTCAATATACGGGCGCCAATTATGTGTATGCCAATGTCAGAACGGGGAGACCAAGTGCTACGCACGAAGACACTTTCCTAGAAGCTGAGTATGGTTTTGCCACGACGCTGCTGCTAAGATCTGCCGTTGTAGGCCCAAATCACCTCGACTAAGTACTATGAGCCTTGCGGCACCAAGACGGCACAGATAGATGTGCGCCCACGAGAAGCTTCCTGTCACGGTCTACTCCACGCACCAAGAACTAAACCCCTCGTATAGTCTCAACCATATCGCACAAGTACGCTGATAAACGATAATCAATAACATCATTCTAGGACACTAACAAGTACAACAGCTCATAATACAAGGCCCCTCGCACGCGAGGCAAAGCCTTCATAGATACAACACAGCTATGCCGGAATCACTAAACCCGCGACATCGACCAGGATGTCGCGCCGGAGCGGGATACCGAGGTTAACATCGCCAGCCTCTTAACCGAACCGAGCACTGCGGCTATAAGTCAGAAGGGTAGGTGCGACAGGAAAGCGCAGGCGCGCACCTTAAGAGTCTAACGTTGGCCGCTTCAGATCGACGCGGGGGGAGGCTTGGGGCTGCAGGTGGCACATCATCAGCAAAGCTCGAAGCGAGGTTGATAAAGACATACACAGGGGCGACAGCGGTGCGGGGTCCCGGGTCAGTCGGGAGGGTGGGGAAGGGAGTCTCAGCGCACTACAAGGGAAGTCAGCATTGTCTTAGTAGAGAGACGCCATCGGACGTACAGCCTGCTCGATGTCGGCGATGGACAGCCCAGCGGGGAAGTGCGTGTGGCCCTGAGGCGGCGCGGGGATCGGGACCTAGAGGCGAGAGTAAGCATCACCTTCAACAGGCTAGCGGGAGAACGTTGGACGTACGACTTCAGTGCAGTTCACGAGGTCGTTCTGGTCCTGGCCGAGCGTGGTGAGCACGTTGAAGACGAACTGGAACATCGCCTGCGCCTTCGGCTGGTTGTCGACGAACGACTGCCACTCGCACGCCGTGCGCGAGTCGCGCGCGATCGTGTGGTCGCTCTGCAGGCGCATCTCGCCCGCGAGCGGACTCTCGACCTCGCCCTGGTTCCCGCCGGAGCCGGGGAACGCGGTGCCGCGCAGCTGCGTCTCGAGGAAGAACTGCGTGTCCCACAGCTCGGGCGTCGAGTCGAATGGCAGGCCGGACTCGGTCGGGTCGACGTCGTTCGCCGCCGCGACGGTGTGCGCGGTCAGGAGCCAGACGGTCAGGATGGGGTCAAACTCGCCCTGGGAGGCGTCGGCGAGACGGTCGAAGATCTGGTCGGGGGTGTGGAACGGCTCGGGGACGAGGCCGTCTGGGGCGGGCTGGGTAGCGTCCTTGCGGCCGACGTAGGCGACGAGCTGGGGCGCACCGGCGCAGTTCGACGCAGCGATGGCACCAGCGAAGTGCAGGCTGAATGAGAGTCAGCACTGCGAACCGATGCGGATGAGTATGCGTTAGACTCACAAGTCGGCGTGCGACAAGTTGTGGCGCTCAAAGAGCGGCTGCTGGAGGGCGACAATCTCGTCGAGGCCGATGTTGGGGTGGAAGCCAGTCTCGATATCGGGGAAGATCGAGATCGAGCCGTCGGCACCTCCGCCACTGCAGACCGCATTCCATTAGTATGTCTATTGGATGCTTCAAAGATGCGCGCAACGTACCCGAACTGGCCCTGCGACTGGAGGGCGGGCGAGATCGCGATACCGTCGTGGAATGTGAGACGGAGGGACTCGTGCGCCTCGGCAGTGCACAGACCGCCGTGGAACAGGTTCTGCTGCAGGTCCTCGCGGACAGCGAACAGCTGGCAGCACGCCGCGTTCGTCGCAGTGTTGACACCGTCGGGGCAAGCAACGCGGCGCGTCAGCGCGGCTAGAGTAGCGGTCGGTACACGTCAATATGACAATGCAAATGAGGGGATCAGAGGGGCGCGTACCGTAGGTGCCAGAGAGGGTTGCAGCGAGGGAGACGAAGGTGAGGAGAGATTTGAAGGCCATGTCGATGCCGAGGGAGGAGTGCAGAGGAGAAGAGAGTGCTCGAGTGCTCTGACGGCTCTGGCTGCCGTCGCCCCCCTCTTTATACCTTCTCGACATATCCAAAACATACCGTAGAATGACCTCGCGCCGTTCGGCTCAGCATCGCCTGCGCGAAGAGAGCCTATAGACCTTCGTTCCCGCCCACTCTCGCTCCTGCAGTCCAATCGCTGTCCTGCCATTCCATTGTTCTCGCTGCCGCGCGCGGCGGGTTGCTCTTCCTGGTCGCGCGCGAACGCGCCCGTAGCGTCGGTGTGTAGCGCACTCTCGTTGGTGCGACCAATCGCCGTGCAGAGCGCGACGCCATCCTCCCCTCTTCGTCACCATCCCTCCCGCTTGCGTCCCGCGGCGGCTGCTCTGCGTGGGCACCGTCAGCGGTGATGAATTGAGTGCACGATCGGGGTCATTAAGCAACCTTTTCCGTGGGCAGCAGCCGCGGTCGACCTTCCCACCAAGCGACACGTTACCGCCTGCAAGCCGTGAGGCCTGGCTGGATCGGCGGGCGACATAACGGCTGAATGAAGGCAAACGGGGTCATTAGTGGGCTCGCAATGAGCACGGGACATTGTGTCACTCACATAGAGACGAGTGCTCGCAGGGCAGAGCGAGTCCGAGGAGGCGGATGGGCGGTCTCCAAGCGCGTTTTGACGTCGGGAGGTGCCGGATTGAAGGCGGGCCTCCCTAAATTGATATGAGGCATAGCCTCCCATGCAAAGGCTATATAACGCTTGTTTCCCCCTTGTTCGCACCACAGGCACCATGCGTCTATACCGCTGTCGTCAACGCGCGGTACCGAAGCGTACCATAAGACGTCGCGCGTAGCGCATGGTGATACGATGGGACAACGGCGCGCGGCGCGCAGTCCGCTTCGCAGAAGCTGGGGCGAAGATAGCGACGTGCACACAGTTCTGCGCGCCCCCGGCCGGCGAGGTGGAGCGACCCTAGCGGATGGATCAGCACGAACTTGAACGCTCCGCGCTGGTGGTCGTTTTGGGGCGCAGTACGATGCTTTGACGCGATGACCGGCTCTCTCACCCGACTCGAGCCGTGGAGGCCGTAACGCGTGGTCGAAATAGCCGTGGGCGGGATTTGAGTTGACTAGCGGTGGTCCATCCAGAGGAGGCGCGATACGAGAAGTTTCTACTCTCACGACCCTTTATAGCTGGAGGTCTAAAGTAGAGTGTGAGCAAATCGAAACCAGCTTGTGCGACCACTGCTATTTTCGACTCGCCATAGTGCAGAGACACTCACAGCGTCTATGGTACTGAATAGGAGGTACGACGTCATAGCATGCACACCTGCAATCCGTAAGCAGTCCGAGGCTAGCTTCCAATGCCGCCGACGTGACTTCGCTATTCTTGTTTTTTGCGTCTTGACCTGTCTTGACACTCGAATAGCGCCTACAACGGCGCGCATCCTTGCTCGTCCGCACGGGTTGGTCGACGCAGCAAGGGATTGCGCGATCATACGAAGCTGAGCTAACGAGTAGACTGTGCAGCAGTCCTCAGATAGTATCTGCATAGACACGAGTGGGCTATCGCGAGCCGCTAGTCTTCATCGCCTGTTCGTTGGCAGTCTTCCCGCCGGCTCGGGACCTGGCATGTCAGGGCGTGAATAATGATATAGAGATGTGGGCCATCGCTAGAGGTATCAAGAGTAGATCATGGTGAGGGTGTGCAGTCAAGCGGATGGGGACGGTGCACGGAGAGTCCGAGGAGAGTCTGCGGCGAGTCCGAGTCGGAGACGGCCGAAAAGGTGAAGTAGCCTTAGGCGCCCCCACTCAGCATCGTGGCGCCTACCGCATTGGGCGTTCATTTTCCTCCTCCTTCGGCTGCTAATCCTCTTCCCTCCTCTTCCTCTGCATTCTCTGCGGCTGTTAGCTCAAACAAAAGTATCATGCTGCTTAAGCTCCTGTGCTGATAAGTAATCTTTGCCGTGACCAATTTGAACCTCTTTCAGATGAGCGCCATGCGGTGGTCCTGGATGGCCGCGGTCATGAAGCTCAGGCTTGCACTTCCGAGTTCAATCGGTCGAGTACCCGCACGTCTTACATGTAGTAAGCGTCTTCCAACCTCACTAGAAGCTTTCCGACACTTGCGACAGAATCCTTCTCGCAACGACGTCAGGTAGCGGGATGCGAACGCCAAGTACTCCTACGGCCCATTCCGGCCTACAATCAGGGCGTTGCCACATACCGTCCGCCGTGTGTTATCCTTTTTGCCCAGTAATCTCTTGGTAACTCAAGTATCTCTCCTTTACCCGAGCCTTCAGCTCTCGGTCACCGCACGGTTTCTCGCGAGAACACCGCCAAAAATTCACCACCGCCTAATCATCCGACCCCATCCCAGACTCGAAGCTTGGAGGAACCCTTGGCCGGTTTGATCGTCAATTGAAGACCTCGCATCGTGTAGATTCACATTGCCCGCTTCGATGCCGCCCGCAGGGCTTTCGAAGGGCGTAGCCGCTCTCCAGGTTGCTGGTATGGAGGCTCTGGCACTGGCCACCCTCTGAACGATCTTTGTGAGTGTCGCTGTAGTATTACTCGCTAATCCCTTCGTCTTACCACATCACGTCTCTCATGCTGTCGAGAACCCTAAGATCCAATACATGACAGAACGGGATTGAGGCCTTTCCGAGTCCAACCGCCGGTGCTCGCGTTAATACCGCAGCAAACTCGTGTTCGGAATCCCATGGTGCAGATACGCCAGCGTACTATCACCGTTCTTTAGGCACAGCAGAACGCCTCGAGCATACGCACAAGCAGCAGAGCAGACCCATACTATATTCAAAGACACAACGTTGATGTATACACGAGTCGTTCGCATGGCGTGAGCATTACTTCTCAAGTAGTAAACCAGTGAATGTACGGAACCGCAGTGTCAGACGGAACAATGCCACAGGCGTACATACTAAAAGCAGCAGGTTTGCGACCCCGAAAGTCATCTTGCTGCTAGAGGATGCCTACGCCCAAGTGTCAAATATGAGGGAGAGCATCAAATAAGATACAGATCATCATATACGTACCTCCTGTTCGCGCCGGCCGCCCCACGGACACGAGTACAATACCGCCTCGGGTGTCAGAGCCTCTCAAAGAGGGCGAGGTTTTCGAAAAATTGTTGCACGCGGTTGCATGTACGCACCGCTGTCGACTGGCAGCCCACTAGGGACCGCCGATGTGTAGCCATCTGCGAGCGTGTGCTGAACTCACCGCGTGTGGACTAGCTCGTAGCTCTCCAGATGCCCCTCGTGCTCATAGACGTTGCGACTCGAACGATTCTGCCCTACGCCGGCTCGCGCAGGCGCCGCCCAACGCATCGCACTATGCAGTGCAACTCGAAGGGATCGACGGACAACAAGGCTGCAGCAGCCCTGCTGTGCCCCGCGATTTCGCGGGTACGACGCAACTCGTCGTTACGGTCGTTACGGACGCTCAGAGCGTCCGAGCGGAAATCCGCTCATCACACCGCACACGGCCGACGACATCGAGGCGAACTCGACGGTCAGACCGCATGGCGATATGTGACCCCTGGCTCGAGTCGCTGTCTCAGCAGGTCGCCATCCTGCTGTCCCCAAGCGGCCTTCAAAAGGCACCTAGGGTCTGAGTCGATTGGACATGATGGGGAGAGGAGAGCTGTCCGGGTTTCCACGCGTTTCCCGCTATCGGCGATACCATCGTCGACGGAGCTTCGGCGTGGGGACTTCTCACGCACCCTGTATAGCTCTTCCGCATCCCACACTAATGTCCCGGCTACTATGAGTCTTAGACTCGCGCGTCCGGCCTCCACCGACGCACCACCGGGATACACTTCTTGCACCTGAAGCAGCCGCCACCAAGGTGGACCTGGTGAGGAGGTCCATGTGAGGAGAAGCAGCGACGTCATCTATATGTTCCATACCCCAGTCACAAGCTCCTCCGCATCTCCCGGACTGAACAAGGAACAGGCGTGGCACTGGCAGTGGTGAGTCGGGCGAAGGTCGGGCGTGGCGTGGCGGCCGCGGAACACGCGACTGCGGCAATGTCGTCCGCACGCGCACAGCACGCTGCCTCCGCGCGCTGACTCGATAGTCGCAGCCGACAAGACGAACGCGTGCGTGCAGCGCAGATAGTGCCACGACGACAATGTGGCAGGGACGGAACAAGACGAGCCGGATGCCTAGTTCGCTCGGGTGGGCAAAATCTGCAGCGGACCGGCGTGCAGCGCTGTGAACGCGCCAATTGTCGACGGCCGGCCCCGTCGCACGTTTCGAGCTAGTGCCTGCGTCTAACCTGAAGAAGCCGGCCATCACAATAACGCACGCACCGTGTCGCGTCCGACAAGACTGGCGCGAAAGCTTGGCAGGCCGCCTTCCCGCGTCGGTGTCTTAAAAGTGTGGCCATCTCGCCAGATCCTCGTCCTTCTTTGCGCTGGGAAGCCGGTTTCGGGTGATTTTGACATCGTGTGATGGTGTTTCTAACTGCGGGGGTAGATTCGGTTTGGAGTCAATTGCACCGGTTTAGGACGAAAAGCCGCAGGCGAGGAGTATTTGAACTCACCTGTCCCCGCACATCCACTCCTATTGTCTTCGCCTTGCCAAAGCCTTCGCGGAATACAAGTCTACCATGCCAGCACCTAGCAAGTCAAGGACGTCTGCGTCTGACGACACGTCGTCCCCTCTACCCTCTAAGCCGTCTTCGACATTGCAAGGTAAGCTTCGGGGGACTCCGGAAAGTAAAACGTGAGGCTTACAGGTCCTACGTTGCAGTTGCGCCGCCTGTCGTCGAACTAGTCTCGCGGACCCGCCTGTTTCCCGAAGACCACACCAGCTCAGGCGTACACGAAACGCCACTATCCATCCTCGACAACTTCTCCGTCCGGTTCTCGCTGGTACACGCGGCGTGGTACTATGACAACCCGGCGGGAAGAGAAGGCGCATTCGCGCCGCACTCCTTCCTCTGGTCCCTGCGGAAGACGCTGAACGCCTATCCTCAGTGGGCGGGCCAGCTGCAGTGGATCCCCTACGACCCGAGCAGTGGACAACGCATCGGACGTGTTTCCATCTCGTACGGCTCCCCCACCGACCCCGGAATCGAAGTGATTCTTGCGCGCTGTACCACCCCCATGGCGGCGCACGTCGCGGACGGTCAGACGCGGATCAAGGCCGGGGTGTGGTGTGCCGACCACTTCTCCACCGCGCAGATCCTCCTCCCCACCAACATCGCGCTCTGGGACTTCCCCGTGTGCGAGGGCCGACCCGGCGTGTCTGTGCAACTGACGACGTTCGCCTGCGGTGGTGTTAGCATCGCCCTGCGTATCGCCCACGCTCTCGCCGACGCGACTTCTCTGTTTCAGTTCGTCCACGACTGGGCTGCGATCCACCGTGCAGTGCTCGACGGCTGTCCCTTGCCCGTCCCCGCCCCCATTTTCGACCCTCGTCTGCTTGACAAAGCGTGCCTCGAAGCCAAGGACGGTGCCGAACCCGTCCGCAACGTGATACACCCTGTGCGCTCGCTCCCCATGGCCACCCACAGCAGTCACCCGGGCGACACATCGCCCGCGTGCAGTAGCATGACCTCCGCTCCGCGTGGACCCGGAGCGTGTACCGACCTCACAGCACGCGCGCCGCGGATGCCCTGGGCGGAATGGAGGATCGTCGCTCCGGCTTCGGCGCACTACCATATCTGCTTCACCCCCACGGAGATTCAGGAGATCTGGGAGGCGGTCAGCGCAGATACCCCCGCCCGGACCCGCATCAGCCGACTCGATGCGCTGCTCGCCTTCATCTGGAGCCTCATCACGCGCGCCCGCAGTGTTCCTGACGCAGATGACTCGGCCCCCGCGCGGATGGTCGTCGCCATCGGCGTGCGGGCGCGTCTAGTCCCTCGCCTGTCGGACGCGTTCCTGGGCTCGCCAATCCTCCTCTCGTTGATATCCCTGCCAGGGTCGGAGGTGGCCGCGTCCCCTGGGGCTGGCGCAGCCGCGATCCGCAACACGGTCTCGCAGTACACCTCCGAGGCGATCGGCGCGGTCCTGAACATGGCGCGGCAGTCAAACTCGCAGCGCTTCTGGCGCGCGTTCCTGGGGAAGCGGTACACCACCGTGACGTCCTGGGTCGGCCTGGGAGGCTACAAGCTCGACTTCGGGGGAGGGCTGCCTCGGTATGTGGACCCGGTCATTCCCGGCATCGATGGGTGCATCCATGTGATGGAAGCCGGACCGTCTACGGCAGCGGTGGGTAGCTCTGCGAGGCCAGGGTCGGGCGACCGATGGTACGACGAGCCTGTGTGTTTGTCCTTGCACCTGGCGACGGAGGTGATGGATAGACTGTTGCTTGATCCTCAGCTGAGGAAGTACAGAGATGAGTAGGGGCCAGCAGCGATGATTTTTTTGATGATTTATGATTAATGACGAACCTTCATGTATATGGCGTCTATAATGCGTTCTCTATGATTAATGAGTATTTCAAGATCGGAGCAGACACGCTGATCATTCTTGGTCGGTCTATAGCGTGCCTTGAACACAATATCTTCGGATCGTTGCTGGAAAGGTGTGTCGAGTGAGGATGCTTCCCAGGACGGCGTCGCATCTCTGCGCTTACCAGCCCTGGAGTGCCTGCAATGGATCGAAGACCTTAGCGTTGTGAAAAAATGAGAGGATGACGCTCTTGTAAGAACCTTATGACCTCCTACGTCTCGGCTGAATGCTTCCTTCTGGCAGCGCGAGGAGTCAGACCGACCAGAACCACTCAAACGTACCTGAAAATATGTCAGGCGGGGGAAACTATGATGAGAAGGCGTACCAGATTGAGGTCACTCCTCTGTAGTGCTATGATGTACCGATGAATCCCAGGGAATGTAGAGTCCCTTGTGCACACGGAGTCAGACCTGCAGACACATGCCGCAATTCTTTGGCAACAGCCGTACAGATGCACTGAGAAAAACATCATACTTGCAGTGTTCGAAGGCACAAACACCGCATAGGTCACACGCACTGCGCCATCGCCGAATCTACCACGGAGCAGCTCCACCCTGGCCCGCGCGAGATGGCAGGATTTGGCAACTGAAGCGTCCCATCTCGAGAACTGGATGTCATTTGCAGCTCCGGGAACGACCAGCAGTAAACTACGCGTGTTCGCGGAAGGCGCAGTCCTGCAGTACGTTTTCGGCCGCCGTGTGTGTAAGTAATACGTCTGCTCCCAGCGTTACGGTGCTCTGAGTGAGAATCTCACCTCCTAGCTTCCTCCTATTTTTCCCTATATTGGGTCGTAGGAAGGAGCTCAGACACCTCGGGCGGACGTCGGCGGCCGTTCAGCAAATGAAGATGACTAGAATGAAAACTCGCACTGGTGTCACTAGCGGCGGCATCATAAGAAGACCCCATTCTTCGAGTAACTTGTATTCTCTTCACAGGATGGAGGCGGCCCGCAAACCACGTTATGAGGTCATATGCATTGTTGTGATCGTCCGCATAGAAAGCACGATGATGAGTTCGATGGCTAGTCGAGATGGTATGAGACAGAGTGCGAACGACTCGGAAGCGCTAGCGACGCAGTACATTTGGGCGCTAACTCGCGTGCATCCCTCTCAACCTAAGTCTTCGACCATCCACTCAGGCCAGCCGCCGGCGGGGGCTTCGCGATTTCATACACACATATTGTTGAATCGAGATCTTCTCTGGCACGGAGTACCATAAAAATGCACCAGGGGACAAAAATTCGTGCATGACAGGCCTTCAAGACAAGGGCACGCCTTGGAAAGTGCTGCGTCGTCTCCCAGTTTGAAGACTAATGGCGGCGAGCTACCGGATACGTAACGAGGCAAGTTCAGTTTGGAATGAATCCTTCCTACTCTCACGACGCCCGTCGACCGTTTCAGGACGTAGAGAACCTTACGACACGCCCCGTGGATCAGACGGCTCCGAGCATGTCAATGACTCGCGCAATCACAACCTTCGCCGCACTGGCAGGGCAATATATGAGGATCTTGGCTGCGACGACCTGACCTCATCACTTCAGCACCAAGATGTTGTCCACAGGTGAGTCAGCTTCTCACGCCTTTTCAGTGCAGCCTGTACGCCATACTGACTATCTTCTCTCTCGTCTTAGCGAAATCGATAGACCCTTCGCTCGAGTTAATTTCTCGGACTCGAATTCTGCCAGACGATCATACCAGAGCGGGGACACGCACAGTGCCACTCTCTATCCTCGACAACACGGTTGTCAACTATGCGATGACAAGCGCAGCGTGGTACTACGACAAGCCGGCGGGCAACGCTCCATCTTTCTCGCCCGAGCTAGCATCAAAATCCTTGCAGAAGACGATCAACGCGTACCCTCAGTGGGCTGGTCAACTACAGTGGATGCCGTACGACCTGAGCCATGGACAGCGCCACGGCCGCGTGTGCATCTCCTACGGGTCGCCCGCCGATCCTGGTGTCGAGTTCATCGTGACGCGTTTCCCGACAACGCTCGAGTCCCTCATTCCAGACAACGACACCCGCATCACGGCCGGCGCGTGGTGCGCGGACGGTTTCCCGGCCGCCGAGCTGCTCTGTCCCACCGAGCTCGCTCTATACAACACTAAAGAGTACACTGGCCGGCCCTCGGTGTCCGTCCAGCTCACCGCGTTTGCCTGCGGAGGCTTCGGCGTCACGCTACGGATCGTGCACCCCATCGCGGACGCGACGGCCATGCACCAGTTCGTCAAAGACTGGGCAGCCATCCACCGCGCGCTTCTCAACGCCCAGCCGCTGCCGACTCCTGCTCCCATATTCGATCCTTCTCTGGTAAACAAGGCCGCAGCCGGAGACCTCACAAGGCCCGCCATCGACCCCGAGATCCTCCGCATTGCCCGCACCCTGCCCTTGGTCCGGTACGACTGGTGGAAGTCCGCCCCTGGCTGCCCAGCCCCCATGCTCCCCTCGACCGCCGTCCCCGCAGAACTCGCCGGTACCGACCTTGGCCCGTCCGAGACCCCCGCTCCCTGGGACACCTGGGACATCTTCGCGCCTGTCTCGCACTGCCTGCTGTACTTCACCCCGGCCGAGGTCCAGCGTCTCTGGGAGGATGCGTCTGCGCACCTCCCCGCAGGCGCACCACGCGTGAGTCGCCTCGACGCGCTGTTCGCGCACCTCTGGCGGCTCGTCGTACGCGCGCGCGGCCAGGCGGCAGATCCCGCCCCGAACAACCTCGTCGTCACGCTTGGGGTACGCGGCCGTCTCGCGTCTCGGCTCCCGGACGCGTTTCTCGGCTCGCCGATTACCCTCGCGGCCGCGTCTCTCCCCGGGGAAACGCTCGCGGACCCGTCGTCACTTGGCGCGGGCGCGGCAGCAATCCGTGCGGCGGTCACGGCGTTCACTCCGGAGAAGCTTGCAGCATTCCTCCACGAGCTCGCGTACGCGGTGAACCCTCAGCGCATCTGGCGCGCGTTCCTCGGCGAGCGACACTCAGTCGTGACCTCCTGGCTGGGGCTCGACTTGTACGGGATCGATTTCGGGAGTGGTGCACCACCGCGGTACGTCGAGGCGGTCCTACCGAATATGGACGGCGTCTTCCATGCTATGGAAGCTAAGGCAACAAGTGGAGACGGGGCATTGCAGGGCGGGAACAGGCGTTGGTACGACGGACCCGTGTGCGTATCTTTGCACTTCAACAAGGAAGCCATGCGCAAGCTCTTAGAAGATCCTGAGTTACGCAAGTATAAAGATATGTAGAACGGGTTCCACACCCACATTGAGATGTTGAAGTAGCCAGCAAGAGAATCCGTCTTGGTAATATTACACGCACTAGATACAGGGGGTGAGAAAGGAGCCAGTCCACAAGAGCAAACATCCGATACGATCAAGAGCCATACATATACAGCGTCATTCAGTCGGTCTTCACCCGCTCGTACTCAGCAGCACCGCCACCCCATCCAAACCAGCTCGACCTCCGTGCGGCATCCGGCATTCTAGGACTGGCCGGCCCCTCGCCCTCCATATCGCTCGGCACCTCGACCTCCTCAAACGTCGACCTCCCAGCGCGTTCCCTCAGCGATCCCGAGGAAGAGTTGCGCGACGGGTTGTCCGCAGGCGGCATGGGCACCGACTCGAATGCCGGGCTCGACATCGCCGACGACATGTCGTAGCCCTGAACGCCCTCGTTCGGGAGCGACGCCAGCTCCGCCTCCAGCTGCCTCCGGCGCTCCGACGCGCTACCCCCGCCCGACTGCCTACGCGCAGATCCCGCCTGCGCATTCGCGTTCGCAGCGGCCTGCGCCGCGGACGTCTGCGCCTGCCGCAGAAGCATGGCCCCGGATGCCAGGAGGCCCGGACCGTACGTTCCCCACAGCCCAGCCACGAGCTGCGCGGGGCCCGAAACGGGGTCGCCCAGCGAGGGTTGCGCACCGGTGTGCGTAGCCGCCTCCTCTTCCAGCGGCGAGTCGCCCGCGGGGGTGGACTGAATCTGGGCGACGGTGCCGGAGACGTGCTCCCAGGCGCGGCGGAGGAGGCGTTGGAGGGAGGTGTAGAGGTAGACCTTGAACTGCGCGAGCGCGCTGTCGATCTGGTTCTCATGCGCGGCGAAGAAGGGGCGGAGGTGGGCGTGGTAGAGGTAGGCGGAGCCCGCTGTTTGCGGCAGCGCGAGGTAGAGCAGGAAGACAGTCTTCAAAGGGTAATAGAGCGGCAGCCTTGGGCATTCTGCTGTGAGACGGAGGTCATACAGCGAGCGGTCCGGGAAAGGGCGTACCAGGAGATGAGCCACTCTGCCACGTATTCAACGGCGACGATGCAGCCCAGCACGCTCCAGTACATGAGCCATCGCTCGAGTTCTGCCTCGGAAGCTGGGCGTTGTGAGAGGGTCTTGTATGAGGCGTAGCCCGGGTAGAGAAACGCTGCGGTCGCACTAGGTTCGTTTAGCCCCTGAGCGACTCAGCAGCGGCCATCCGAGCACACCTGATAAGTCGTGATGTCAAATAGAAGAGCATCGTTGTGTCGTCGGGGTCGTCAGTCGCAGTAGAGAGAGGACATGGAAGAGCGGAAGAGAGCTCGGGATATAAAGGATCGGCAATGCCTGATTTGATACACGAGGCTCAGCCGTGCTTACTGATTGAAATTGAAGTCCGATCAATGTTAGAATGAAGGGTAGTTCCCGGTAAGTATGTGAATCAATGCCGCTACTTACTTTGCTGGTACCCACTTACGTCGGCTCCTGGCAGCCGCACTGTGCAGCGCAGCGCCGCAGCCGCGCGATCTCGGTCAGGCAGACGCAAGCAGCAAGACGAGATGGGCAATCATAAAACGTGTCTATCGGAATCCTCTCCATGAAGATCAGATAGAATACAAATACATTGGATGCCACATGCTGGCACTTCGACTGTGCTCTTCGAACACGTCTCTCAGTGCAACGTGACATCCTGGAAGACGGGGCGGTGGTCACTCGCAAGCACACCGTCGTCCGTGAGCGACCAGCCGACATGGTGCGCGTCCGAAGTCCTGCGGGCCGTGTGAGCCATACGTCACCGGACCAAGTTTGTCGGAGAGGTACCCACCACTTGCCGTTACTGCCTCCGAAGACGAAGTCGATGCGGGTGTAGACCGACGCGTCACCAGGTGCGTTGAAGCCGGTGTACGTCGCGTAGTTGCCGGACACGGCGGAGCGCGGGGCTTGCCCCTTGAGGTCGACCATCGTGAAGTTCGGCAGCGCGCCCGCTGGCACGGCGTACTTTTCCGCGAACGTCTGGTTGATCGCCACGGGCGGCAGCTCGCCCGTGATGATCTGGTATGCGCCGGAGTCGGTACCCGTGGCAGGGCTGTTGAAGTCACCGGTGACGATGACCGGCCCGCCCGTCTTGAAGGCCTCAAACCGCGCACGTGCGAGGATCATGGATGCGCCGAGGCGACGTTGGCCGTCAGACTGGTCGTCGAGGTGGGTGTTCAGGTAGGTGAAATGGATGGCGCGACCAGCATCGGTCTTCAGAATGAGTTGCGTGGCGGTACAGATCCGCCTCGAGCCAGCACCTGGGAAGAAGGACGGCACGTCGGGAGTATTCCTGTGTCCGCATGAGCAAACCGGTGCATGCTAGCAGATACAGGCCTAGAGCTCACGAAAGCCAGAAGGTGTCGTTAGAGACAAGAGTAACGTCCGATCTACGATTCGTGTGTGAGTGACAACCTCGTAACAAAGCGCAAGCGATGCGTACTTCTTGTAGAATATGGGACTGAACTCTCCGGCTGCGACTCCATCATCACGACCGACGCCGACCTAAATCCATATTAAACCATGGTTTCGAGTGAACGCGCCCCATACACACTTACCCATCCCCAGCCGTCCCCAAGCAGTTCCGCGAGGTCAGTGACCTGTCGGACCAGCGCCTCCTGGAACCCAGCCAGGACAACGCCCGCGCTCTCGAGATGCTCAAACACCTTGATGCGGCGGGCGCTCCACGGCTGCTCGCCTGTCTTGCCATAGTACGAGATCTGCTGCAAGGGATCGGGCAGCGACGCGAGGGACTGCTGCACGGTGATATTGTCCGGCATGGAGTCGAACCGGAGGTTATACGTTGCGATGCGCATGTTTTGGTTATCTTCTGCAGTAGCTGCGAGAGAAGTGAGCGGGAGGACGAGGAGACTCAGGAGGGGCAGGAGAGGGAGCATGGCGGCGGACTACGCGGAGAGAACGAGCCCGTTACCTCCCCCCTGGCAGCGCATCGCGGGCATTTATATGGAGAGCAGCCCCAGTACGTCTACGAGCAGATACCCCACATGGTTCTCTACCCGAAACGCACGAAGAGATGAAGCAGAAGGGCGGGCCTGCCGTGATTCACCTCACATGATGGCCGGCAAGAAGCAGCGGGATGCGAGCACGCTGTAGGACTCACCTTCGAGCCGCCAATATCGGCCGAGACCAGACCTCGTGAGTACCTGCACCGCGAGGGTCGAATATAGACTGAACAGGACCGTGCCAAGGTTTGCGAACATCACTGGGCAGTGAATACGAACGTGCTCCGGAGTGGTGGATCAATCTACCCGGGGTGACGACATGTGGTGAGCGTGGTGCTGTAACGGTAGTATGCTTTGATAACGGGTTGGCCTGGGGTGACTATCGAGCAGTCCGAGGTGCAAGTATAGACTGAGTTGTCCCAGAATTGGAGACCCAGGAGGAGGGAGAGAGCAGGTGCGGAAGCAGCGCTGCCATGATGACGGTGGCGGTAAGAGCACTGCTGCGGCCAGACAAGGTTTAGCCGCCGTGATATTCCTCAGTCTTTGAGTCTGATCTTGACAATACTCACTTCGCCTGCACTCCAATTTGCCAGATTGTGTACGGGTGAAGGGAGATCATTTCAAACCAGATGGCGGGATTACGCACAACCCGCTAGTGCGGTGTTGGAGAAGCTGTTTGAAACGAGGTTGCTCAGATCCATTTTGAGTATGCTGGCGGTATGTATTTCGGAAGGTATCATTATACTACTACACTTTGGTGATGGTCTCCATAGGCATGCTAAACATGTCCAGGATACCGAATCGTTGACAGATGCCTAGTCATACACATTGCGATCGAGAGCAGCTACAAATACAACAGTGACAGCTACCAGGCAATAAGTTACTCAGTGTTCGTGTCCGAACGCATCGTCGCGAAGAACTGTAGCGGTAACGGCGACAACCGCTCCGTAGGGCTGCGCATGTCGCGGAGCGTGCGCCGCGAGCCCTGGGGAGAAGTGACCGACGAACTGGGCGTGCGCGAGCGGCGCGACGGCGGCGAGGGGTACACCACACCAGGTGGCATGTCCGCCTCGACGTACCGCCGGCTGGGCGTGCCGCTACGATGGGGTACGGGGAGCGGTTCGTCTCGCGTGGGGATGGGGACGGGTCCTCTGTGAGGGATGGGGACAGGTCCCTTGTCGGGGACTGGGAGGGGATTTCTCTGTGGGACAGGCAGAGGACCGGCAGAAGGCGGACGAATAGGGAGCGGGTTGGATTGAGGGGTAGGGAGAGGGTTTCGCTGGGAAACAGGGTGGGGGCTTCTCTGTGGAATGGGAAGAGGGTTGTTAGACGGGATAGGGAGCGGGTTATTGGAAGGAATGGGTAGCGCGCGGTCCACCGGGATGGGTGGGGTTATCGGGACAAACCCGGGCGGGAACGGTCCCTCTGGCACTGGCCGTGGCGGGATAACAGGAGACTCGTCATCATCTTCGGGGTATGGCGGTTGGTAAGGTGGCTGGTAGGGCACGGGGGGCACCATTGGGTAATACCCCGGGATCTCCGTCCGCATCACGATGACATCCGCGTCTTGACTCGGGGTTAGCGGCCGCGGGTTCGTTTCTGGGCTCAGCAAATGTGGGTGCGTGATTGTGGTCTTCGTAGACGAACGACTCGTCGACGGTGTCGACTACGCTTTGTGTCAGACGCTGGATACGTTCGATACACGATATAATAAGGCGACTCACGGGTGCTTCAACTCGAATGTCCGGAATCACGCTTTCATGTGATGGGCCTCTTGTAGGCCTCCTGCGATACCTCTTCTTAAATTCTGCGTCCAGCGGCGTCGTTGGCGACTTGGCTGGCTCTGTACTGCCGCTCGTCCCTGCTGTATCCTGGCGCTCCTCCATAACCGGCCTTAGCGGTGGCAAATCTTCGCGTGGCCGCGGCCCGCGCGGCGATGTTGGTACACGTTCACGCTTCAACCCCACAATCGGCAAGCGATGTCAGGTCAGCGCATCCGCGACGAATTCACAGCGCGACGTACGTCCTCTCGAGCCTTTGCCCCACGCGACTTCACTCGTGGTGCGACGAGATCGAACTGCGAAATGCTTGTGGATGCCTTCGATTGCGGCGAGAATGGTCGGTATATGTTGGGTGCGGAACGTCCGCCTCCTAGAGGGCCACTCTGGGACGCGTCCGGATTGGCGTATACGTAGTCTCGCGGGGGCGGAGCTGGGGGTTGCGGTGCTGGAACTTCTTGAGGTGGCGCAGGAGACACCGACCGAGGTGTGACCGGCCGAGAAAGCTCATGAGGGGGCGGGAGGGTTATTTCACCTTCGGCATTCTCATACGGGATCCAGCTGTCTGGAGGAATTTCCAAAGGAGGGTGCATAGGTGAGGGAACAGGGTTATGTATCGGGATCGGCGTAGGGACGTCTCCAGCCCCTACCGGTCGTGAGCTGGGATAGGGCATCACAACGGGGGTTCCCGATCGAGAATGCGATGGCGAAGGCATATTGAGCGGCGTGGTCATCGTAGGCACGGGTAGCGTGTTGGCGATGTGGGCTGCGTCCGAGACGCGCTGGCCTTCTCTGGACACCGTCATTCTGTGTCGAAGTCAGACACACGATCGCGCGCGATACGCCAGAGCTTACCTTGACGGCGGTCTTCCCGAGGGCCCGGGCGTCCGCATTCGCGGCTCGGGACCTGGCGTTTGAACGCGGATGACCGGCGCAGGTGTGCGGCTACGAAGGTCAGGGGCTGGCGTCCCAGCCCGGTATCGTGAGGGCGCGACCTCACCCTCCTCGTCATCCACTTCCTCCACGAGCACGGGACGTTTTTGGAACCGCCTCTCTTCGACCACCCCGACGCCCTCGTCTTCCATCGCCTCCTGATATCCCATGTCCTTCCCTTGAGAAAATCCTTCCTGAAATCCTGCTTGCCTACCTTCTTCTCGTGCCCGAGTCATCAACTGCTGCTCCCGATACCGCCTCGCCGTCGACCGCGCGCGAGCCGCTTCAGCCTCGGCCTCGAGCTTTTCTTGTTCCAATTCATTGATGATCTCCTGCGCGCGCGAGATCTCTCGTGTCGCATCGTCCAGGCGGTACTTGTAGAGCGTCAGCTCCTCCTTGGCGCGCGCCGCGTCGGCCTGCGCCAGCATCGTCGCCTCGTGCGCTGCCCGGAGCTTGCGTAGAACTTCGAGCAGGCGGCGCTCGGCATCGTCGGCGCGGCGCGTCTCGCTCTCGAGGCGTTCCGTCGTCACTGCGATGATGGTACGTAAGCTGCGCGTGTCTTGGTATTCTCTCGACATCAGCCGCGAGAGCAACTTCGACGGCGCCCCTGAGTGGAGGGAATCATGCTCGCCGCGGTCGACTCCCCGCACGCGGGGAAGGGGCGAGCCGGACGAGACGGAGGAGCGGAGGGACTTGGAGTGGGAGTGGCTGCTGTCCGAGCGCGAGGGAAGGCTCCCGCTCGACGGGGAGGCGGACCTGTAGGAGTCCATGCGGGGAAAGGGGAATTCACCGCTGCGGCGATGAGCTCAACGTCCATATGTGCCGGCGTAATCGTCCGTACCGGTTGTCTTCCTCCACGATCCGAGACATATAGTGAGGTAAAGGCGGCAGTCGGTAAGCTAGAGGGGGGAGGGCGCAGCGCGGGAGGAGGCATGGGCAACGAGGAGCTTGCGTGGCGTGTTCATCGCGACCCTGCTGTTAATGAAGTCAAAGGCAGAGATCGGCCGGTTCTTGTGCGAAGCTGGCTGGCGCTACCCCATGGCGTGGCGAGCGTTGAAGGCGTTGCAGCGGCGTGGCGTCCGCGCCCTTATCCGTGCGTGGCCAACACGTGTCGATCGATCCGTGCCATCGAGCGGCGACCTTCGATGAGGTCCGTATGACGAGCTGGGATTACATGTGAGTAAAACGGACAGATGCGGAAGCCGATGGCTGGCCTCGGAAGACGTACTCGGAGATGGACTCGTGATGCTGCCGTTTGAATGTCCGTGAGAGGCGCCTAGTCATCCTCCAGTCGGCGATGGTTGTTACATGCCAGCGGGAGAATCACGCTGGTCATGAGTGGAGCATAGAACCATGGCGCATTGGTCTGGACGTGAATACTACGTCTGGCTGCTTTAATATACCCACTGTTATTCTACAGTCACAATGTCGTTCAACAAGAAGCGCGCATTGTTGAGTCCGACATTCTCCACCGCAGTTGGTAAGCTTATTGAAGTCTAAGGGTAACAGAAAATATGTCAGAGTATGCGTCAATGAGGGAGAGGCCGGAGGTACTCAACCTGAGGGGAACAGTAATCCGGATTCCGAATCCTGCTTCGCTGCCAAGACTGGTATCATCTGTGAACTCGGATATCGTATGCGACTTTGCGCTTCTCCTCATCAACGCACACCCTTGTGGTACTTTTGTTCAACCAGACTGCAGTAGCGATCGCCGGGAATTTTCGAGGTTGTGGTAGCTCCGGATGCGAAGTCGACTTGAGCGCTCTCATCCCGCGCGGCTCCGAATCCGCCTCAATAAGTAAGCGCCCATAGCAACCACACATCTTTGAGACCCTCTTCACCACGACCGAGTCCGACCTCTTCCTCGCTTTCAAAGCATCACAAGTAACCGAAACCTCAGATATATGGGGAATACAATGGTTTGATATGACGCGATCCGGCTATGTACCTGCAAGCACAGGCGCGCCCCTCAGACCTGATCAGGCCTCAGGCTTTGCAGGTATTTCCCGACCTCCCCGATTGGACGGGAATAGTGAACCTGACACCTCTTGCTTGGTAACAGGACGTACAGCTTGCGATGTGGAGTGTGCAGATTTGTATAAAAGTGGGAGGCTGCAGATGCACGTAAACGCATCCCAGTGTCAGAACCTGCGAAGGAGAAGCACCAGCCATCACCAACCCACGCTATGCCTTCCAACGAAGTGACCATCTTCCTCACCGGAGCCACAGGTGAGCGAGTTTACGCCTTACCTGGGATCATGGATGATGAATCATATTATTACTAGGGTATATCGGTGGCTCCATTCTACAGCGGCTGCTCGCCCACCCAAATGGGAAGAACTTTGAGATCACAACCCTGGTTCGCAGTACGGATAAGGCGAAGCGTCTCGAAAGCGAATTTGGCGTCAAGGCGATCATAGGTTCCCTCCAAGACCTCGATAAGCTCGCCACCCTTTCCGAGAACGCGCATGTTACCATCCAAGCAGTAGGTGGCTGCGCGCGTTGTCTAGCATATAATCACGATCGTGCCATTGACCGCATAGCTGTGGTAGGCAGATTGCGACGATGTAAATGCTATCACTGCTGTCCTGAGCGGCCTGAAGGCGCGGCACGAGAAGACTGGGGACGTACCAATTCTAATCCATACTGTAAGTGTTTCGTCTTCACATCCTAGTATGCCCTTATTGATTCTTCACCTGGAGTCCGGCACAGGCGAGCTCATGGATGATGCGAGAGGAGCATTCAAATCAGAGAAGGTCTGGTCCGACCTCAACATTGCCGATATTGAGGCACTCCCTCCTACGGCTATCCATCGCCCGGTCGACGTCCTCGTTGTTGCTGCAGACGTTGCCGGGTACGCGCGCACCCACATCATCCTGCCTTCGGCCATATACGGCGTCGCCACCGGCCCCCTGTTCGACGCGGGTATTTCGAACCCGCACACCATGATCTTCCCGATCTACGTGCGGTCCGCGCTGCACCACGGGCACCTCGCCATCCTCAACGACGGCGCGTCGCACTGGGCCAGCGTGCACATCGATGACGGTGAGTTCTGGTTTGGTCGCATACCACTGGGACGTTCGCTGACATCTGCTGCAGTCACGGACATATACGTCCGAATCCTCGACGGGGACCTGAGCAACCCGGAGAAGGTGTCCCACGGGCGGGAAGGATACTTCTTCGGCGCGAACGACGAGTTCAGCGCACGCGAGGGGATCGTGCCCGTCGCGGGTTCCCTATTCGCCCACGGGCGCATCTCCTCCCCGGAGCTCGTGAAGTACTCGTTCGAGGACATCAGCAAGTACTTTGGTAGCGCGCTGCCTTCGTTTGGTCCCAACGGCGGGCAGGTGCGTGCGCACGCGAGGGCCTGGGGGACACATTGCTGATGGTATGCTTGTTCGTAGTTCATCGCGCGTGCACTCTTCGGAAACAGCCGCTGCACGGCGGACCGCGCGCGTCGTGAGCTCGGGTGGGCGCCGACCCATACGACCAAGGACCTGCTCGCGGGTCTGAGCTCCGAGGTGGAGATCATCGCCAAGAAGATAGAGGCGGAGAAGAGCGCCTGAATGGTTGCGAGTTTTGTTCCGGGACTTGAAGGTACGGACATATGCTGACATGTATGAATGCCTCGGATCGGATTTTATACAAATACTGGGAGCTACAGCTTTATGGGCGATGGGTGGTCGCGCGACTCTTTCGACTCTTAACATCCCTCTCTGTTTGTTTGGGCAGCTGTGGCAGACTCTCGTGGACGGCGTCGCACGTGCCACGCGCCACACGTCCCACTGCACCGGCCAGAGGCAGAGCGTCTGCTTGCGTCCAATACCGCCTGAAGACTTCAAAACTCGTCGTCGCTTCAGCCATTTCGCAGGTATACCCATCTGCACTCGCTATTATCATGCCTGTTATATGAAAATGGTGAGTATTGTTTTCCAAGGTGATTTCGATATCCCCTCTACCTCACCTCTACGGCTGATCTCGTCCCATGCAGTGGCAGACCATTATGCATCATATCGGTGCAGTCCACAGTCCAGCCTCCGCGCGACTCGTCAGCTCATACTCGCCGGACCCTACCACGCGAGGATGTGGGCCAGCTATACAGGATGCGTGAGAAGTCCCCACGCCGAAGCACCGTCGTCGATGATGTTGCCGATAGCGCGAGGCGCTTGAGCCCCCGACAGCTCTCCTCTCTCCCTCATGTCCTATCGACTCAGACCCTAAGTGAGTCAAGGCCACTCGGGGACAGCGGGATGGCGACCTGCTGGGACAACGACTCGAGCCACCAGGGTCCAATTCCACATGCGGTCTGACGGTCGAGCTCGTCTCGATGCCGTCGGCCGTGTGCGGCGGGACTCGCGTAGTCGGCGTCGATATATGCGGCGTCGTTTTCGCAGGGATCGTAGCCTCCGCAAAGCGGGTGTTGCGATTTCCCCTAGCAGCTTCGTCTAGGCGAAGTTGCAGGGTTGCTCAGCGGCGGCTGCGGCCGTCGTGCTGCATTGCCGCCGAGCCTCGCTCTTAGGGCGGTCTAACTGTCCAGAAAGAGCACCTGCGCGAGCCGGCGCAGTGCATCGGCTCGAGTCGTAACGTCGCTGGATACGAGGGGCATTTGGCAGAGGGATGGGCTTCTCCACACGCGGTAGGTCCCGTCGCGCGCCCGCAGATGGCTACGCAACTGCGGCCTTGCATGGGCTGCCTGTCGTCAGCGCGGCGTGCAACCGCGTGCGCCAATTTTTCAAACCCCCGTCTCTCTTCGAGAGTACTGCAAATCGATGCTCCACTCGCGAATTTGTGTCGCTGTGCAGTCAAGTTATGTGCGAAGGTCCCAAGGTGCGTCTGTTCGGTTCACAGAGGCTTATACGCGAGACTGACTGGAGGGATTGACATTATAATCCTATTACAGCAAAACATGCAGCCGTTCCCCAATATCATTCAGCGTTGGAAGATGTCTTCAAAGATTACTAGTGCCATCTTCGACGATGGCACGCCGGTCTGACCTGGTTATCATTTGCTAATGCTATAGACTTAGCGCCTCCAGCTTGCCTGAGGTTCATCTAGACACTAAAAAGTACCTGGTTAACAGTTTCCTTGATGCACACATATACTGTGATGCTCTGAGAGATATTAGTATTGAAAATCTCTTTCACGCGCAGGATGCCGATGGGCGCTTGAACAGCTGAGGCGCAGACTCGCGTGGACTGGTCCGAGACCATATCTTGACAGTTGTCCACCACGATGCTGTATACCTCGGTCACAGCCTCGATTGCGTAGCCTCTAGACTCAATGCATGAATCTTTGCGACACGTCGTGCGTACGTGTGCGGCGACGACCGTTCACGACGCGAGCCGGGCAGTTGCGCACCAGACACGGACCAGTACTCACTGCCAGCAGACACATAGTCTTGCCAGCAATGTTTATCCTGCTCAAGGCCCTCTCAGCTCACAACTAGGCTCTACACGATGCCACGCCGTTTTGGGGGGAGGGGGGTTATTGAGTGCCGACATACCTGGTTCTTACTCATATCCATCCTTCTCGGCGTCGATCATGGATCTGACGAGCACCGCTCTCTAGGTCACTAACCTGGGTTGAACATGTCGTCTAATGGACTCTGGACGACGGTACGGATGCCATACTCGCACGGACGGATTTACACGCGCTGTGCACGCAGAGGCAGGACAAATAGACCGGTTTCCAATGTCAAGCACCGCCTCGGTGGCCTCGGGACCTGTGGTTTGACGTCCTCCTATCGCACAGGTTATCAGAGTTTGTCCCCATTAGACATCTCCAGAGCGCGCAATGCCTTCCAAACCACCTTCCATCTGGATGGCGCAGTCGCCCCGAAGCCTTCGAAAACCTAGGACCGCCGCAATTGGTGCTGCATGGCGATCCAGGCCATATGGCGGGCGGAGCTCACGCGATATGTGCCCTAATTTTCCTGCCATCTGTGTCCATGGTTGCGGTGTTTCTCATGCCATGAACATCATAAATGAGAGGCGCGACTAAGTCGAGTCCACCCGGCCTTCCCATCCCCCAGTCCCACTACCATGCGCAACTACTTCTCCAGGTCGCACTCCTCGCGCCTCTCCACCGCGAACCCCTTTTCCGAGAAGCAATACCACTCGGAGACGCGTCCTCTTAACACGAGTGACGGCCACAGCGACGACGGAGACTCCGCTCTCGTCGACATCCCCGCTGTTCTGACCCCACCGAACCTCAAGATCAAGCGCGTCGACCACTTCTGGAGCACCTGGTCCAAGGGATGGAAGTACAGGAACACCGGGTCTAGCGTCGTCGCCGAGGCCGTGCGCCCGGTGGGCAACGGGACCACGAACGACCCGTGGCAGAACTTCTGCTTCGTTGTTGTACGCAAGTTCCCGCAGCAGCAGAATGACCTCGAGGACGAGATCAAGTACAAGATCGTGATCAAGAGCCCGTACCTACTCAAAGCCTGCAAGGACGTGATCGGGAATGTTCCCGGTGTCTCCTGGACCGCCGAACCGCTCGAGGTACCTTCAGCCTTTCTACGCTCTCCGCATCTATGTATATCCTTATGACGAATTCTCCGCAGCTCGAGCCCCAGCTGCTCCTCGCATTCTTCCCCCAGCTTGAGGCACACGAGAAGCTTCTCAAGGGGAAGACGCGCAGCCTGCACGAGGACTACATCCTCGCGACCCTCAGTGTCCTGCTCGAGTACCTGCGCAAGGACTACCGCGCGACGCTCGAGCGGATCGCGAACCTCACCACGCACGGCGAGATCACCTCCGAGCTGCTCTACGCCATCCTCGTCCCGCGCACGATCATCGTCACGGAGTGCCCCGTCACGGGCGAGACCCGCGCGCTCCAGCTGCGCGCGCTCAGGCAGGTCAAGCTCGGGAGTGGCAAGGCGTCTGTGGTGTGGCGTCTTCTCTGCGAGAGCATCGACTCGCTCGAGGAGGCCATCCACGGCCGCAACGTGGAGAGCAACATCAACGGGCGCGCTCCTCAGCAGGCCAACCACTCGTCGGGCGCGAACCCCCGAGCGTCGGGTATTGGCGAGAAGTCGTTTGGGCGTGTCGAGACGGTCATCTACATCGAGCCGTTCTCGGGCACGAAGAAGATCAATACTCTTGCGGCGTACCCGCTCAAGTACAGCTATGACCCCCAGGGCTTGAGGGAGATGCTGCTGGAACGCGGGCGGAAGTGGGCGTCGCTGAAGGGCATTCACCACGTTCACTACCAGGGCACAGCCGCGTTCCGCCTTGGGACGGCTTCCTGCCAGACCATCGTCAAATACAATGTACGTTTTACGCTTTATCCCACTATTGCTGTGGCTTATGCCATGCTCAGGTGGACTCGCGCATTATGGTCGACAGAAGTGAGTTTCTGCCAGGCTATGCAGGCACACACCATTGACCAAGTTTGTATCTAGGGAACTTCCTCAGGCTGAACCCGAACTACGCGCGTCCGAAGGCAAGCGAGACGGAGCAGAACGACCGCGCCCAAGAGGCATACAACCCCAATGATCGCTTGCGAGCCCACCGCCAGCAGATGATGAGTAAGTAAACCATCACCTATAACAGCCGTAAGGCGTGCTCACCGAGGTCGTACACGGTCTCGACAGACGACGAGCCAGACCATTTCGAGAACGTATTCACGCTTGATGTCCGCTCCAAGACGCATGCGGAGGAGGCAGCGCTCAAGGACGAGGACCTCCTGCTAGCCTCCCCCATCCTCTATGGATACAGTCTCTCGGACAAGATCTGGCGTACGCTCCTCCTGTTATTTTTTCGGATTTTCGACTGACTTGATCATGATACACGCCGAACAGTCGAGTTCAACGTGCAACACATTCAGCCGATTGTCTGGAATGAAGAGGCGTTTGCGAACCTCGTGCTCGCGGACGACCGCAAGGACCTCCTGCGCTCGCTCGTCGACGCGCACAGCGTCGACCTCGGCTTCGACGACTTCGTGCAGGGCAAGGGCCAGGGTCTCATCATCAACCTCTTCGGCCCGCCCGGTGTCGGCAAGACGCTCTCCGCGGAGGCGACGAGCGAGCGCGTGCACCGCCCGCTGTACGTTGTCGGAGGCGGAGACCTCGGTACGAAGGCGTCGGACGTCGATGCGGAGCTGACCAGGGTGTTCGACATCGCCACGAGCTGGAAGGCCATTGTGCTCATTGACGAGGTGCGCTGATTGCAGAGTTGAAGAATGTGTACTTTCGGTACTGATGTTCTGCAATGACAGGCCGACGTGTTTTTGGAGCGTCGATCCCTGCATGACCTCGAGCGCAACGCTATGGTCGCCGTCTTGTAAGCGCCTTTTCCGTCTCACTGTGTGACTAGACCAGGTTCACTCATCGTCCACGCCTAGCCTCCGCCATGTCGAGTACTACCGCGGCATCCTCTTCCTCACCACGAACCGCATCACCGCGTTCGACCCCGCCTTCCTCTCGCGCATCCACGTCGCGCTCCACTTCGGCGAGCTCTCCCTCGCCGCGCGCACCCAGGTCTGGCGCGCCTTCCTCCGCAAGGCCGGCATCGCGGCGCCCGCCCCAGGCGTCGACGCGGAGGCGCAGTTCGTCGCGCGGCTCGCGGCGCGCGAGGTGAATGGGCGGCAGATCAAGAACGCGTGCCGCACCGCGCAGTCGCTCGCGCACAGCCGCGGGCAGCAGCTCGCGGTCGAGCACCTCGAGGAGACGCTGGACGCGATGGAGGACTTCAACATCGAGTTCGCGGCCATGACGAAGGCGCAGGCCCGGGGCTCTGACTGAGAATCGTACACGGGGAGGGCGGGATGAGGACGTGAGAGCCGGGCTGTGGGTGCTGTAGTCCGCAGTAGAAGATAACTGAACGTGCCTGGTGTACTAGTAGTCATACGGCCGCCCGAGAAATACATGCCGTTTGTCAGTGACGTTGCCACGAATATTGCCTACCTATTACTTCAGGCGAGTGTCTCGATAGGACTCGGCTGGGCTCCGCTCGCCTTGCGCCAGTGATTGCGGATAATGCAAATCAGTCCAAAAACAACTGATTTTGGTTCGCAATGATGCACATAACCTCAAGGCGCTATAGTGTAGTGGTTATCACTTGGGATTCTGAAGAGTGTTCCCAAGACCCAGGTTCGATCCCTGGTAGCGCCTGTACATATAGAGCGGTCCTTCTTTTTTGGGCGAAGAATGGGGGAATTCGGAAGCATGCAATGCGTATATATGATAACACCTGGTCTACCACACATTCGTATGCCCCCTTAGTTGCGGTAGTCAAATGTCATATATCAAAGCCTCAGGTGATAGAAGACAGCCCCGTTGAACTGGTTCGTGCTATAACGGGACTTTGACACTAAGACGCCACCCTACACATTCGTCCTAGCCGTAGAATCGAAGGGGAACTGGGCGATCGTAAATCCGCTGAGCATATTGTCATCGTTTGGCGTCTCCTTGCTCTTTACGACCGCAGCATACACCGTGCCCATCAGCGTCGCTGGGACCTGGGTAGCGCCGTTTTTGTCGAGCACCGTGTAGAGGACCTGGCGGCCGTCCAGCCACGCCACGAACGCGCCTCCGTTGGCCGCACCCTGGGGCTGCGAGAACGTGGCAGTAATTTTGCCGCCGCGGGCAGGAGACGCGGACGAAAGGGTGAGCGCCGGGAATGTTTTGACTGGGAGCGGCGCGTTGGTCGAGGGACAGCTCTTGATGAAGGGCGCTGTGATATTGCGGATGAGCGCAAAATTTGGGGAAATTGGTGGTGAAAGTCCGTACCTGCCAACGAAAATGCTCCGCTGGGGGTGAGAGGGACCTCGAACGGCCCGTTCCATGGCTGAAGCTTCATGACGGCCGCCGTCACCCAAGACGCCTGGCGCGCCTCTGTTGCCAAAATAGACTAGAAGCGCAAAGATCAGCGACGGACCAGCGAGAAGGCAGGAAGCACGCACCCCCGCGGCGGTCAAGTAGTCCGCGTTGTTCGCGAGGAACTTCGCGCTGCCGAGGTAGGCGGACGCGCCGACGTTCTCGAACACCATCGACATTGCCGCGAACGCCTTCGGGCTGTCGTACGGGCTGCAAGGCGGCGTTAGCGGGCGCGCACTGTCATAGCGGAAGGAGGGCTGACAAGGTGTATTCGCACGGCTTGACGGCCTTGTCTCCGAGCGCGGCGGTGAGGAACTGAACGTGCGTCGCCTCGTGCGTGAGGATCTGCTCGAAGCGGCCGCGGACCCAGGCGGGGAGGCCGTCGTTCTCGAAGTCCTGCGCGGTGTACTTCGCGAGCGCTTGCGCGTAGAACGTGTTCTCGAGGTGCTCGAGGGTCAACGCGAAGTTGAGGACGTCCGTGTCTGGTGGCAACGCGTAAGAGGCGAGATGTGCCGGAACGATTGAACGTACGCACTGCTGGGCACCGCAGGAGTAGGTGCTGCAAGGATTGTAGACACACTTGCAAGGGCGAAGACCACGGCTTTCTTGAACATTTTTGTGGGTTCGGCAGAGGTCCGTTAAGCGTTGCGGTAGGGAGGAGACGTTCGAAGTAAACGAACGAAGAAAGTCCTAGGTGCCCTAGCGATATTTATATATGCGCGCAGTGACAGGCGGAGGGGCAAACGGAACATCTCCGAGCTGCCCGTCCTCCAATGGAACACGCATCCCCGAGGCGGAGATTGGCTTCCCTCAAGAGGGATCGAGGCGTCGATCGTAGCCTGCACAGTAGCTCATTTGCCGTGATTGATAACTGGTGGCGTGCGCATGTCCGTCATCCCCGGGGGCGCGTCGGGCGGCCGTCAAGAGCGCTACCATCCCACACGAGGCGCGTCCTGTGTCGGTGTGGTGGGCTTCTAGTAGAGGAGCACGTCAGCGGCATGCAGTCACCGGACTGGAAGAAGTCACCTACACATGCTTATATGAGGGCTGAAGCATATGGATGAGCATAAATACCTGGAGAAGGACGCGGTTCTTCTCTCCCGTACACCTAAACGCCGCACGGCAGCTGCCTTTCATTGGTCCGTCTTGCAGGAGCCCATGACTGGACGGAGTCAAGAGTTTTCATTTCCTGTTGTGCAATCATCCATATGCGATTGAGGGCGGTGGGTGAGGTGAGCGGGGACCTCCTCTCAGAAACAGCATCATGTGGATGGGTGTCAAGACGAGGGCGCCCAAGGCTGGCGTTCAGTAAGTGGACGAGCGAACTGCCTTTTCAGGAGAAGCGCGCACGGACCTCTCCACGTGGGCGGCGATCTACATAAACCTCGAATCCTTCCGCCGCGCGTTCGCTTTATACGCACAACCGCCGAGGACTCTCGGCGTACTGCACTCGAGGCTTCTCGAGCTCCCACATTTGTCGCTCGGAAGAGCGGCTGACAACTATCGAGACCTCTCGACACTCCCACTTCGCTCGTCGCTCCAGGTGGAATCCTTCGCCGCTCGCGGCATACGCACAACCGCCGAGGCCTCTCGGCGTACAACCATCGAGAATCCTCGAAGCCCCACACTGGCTGCTCCTGGAGCGGTCGACCGAATGGATCGTGCTATGCACGGTCGAGGAGACGCAGTAGCGCTCCATTCCCTCAAGCCCGGCCTCTTGGACGACTCTAGGACTAGTGTACTGTCTCTCTAGGCTGGGGGTTCGCGCGGATGCGCGGACGATTGTTAGTATAGTCAGACGAACCCTACCTTGCCTGCATGTTCTATCGGCTCAGTCCACGATCTACCGGTACCGTCACGCTTCGGGCTGGTACATCGGTGGACAGCGGGGTCTGCCTCCCCGCTGTGAGGGCGGCTCGAGCACGGTTTCGGTTGATCGTCAGTATCATGCAGTGTGGTCAGTGAAGTTCGTCTTCGCGCCCCTGTGCGTGTTGTCGATTGGTCTCGCAGAAAGCGGGGCATCAGGATCTTCAGCGTTGTCCAACGCTCGAGCACCTCCAAGCGCAGCCAAGGGTTGTCGCATGCTTCACACCGCCCTTGACGGTGTTCACTGCGGTCGTCTGTCGACGACCGCCTGTGCTGGGCAGCGCAGTATCTGCTCTTGTCGTCGCACGATATCACTGAGTACGAGGGGCATTGTCAGACAAGGTCCGAGGTTCGTCAGATGTGGTTAGCGGGAGTTGGACGGTCCGCAACAAGAATTTGCGCAGCCTACGGTTGTCGTCTATTTTCTTGTCTGTGAACCTCCAGCTTATTGCTAGCCCGCCACAATAATTTTTGGAACTCTTACTCTTCGCGAGTGGTGTTACACGAGTTCGTCATTCCGAACTGCACGTGTACTTAGGCAACTCAGAATGTCAGTAAAATGATATACGGTATTATATACGGACCCCGAATATTAACGTATATGCCAGATATCGATGGATCTCATCGATTCGGAAAAGGATCGGCAGCCGATCCCAGGCGTTCAGTAACGTAGATCACCGAGTTACCATGCTGGGATGTTTAGCGCACGGACCACCTCGAAAATTATAAGAGCTGCGATGGCGCCAACACACCTCTTTTCTCCACCGCTCTCTCGAGCTGCCGACGACGAACCTCGGTTTCCTCCCGTGCTCTATCGACCCAGCCTTCGGAGTGCCCTCGGGTACCTCCGGGACAGCGGGGCTCGCCCCCCTGCTGTGATGGCGGCTCGAGACGTCTGGGCTGGGGTCGTCAGTAAAATCGCGCAGTGTGGCGCGGAGACTTCGGTCTTCGTGCTCGCTGTGTGGGATGACGTCCTCCGAACGGCGTTCACTCGCCCGTTCATGTGTTTTGTGCGCGCGAATCTCTCGATTCGCCGCTCCCTTCTTATACCAGACGGCGACGCTGTCGCCTCTGCTACTACCGTGTTACGCGCCGAACGGAGCAATCCGTCGGCGCATCTTCTGTGATAGACTTGAGCGAGTACAATCTGTACACGCTCGTCACCATCTGGATATATCTTCTCGCTCGCTGGATTCTTTCGCCGCCCACGACTGGACCTGGCCGCGCAGCAAGATTTCTGTGGAGGGGCTTTGCGACTGCAAATGCCCGGAAATCGGACGAAGACGTTTATCGTCTTCGACGTCCGTGCGGGCTAACGCACGGTGCCCGTCTCTGGTCGCAAGATATCGCTGGGCACGAGGAGCTCTGGCGGGCGACTTGAGGTTCGTCAGGTGCGTGGTCGGTCGCTGGTTGGGCGGTCGGAGGTTGTGCGCTGCACAATCATCCTTGTACCTCCAACTCGCTGCTGGCCTGCATACACAATTTTTGGAACCCCTTGCACTCTTCGCGAGTGTCGTGTCCGGTGGGCCCGTAGTTGAGCTCATGTTGGTAGTAACTTGTATCCCCACGTTGCCAAGTACGGCAATGTTTATGGATGGACTTCGTGGCCATGGTCACTCGGAACATGGCGCATGAGCCACGCTCTAGGCTCATTTAACGGAACGACATACGAACCTCCGGATGTGTGCTAGCATGCCCTATCGGCCCCGTCCTCTCCGTGCCATTGGCACGTCCGGGGGCAGCAGGGTTGGCACCTTGCTGCGATGGCGGCTCGAGACGAATTTCGGCGGGCCGCCATAGATCATGTAGCACGGCGCGCGGACATGTCTCGCGCGCCGGCTATGTGTGTGCGGCCTAAGGCAAGATGCAAATTCGCATCTTTCGTGTACTGTTTCGTTTAACTGGCCGACGTGCCCGCGCATTTGCGCGGGCGGCCAGTTCGTCTCCACATCCCACGGCGCCGCATCTGGCGTCGTGATCAGCCACGCCGCGCATTCGCGGTACTGTCTCCTGTCGCCGTTTGGTATCACTGGGTACGAGGGGCGTTGCTAGCCAATTTTTGGAACCCTGCGCTCTTCGCGAGTGCTTTGGTGCTCGGGAGGCAGCAGCTTCAACGTGTCGACACGGCGTCTAGTAGCACTGTCTGCTCAATCAATACACACGCTTTCCAGACTCATCGCGCACGCGAGCATGCGCTGCGCGACGCTCTCGCAAGTGTTCCGATTGAGCTTTGTCAATTTCCCAGTGAGTCGTACCTCTAGACGGCCACACACGGCTCCCGTACTCAGCGGACACCCTTCCGGCGGGGGCGCACAGGAAGCACCGCGCTATCCTCGAACGACACCCGCCCATCCGCAAAGCGTGCCGTCCGCCACCTATGCGAGTTGCACGGCCCCTGCACCGACACCACCGCCGCCCCCAGCGTCGGAATCGCCGCCATTAACCGTCCGAGGAACTCCACCACGTCAAGGTCCCGCGCAGCCCGTTCTACGGTGCTCAACGGGCCGTTCGCGAGGGCCTCATAATCATAAAGCCCGCCCGGGGGCTCGATGTTCTCCGTGTATATGCGCAGCGTGAACTGGCGCAGGGGCGCGCCCGCGAGTGCGTCCAGGAGACCATCCTGCAGCCAGTCCGTCAGTGAGCACGTCGCACGTATGTGAGTCCTGTGCACCAGTGCAACGCCCAAGTCGACCTGGACGTGCTCATTCCCCAGCCGCGCCTCGATCGTCAGGTCCTCCAGCCGCGCCGCGAACGTGTTCTCGCCCTGCGGGGCCCGCACGACCCCAGGCCATCCCTCCAGTGTGAGGACGCGCGGGCGCGCGCACGCCAGCACAGGACCGAGCATGTGCCCTCGGCTGGAGTGGACGTGGGACAGCGCGACGCGCTCGATGCCGCACGTCAGGCCCAGGGCGTACAGGGCAGGCAGGGCACCGTCGAATGCGCGCAGACGCTCCCACGCGAGCCCCGCGCGCTGCTGCTCGTGCATATTCTGGGCCAGCCATGTATCCCATAGGTGCGGGCCTGGGTTGCCGTACTCGCTGGAGACGACGTGGAAGGCGAGGCGCTCGAGGTTGGGGTATGCGCGGATGAAGGGTAGGGTGAGCGGGAGTGTCGTGCTTTTCAGGTCGAGAGCGCGCATGTAGGTGTATATGATTTCAAGGCTCGGTGAGATCGTAGGAAGGGTGCACGAGACGGTGAGGCTCAGCTCTTCGAGGGAGGATGTGAACTGCGCCAGCCACACCACGGGGTGTAGTACAGATCATTTTTCCATGCGCAGAAGATCGCAGTGGGTGTCCTGATAACGAGTCGGAAACTCAACGACAAGGTGCGTCAATTCGCAGCGAAGGCTTGTTAGGAGATCCACTGGCAGATTGTCAATGCCGGAGTCCGACACCTCCAAGTCGTGCTCGGGGTGCGCAGCATTGAAGGCGGGAACGAGGTTCGGTGACCACCAGTGGTACAGACCTCCGGAAGTCTCGTTCGACAATGCGAGGGACTTAAGGTTGCACATGAGGGACAGCGCTTCTACGAGGCGAAGATAGACGGGAGACGACACTTGACTCTGGAAAGATAGCTTGAGGTGACGGACGAGCTTGTAGCGATTCGAGGGCTGGACGGAGAGAAAGGATAAGAAAGAAGCTAGTTGTTGTTCATCCCTGAGGCACGGAGCTTCCTTCAGTATATATGCTGGTCCGTGCGCATAGAGAGAGCGCGAGACGGCCATGAAGCGGGCCCCGTCTTTTCTGGGAGCCGCAGCCATAATCTGGAGGAGGACATCGGTATTCAGTGCAGGCACCGACGTCGATATGCTTGAAGGAGCTGTGAGGAGGCTGAGGCACGGCTGCGGGAGACTGTAGTATTATCTAAATCAGGAAGGAGAGTTGGGGCTGCAGCATAACAAGCTCAAACAACCGCTGTGGCTGAGCGCTGCAGGGCTTGCCGCCAACTTGCCTTTGAATTCCTCACTGGACCGTGTCTACGGACCTGTCTGGGAGTTACACGGTTGCTCAACCACAGTCTTCTTCTTAAAATCACGAAAATGCTCTCTCTCGCTCCCTGCGTAGCATCGAGGCCGCCAACTGTTGAGCTCTGTCTACCGTGACAAGCAAGCCGAACCAGAAGAGCATGGCCGAGACAGAAATAATCCGAAGACGGCCGAACCGGATCCTGTGGTCGCGTGTGGGACGGAAGGAAAGCCCTCATTGCTGCCATGAATCGTGGACCTCTTATAAGTAGGTGCGGCTCAGCCGCAAGTCCACCGAAACGCCCCTTCAGGCCCCACTCGCCATAACAACTCTCCGATCACGCTCAACGACCTCCACTACGACGGCATCTCCGTCCAAGGCCGTAAATCGTACCTGCGTCTCTCCACTGCACCCCTTGAGCGCGCTCTAGTAGCTAATGGCCCTCTCTTAGGCGAGCACATGCAACGGCGACGCGCGTCATTTTGAATCACCATGTTGCGGCTCTTCGACATCGCAGTACCTCCGGAACGACCGGCGCATCGCGTACTTGGAGAACACGGTCCGCTATAGTGTCTGGGACGCTTTAACCCTGTACGCCGACGCCATTAGTCCTCGAGCATCTCGCCGACATGCTGCCCGCCCGTGGCCTCACCCCTCCCGTCCCCTAAAACCAATCTCGTGCTCAACAGCCCGACTGCGTGATTCGTCGGCTTCGAAGCCGCGTTTGCGCCCCTGGCAAAGGTGATCATCGGGTCCGCTGACAACAACTCGAGGGCGCCGGGGGCGAGATCGTGGCGAGGCAGGACCTGCGCTTCGCCCATCTGCTTGTGTGCACGTCATCCTCCGTACGGCCATGTTGATGCTGGGAGAAATGGGAATGGAGGCGCAGCGCGGGCGGCAGGAGGCCGAGAAGGTTGATCTCGTGCTTCCTACTAAAATGCCGGCGGGTTCCGTGTGGGCGGCTGTGCATGTCGAATTGACGTGCGCCTGAAGGTATCACTGGCATACTAGTAGCCGTCTACCGATGAGTTTTGGACGTCACAGCTGAAGGCGAGTGAGCACATTGTTCTTAGCGGAAGCCAGCTAATGTTGTTGACGTTTCAGCCTGTTGATAGGCCGCTTTTGTGCTTCATATCACCGCAAATGCCAAATATGCACGCAGGGCCGTCACAGGCTCTGCCTTACGAAAAGTTGGGGTCATTTGACTCACCGTGAGCCTGTGGCGGAGCGACGCAGTATGATTGTGAGAAGAGTGTGCGATGCATATAGCATGCCATCGACCTTTTAAGTCGCGCCAAGAGGCAGCACCCCGCTCTGGCGGCACTGGGAATATACATAACTCAATATCAGGTCTGTCTTGTGCATGTCCATCTCTGTAATCTCGCCCACCATGATTGTCTGGATTTGTGCAGTAATGTCCTTTCTAGTGGTCTCTACCCGAATCATCCTACGCCGACGTGGCCTCCCCTTCCCGCCCGGTCCTCGTGTGCTTCCCCTCATCGGGAATACTCTAGACTTTCCAACGTCAAATATTCCACGTCGTTTCCACAACCTCGCGAAGCAATATGGTACGCCCTTCTTACTATTCCTAAAAGTGCTTATCTTGTTCGCACTCTTATATCATACCACAGGACCACTGATATACTTGAACGTACTGGGCCAGTCTATCATCATAGTGGATTCGTATGACACCGCTCGCGAACTACTGGATAAGCGGTCGAAGAACTACTCCGGCAGACCCGATTCCGTCATGACCAGACTGTAAGTCACTTACTGGCTGGACGGTGACTGCACTACTCATATGAGGGACCAATGCAGAGCGATGTCATCGGATTCCATATTGATGTTACCCTACGGGAAAAGCCTGAGACACCGCCGGCGAATCTTTCACCAGACGCTACAACTCAGCTCGGTGAACACTTACTTCCACCCCCACATTCAACACGTCTCGCGCGATATTCTCCTGAACTTACTGGAGAAGCCTAACGCCGTCTCCCGTCATATGAGTTTGTGAGTAATCATTGTTCGAAGATTGTCTCAGTCAGTTCTAACGAGTCCCACCAATTAGTGCCTTTGTTGCGTCCGTATTGAGCATTGCATATGGCATCAAGACATCCAGAGACGACAACCACTACAGCAATATGTTACAGCAAACGTCCGAGCTGATAGAAACCGCCGTAGTCCCCGGAAAGTATCTAGTCGAGCTGTTTCCCGCAATGCAGCATCTTCCAGCATGGTTCCCAGGCACAGGGTTCAAGAAGGATGCGAGCGCTGCTCTAGAGAAAGTCCTGGATTTCAAGCGGATCCTCTACGAGGAAGGGATGAGTCTCCTAGTATGTGTTTTGAATCTTGGGTTCGGACCCGGATTGCCGACATCAACTGACTTGACGGTGTCCGACTCCAGCACACTAAGCCCACCGGCGACAGTATGCTTTCTCTGATGCACGAACAAATCACCGCACCTGAAGGTGATGCCGCTGCGGAGGAAGAAGAGCAGTCCAAAAATGCGCTGATAGAAACGTACATGGGCGAGTCCAAATTCGTGACTCGTACGTCTTGAAGAAATGCTGAACATATCTCCCCCACGCAGGCGGCTCGGAAACTGTTAGTGACACTACCTCAGCCCCTCGTCCTTCCTCGTGCGCGCCGCAATCTCAGCAAGTCCCGTGCTAACTACACCGCCATCTTAACAGACTGTAGCTTCCTTGCGTGCATTCTTCCTCGCAATGGCAATGAACCCCGACGTCCAGAGGCAAGCGCAAGCTGAGCTCGATAGAGTTATCGGGCGAACACGGCTCCCAGAGTTGCACGATCGCGACAGCTTGCCCTACATAAACGCGCTCGTTAGGGAGCTCAACCGATGGCACGTCGTCGCACCCATTGCCATCCCTCGCAGTGCGCTGGAAGACGACGAGTATAACGGCTACTGCATTCCGAAGGGGTCAATAATAATTCCCAACCTCTGGTAACCGCGGCAGCCTGTCTACGCGCAGAGGACCGTACTCACCGGATACATCAGGGCCTTCTCGCGTGACCCCGACGTGTATCCTGATCCGGAGGCGTTCAATCCGGACCGCTTCCTGAAAGATGGCGAGTTCTTTACAGGCGCTCTTGACCCACACTCGTACATCTTCGGGTTTGGAAGGCGGTGCGTCGTCCTCATGAGTACTCATACTATATGCCGGAACGTCTACTTATTCCAGCTCGATGGATAGTATTTGTCCCGGCCGCCACCTCGCGGACGCCTCGCTATTCCTGGCCTGCGCGTCGATATTGTACGCGTTCAACATATCACCGCCCTTGGATGATGATGGGAGCCCGATTAAACTGGAAGCCAAAGTGGTGACCGACCGCGCCATTGCGTGAGCAGCTCTCTTCTCTTTCATATCGTTGCCCAGTCGCCTGATGGTCATTAACAGGAGCTTGGAGGAGTTCGAGTATGTCGTGGAGCCCCGGTGGGCAGGTGTTGTAGACCTGATCAAGTCGTGAAACCCGACCCTACTGGTAGAGGACTGGGAGAAACAAGTGCTGGACGAGCCAATGTCCGAGCCCCGTTGTGTATGTCCGGACTACATGCGGATATGTTACAGCGCTCTGCAGAGTCCACGATGTGGACAGAAACACGGTCAAACCTTACAACTCGTCTCGCGTAGCGATTTTTGTAACTTTTCCTACCGCGACGCCCTCCCCGCTCTCTTTTGCCTTCCACGCGCTCTCCACCGCATACATCGCTACGCTAACCGACGCGTTCGCCGGCAGCTGCGCCGTAGCCAGCGTGAGCGTCGCTAGTGGCTGCGTCGTGAAGAATAGCGCCGCCACGGTCCACGAGCACCTCGAGGATACTCCGCCGTCCATGCGCAGCCCGTTCGTAGTAGTCGTGAACGATGTGCCCGTGTCCAAATTGAGCGCTAGCCCGCGCACGCCGCTAGTCAAGTCCGCGGGGAAGGAGACCAACCTCAACCCAACATTAATGGTCCTTGAACCATGGCCAGGTCACCTTGGGGTGGTAGAAGTTCTTCGACATGCTGGCGAGGACGAGGTTTCCGGAAAAATATAAGCTTGTACTTCGCGCTTGTCAATCTATGTGTGCTGCTATATAAACGTTGCTCTCCAGGATACATCGCCTGCCGCCTCCACCTTTTCCAGACTAGCTACGTACACATGTGTCGTACTGAGGTGAAAAAAAGGACTGCGCTCGCGAGTGTCCAGTTAGGACTATACATATCGAGGCAGTGGTGCACGGACCCCGACACGTGGATTCACGATATAAAAGCCGACGGGACTCGCGCCGCGTCCTCTTGTAAGGAGTCTCCTGAACTCCAAGTTGTCAAGCCCTGCAACGTTCGCATAGGCGAACCGAGTGGTGACCCATGTGGTCTGTCGAGCACCGAATCGGTGCGGGGAATGAGCGATGAATCAGAATGATGTTCAAGTCGAAAGCGAAACCAGACGAACCCGAACTTGCTGGCGTGTCCTATCGGCCCAGTCCTCAGCGTGCCATGGGCACGTCCGAGGGAAGCAGGGTTGGCCCCTTGCTGCGATGGCGGCGAGTTTCGGCGGGCCGCCATTGAATCACGCAGTATGGGGCGTGAGCTTGTCTTGCGCGCCGGCCTCGTGTGTGGTGTGTGCGGTCTAAGAGTGCATGCACCACTAAGGTGCGGATGTGACTTATCCAGTGCACTGTTACGATGCCACGAAAGGTCTCGACGTTCCGAGACTGGCACAGTAACTCAGTTGACCGAGACCGGTCCTAAGCCACGCGCAGTTTCTGTCTCCTGTCGCCGTTCGGCATCACTGGGTACGAGGGGCATTGCTAGCCAAGCCTGAGGTTCGTCGAGCGTAGTCAGCGGGGAGTCGGTCGACGGCAGCCCAATGCTCGGGTGGCCCCTTGCGGACCGTCGTCGTGCCAGTGCCAATATGCGACTACCAATTTTTGGAACCCTGCGCTCTTCACGAGTGCGTGACCCGTCTATGCACGCTGGAATCGAAGTTGGCCGGCGCAGGATACGCGCGGCGTTCAGTAGCACTTCATTCCAACTCGATCATACAAGCATACATACACATGCAATCCACTGTTTCCTCCAGATACGTTCCGGCGCATTGTGTCAATCACCGTCCATATCCTTGCGGGTACTGATACTGCTGCTGCGAGCCCTGTTGCGCATAACCAGGGTAGTAGTACGGTGGCTGCTGCTGCTGCTGCTGCTGCTGCTGTTGCGACTGCTGTTGTTGCGGCTGCGACCCAGGTGGAGGCGGAGGCGGCGGAGACGTCCCATACTGTTGCGATGCATAGTTCACCGGTGGTGGGGGTGGCGGGAATGGCGACGACACGGCCGGACGGCTCTGATACCCACCGTACTGAGACTGTGACGGTGGTGGGGGAGGGTAAGGCGACTGCTGTTGCTGTTGCTGAGGTTGTCCGTACGTCTGTTGCTGCCCTTGCGGAGGCGGCGGCGGATACGAGGAGTACTGCTGCTGCGGGGGCGGAGGCGGGCGTGCTGGCGGAGGCGAGGCAGGATTGCTGCTGCCAAACATGCCAAGCGAGGCATACGGATCCGAGGGCGGTGCCGACGGCTGATAAGACGGCTGGGAAGGAGGTTGGGAAGGCGGGGATGGAAGGTATGGTGCGGACGACTGGTTGCTAGGCGGTGGCGGAGGGAAGGACTGCGAAGACTGCGAGGGTGGGGCCGGGTATGATGACTGCGAGGGCGGTGGCGTGGGGTAGTGTGATGCGGGTGGCGGCGGGGACGTCCATCGGTTCTGCGGAGCGGCGGGAGGCGGCGGGGTACCACGGAGGTTCATGGAAGCAAACGACGACTCGAGGCCGCTTGATGGCTTGGGCGGAGGTGGAGGAATTGGTGGCTTGTCACCGGGTCTCGAAGAAGGCGTAGACTTCGGGATCGCCAGCCTGCGCTCCATCTCCGCCTGTGAAACGAGAGCGTCGCGCTCCGCTGTGCGCTCAGACACAAAGGAGTCCGCGTTGCGCTTTAAAGAGCCCGCCAGCTCCGTAAGCTCGGTGTAGAACTGCAATCCCTTGCTAGTGGGGGATTAGCGACGAACAGTGAAGAATGAAGCAGGCACTTACGCAAGTCCATCTCGCACTTCCATGTAGACGTCCCGCGCGCGCGAGAACCTGCGAACAGTATCCTTCTTGCGTCGTTCGCGCTCTTCCCACTGCTTCGCACCTGACCCCCGCCCGGCCAGATCGCGTAGGCCACGCCATAGCTGGGTCAGCTCCTGCAATGTGAGCTGCTCGTGGTGGACTGTGGCCGCTAGTCGTTGTTGGTAGGGTCGGAACTTCTCCAGCTCTCCGGCGAACAGTGTGGATTCCACGCCAGTGTTGCGCCGGTTGAGTAGAAGCAGGTGGGATACGTCGTCTTGTTGTATCTACCCGTACTAGGTCAACAGACTATAGGAGATCTCGCGAACGACGAAACGTACCTTATCCTTAAGATCCTTGAGCACTTGACTGCGCTCATGCGAGATCTTGTTGAGGCGACCCAGTCTCTCTTCGATCTCATCTACGAACTGGCCAATCTTGACGCGCTCCTGGTCGTCCTTCGTCTCGCTCACGACATCGAGATCTAGCAGGTTCTCTGAACCCGCGCCCCCAGACTCTGTGCTCGCCCTGAAGACGTCCTCCACCTGCGGCGACAGCAGCAGCTGAATCTCGCCCCTTACGGACTCCCACAGACGGACAACCTGCTGGTCCGACTGCGCAGCCGCCTCCAGCGCCGTGAAGTGCGACTTCAGGTCCTGACGGAGAGACTTGGTGAGCGCCGACGAGGGCGTCTGCGTCCACAGGTGGTCGTACTTGACGCGCATCGATTCGCACTCCCTGCTCTCCGCGTCGAGGTCGCGGCTGACGGTCTCGAGTTCGTGCTTGACGGTGTCCTTCATCCGGCTGAGTTCCGAGATGATGCTCTCGACGCTCTCGCGCTCCTCCATGACCGCGATGTCTTCCTTCCAGCGCCTCACTTCAGTCGGAAGCTCCGCCTCGCCTCCGACGCCACCCTCTGAGATGGCCTTGAAGCGCATCAGGCCCTCCTTGATGCCCATCGCTTCGAGTGCGCTCTTCACTTGCACTTCCGCGGCATCGGCATTCTCGACCTCCCCGCGCACGAGTTTCGCCTTCTCCTCAGAGTAGACGCTTGCGCTCTCGTGCACGCTGAGCGGAATGAGGCGGACGAACATGTCTTGCCCGATGACCTTCTGCACCTCGGGCGACGCATATACCTCTTGGATGGTGATGGGTGTCGCGACAACGGCTTTGTCAATTTGTGGGAGCGTCTCAGGGGCGGGAAGGATGGCGTTGTAGATCAGGTCGTTCTCGCGTTGCGCCTCGTTCTTCTTGTCCGTCATGAGGGCTAGATGGGCCTTGGTGAGCTCCTGTAGGGCAGGGCCCGCGTCTGGCGGAAGATTCGGCGACATTTGCGTAACGAAGACGGAGGCGAACGAGGACGCGGTACGGTTGGCCTCCTTCGCGGTGGTCTCGGCCACAGTGAAACGCACGAGGGCATCACCGTGCTTTCCTGCTGCGCTGTCCGCTAGGCCGCGGTAGTATTGTGATACGGAGGTAAAGTACTTGGCCTTGGCCTGTTCGAGACGTTAGCGAGGACCGGCTGTATAGTTGTATGGTCATACCTGGATAACCGTCACCCAATTGCGGTCGAAGATGCCCTTCCCCATGAACTCCTTGACTTCCTCAGTCAAACCTGTGTATATGAACGCAGTCTGCGCCGCGATCTTAGCCACCAGCGCGTTGCCCTTCTTCTCGTCCGTACACTTCTCGAAGAACACTTCTGTCGCCTGCGCGAGGATGATGCCTACGAGGAACTTGATGATTTCGCGACTCAGGTCTAGCGATGGCGCGTGCAGGAAGTTGTCGTTGATGTATGTGAGCATACCAGCAGTGGTGCGGAAGTAGTAAAAGGCGCGCTTGAGCCCCTCGGGGTCGGACCTGTTCTGCGAGGCCGCGATGGCGGAGTGCGTCGCCGCGATCTGGAAGATTACGGACGCCTTCTCGTACGCGATAGAGGTCTGCGTTATGAGCTTGTTCGTGAACGCATCCCGCCACGGAAAGTTGACGCGAATTTCTGAGAAGCGAAGCTCGAGGAGCTCGAGTTGACCGAAGTACTTGTGCAACAGGTCCTTCGCTGAACCTCCCCGTGAGCAGGTAGTCCTGAGGTAAGAATGTGATCATGGAGGACACTAACCGGTCATATCGCTACCTGCACCCTTCACTGCGTCCTGTCTACACCGCTGTAGGTTCGCACATTCCTGAGCATAGTTCTCTGGATCCTCTCCGTAGGAGTGAGCAATCGCGTTGCGAATGGGCGTTGTCCAATCCACCTCCTCCGTCGTCTTCTTCGGGATGGAGATCATAGGCGAGTTGTGCGCCGAAATGAGCGACATGGTTGCCGTCGCTTTCGCACCAGAGCAGCCAGGTTAAAGCAGGAGATTCACCAGAAAGATAACAAGAACACTTTGCGTGGCGACCAAACGCAGAGCCCGGAAGGGTGGAGGTCGGGAGCAAGGAGTAGACGATCGAGTCCTGTGGGCGCGCAGCCGCTTCAGACTCACGTCACCGCGTGATTGCACAGATCGCGCAGGCACGCTCAACTCAATTGCAAACTTCGAACGAGGCAATCGTTCAGACGAGGTAGAGGATAAGTACTATTGTATGATCCGGTACGTGGGGAACAGCAGCAAGCCGGTATGCAAGTACTCTACATCTACCGAGTCGGTGGGATTTAATACGGTCACGCTCAGAGCGCACTCGCACCTAGAAGGCGGGATTAATACTGGCGCTGATAAATTCGTACATATATTCTCACCAGTGATAATGTCGACCAGCTCGTTCGTGATGGCAGCCTGGCGACCACGGTTGTACTGCAGAGTCAGACGGTTGATCATGTCACCCGCGTTCTTCGACGCGTTGTCCATGGCGTTGCGACTACCGCGGGGTTAGCGGGTCTAACGCCGGGCTTGTGGATAATTGTACTTACCGAGCACTCTGCTCGCAAGCATGGCCCTCGACAAGCGCAGCGTAGATGGCGTTGGCGAAGGTGAACTCAGCCAGATCCCTCGTGACATCGTCCTCCTGCTCGTAAGTCCGGAAGCCAGCTGAAGCATGATGAGCGTCTGTTCTTCTGAAGAGTTATACGAAAACGTACGCGACTCCTTGAGCAGGGCCTCGGGCTCGACCTCGATGATAGCGGGCTCGTACGAAATGGCGGACACGAACTTGTTGTACACAATCGCGATCTTGTCGTACGTGACGCCGGAGGTGAGGATGAGGTCGGCAACACCGGCCGCGTCCGAGAACGTCGGGATGTCACGGCCAATCTGGTTGAAGGACATGACCAGGTTCTTGGGGAGCAGACGCGAGAGCTGCGCCTTCGACTTGTCACCAATGACCATGACGGGGGAGTCCTCCGCGACGCCGCCCTCCTCGGTAAACGCACGGCGAGTAGCCTTCGTCACGGAGGAGTGGATACCACCGCAAAGACCCTTGTCGGACGAGATGACGAGGAACAGGGTGCGCTTGCCAGCATCCTCAGCGGTCGCGTGCTGGAAGAGCTCTGCACGCCATTATGAAGGAGTTACACGTTCCAACGAAGTAATAACGTACCTGAGTTGGCAAGGCCGTACGCCTTACCCGCCTGCATCGCACGCTGCGCCTTGGTCATTTTGGTGGACGCAATCATTTTCATGGACTGCAAGTATCGCCTTAGGTTGGCCACAGACAGAACAAGACAAAGTGAAGTACCTTCGTGATCTTCTCAATGTTCCTCACGGACTTGAGACGAAGCTCGATTTCACGAAGGGTAGCCATGTTGCGAGCATTGGTGGGTGCTGCTCCCAGCGCCGGAGGCTGGGACGCAATACGGCCGAGCGTACGCCGAGCGAGCATGATGAAGGATGAAGGAGTGGGGGTCGAGGTCGAGGTCGTCGTTGGCGGGCACGTCGACGTCGACCGGGAAATGGCGGGTCGGATTTCGGTCGGAGTCCGAAGCCACGGCCCGGGGGCGCCCCTGGCCGCATGCGCGGAGCTTCAATCGATCGTAAGTACGACTCATCCCCATTGATTACCGTGGCTTGCAGCGAGCAGTCTCTCATCGACGACTACCCCCACCTCTCTACTGTCGAATCTGCCCAGCATGGCGTCCGAGGAGCCTTTGTTTGACCCTTCTCTGAAAAAGCGCAAGAAGAAGACCGTCGCGTTCTCCGAGGACCCTCTGGGTGCTGATGCCGATCCCACCACCCCCGCACCTGCCGATATCGACAATGTCACCACGAATGGGGACAAGGTCGACATGGGCCCTACGACCGCACACGAACTTATGAAACAAAACGAAACCACTGGCGAGGAGGCGGAGAAGAAGGAGGAGGATGACCTGAAAGCTATGTTCGGGGACCTCAAGAAGAAGAAAAAGAAGAAGGACATTCCGCTCGACCTTGTGAGCATAATCTCGTCCTTTGTGTTGCAATGAGGGCGCGATTAGCTTACCTACCTCTCCGATCAGGCTGAGGACAACTCCGGCACCTCCACACCCGTAGTGGCGGCAGCACCATCTGAGGATCTGGACTTCTCCGATCTCAAGAAAAAGAAGAAGAAATCGTCGAAGAAGGCTGCTCTTGACCTGGAGGCGTTCGAGAAAGAGCTCAACCAGTCGAAGACGCAGGAAGCTGAGGAGGATGAGGGCGGAGATGAGGGTGCTGTGCCGGAACTCGACGAGGGAGAACTGGGCGACGATCCATTCGCGGGAACGGGAGGTGGAGAAGCCGCTGTGGGCCTCGACACCGGTAGCGAGCCTTGGCTCAAGAGTGACCGCGACTACACATATGAGGAAGTGCGTATGCTTCTGTTAGTGCAAGCTATCATGGACCCTGATCGTCGTTTGCTATAGCTCCTCCACCGCTTCTACGCCCAACTCCATGCATCCAACCCCGCCCTCCTCACCTCCGTCGGCAAGCGGTACACGATCGCGCCTCCACAACTTCTTCGTGACGGCAACAAGAAGTCCATCTTTGCCAACGTCTCCGATATCTGCAAACGTATGCACAGGCAGCCGGAGCACGTCATTCAGTACATGTTCGCCGAGATGGGTACCACCGGCTCTGTGGACGGTTCCGGACGTCTTGTCATCAAGGGTCGCTTCCAGCAGAAGCAGGTGGAGCACGTTCTGCGTCGGTACATCGGTATGATATCTTCACTCATTTCCATCTGCGCCGACGCTTACGAATACACCGTGCAGTCGAGTACGTTACGTGCAAGACGTGCAAATCCCCGGACACGATCCTCACGAAGGAGAACCGTATCTTCTTCATGGCGTGCGAGTCGTGCGGGTCGCGGCGCTCCGTCAACGCGATCAAGACCGGTTTCCAGGCGCAGGTCGGGAGGAGAAGCAAGAACAAGACGGGCTGAGGGACGGCGCGCCCTTGCGGCGTGGCTGTATCGGTCCATTCCCGCTGACATTACACTGTATCATGTTGTGTACACCACGATCGCATGTATCGCATTGTTTCCCACTCACGCATAGCCACAGGGCTAATATCTAGACGCAAACTTGCTTGCCAGGAGTGCATCAGGAAATTTCGTCTGATGGTAATCGCCCCCTTTGTGCCTGTGTACAGCAAGAGGTCCACATCAGTACTACCGACTACAGTAGCACATCCGGCGATGGTATGGCAGTAGGTTCGACACAAACCCCGAACACGTGTATGGCAGGCCAGCCTTAAAACACCTAGTGGGACAGGAGCAATGGAAGCTAGCTTGACGCGTATCAAGCAATAAGATCTGGTAGCATTGGATTAAAACTGGACCTTCTAACCAGATAGAGTACGCAATAACATGTGTAAAGGTGAACCCCAGACGTAAAGCCATAGCACGGGATAAGAATACGAGTTCTACTTCCTCCATTCTCTAACGTCGAGAATCTATGATCATAGGTGCCCTCAGTAGTCGAGAGTGCTGCCAACAGGGTCCTTCGTCACGTTGAACCAGGTCGGGCCGTTAGGGAAAGTGAGGTTCACAACCTTCACGCCGACGCCGTCCGCGATCGCCTGACCAAGGGTGCTGTTGGCGTAATTGAAGAGCGAGGCCATGCGTTGGCGCACGCTGTATGTAGGCGCTGCGCCGAGGTGCCCGACGACGTTGCTATGTCGGCATATCAGTCCATGAACTATGCGACACGCAGCAAGGTGAGGGATCCGACCTGATGAGGTTCTGCTGGTCCTGCTCGGAGAGCCCGTTCCAGAAGATACGAGGCCAGTCGAAGTCTATCTCGGTCACGGCGGAAAGTGAGGCCACGGCGCCGCCCTGCATGAACGTAAGTACTGCGAGCTATATTTGAGCCTGAGAGATGGGCACTGACAGTCCACTGCTGGTGGGTCTCGTCAACGTAAGCACGCGGCGGGAGCTTAATCTTATCGAGGGTGGACAGGTAGTTCGGACGCGAGCCCTGGTTGCCGTTAATATTCATGTGCCCGTCGCGCTCGAAATTAGCCACAGGGTTGACAGGGGCGTTCACGGGAATTTGCTAGGTTGCACGGTCAAATAGACTTTCTCGGCCGAAGCGTTGACAAGCGTACCTTGTGGTTGACTCCCAGGCGATAGCGGTGTGCGTCTGGAAGCTCGAGTTAGAACTGCGTCAATCAAACTACTGTAGCAAACCCTCTTACCAGGGTAGGAGAAGAGCCGGGCCTGCAGCACCGGGTCCGCAGACGGAGCCCAGCCCTCGACCATGTTCGCAGGCGAGAAGGCGGCCTGCTCTATCTCCGCAAAGTAGCTACGGCGAACGTTCCAATCAGTCGCGTCCAGATGCAGCTGGCCCGCCTTTCAAGCGTACTTAGCGGGGTTCTGCGTCAGGTAGAACTTGCCAATCTCCACGGGCGCAACGTTATCGAAACCCCAGTCCCTACAACCCGGTGAGCAACGTGAATACGAGAAGATCTCCGAATAGACGTACTTCGTAAGATCAAGCACGTTGTACTTGAAGGACTGAGCGGCCTCCGGGCTCAGGACCTGAGCGAACATCGTCCAGCCGGGGAAGGTGCCGTTCTGAATCGATTCGTAGAGGTCCTGAGTAGCGAAGTCCGGGTTCGTTCCTGGAACGAGAACCGTGGTTAGAAGACGATACGTCAGAGCTGCGGAAGCGGCGGCGACGTACCGGAAATAGACGCAGCCTCAGCATTGGTAAAATTCTGGACGCCCTGCATGGTCTGCGCGTACAGGCGGACATACGACCACGTCCCGTCGTTCTGCACCCACCTATCACACAGTGTCATCTCCGAGTCAGCCGTGCGCGGCAGAAGAGCATAGCGGAAGAACATACCGATAGGTATGTCCGGTCCACCCGTCCATGTGCCTGAATCCTTGTGGCGTGCCGAGGTCGGAGAACAAGCGCATAACCTGGTACAGCGACTCAGGGTTCGACCCGAGGTAGTCCCAGAACATACTGCGAAACATACATCAGCTTAGCCGAGGTTGACTCGGAGCGCAACGTAAAGAGCTTACTCCTTGTCCCGCAAGTGGCTCGCGGGGTGGCGCTTCTGCGTCTGTAGTAGAAATGCAATATTCTCAGTCAGCAACTCCCTATCACCGAGTCGCACCACACGTACGTGAATGAAATGAGGGAACTTGGCGGGGTCGCGGATGAAGAACACCGGCGTATCTGCGCATGGCGTTAGACGATAAGCCGGTCGGCTTGGCCAAGAGGGCCCTTACTGTTCATGACAATGTCGAGGACGCCCTTGCGAGTCCGGAATCTATTGCCCGTGACGCTCGATGATTGGCGACATGCTAAGAAGGTAGTGGTGCACTCACTTCAAGGCGAATCCACGCGGGTCGCGAGCTTCGTCGGCTGACCCTGACTCCCCTCCGACAGTGCTAAAACGAGCTGCGCAGGCGGTGTTACTTAACAGCGCAGGCGTGTGCATAGCGATCGGCTGACGCACCAGTGATGGGGGTTTTGAGGCCATTCTCACTCAGCATGTCCCTGCATGGAACGGTGCGGTGAGTTGCTGCGCTTGAACGTCGGAAAATGAACACCCACATCATCGTGAAGTTTTTGCAGAAGTCGGCATTGGTAACTTCGAAGTAGCCATGTGCACCCGCTAAATCAAATCCAGTGAGCGAGGGCACATAGGTGAGATGTGCGGTAGGACTCACCGCCTCGGGCATGCACGACGCGCTCCGGGATGCGTTCGCGATCGAAGGACCCAAACAGCTCGATCAAATGAGTGTCTTGCAGGAGGAGTGGACCTAGTACAACACAGCCCAGGTCAGCACAGGTGATCGACGTTGGTGGTGGGGACTGGGCCATCACTCACCGTCGGATCCGATACGTTGATATTGGTACGGGTGCGGGTAGGGAGAACCGTTCTCTAGGGTGTACTCGACATCGGAGGCGTCCTTGCTAGAGGTCTGCTCTTGAAGGTTGGCGCCAGCGTTCATGTTGACCTCAAAGGCGGCCGCCTGGCTAGGAGGCGCGGTGTCTCGTCGGAGTCCAGGGGCATCCTGGCCAGGATACCAACCGCGCACGGCGGTGGCGACAGAGATGGCGGCGAGGAGGACGCGAAAGGGAGTGGATAGCATGATGTAGGGTAAAGAGCGAATGAGAACCGTTGGGTTTGGGGAGCACCAAGGTTGGGGAGCCCCAGGGGGGTCGCCCCGCGCTTTATACCACTCTCCACCGAGGAGACATTGAACTGACGATCCCTGCTCGCCACCGGAAGTGCAGATGGCTATTTTGATACCCCGAGTGACCCGCTCGTGCGCTTGTAAGCGGTTCGCGAGCGGTGCTCTTCCCCTCCAGCGCGCAGCCACACGCGTGCGTGGGGTATGTCATGCCAACCCCCGAGATCGAGCGTGCGTCCGCCCGCCCGCCCGCCCAGACGAGCCGAGGTACGTGACTTGCGGGACAGGGGTGACGAAGACTTTGACGATAGGCGTGCCGTATATGGTCGAAACATGCATCGCGGCCCCGCCGCGATTTTGTTAATCCGACGCGGCATGCTACGGCGCAGGATCGCGCCCGTCGACGGGATTTGTACGGCAGAGGACCCGAGGGATACTCGGACGACTCCAAGGGGAGAAACAATTGAAAAAGGCGGCGCACGGCTGGTTCGACGAAGCATGACCGCTTTGGAAGACGCGATCACGGTCTGATTATGCACGCTCGTCCAAGTCACGGGATCGCATAAGTTTGCGACCATCGCCACTTGGAGGACTTGCCCCTCGCGCAACACCATCACGGGTGGCTCGTGGTCCTGCTGCACATATATTAGCAGTGGGGATAGATATGCTCGCTCCTAAACCCAAACCTGAGCTTCGGTCCGCGGGTATTGGGATAAGAAACCTTGGCGGACTTGCAGGAGGTCCTCCAGGAGAAGAGTCGCAAACGGACTTTCGAAGCCCCTGAATGTCATGACACGATGTGGGGCTCACAGGGCTTGGAAATCCGGGGAATCGAGACCCTGCAGTACCGTTGTGGCGGATACCGTGTGATGACCGCGTGTTTGTGAGTTTCCAAGGGCGTTGAGGCTCGGTGACAGAGGAGCCGCCGGTCTTCAATGACGCTCAAGCTTGTGCCACGCGCAACACGGTTGAATAAGCGTGAGTCTCGAACGCCAACACCGCGAGGAACACCGCGAAGATCACTCGATTTAGTGGCTGGTGGCAAAGCACTTTGATTGCGAGTGGAACGGAGTGTAGATGCGCCAACGACATATTTGACGGCCATCGGGAGCGCGACGTCAGCACAATCCCCCGGAGGGATAGCTTCGTGTTCAAGATTGCCGCTCCAGCATATTGTCTGTTTGTACGGGCGCAATCTTGCGGGAAGCCTAACGGTGGTGGGTGTATTGCACACCGTACCATGCGGATCCATCAACAGGTGGCCGGTGTAACCGAACGCTGGCAAGTAGTCTCAGGACACCACGAAAACATAGATACCCGCTCACAATCAGCTTGAACGGCCTCGGGCTACACGAAGTGCGGGCATTGCGGGCATAGGATATGGTCTATACCCAGGTAGGCGGTAACGGCGTGCAGCGGCGAAGGTTACTCTGGCTTTGCCCGGTCGGCTTCTCCACCGTACAACGTCTTCCGCGCCCAATCTACAACTCGCTGGTCTAGGTCTCCGGAGTGTCGGAAGAGCGCCTCGACCTGGCTGTTCCAGCTATTCTGGAGCATGGATACGAAGTGTCGTTGGGGTATCCGCGCTGCTGCGGGAGTAGGTGCTGGTATATCGGACGACGCGTTCACCAGGCGCTCCGATAAGTGGTGCAAGCTATGTAGGCCGCGTTCAGTTGAGTCCCGCCTGTCAAGGTGGGGCATACACGCACTCAAAACGATGCTGCTCCGCCCTGGATATATGTCAGACTTGACCGCGCCAAACATGCTCTGGACTCACCTCGTCGATATCATGGAGGAGAGGCCGTAGTACACCTAGACGTCCGACGCGCGCGTAAGTTTGCTAGTGTCTGCATGGAGCATGCGGATGCAGGACGTACGCCACCCGCCACCAGGGCACCAGAGGCAGTTCCCACCAGAAACGACATTATGGAACGAAGGAAGCCGCAGTGAGGGAGCCGGCCGTTACAGACGCGAGAGGTTCATGATCAAGAGGCGGCGCCGCTGCGGCGAGTGTATTCCCAGATACCGGCGATAAGTCCCGTTAGCTTAGAGTTATTGACCAACAATAGCCGCAAAATAACCAAGGCTCCGAATTCGGCGAGCGCGCTTAGACGCCCAACCGTCCTTTACTTTCGTCCTTGCCGTCGCTGTCGCCGCTGTCGTCCCCGACGACCTCTCTCTTGCGGTGCTTTGGCTGTATACTTCTCTTAGGTCCACGCGGGAGGCTAGGCTGGGTTAGGCGATGCTCAAAAGTCGGAGTTGCGCGCAGGCATTGCGCAGGGCGGTCGCTCCTTGTAGACCTGTGCCAACACCTCTTGGTGAGTGCACATGACAGTACCGGACCCCTTCTGCAGTGGGCTAACTGCATCGAACGCAGTTGCGAGGGTTGCGTCGCGCTCATATGTCCATGCTGTACAAAGCTCAGCTGGCACGTCGTCGAGGGATGCACAGGTCATAACTCCGAGCAAGTCTCGTGAAGAGTGGCAGCAGCAGGACGCGGTGCTGGTGCGGCACTTGAACGACGTGTTCTCTCCCTTGAACTTCCCTCCAGAGCTTGCCTCGCGAATATTGACGCATGCTAGCCATCCCGACGCTATGCGGAGGCATAACGGCAGACTGGCTTTTGTCGGTGCGTTCCGTCCCTTCTTGCTGTGTCTGCTCCGGGAAACTTACTTGAAGGGCTTTCTAGGGCGACGTGTGCTTCACTCATACCTGCTCATGTTCATCCACTCGTCGCCGGCTCTGCGGCCGGAGCACAACTACGATACTATCCTGGAGCGTGCCCTCAACACGTATGTCCTTGGAGAGCATGTAGCGCCAAAATGGGCCCTCGGGAAGGTTCTCAAGTGGCGACCTATGAACGTCGGCCACTTCTCAAAACCACTCGGACCGAGCGTGGACGTACCAAGCCCCCTAATGAACCTGGAGCGGGACAACGCGCGGGGCGTCGGCATGTACAAGGTGCACGGGACGACGGTCGAGGCCATCGTGGGCGGTATTTTTCACCAGTTTGTGAGTATCGTGCTTCCCGCCCTCTCCTCTGGCTTGCTGCTGATGTCTATACGCGTCATAGGGCGGCTCCGTCGCACACCGTCTCTTCCACACCCGCATACTCCCGAACCTCCTACTCCAAGCCAGTCACGAAGGTCTGCATACCGGGTACCACGACCACGCTCGGGAGATCTGCGAGAAGATGGGCGGACCGCAGGGGCCCTTAGTGCTATAGAGGGCTGGTGCTGGGCTCTAGGTTTGACTAGTTACTCTAACTCCACACGCAATAATACCGCACATCCCATGCTATGTCGCTCTGAATTAGTCCTTTCGCGCCCGATCTGATATACCAGGATATACTGCGGCCGCCCGGTAGGGTTCTCATTGACCTTCCGGCAGTAAGCGCCCATACCCCTCCACCTTTGACCTCGACCATGACGAAGACGGCACCGTACGGCACTTGGACCTCGCCTATCACCACGGATGTTCTGCTGAAGGGTGTGCGTTCTCAAGAACTTGTGCCATGTGCATGTTCTGAATGTCCTCGCAACATAGGGAGCGAAGACCGATGAGCTCTTCGTGGATCCGGTCACCTCGACCATCTACCACATCGAGCAGCGCGCGAACGAAGGCGGCCGGCTCGTGATAGTGGACACCGAGAAAGGTGTGGATGTCTTTGGCGAAGGATGGAATGCGCGCAACGGAGTGCACGAGGTGAGCGTTCTTAGCCGGATGAACGTGTACCGGGCGCTGACCGATCTCATCGCACTGCTCAGTACGGTGGAGGACAGGCTGCGGCATACGACGGCGTGATTTACTTCTCGCACTTCAAGGACAGCCGCGTATACAGGCTGAAGGAGGGCCAAGAACCGGAAGTCGTTACCCCGGGTACGTAACATTTAGCAGATAGATAACGTCTTCTTAGACTCATACACCGTCCCAGAGAACGATAATCACCGTTATGCAAAGTTCACAGTGCATCCTACCCAGCCTCACTTGCTCGTCTCCATTCGCGAAGACCACACCATCCCGGAGCCATCAAAAGTCGTCAATACTCTATGCGTGATCAACACCCAGGAGAAGACGGTCTCCGTACTGGTTGAGGGCGCCGATTTCTACGCGGGTCAGTGCTTCACCCTGGACGGCACTCATTTCGCGTGGCAGGAGTGGTATCACCCGGACATGCCCTGGGAGGGCGCAGAGATCCATGTTGCGGAGATCAAGGCCGACCAGACGTCGCTCACGCTGAGCAACGACAAGCACGTCGCAGGCAAGCGCATCGACATCAGCGCCGGGTACCCTGTCTGGGCGTCCAACGACCTTCTGCTCTTCGTCTCGGACGAATCGGGGTACCAAAATCCGTGGACGTACTCGATCTCCGCAGGAAAGGCGTCCGCCGTCCTCCGCGAGCCTCTCGCCGAAGAGTTCGCCGAGCCAATGTGGCGCCCTGACTTCAGCTTCTGCGCGCCGCTCGACCTGGAGGGGAAGACGGCGCTCTTCACCGCGCTCAGACACGGCCGCAGCGTGTTTTACCTCGTCAGCCTCACCGGCGGAACGCTCGAGGAGCTCGAGAGCCCATACGTGAACGTTGCATCCCTGCTGCGCGTCACGCACGACGCTGTCGTCTTCCGGGGCCAGAAGTACGATGAGTCCGAGCGCATCGTGCTCGGAAACATCAAGGACTACGCGAAGCCGAAGTTTGCGCCCGTGAACGCGAAGGCGGCCACACAGGAGCTTCCCTTCCCGCGCGCGTACGTGTCGGTGCCGCGCTCGATCACGCTGAAGGTGCCCGCGACGAACGAGGTGGTGCATGTGCTGTTCTACCCGCCCACGAACCCGGATTTTGTCGCGCACGAGGGTGAGAAGCCGCCGGCGGTCGTGAGCGCGCATGGTGGACCGACGGGGCGAGCTACGCCGGAGTTGAACCTCACGGTGCAATACTACACGTCTCGCGGCTTTGCGTGGTATGTGAACTCGCCCTTTAGTCAGATTCCCTTCCTAACATTTGCACAGGGTGGACGTGAACTATGGAGGCAGCAGTGGATATGGCCGCAAGTATATGTGAGCACTTCCACATGCCTCTCTTTAGTCTGCTCCCTGTTCTGACCTTTCTTAGCAAACGTCTGGAAGGAAACTGGGGTATCGTCGACGTCCAGGACTGCGTCGTCGCCGCGCAGCAGCTCTCCTCCGCCCCACTTTCGCTCATCGACCCGCAGCGCATGGCGATCACTGGCCGCTCCGCCGGCGGGTACACCGTGCTCATGGCGCTCTGCGCCGCCCCAGACGTCTTCGCCGCGGGCACGTCTTCGTTCGGCATATCGGACCTCGTCAAGCTCGGCGAGTTCACGCACAAGTTCGAGAGCCAGTACCTGACCAAGCTCGCGGGCGGCACCCCCGAGGAGGTGCCGGACGTGTACAAGGAGCGGTCGCCCATCAACCAGGCGCACCACATCAAGGCCCCGCTGCTCGTCTTGCAAGGGTCGATCGACGCAGTCGTCCCGCCTCAGCAGGCGGAGCTGATCGTGGCCAACATCAAGGCGCGCGGCGGGCGCGTTGAGTACAAGGTCTTCGAGGGCGAGGGGCACGGCTGGCGCAAGGCGGAGAACATCAAGACGGCGCTTGAGACGGAGTGCGGGTTCTACCTGAACGTGTACGGCCTGCTATAGCGCCGGGGGTGACATAAAGGAAGCGATATATGATGAAGGCACTAAGCAATGTACAAATAGCAGATAACGGAGGGTGTATGCAGTGCTAGTGATATATATGTACAGCGGGATAGAGACGGAAGCCCAGAAAAAGAGACGAGTGAATATCATACGGAGGGGTAAGTAGTTGTGAAAGTATGCAAGATGAGAGCAGGATGAACTAGATATACAGATATTTACAGACGTGCAGCGAGAGCAGACTAGGGGAAAGCAATACGACAGTTCACAACCCAAACCGGAAAGCAAGAAACAGAGCAAGATCTCTAGAGACAGCTTAGTTTCAGACGGAGGTCGAGGACGGAGTACGAACGCACCTAGATAGCACCACGACACTTCGGACACAGGAATGCGGGACCCGCGAGCTCGGTCCCCAGGGTCTTATACTCCTCCTCCTTCTGCTCCCAATACGAAGGCAAAGGTGACGCGAGGAGCCCGAACTCAGCAAGCTCCTCGCACATGTCCTCGAGGAATGTCATATACTCGTCCTCGCCCTCCTTCGTCCCGGCCTCGAGGCATGCCTCCCACATCTGCTGGTACGCGCCTAGGCGCACCAATAGGTGAAGAAACGAGAAGTTCTGATCAGGTGAACCGGAGTGCTGCACTGCAGCGTAGACGAAGCGGCGTGCGAGGACAACGTCGGCGACGTTCCCGACGGCGAACTCGCCTGGACCATTGGGATAGCGCACAATGGGGGACTGTGCAATGGCGAGTAGACCCGAGGGCAAGTGGGCGACGATTTCGGCTGGGCGGCCCAGCAGCTCGAGTGCTGCTGTAAGGGGAACCTGACAGCGGGTCAGACAGGCTCAGAACGTATGAGGTATGTTAACAGATAGTACCGTTGCCGTGAATGTGTAATCGTCGTGCGACTCTGGTTCATAAAAGTACTCGAAGGTCATGAAGGGCACTTCTTCATCTGGGTTGACAGCTAGGAGGCGCAAGTTTCTTGTTTGCGCGGGCAGCGGGTCGATAACATTGTGCTTGGGGTTTTGTGCTTCGGCGGGAAGGGCGAGGAGCATGCGCTGCTTGATCAGCAGGCAAGAGGTGTGATACCACCTGCGACAATTGAGGCTAGGGCAGAAGTGCATGATGTCGCGAAGGCTGGTTCAAATCATAGTCAGTAGTATACTGACTGATTAGCGAACGCAAAGTCTCACCCGGCCGTCGTAGGGTCATCTGTGACAAAGTCCTGAGTCGCAGCAGTAGGAAACGGGTTGTACGCCATCTGACAATAACACGTCTCTAAGCCAAGAGGAGGCTATAAGATATGCGAGCGGTGAGCGACAGATCACGAGGCCCGTTCAAGATAAAAGCAAACAGGACGTTGGGCTGACCTTGATGAGCTTCCGACGGTGTAAAAACTTACACCTGACGAAAAGGTCTTTCGGTCCGAGCCGAGGCGGGTCCAGAGAGGATTCATCGTATTCCTGAACGTAGACGACCTCTGCAGGAAATTAAACTGATCATCAACTACGCCTATCACGTAGTCGAGTTGAGACGCACTTTCAAAAGAGTGCGGAGAGACGTAATCGTAGTCGTCTGATAGAACACGCTCATAGGAAGCGCATTGTGAAGGATCACTGCAAAGTAGAGGATTTAGCATATTGAAGGGAGGTTTAAAAATACCTTACAAGCTCTTCGCATGTTTGGCGACATCGTTGCGTGACCAGTACCAGCGCACTTTAGCTAGAGTGTTCTGGTGGTCGCCGTGCGTGGTACGAATCTGCAGGATGCGACCAATCCAGACGTCGTCTGTCTCGTCCCAGGTCGAGTGTAGCATTACGCTGTGGGTGTCGAGCGTCAGAATGTCCTTGCAATCTAGTACGGGGCACTTACTCGTCACCTTTCTTGAAGAGGACCTTCTGGAAAGACCATGCTGTGCGGGATGCTCAGCACGATAGACTCCGGAGGAGGTAACGTCTTACGCTTATCGGGCTGGTCGACGTGGACTAAGAGGTGTGAGCGTGTTTACGTCGACGCGACGGAGACCTGAACTATGCGACAGACCATAAAAGCCGTATGCAGGGATCATCTGGGCGAAAGCGCGCTCCTCCTCTGCTTTGAGGTTGGATTGTCTGTTGGACGAAGGCTTCTTAGGCTTCATGGTCAGTGTAGGACGCCTGCGTCGCGTCTTTCCTGCTGCTAGTGACATTTGGAGAAAATCGAAGAAGAAAAGATCGAAAAGTAGAGACTGGGGTCACTTATACGTCCAGAAACAACTCAGAGGCTCTCAAACTCTCACAGCAGACAATGTGGGGTAACGCAGGCGTGCCGCCGCAGCTGCAGGTGTGCTGCAGGTGTGCTGCGGTAGCGCGGCGTGGAAGGATCGCGTTGGCAGAGGTCAGAAGGCGTGAGGGCGGCGTTCAGCCGCGTTCTTTTCCCATGCGCTGTGGCCTAATTTGGACGAGTAGAGGCTATTGGCTTCTGATTCTAACATGCACAAACAACCACCCGCGCGTCTCGCAGTGTCACGCGTTCAACGCGTCTTCCTCCGCCACTCTCCCCTTCACTCCTGCTCGCTGATCTCTCCTTCGCGCCAGTCATGTCGGCATTTGGCTCGTTTGGACAGCAGCCTCAGCAACCTCAGCAGCAACAGCAACAGCCCGGCCAGTCGGGAGGTCTCTTTGGAGGATTTGGAACCCCCGCGAACACCACACCCGCGGCCGGCGGCTCGCTCTTTGGGACCACAAATCAACCAGCAGCGAACACGGGGGGACTCTTTGGGTCCACGAACACGAACGCGCAAGCTGGAAACGCGGGGGGAGGGCTCTTTGGGTCGACAACGCAGCAACCCGCAGGTGGGCTCTTCGGGAGCACGAGCACAAACCAGCAGGGTGGCGGGTTGTTTGGGAGCACGCAACAAGCGAGTGCGAATACGGGGCAAAGTGGTGGTCTCTTCGGTGCTACGCAACCAGGCCAAACAGGTGAGTGCATATTCGTTGTGTCGTAGTTGGGCGTCGAATGGTATAGTGTCCAACTACGTGGTTGGTATTAGAATGTCGACAAGTCTGACATACATGCTGAGAGTCATACAACCTGTGCTACCTTCTAAGAACCTCCTTTGAACTCAACTCACACCCTCTTGCCGTCCAGGAACCACCGGCGGGTTATTCGGAGGTACAAACACCGGTGCGACTAACAACACTGGTGGTGGCCTCTTCGGTAGCACAAATACGGGTGGAGGTCTGTTCGGCCAGACACCTGCGACGAACAATGCTGGTGGCGGGCTCTTCGGCAGCACTACGAACAACGCGCAGACGGCTCCGTCGGGTGGGCTCTTCGGTAGCACAAACACAGCTCCCAATAACACCGGCGGCGGGTTGTTCGGAAGCACGAACACGTCTGGGCAGACCGGAGGCCTGTTTGGAAACACCAGCAACAACACAAGTGCGCCTTCCGGTGGACTCTTTGGCTCCACGACTACCGCGCCCAACGCCGGGGGCGGCCTGTTCGGTGGCTCGACAACCAACTCTAATACTGGTGCCACTGGCGGACTGTTTGGCTCCAACACATCCGGAAACACTGGAGGAGGATTGTTTGGCTCTGCACAGCCTGGGTCCTCCACTGGACAGAACTCCCTCTTTGGGAGCACGGCGCAGGCCCCAGGGACGTCGCTCTTTGGCAACCCCCAGCAGCAGCAACAACAACAACAAAACCAACCAGGCTCGCTTTTCGGCAATCTTGCCCAGCAGCAACAACAGCAACAACAACAGAGACCCGGCGGGCTGTTCGGCAGTGCGCTCGGTACGAGTACATTGGGTGCCAGTACAATCGGGGGTAATAGTCTGCTGGGCTCGACAAACAACCTCTTCGCCTCTAAACCTGCGGCAGCGCCTAATCCACAGCAAGATGCACAGACGCAATTCGCGCAGCTCACGCAGCGGATAGAGGGCATCGCCCAGGCATGGAACTCCGGCTCACCTCAGTGCCGCTTCCAAGTAAGCATACTCAGTGATTTGCGTGATCCGTAGTTGACGTAGCCTACTTGCAATAGCACTACTTCTACAACTTGGTAGATCCCAACCAAGTCCACCTGTACGGCCGCCCGCCTAACGCGTTCAGCGACGCGCTATGGCAGAAGGCAGTTCAGGAAAACCCTGACCCTAGTTGGTGAGGCTCTTGTAGTGTGCGCAGGGGTGCGTAATTGACGCTGATGTTGCCCGCAGCTTTGTTCCTGTCATTGCAACGGGGTTCGACGACCTGCAGAAGCGTGTCGAGGCACAGACACAACAAGCAGCTTCGCATCAAGAAAAACTGAAGGTAAGCTCTTCCCACACTCTCCATCTGACCTTGCACTTATCATCGCCCCAGGAGCTACAACAACGGATCTCCGCTCTAACCCAGCGGCATCAACTCTCGAACGCATCCCGCTTGCACCGCGCGTCTGCGCTGCAAACCCAATTAACGCACCGGGTCATCAAGCTCGTGCAACATCTGCACCTACTCATCCCCGCCTTACGCTCTTCCGCGCTTCGCCCTGAAGAGGAGGCGCTGCGAAGCGCGCTGGACGAGATCGACGAGGAGGTGCGGCGGCCCGGCGGGACTGGACGGATACGTGGGAAGCTGAACGAGCTATGGGCTCTCGTCGGCGCGGTTACGGCCGCGCGCGAGCGGGACCGCCGCTCGGGCGGCGTCGAGTGGACGGTTGTGGACGAGGACGGGCTTGCGCAGATCGCGCAGGTGAGTACGCGTGGTCGACTTCTGCGAATCCTGGACTAACGGGATATGTATAGGTGTTGGCAGAGGAGCAGGCGGGGTTGGCGCATCTAACGAAGCTGCTGCAAAAGGACATGAAGGACCTCGCCGTGATCCAGGGGTCGAACCCGCAGGACGAGGACGCCGATATGGGGTCGTCGACGGCGACGTTGCGCGCGAGCACGCTCTGATGTATCGATATTGTGTACACTATACCACGCTTGCTCTGTCTCTACGTTCTGCCTGCTCGGGTAAGTACAGTGCTCTTGGTTGACGTTGGAAGTATACGAGGCTCGTCCATGAGACAGTGCTTATAAATGCCTTGTATGTGGGAACTGATCGATAAGTACCGGGGTTTACCCTTGTTAGCGCGCGGTTAAGTCCGGATAGAAGGCGATCAATAGGCTGAGCTCGATCATTGCCGCCACAGCGAGCCAGAAGTCCGACGACGACGCCGCTACTTTCTTCTCTACTACTCGCTGCATGCACCCCCTGTAATCATCCAACATGCGTGTCCGCACTCTTGAGATCCGCTGGCACGACAGCAAGCCCATATCTACCTGCGACTTCCAGCCCGCACCATTCAAGAAAGCACGCCCGTCGCAGGACAAGCTCTTCGCTGCGCAGTCGTACCGGCTTGCGACAGGGGGCGAAGACAATCACGTTAGGGTGAGCACTATGTGCGCGTCTGAAGGGCCAGGGTTGACGAGCGGGCGAAGTTATGGATGGTGCACCCGAACATACTGCCACCATCGGTGGTCGAGGGCGCGTCTGAGCCACCCGCCCCGCGCCCGCCGCGCGTCGAGTATCTCGCGACTCTCAGCAGGCACTCTGCCGCTGTGAACGTCGTGCGGTTCAGCCCGAACGGTCAGTAAGCTCAGTTCGCACGCGTATCGACCACCGCTGACGGGCGTCATAGGCGACCTCATTGCATCCGCTGGAGACGGTAGGGCGTCCGCTACGACCTCTGAAACCGCGTCTGAACGCGCACTTTGCAGATGGAATGATCATCATATGGTCTCCGACCACTAGTCCCCACGCCAGTAGCTATGGCAGCGATCTCACTCCCGAGGACCTTCAGTATGAGAAGGAGCACTGGAAGCCTCGCACGACATTCCGGTGCGTTCTAGCAGCATGCAAAGCTCTAACGTGTCTCACACTGTTTGCGAACTAGATGCACCACTATGCAGGTCTACGACCTTGCGTGGAGTCCCACCGGTGAATATATCATCGCGGGCAGCACCGATAACTGCGCCCGCATATTCACCGCGAACGAAGGTTTGTGGAGTAGCTTTGCGTCTCTTTGGAAACGCTGACCATAGTTTAGGCAAGTGCGTGCACGAAATCGCGGAACACAATCACTACGTGCAGGGCGTCGCATGGGACCCGCTCAACGAGTACATTGCCACACAGAGCAGCGACCGGTCCATGCACATCTACAGCATCTCCTTCAAGCAGGGCAACTTGGAGGTTCATGCTGTAGGGAAGAACACGAAGATGAACCATCGGCATAGCCGCACGCCGAGTACCCACAGCCGCCCCCCGCCCTTCAGACGGGAGTCCACAGCTGCAAGCGAGACAGAATCAGTGATCACCAGTGTCAGCGAGCAACTCAAGGACGAAGTCTCGGCTTGTGGCTCCGGCTCCAGGGATCAACCCAGCGCGCTGCTCACGCCGACAGCTTCGGTAACCAGCACACCATCAATGTCCATGTTCCCACCACCATACGAGCGGTCGTCTTCTAGACGGTCCTCGTTCAGCGGATCGAACGCTCCAAATTCACCGGCGAACTACAGCCGGTACGGACGTTCTCCGTCCCCGATGCCTGCTCTTCCGGCTATCCGGATGGCGCCCTCCACAGCGGCAAGTACCTGGGCAGCTGTCAAACTGTATGGCGACGAGAGTTTCACGAACTTTTTCCGGCGGCTCACATTCAGCCCCGACGGGGGCCTCTTGCTCACGCCCGCTGGTCAGTTCGAAGATCCGTCGGTCATTCCCACCGCGACTTCGAAGTCCAGTGACCCGCCTCGCGGCCGGAAGGGCAACCCGAACGCGAGCGACAAGGACAGTTCGTCCTCGGTGTATATCTATTCGCGCGCCAACTTTGCTCGCCCGCCGATTGCGCGACTTCCTGGACACAAGAAGGCGAGCGTAGCCGTGCGCTTCTCTCCGGTCCTGTACGAGCTGCGCCGGAACGTGTCTCTCGGAGACGACGAGCCAAAGACGGTCATGTTGGAGAAGGACACCGAAGTGACCATCGACGTCGACGTCGGTGTACCTCCGAGTCCCGCCCCTGACAAGGACAAGACATCGTTCGCATCGCCGGTGAAGCAGGCCACTGCTTCGGGCTCATCATCCACTATCGCGGCGCCTTCACCACGCATCGCGATACCCACCGGCCCGCAGGCCACAATGATGCCGTCTCCGGCGTTGTCCGCGACGGACTCAATGCGGCCACCGACACCGGCCGCTTCGAAGCCCCCGACGCCCGTCCCTATCATCACGCCTACGCCCAATGCGTCCATCTTCTCGTTGCCATATCGCATGCTGTATGCGATCGCGACGATGGACACGGTCATGATCTACGACACGCAGCAGGCGGGTCCCGTCTGCCTGCTCACGAAGTTGCATTACGATGAGTTCACTGACATGTCGTGGTGAGTCCGGACTGAGTTCCCGCTATGTGCCAGTTACTGATTCCCATTTGCTGCGCAGGTCGCCGGATGGCCAATGCCTGCTCTTGTCGTCGCGCGACGGCTACTGCACCATCGTCGTGTTCGACGAAATTCTCCCCGTACACCACACGCAGCAGCACACGCTCCAGCTGCAGTCCATAGCGCACCACCACTCGCTGCCGCTGACGAACTCAACCGCGGCGACGCCTCTATCTACTCCATCCACGCATGTCGCGGCGCTTCCGATGCTCTCTCCTCTCACACCCGTCATCCCTGCCAAGCGGAGCGCAGAGCCCCCGCTGACGCCGGCGGCGAGCGTCGACGAGAACCTGCTCGGGATGAACTGGGGCGAAGCCGCGACGGAAGGTACGAACACAAGCTCGAGTGCGAGCGCGAGCGCACCGAAGGACGACATCGAAGAGCCGCCGAAGAAGAAGCGGCGGGCGGCACTCACGCGCGTCGCGGACCTCGGGTCGTGAGCCCGCCCGCGTCTCTCTGTGCCTCCCGGACAGTTCCTGTTTGTATAGTCGTCGACATGCTTGTTGGTTAGCTGCTTTTCCTCACTTATCCCTATCGCTGTACCGCATCGCCCACTTCTCGATATCGCCACGACCCAGACCCATGACTCATGACTCGCACCCTCGCCACGTCCAACAATACATACTGTACGATCCGCAGATGCCACGCTGTCCTGTCTAATACCTGTTCTCGTCTCATTCTCGTCGGTCTTGTGACCCAATATATACGTACGAAGCGCCAATGTCTCCCAGTCTTGCAACGTATGTACATGAAGTGCGCACATCGCTTCAGAAGCCATCGCCGTAGTCCATACACTATGGAGTGTTGATGCAGCATGAAGTCTGCTGCTATACGTTGAAGTTGGAACGACAGCCTCAAGCACGAATATTCAAATGGTAATACAAGGTGGCATTGCATGTCGATGATCAAAGAATCAATACACTAGCATACATGCGCCCAAGAACACAAAACAGCACGCATCGTCTATCGCATACAGAAAATGAAAGTCCGTTGGCAACCGTCAAACACAGGTATCGCACACGCACACCTCTACCAGCCGGCCTAACAGCCAACGCTAGTCAGCGCTCAGGCGCCGACGTGGCGCGCGGTCGAGCCGAAGGGGAAGTCGACGACGGCGAACCCGGTAACGAAGTTGTCGCGGTCGGGGTGGTCCTGGCTCGACACAACGCCGACGTACGCGGTGCCGCTCAGGCCGGTGGGCACGACCGTCTTCCCGTTCGTGATCACCGTGTACTTGTACGTGAGGCCGTCGATCCAGACCGCGTACAGCGGCGTCTTCGCGCTCTTGAGCGTGACGGTGAGCGTGATCGTCTGGCCCGCCTTCGGCGTCGAGTCGGACACCTTGAGGCCGGGGAGGTCGAGCAGGGGCAGGTCCGGGTTCGAGTCCGGGCAGTCCGTGATGTAGCCGCCTGCAGAGGAAGGGGGATGAGCAGGGTGAAGAGGACGAAAAGAGTGAAAGGGAACGTACGGATGAGCGACCAGGCGGCGCTGGGAGGAAGGGGGGTCTCGAAAGGACCGTCCCACGGCTGGTTCTTCAGCACAGAAGACGTGATCCAGCCAGCCTGGCGGGACTCAGCGGCGGCGATAGCCTACACCGAAAGGTTAGTTAGAACCGCGAAGGGGATATGCGTTATATCTAGGATACACGTACCGCGCCAGCGTTCAGGATAGTGGTGTCGTTGATGTGGCGGGCAAGGCCGAGGTAGCTGCTCGCGCCGACGCTCTCGATCTTCTGGGCGAGCTTGACGAACGACTTCACGTCGGTGTATCCGCTGTTATGCAACGTAGTCAGCACACAGCACGCGCTCGACGTGAAGCAGGCCACTCACAAGTCGTACGTGCACGCCTTGGGTGCGTCGTCGCCGAGCTCATCTGCGAGGTACGAGACGTGCGCGGCCTCGTTGTCGGCGATCTGGAGGAAGCGGCCGCGGACCCACTCGGGGTAACCAGCCGTGACGAAGTCGTTGGTGCTGTACTTGGCGAGGCCACCGTGGAAGAAGGCGGTCTCGAGGTGCTCCAGGTTCAGCGCGAACTGCAGGAGGCCCTTGTCTGTGAAAACGGTCAGCATACGTCGAGGATGAAGAGGAACGGAGGGGACATACCGTTGAAGGTAGGGGCGGCGACAACGGTTGTTGCGGCGCCGACGAGGGCGAGAAGGATGGTCTTGGGGAACATAGTTGGGATGGATAAATGAATGAAGGTACGAGGGGGGAATGAGGAGGTGCTTCTAGCGGTTCACAGGAACTGCAAGATGAGTTCTTCCGGCTTCCCCATGGGGTTTATATACCTGGTCTCCAGGACGGTACGTGGACCAGGTCGCGTAAGCACACACCCCGAGCAAAGGGACGAATGCACACCGCTGCCGGAGGCCAACTTGGAACGCAGATGGCGCGGATGCCCAAGAATGGGTGGGAGCTGGAAGCGGGTGGAGAGGATGAACGCCAACACCATCGCCAAGGCACCCTGGTGTAGGCCTCCCTCGGTCCCCTGCCTGCTTGTCAATCGTGGTTCACATGTATTCGGTGAATGTGGTTGCGCAATAGCGGCTTGCATTTTAACAACTGAATAGGCCTTGCGAGCCAGTCGAGGCTTGGCCACATCGCATGGTATGAAGTGTCACTCATTAATACGAGAGCCCATATCACTATCAGGCTGAGACTGACCCAGGCCAAGTGAGCTATTCGCTGATGTCACAGGCAAACGCACAGGAATGCCGCCACGGTGGCGTCCGACGGACAGTATCGGCACCGTCGGCAGCCTGGTATACGTCCGAGAAATGTGCTCCCGTTTGCTTCCGCTGTCCAGGTACCGCACGCGCAGTTCGTTGTGGGTCCTGCGAGGCTGCGAAGAATGGTGCCTTGGAGCCTACACCGAGGCACCCGCGCTCAGGCCTGACCTTGGGCCGAGCACGGACTGAAGTGCTTGGCTGGCCGAGAATCACGGAACGGCAACGCCTGAGACCATCTAGGAAATGTGAATGAGACGGGGGAGCATGGATACAGTAATGAAATGCGGACTGACTCTCCATAGTTCACGGTCTACACCGCTCGAGAACGAGGTCCTCGGGAAGACTCGTGTCATAGGATATTCGTGCACCCTCGTGTTCAATAGTGCGGGTCATTTTTCGCGTGGAGACAGAACTCGTTCGACGTTGATATGGACGTCGTCTCACTGCCGATGGCCCTGGCCAAGAGCCTGAGGGTGGCCGAAACATGACCATTCGGACGTTCATGAGAACTTGGCAGCGGCGGTGCGCAAGGTAAGGGAGCTCTGCACCGGACCGAATAGACGAAGGAGACCAGTGGAGGATGCAAAGAACGAGTTGGCCGGCGGCGGCGGCATGCGCAGAGTGGCTGTGCCCGTACCGTTTTGGAACTCAAAGTGGTTGGGACGCAGCAGACTGCTAGTAGGATCGACGCTGTCAGACCGCTTACAGTGATTACTCTGCCATATTCTCATTTCGTTCATTTTAAACGTGTTATACAAGATTGCCACAGAGGCAGGTAGCGACTACAGGGAGGGCAAGACACAACGGGAAACGGGGTTATAAACTAAGCCCACGTCTACAAGACGGAGAAACACATGAGCCCACGATGCACTCAGCCTCTATAGACTGGTGACGACAAGTCCGGATGTTAAAGTCCAACATTCTCTAGAGGACGTTGCGCGCAGTCGGACCGAAGGGGAAGTCAACGACGGCGAAGCCGGTGACGTAGTTCTCGAGGTCCGCCGCGTCCTTGCTCGGCACGACGCCGACGTAGACGGTGCCACTCAGGCCCGAGGGCACGACCGTCTTCCCGTTCGTGATCTCCGAGTACACGACGCGGAGGCCGTCGATCCAGACCGCGTACCGCTTCGCCGCCGCGCTCTTGAGCGTGACGCCGAGCGTGATGGTGTCGCCCGCGGAGGGCGCGGCGTTCGACACGGTGAGCGTGGGCAGCGACTTTAAGGGGAGCTCGGGGTTCGCGTCCGGGCAGCTGGTGATGTAGTTGTCTGTGGACGTAGGTGAAGTGGTCAATAGGGGGTCGTGCGCTGGGGGCGTAGTGCACTGACCAAGGAGGGACCAGGCGGCGCTGGGGGTGAGCGGCGTCTCGAACGCGCCGTCCCAGGGCTGCCTCTGCTGCACGGCAGACGTGATCCACCCGGCCTGGCGGGCCTTCGCTGCGGCGACGGACTATACATATGATAGACACGCAGTCAGTAGGTGCGACAGCACTAGAGTAGCTTTTGGTACGTACCCCGCCCGCAGTGAGCACGAGGGTGGTTTGATCTTCCTTGAGGGTGGTGACGTTCAAGGCGCCCGCGAGACCGAGGTAGGCACTCGCGCCGATGCTCTCGATCTTCTGGGCGAGGTTGACGAAGGACGTCACGTCGGTGTACGCGCTAGTGCTAGCACAATGCGCATCAGCACCATTTCATGACTCTGGCTAACTTGGGTGAAGAAAATACTCACAAGTCGTACGTGCACGCTACGGGGGCATCGTCCGTCCCGATCGCCTTCGTGAGGTACGCGACGTGGAGCGCCTCGCTGTCCGCGATCTGCTGGAAGCGACCGCGGATGGCGATGGTGAAGCCGGCGGTGGTAAAGTCGGCGGCGCTGTACTTCGCGAGGCCCCCAGCGAGGAAGGCACTCTCGAGGTTCTCGACGTTGAGAGAGAACTGCACTAGCTGTTTAGCTGTGTGCGACTCGTGAGGACAAGTCAAATCGTGGAGATAATACGACCAACGTACCAGTGAAGGCGCCGGTTTGGGCCGAGACCATGGTGGCGGCGGCGCCAACGAGGGCGAGGAGGGCAGTCTTGGGGAACATGACGGCGGTGGAGCGAGCGAAGAGCGTAGGTCGGGGAGGTGGGTGTGCGGGCTATTCGTAAGATCCGTACGAGTGCCTCCGCCATTCCCTTTTCCGGAGTTTTATAGCTGGGGCGATGTCACTGGCATGTGTAGAGTAAGACTCGCAACATGTGCATACGCGCCATCTATACATTCCATTGGCGAACATGCGTCGAAGATCGCGTTGTCATGTAACGCAGAGGCAGGCAGACGTGCGTACGAGCCTGTAGGTCATGAGCTCAGCGCTCCAAATGATCACGATGCCTCAGCACCGGCAGTTGAAGAAAAGGCATGCCTGCAAGCGCAGAGTCTGCGAGACAAACGGTGAGACCGGTTCAGCGACTAGATATGGACTTTGTATCCGACTGACCAGATGAATTGTACGTTCATTGTCCTCCATGCAACTTCGCGATGCGAACTTAGGATTATGTTCAGGAGCTGCGGGCATGGACTGATGTGGTTTCCAGCCAGACCCTACGTTTTGTATCCTCGGGTTCGCCCGTTGTGCTGCGCCATCATATCACAGACCCAGAGCCTGAGCACAAGGCCGCCAACGTTCCCGTTGTCCTGCCCTCGTAACTTGAATCTATTCCAAAGCGTGGAACGTTCTGAGACACAGGTGGGTCAAGAAGGGAATGGACTATGCTTGAGTTGGCCTTTCAAGGCTCACGAGGACGCCCACGATGGCGCAAAGAGACCGCGAGCGTTGCATGCAAACAAATGAAGAACAGCAACGTGGAGTGAGTGGAAGTCGAGGAGGCTGGTCTCCGTCTCCGCGCATGTACGGTGCTAGCAAACATTTCTGGCCAGCGAAAGCGCTGGTGGAATGTAGCTCATGCCTCCAATACATTTGCCATACATACAACTCGGCCACTTGGCATGGGCAAGCACGAACTCGTGATTGCCTGGATCGCGTAATATGGCTAGCTGGTTTGCAGTGAATTGAGCCACAATCGAAGTTATGAGTACTCACGGAGAATCCGCCTACAAGCTGTAGCATCCTAGCTGTGTCGTACGAGAAGTCCAACATGCGCGGGATGAATAGCAACCGACACATCCACAAGCATTATCTGTTGCCAAGAACGACGTCGGCCCACGGCTACACTCTCGAGACATCATGCGGGCTTGAGGATCGTAGAGGGTCCATTCCATATTACACGCCGAAAGGTACTCGTCACCCATGGCATAGAATTCAGGACATGATGGTGTAGTGGGGGCATGCGTCATGCGAAGACATGTGATGTACATGTAGCGGTTTTGCGAGGAGCACAGCAGAGAGGTGAAAGAACCTAGACAGATCAGAACTATATTGTAGCACAAGAGCGTTAGTGCATCTGAAAGCGACGAGTACAGAGAGAACAGAACGCACGCGAAGGGCCTGGAAGAACCACTTGTTCTTCCCGCTCGTGTAACGGTCCTCCAACAACTTCTTGATCTGCTTCTTCGAGTCCTCCCGCTGCGAAACCTCCTTGAAGGTTTCCGAACCGACGACGCCCTTGAGGCCCTCCAGCTCAAGCGCGTAACGCGTGGGGAACAGGTGCGAGTAGTTAACGGTCTGATCATGCCCTAATGAGCTTTCCTGCACTCAAGCGGAGGTCAAAGGTTCAAGTACGCACCTTGATGAAAGGCTTGACCTTGCTCCGCTTCGCAACCTTCTTCGAGCCCATGCGCTTCGTCACCTTGAGAGGGTAACGCTCGATGCCGGCAACGATCGCATGGGGGTAGGGTCTCTCCTTGGTGCCCTCGTCGAGTTGCTTGATGATGACGACCTTCTTACCCGCTTGGCGGCCCTGGAGGACGATGGCGACCTATCCAAGATATGGTTAAGCGGACTGGCATGACTTTTCGATCATTCTGAACGTACTTTGCCGGGCTTGTAGACTGTAAATCACACCGTCAGCACCGAACCATAGCATGAGGGGAACGGCGTACGCACTTCTGGGCATCTTGAAGGCGTTGGGGTCGGGCGGGGTTTCTTACCTTTGCGCTATGGTCGGCGGCGAGCAGTCCAGCGCCGGAGCGCGGAAGCCACTCGGAGTTTGCCGGAAAGTACTGCACAGTCACAAAAATAGAGTTTGAGCCCAATCGCCCTCGGCAAATGCCGGAGCGCCTTGTTCCCGCTGAGCGTTTCGTCCCAGTGCGTCTCCAGCTCAAATACTTTTAGCGCAGAGTAGCATGTGTAGCGGTCCAATCTATGGTACGCTTCCATCGTGGTTGCGGTTCTGGAAACTGATCATCTTGGTGTGCTCGTTTCATCGTAGAGCTGTTCTTTGACTGTGAAAAGTCGCCGCAGAGGCCCAGAGAGCGCTGTTAAAGTGCGAACATATCCTCGATGGACGTTGGATGCGCCCGTCATGGCTATTTGTCGACGGCCTACGGGCGCCGTGATCCGTCGCTCCGCGATTTATGCATCGATCGGCACTGCTCCAAGAAATAGGAACGCGCGCGCGGCTACCTCGCTGTTTGGGAAGGTCGCACCACACGACCCTGAACTGTCAAAAGCAATCACCCCCCAAGCACCGCGGGCCGTCATGCGTGGGATGGCCGCCAGCAGCGCGCATGGACACGCAAGCCAGCAGGCTGCAAACGCGTTCTATCAGCACCCGACCGGCACCGGGCGTTGGACGGACAACTCAGTCGTGGCGCGGAGGAGTCCGACATCATGTCCGAAACGCGTGTCGCATACTGCCGCGCCGCTGGCGTCATGCGACGCGCCCGGAAACGCGGTGCTAAGAGACGGCTAAAGCTGCGGAGGTTATTCACCTTGGCTCGTGCCTTACCCGGGACACCTCAGGGCCCAGGACTCCGCGGTCCTGACCCCGGTTGAGCCGTGGAAATCATGTCATTTCCGGCTATTCTGCATCGGCGTGGCCAGGTGCAACCATACGGAATTGAGACAAACCGACCCGTTCGATGACGCACTGATATATATACCAATGTTCTTGACAGATGCAGCCCTCTTCTTGTCGGCCGCACTTGGGGCTCTCTGGCACTACACCTTCTGTCTGTACTGTCCGACGTCTTCCTCGCCTCGCGCACCTCTAGGCCCTCTGCAGAGCTCGCACTGAAGTCCCTCCGCGCTTGCAATGCTTCAATCGCTTGCGACCGCCACATGTCTGGCAGCCCTGCTCACCAGCGTGCTGCCCATCGCTGCTGAGCCGTTGGAGGTCAGAGCAGACGACTTCACGTCTGTCTGCAAGGAGATTAGTAGCGCCATCTCCTCCGCGTCCGCAGTTCACTGGCCTGGTACGCCCATGCTACTTCACGCATTCGCGTCGCTGACGATGCTTTTGTTAGGACTGGACCTCGCGTACTTCACGGACATCGGTCACTGGGCGACGTCCAGCACTGCCCAGTCCGCGTGCTCTGTCGAGCCAGGTACCACAGACGATGTGGCAGCTATCGTAAGATCCCACGATCATCTCCGTCCCGTCGCTTGTGTTCACCGCGTGCTGTCCTCACAACCAGCTTCAAATTCTCGCGAAGAATAAGACCCCCTTTGCTGTAAGCGACGGCCGAGATGCTTAAACCCGAAACGCCTCGCTGCCGGGGGCAGGAACTGATGAGCTTTTCGTGTTCTGCAGGTCAAGGGCGCGGGCCATGCCTCGAACCCCGGCTTCTCGTCGACGGCCGGTGTGCAGATTGCCATGTACCGCTTCAGCGGGGTCACGTACCATCCGGAGGCGAACGTCGCCGAAGTGGGCGCGGGGCTGATCTGGGATGACGTTTACTCATCCTTGGAGCCGTTTGCCGTGAACGTGGTGGGAGGACGCGTCTCCGGCGTTGGTGTGGCGGGCTTCACTCTTGGCGGAGGTTAGTCCACGCGGATCGCCACCAGCATAGCATCGTTAACACATGTTTTGATGCAGGGTACTCGTGGAAGACGAACCAGCACGGTCTCACGATCGACAATCTGACCGGTTTCGAGCTAGTCCTTCCCAATGGAACGGTCACGACTGTTACGCAGAACACCTACCCCGACCTCTTTTTCGGGTTGAAGGTCAGTTGCGCTCCCTATTACGACTTTTCATGGCTCACACGTATTCACGTATGCGTAGGGTGGCTTCAACAACTTCGTAAGTATTATCCCGATCAGCACGGAATGCCCCCGCTGATCTTCGCTATCCCAGGGTATTGTCACCAAGTTCAATCTCACTACTTACCCCCAAACAGAGGTCTGGGTACGTTATGCTCTTCACGGACTTCAGCGCTGCTGCGGTACTGACGCGCCAATGCGCCACAGGGCGGCCTAATTACCATCACGGAGGACCAGCTTGACAAAGTGAACGCCGCTACTGTCAAGTTCTCGCAGTCGGTGACGGACCCGAAAGCTCAGATCCTTCCCACGTACAACTTCCTCCTTGGACAGGTCAGCACTAGTATCGCCCAAAGAGGTGCCGCTTGCTAACCTCGTCATTCTGCGTAGCCGGGCATCTCGCTCATCCTGTTCTACGACTTCCCGACTCCTCCGGCTGGCATTTTCGATGACTTCCTGGCGATCCCCCATTTCACCAGTGATGTGAAGACTCGCCCCTTCCTGGATCTCGTCAAGGCAGCGCCCGCCAATGCTACCGGCGGTCAGCGGTAAGTCTCAAAACTTCGGGGTATACGTAACCATCTAATGATGTGCTTAGGGCGATCTTCCACACCGTGTCCCTGCTGGAGTATACTGACAACATCATGGCCGCTGTTGTGAATGAGACCAAGGTGCGTCTGCCGTCCCGGTCACTCCTTCCGGCTCTGACCGTCGCGCTCCCACAGTTCTGGGGCCAGCGCCTCTCGCTCCAGACCGGCAACTTCATCAGCTACGATGTCGAGCCCTTCCTGCCCTCCATCTTCTCGCACTCGGCCGAGGGCTCCTCCGCGTTCCCGCCCTCGCGCGCGAAGGGCCTCCTCCCGCTAAACATCTACTACGCATGGGGCCTCGACCTCGCTGATGACGCTATGCACGATGCGGCTCGCCAGAGCGCGGCGCACCTTACGCAGGTCGTGCTCGCGGAGGGCCAAGACGTCGCGGACGCCGCGCTATACGGCAACTACGCGATCTTCGACACGCCGCTCGAGCGCATCTACGGCGGGAACCTTGCGCGTCTCCAGGCGCTTAAGGCACAATACGACCCGGAGAACGTTATGGGCCTCGCCGGCGGCTGGAAGTTCTGACGGGCGGGTGAATGAGATGATGCACCGTGCGCGCGGTTCATCGGGCTTTCAGGTTTGCTGTGGACTATCTGGATCTTCTGCTCTCTTTCACGTTCAGCTCTGTTCTTTCCTTCGAAATCGCTCATTTGTTTTATCCTAGGTGTGCGTTGCATTCTGATCCCTACGGTACGAATCTAATCGCTTTATGGCCCTGAGCATGTGGGAGCGCTCGTACGGAGATGTCTCCTTGGGCACTGCTATTGCCGTCGGAGCCGCATGGTGGCTGTTCCTGGCGTCTCTGGGCGTCTTCCGTTGGCAGCGTGTTCGTCTCCCGCCGGCGGGACCGCCGCACCTAGAAGCCAAAACCACATATGGAAGCGCTATGGCCTTCAGCCGCATGCCTCGCCTCGCATGGATGTCCGGTGTCCATGAGGTCATCAACTGCCGGTTAACCGTTCCATTCCGGTCAATGGGTGGGGAAGTCCGGCTGCAGACAGTCACCAGAGGCTTCCAAAGGTACATCCGAGTCCGACCCTCCTGGCGCCGTTCAAGCATTATCCCCGACGGTAGCGCTACGCAGTACGGACGCTCTATATCATCTGGGAGAGGCCAAGGATGCAAGCAGCTTTCCTGCACATCCTGCCCAGCCAAGGCAAGCTCCCAGCCGCAAGCCGCACGGGACGCCGTTAGTGCTTCGCTGCCCCTCCGATCCCGTCAGAGACTTGTTGACACGTCCTGAACCCTTTTCCAGGTAGAAATGCGTGCTCTCTCGCTCGTGATTCTTGTCATGGCCCTCATGACTACGTTCGCCACTGCCGTGCCCCTGAAAGCTCTCGCGGGGTCCCTGGCGTCTCCACATGGCCACACAGTCTCATCGGAAGCTCCAATTGAGTTCAACGATTCTACTCGCGTCCGTCGACGTCTCTGGAGACCCAGGGCACATCCATGATCTAGCCACGTACGTCGCTTCTCTCATTGCGCACCCGAAGTGTTGCGGCCCTTGCTCATCTGAGAAGTTGATGCAGAACGAGTATCATACGACCGCCCTGAGCGCGCTCCGACCTACACCCACGGAGTTTACTAGACATAGACGCCTCCGCCATAATCTCCCGACAGCACGCGAACGCTAGCACTGCCATAATTCCATCCGATTCGTCCGCATTCACTTTCCGACTATGTCCGCCAGCTGCGTTTTTGGGATCGCCTCCGGGAAGGCGAGCTGCTTCAGCCGGTTGTGGGTAGACTGCTCGTACGCGAACGCGAACGAGATCAGGTGGAATTCGCTGAACGCGGTTCCCATGAACGCAATTCCGAAAGGCTGGTTCGGGCCGCTCGAGCGCGTCGGCTGAGCTGGTGCGAGTGTTGTGTTCGGCGGAAGGAATCCAAGGGGCACTGTGAACTCAAGGTGAGCATGTGCTGCTCGTTCCTCGTCGAAGCATATTGCTCACCGGAGATGATTGGGTATCCTGCGATAGCCGCAGGTCCGGGTGCCACAGCGCTGGGCAGCAACAGGGCGTCCAGGTTGAACGCCTTGAGTGTGGCGTCGATACCGCGCGTCGCCCCCAGATCCTTGTCTGCTGCGACCGCGTCGAAGAACGCTTGGTTAACTGTCGTGTTCTCCGAAGAGATGAACCTGGTGATCGCGTCAGCCGGGAGCAAACATGCAGAGGCTGAGAAGGCGCACTCTGACTGATCAGTGTAAAAAGGTGGAATTAACTCTTCGTCGGCATGAGCGATGTTGAACGCGATGAGATCTGCCAAGTTCTTCACACCAGTCGGTACGTCCAGCAGCTCTGCGATATATTGATTGACCTGGACCTGCACAGTTCACAACGGGTCAGGGAATGACTTGGTGCGCCAAGAACATGCTCGAGCCCGACAAGCGAACCTTGAAGTCAGTCTGCGTCACAATGCTCTCATTCCTTGACGCCTCCAGCTCCGCGAAATCGGGGAAGTCTGCGGGGTCTACGATCGTGGCACCCAGGTTCCGGATCGTCTCCAGCGATGCGTTGAACGCAGCTACGATGTTGGCGTTCGTCCTGGTGAAGAACTTCCTGGGCACACCGAGACGAACGCCCTTCAGACCATCTGTTTTCAGGGCTTTGGTGTAGTCTGGCACCACCAGCGGTTGTGCAAGCGTGAAGTTGTCCCGCGGGTCTCGTCCGGCGATCACAGAGAGGATGGCTGCGGCGTCCGCGACGGAACGCGCCATTGGTCCTACCGTGTCTTGATGCTCCGATATCGGCACCACTGGCAATGCACGGGTGGACTCATCAGCTAATTGCTACTACGACGGTGCGAGGAACAAATGACGTGAGCGTCACCCTTACCTCCTGCTCTTGAGGTCAGTCCTACAGTCGGCTTGATACCAACGAGGTTGTTCATGTTGCTAGGAGAAATGATCGAGCCGTCGGTCTCCGTGCCCAAGGCCGCTGCCGCAAGGCCGATAGAGGTCCCAATACCGCTTCCAGAACTCGAACCTGAGGGGTCTCCGAGAGGTACGTATGCACTCGTAGCCTGCCCGCCGCGTCCGGAGAATCCAGAGGGCACGCTGCCGCGGAAATGCGCCCACTCCGAGAGGTTCGCTTTGCCCAGGATGATTGCGCCCGCTGCGCGAAGCTTCGCTGCGACGTGAGCATCGCGCGGGACAACTGATCCAAGAAGTGCGAAGGAGCCTGTAGTGATGGTTAGCCAAGTGCGATATATAGCGAGATGACCTCGAAGGAGCGCACCTGCAGTAGTGTTCATACCTGAATATGCATACATGTGAGTTACGTGACTGAATCTATCGACAGAAGACACTCTCACCCTCGCTGTGCAGTGTAGCGATATTGTCTTTTAGTAGGATCGGGATACCGTGCAATGGCCCCCGAGGTCCTATCAACTTTCGCTCAAGATCGAGCTCAGCCGCTTGGCGTAGTGCGCTTGGGTTCGTTTCGAGGACGGCACGCAAAGTCGGCCCTTGCAAGTTCACTTCCTCTATCCTGGCAAAGTACGCCTATGTAGATATACTCGGTAAGTCTGACTCTCTTCATACATGAGGTTACGGCACGCTCACCTTGACGAGATCGACGCTAGTGAAATGACCCCGTTCAAGACCATCTTGCAGCTCGGCGATAGATGCCTCGTAAAGGTCCGGGAAATTGATAGCAGCGCTTTCGGGCGACTGCGCGGAAGTGTGTCCTTGCGACGCACAGACGAGTGCCAGCACTAGAATGCCTATGGCCAAGAGACTAAGTCGTCTCAAGTATGCTGCCTTGGACGCCATCGCGAAAGAAGTGGACGCGCAGGAAACGCCATCGCACACGATGCTGACGCGTATATACCCTGGCGGTACCACTCCTTATCGCAACACTGCCGTGCGCAAGCGCGTGGCAAGACGCGAAGGATTCGCATTGCCAAGCCTTACGGGTGCGCGATGGCGTTCCCGAGTGCACGTTCACACTCCAGACGCGAACAGGCGGCTTCCATTGAGCCCCAATTTCCCATAGAGCATCATGTGCAGCGCCAATAAGGCGGATTTCTTCCCGGCGTCCATTCAATCCTAGTGGCGGCTAAATTTGATATCGTACATGCTCTACTTATCGTACAATCCCGGTTACGTTTTCAATCCCGTCGGACGCGCGATCCAACAATTTATAAAGCACATCTTCACATCTTCGCTCCGCTCGCAGTGGGCTTCAGGTCCGGGTACACCAGTATCTTGACTGCAGAGAAACACCACGACCCAGTCAGGTCCGTCGTTGAGTAGATCCAAAAAATACGAAAACCACTCACCATGTTTGTCTGTCTCGTGTAGAAGGGCCTTTATACCTTTCTCGACGAGGTCCTCGAGCGGAATACGACGCGTGACCAGGCTCTCTAGGCCATCAACTGGGAATCGCCCGTCTGCCACAGCGTCCAGCATCTCCGCGTGGACGCGATCACATCCAAGAACGCCTTTGCAAAGGCGATGCGACGTGTCAGCAGCCATATCATCAGCTATAAACAGACGGACGTACTGCTCAGGGAAACCTCTTTAGCTGTCAACGATCCAATATCGAGCGAGGGGCGCGTCCCCCACACCGCGATGTTCATGATGCTGCCGCGGGGTCTGACCGCAACGAACGCTGTATCCAGAGTCCTCTGGTTTCCGGCGCAGTCGAAGACAACGTCGGCACCGCGTTGAGATGTCGCGTTGAGAGTCTCCGCGACGAGATCGACTGCGCGACTGGTGGGGTCGAACACGGCGGTCGCGCCGTTCTGCAGTGCCAGTTCCCGACGCTTTAACGCCGGCTCCGATACACCGATCCATGTTGCGCCCAACGCGCTGCAAAAGATCAGGTCAGACGTATGTCGCTGTCAGTCTACGGAAATGCTCACTGCACCACTCTCAAGGTGAGGAGCCCGATCTGTCGCGGACGACTGTTTGAGAGACGCATGTAGATATGATGCTGATGGGGAGACGTACCGGGCCTGCTCCCAAGATGAGAACGCTGTCGCCGGCTTTGAAGTTGGACCTCTTCACCGCATGCCAAGCAATCGAGAGCGGCTCCATCATTGCTCCGACGTCCACTGGAAAATCGCTTAATACACAACCACGGTCTAGGATGCGCTCGCAATGTATGTGGCACGTACGTGGAACCTTCGGAGGTAAGGGGAAGACGAGGCGCCGCTCAACGCAGATGTACTCTGATAAACCACCGCCTAGGCCGCCTATTCCCTGCGTGGACAAGCCATCTTAGCTCAGTAGAGGCTGGCGCATTTGATGTACGACTTACAATGAATGTTAAGTTGCGGCAAAGATTGCGTGCCCCTGCCGAACAGAACGGGCAGCTCGCTTGCATGCACGACAAAATGGGCTCTCTGAAACAGACAAATTAGCGAAAACACCGCGAACTGACATTGAATCCATACACAACGACATGTTCGCCGACTGCGACACCCGCGGGATCCACTCCTGGCCCCAGTTCCACGACCGTGCCAGAGAACCTGCAGTAGTGTGCTGAACACCGCAAGCACGATGCACCAAGCACAACCTGAAATCCACGCACTCGTGACCCATGACCACGGGCAGCGTCTCGTGAGTGACTGGATGGGGCTGTGTCGTCGTCGGAGAGACCGGCAAAATCTCGTGCCAGGAATGCAAGTCAGAGCCGCATACTACAGGATGACAAAGTTCTTGTCAGCACAGTGACCGCTGCTCCCAGCGTAAGGCGGCGACTTACTGCCACACCTGCACCAAGGATCAGACGTCAATCGAGCAACGCTTCAAGTACGGTGACCGCCAATAGGCACATACCATGCTACCTAGATAGGGGTGTCAGTGAATAGGCAGAGTGAGTATATGATGATCAATAACGCACCTTGATTTTTACTTGCCCCTCACCGGGCGTTGGCTCCGGGACCTCGTCGAGGCGGATGTCAGCCGGCCCATAGTAGCGTATGGCCCTCATTGGCGATGGTCTGCGGTTGTTAGTCGTGCTGTATGTCTCTGCGAGCGGTGGAGTATATATGCATAGCCGGCGGCCGGTCATGTGAGCCTCTCGCTGCGCCGGCGAAGTGGACACGAGAACCGGCAAAGGAGGGAGTGAGCATTAGAGGTTAGACCGTCACTGCCAAGCGCGCTGACGAGTGTGTTTCGGGTGCCCGCGCTGTCCTCGGGGTGTAGCTCCTGAACACGCTCACATAGGGTCCCGCCCGCCGCTCAGTCTACCATGATCGGCGGCGCGCGTACTAGACCTCATACTGAGGGCACGTCTCCTCGATCACTTGCAGACACTCTGTCATATGATAAGATGTAGACATGGTCTTGTGATGGAACGTACAGCTGCTTGTGTCTAGCGTGCCTCTGGCTGATAAGTCGAGCCTTCTCCGAAGCCCAAAGGTTCAAGGATGAATCAAGACCTTGACTGTGCGCAAACAATTGAACTATGTCACGACTTCATAATCCACGAAGAAGCTCACCGTGCTGGTCCTTCTCGTGTAGGAGGGCGCCGAGCCCTTTCTCAAGATACTCCTCCAGCCCCACGCGACGAGTGATCAACGCCTCCAGATCGTCGAGGTCGAACTTGCCATCCGCAAGGGCTTGGATCAGCTCGGGGTGGTCCCCAGCATAAGCAATGCTGTCTACGATCATCTCTCGCATTAGCACGCCCCCACGCTTTCCAGACACAAACCACGCGCTCACTGGCAAGAACGAGCTCCTTCATCAGCATCAGGTTCATGTCGATCGTGGGTCGCTCCGTCCACCCCGCGACGTTCATGATCGTCCCGCCGGCCCGCGTCGCCTTCAGTGCCGTGTCGAGCGTGCTCTGGCTTCCGGCGCAGTCCACGACGACGTCCACTCCCCGGCCGTCCGTCGCCTTCAACGTTTCCGCGACGACATCTATCCCGGTAGAGGCGTCGTACACCACGGATGCGCCGTACTTGCGCGCGAGAGCACAGCGCTTCGAACCGCACCCCGAGATGCCCACCCAGGTCGCGCCAAATATCCTGATACGATACGTCAGCGCTGGGATATCAACAACGTCCGTAAAGCCGACTGCTTACTGTGCCACTTTCAGCACGAAGACGCCGATCTAAGCGTTGGGCAGTCAGATGTGGCCAATAGTAACATGACGGTTGCCCTTACCGGACCGGCACCGAGTATGAGGACCTTGTCCCCCGGTTTGACTTGCGATAATTTGACTGCGCGCCAGGCGACCGCGAGCGGTTCGACGAGGGCGCCGACCTCCACTAACGCGGTATCAGTAGACGCACTCCACGAGAAACCGCATTTGATAATTACGCGAGACGTTCGCCGGTAGTACGTGTGCGAGTGCTTGGGGTGCCACGACGTACTCGGAGAGGCCACCGCCACCACCAGAGATTCCCTATAAATGTGCTGTAGCCGCGATATAGACTTTCTGATAGAGATGGCATACGATGGCCGCAAACTTTGGGCACAGGTTCCGAGTCTGAGTGGTGGCGCATGCGCAGCCAGGAGTGTTGCAACCGAGGGTTGGCTCACTGTTGATAGTGGGCTCAGTAGTGCGCCAAACACGTGTATAGAAGGGGATAAGTGGAGGACGTACACAGCCACATTCTGACCAACGGCATACTTGGACGTATCGACGCCAGGACCCAATTCGACGATGGTACCAGAGAATCTGGTGATCATGGTGAGAACAATCGCTCCTGACAGAAAAGTCTCACGACGCACTCGTGGCCGACGCCTACGGGAAGCTTCTCGCCGGTGACGGGGTGGGCCTCGGTGGCGGTTGGTGGGCCATCTAAGATGTTGCTTTCATACATGTGAAGATCGCTTCCACATACTGAGAGCCTGGGTCAGATATATACGCACAGCTCGACGGAGTATGTAACTCACTTCCACACCTGCATTGGCCATGAAGTTGAGCGTGACGGAAATTATAGCAAACGACTTCCTGGAGACGGAATGTCTTACCAAGCAATCTGAGATTATTCGTTTAAGATATTGAACTGAGTACTCGAACTACGGCTGAAGACATACCTTGATCTTGACTTGTCCTGGACCCACTACGGGCTCAGGAATGTGTTCGAAGCGAAGGTCTTTCGGGCCGTAGTACCGTATCGCTTTCATGGTGATTGAAAGGTGTTGGGCGGTGTGTGGACCAGGTCGTGTGAAGTGATTGAGACATCAGCGCAGGGTGAGATATATAGATAGCCATGAGTCAGAACCCGACCGGCGGGAGTATCCGAGTTCGGTGAATGTGCCACGAGAGCGCAGTCACATTTCTAAGGAAGGGCTTCGGCTGCCGATGTGGGCGAAGCAGCTTTGCGAGGTCCTTCCAGCGGCCGGAGCGGGTAGTGCCATCGCGTAACTGATTACGCACAGGTGAGCAAAAATGACGCGCATCCGGGACGAGCTTGTCATAAAGGTGAGTCCAGAATCGACAAGCGGAGGGAAGGCGGGTGGCCAGGCGCGCCGAATAGTAGGCCTCAACGGTGGATTGAGGCCTATGGCAGCCATAGCAAATGCGTAGTGACAGCCTGAGAGAGACGCATCGTAACATTTATGACTCGGGTGGGAGACAGCGGTACGAAGCTCAGCATGTCGAAGTTTTCGAGAAGTTGCGAAGCCGTTAGAACTAGGAATTACGCATGTGAGCGCAACGCGCGCGCGCAAACCTATTCAGATAAGGATATTCAGTGGCATGCAAGTACTGATAGAGGTGGAGCGGGAAGTAGTCAGCCATATACGGTACGTACATGGACTCGTCAGACGAGCCAGCAAGCCTGCTGAAACGCTCCCCGAAGCCGGTGTTGATATTCAGAGGCGATGACAAATGTGGCCAAGACTCTCATGGGAAAGCGTTAATGACGGCATCTCCGCCAATCTTTGCAGTTCGAAACATTCATTGTATTGTCGAGATTTGGATGTGTTCATATCGACAGAGAGCCCTGACCAAGAATGGCCCTAGAGTATCCAGTGGTGGATCGGAGCAAGCAGTAGCGCCCTGATTTATTACTAGCGCGCGGCGTGAGCTTACGCTGCATTAGGCGCTGGAGTGCATCGAAGGGAGCAGGAGAAATAGTCGAGTTGAACCTGTCACCTACGGTCTACCACAGCCAGCTTGACATACATCTATATAGGTATACGGCCTTTTTTCACTGAGATTTGCCTGTTGAAAGGAACTTGTATCCTACTTTCACGCCCGTACTAAGGAACCTCTCTGGCTAACAAGTCGAGGCTTCTCCGATATTTCAAGCTTCAAGGGTGAATCAAAACCTTGACTATGCGCACGTAAATGAATCATTGCACCGCTTCGTACTTCACACGAAAGCTCACCATGTTGATCCTTCTCATGGAGGAGGGCGCCGAGTCCCTTCTCCAGGTAGTCTTCCAACCCCACGCGACGAGTAATCAAGGCCTCCAGATCGTCCAGGTCAAACTTGCCATCGGCAAGGGCTTGGATCAGCTCAGGATGGTCTCCAGCGTAGCCTATGCTATCTGCGAACATTTAGCGCATCAATATGACCGAAGAGGGTCCATTTGAGGAAAAGTGCTCACTAGCGAGAACGAGCTCCTTCATCAACATCAAGTTCATGTCGATCGTGGGCCGCGCCGTCCATCCCGCGACGTTCATGATCGTCCCACCGGGGCGGGATGCCTTCAACGCAGTGTCGAGAGTGCTCTGGGACCCGGCGCAGTCCACAACGACGTCTGCGCCCCGGCCGTCCGTCGCCTTCAGCGTCTCCGCAACGACGTCTATTCCAGCGGCGGCGTCGTAAACCACGGATGCGCCATACTTGTGGGCCAGAGCGCAGCGCTTGGAGCCGCGCCCCGAGATGCCTACCCAGGACGCCCCAAATATCCTGCAGACACCGTGTTAGAGCCCAGAGATCAAAAACGCCTATGCAGCTGAATGCTTACTGGGCAACTTTGAGCACAAAGACGCCGATCTGAGCGTTGTGTAGTCAGATGTCGAGCCCCATCGCGCACAGTCAACAGACATTCGTACCGGGCCAGCGCCGAGGATGAGGACCTTGTCCCTCGCTTTGACGTGCGATAGCTTGACTGCACGCCAAGCGACCGCGAGCGGTTCCACGAGGGCGCCGATCTCCACTAACACGGCGTCAGCAGAAGCACTGAACGAGCAATCGCATTTGATGCTTACGAGAGACGTTCGCCGGCAGTACGTGGGCGAGTGTTTGCGGCACTACGACGTACTCGGAGAGACCACCGCCACCACCAGAAATACCCTATGAATGTGCTGTAGCCGTGAGAATAGTCTACCTGGTAGATTTGACATACGATGGCTGCGAACCGAGGGCACAGGTTTCGGGTGTGGGTTGAAGCGCATGCGCAACCAGGCGTGTTGCACCCAATGATCGGCTCACTGTCGAGAGTTCAGTACAGGGCAACTCATGCATACAAATGGGGATAAGTGTGGAACGTACACAGCCACATTCTTGCCAACGGCGTACTTGGATGTATCGACGTTCGGACCCAATTCAGCGATGGTTCCAGAGAACCTGGTGGGCACGATGAGCACATTGGCTCCTGGTAGACAGACCTGACGACGCACTCGTGACCGACGCCTACTGGCAGCGTCTCCCCCGATGTAGGATGAGGTTCAGTGGCGGTGGGTGGGCCATCCAATATGTTGTGTTGGAACATGTGAAGATCGGTCCCGCATACTGGGTGCCCGGGTTAGATTTACACAACATTTGACCGACAGTGTGGGACTTACTGCCACACCTGCGTTCACCGCGAACCTTGTGTCATGAAAGCTATATTAGAGAAGCGTGGGGGAGGCATCGCTCACCAAGCAATCTGAGATTACTCGGTTATGACACAGAACCAGATACACAAACGACAGGTGTCCACATACCTTGACTTTGACTTGTCCTGGGCCTACTACAGGCTCAGGAATGTCTTCAAGGCGAAGGTCTTTCGGGCCATAATACCGTATCGCTTTCATGACGATTAGTCGTGTCGGGCCGTCTGTGTACAGGTGCGTACGAAGTAATGGAGATGCGCAGCGAAGACTGAAATATATAGATGACCATGAGTCAGAATCCGGTTGGCGGGGTATCCAAGTTCGGCGAACGCACCACGAGAGCACGGTATCTTCAGGTAGGACTTTCGGCGGCCGAGGCAAGTAGTGCGGCGTAATTGAGCCTTTGCTGATGACACACGCAGATGGGAGAGATGAGGTACATCGTGGGCGACCTGATAGTGTTGGGGCCAGTATCGACAAGCGGGGAGAAGGCGAATTATCGGGTCATGGGCACGCTAAACGCTGGGATATGAAACGCCGGTGGATAAAATTCTGGTTGACTCTTCCACGACATATGGTCGCCAAAGCGGATGCGTTATGATATTTCGATAAAGAGAAACGCCGTGGGGCCTGAGGCCTGGTGGGAATTGGTGGCACAATGCTCAGCATGTCGATGATTCTAAGAAGTTGCGAAGCCGCTCAGAGGTACATGTGAGCGCAACGCGCGCAGACGTTGGCTATTGAAACCTTGATATACGGTCGCTTCTAAGTGCTAACGCAAGCGGAGCGGCAAATGGTCAGCTACATGCTGCACGTATGTTGGACGATTCTGACCCTCGAACCTTGCGTTTTGAGTCTTCCAACGGCATAGGGAAAGGGTCGATGTCGGTGAGATCGCCACCAAACTTTCCAGTCTCACAGATTCCTAGCATCGCCAAGATTTGAATAATTCGAATATCAACCGAGAGGCTTGTCCATCGAGGCTCAGAGTCTGGTGGATACCCAAGATACAGCCGGTGCAGTGCTGCGGCGGACTGTGATGGTGGGAGGCAGAATTGTTTGGCGCGCGTGTCTTTTGGCGCTTGCCAGTAGGCGCGCGAACGACCATCGTTGTCTCCTACCACAACCATCTCAACATACGTTCAATAAGTATCCCCTTTTTGACCGTTCTCGACCGAGTGTTTGGCTGTCGAAAGGGACTTGTGTCCCACTTTCACGCCCGTACTAAGCCGTCTGAGCAGTAGAACGCAACAGCGAGTCTCTTGTCCGAGTCCACAGTACTCAGTCCGACTTGAACAATTCCTCCAAATTCCAGGGATCGTTGGAGTGAATTATCGCAGTGAACCGTTTACAGCAGACACTGCAGCATCACAATTACTTACCAGCACGGACGCGGAGGTGGCCGTTCTATGTCTGGCCCCACTGGTTGCGATGCTATCAAGCCCGCTGAATTTCGAGCTGAAGTGGATTACACACCAAAAGGGCTTTCTACTCCGTCTTCCTCCACGTTGGATGGGTTTGATCTGGTAAGTGATGCTACGTATATTGTTGCTTAAGCTTACACGCATCACTAGAGCCCTTCGACACCACATGGAAACACATTGCCGTCTTATGCCAGAGCTGCGCCAGCCGAATTGGGGGCTGCGAGGGGACAGCTCGGAAATGGCCTACAATTGAGAAAGACGAGGGACGGAGTACGTACGTACATCACATTTGATTCAGAGGAACATATGCCTACGACGTCCCAGCGAATATCTTCACGATCACGGCGTTCGAGGGCATGGTCGCTGCGCAAGGATTCAGCCAACTGTCGGTTTTCACCACACCCAACCAAGACTGGATCCCCGAGTTTGCTATCGCACACCGAGAGATCACGACGTACGCGGACGGCCGCTGGGGGCGCCACGAGTACTCTCGCTGGCCACAGGCGTATTCCCGAGATTGCCTCCACGTGGCATGTATACCAAGCAGGCCCTCCACTTCCAACGGTCCATCTACCGTCTTATGGCGCACCATCACACCCGAAGACTGGATACTGGAGAAATGCGGTGTCAGCGGCCTCGGCTTCCTCGCCAAAGAACGCATGAAAGAGATCGAGGACGAAGCATCCGCTGCAATCGGGCGTTTTTCGCGTCGCCGCCGTCAGGACAAGCAGTGGACCCAGGTCGGAAAGCTCCTCGTAATCTGTCTCCGCCACGTAATAGACAGGCTACACAATATCCCCGCCTCCAAAGTCGTCGTGATCTCCCTCGCGGCACACGCACAGCGCCTGATCCTCGAGCTCGCAGGGCTGCACGTCCTGCTGAACACCGTTCTCGGGCGCATCGAGTCGCAGGAGAACCACCAATCCGAGGTACTCGCCGTGCTCGGGGCGCACACGTCGGACCCCAGCATCGCGCAAGTGCTGTTCGAAGCTGGCATACCTGTCTGGTTTCAACAGCTGCTCACCGATCGCCTGAACGTGTTTAAGGTAGTGACCAAGACGGACATTCCGCCCGAGTTCTCCACGATACCCTCGTATCCCCGCCTCGTCCTTGCGCAAAACGACACCTCAGGGGTTCTCAATACGCCTGGCGCGTGGATACCCGCGATGAACGCGATCGTCAGACAACAGCTGTGTGGCTCTAGCCTTCCGGAGGTGTCGCACGAGGAGCCATCGGGCGAGCGGCCGTCCAAACGAGCTCGTGAAGAACCATCCCAAGGGAAGGACTCTGAGAACTGGTCCTCGGGACCTTCCGCGCGCGCAGCGCGGCCCATTCAGGACGCTGACGCGCCCTCTGACACGGGAGGAGACAATAAGCCCAGCCGGCGCCGTCCTCGACATAGGCGAGGAAAGCATGCTGAGCAGACGACCACCAGTACCTCATCTAAGACGGTGGGCGATGAGCCCGCGTCGATGGCATCCTCGCGCCCGGCTCAAAAACCGTTCTTCATGAACCCCTTCCGCCAATTCTACCCGTCTCACACCGTCTCCACCGCGGACGCCTGGTCCAAGGCGCTCAGAAACGCGGGACCCCTTCCGCAGCCCGCGCAATCTGCCACGTTCTACCACCCTCCTCCGTGGCTCCTGGACTCTCTGGTCGAGTACGACAGCAACCCGAACAGAATCGCCCGCAACCTCCACCACCTCATCTCGATCCGCACATTCTGCCGCTTACGCCTCTTCGACTACACCATCGCCGGCCTCCCTCTCACCTCCGCCGAATGGCGCGACGCACTCTTCGGTGAATACAACTTCGAGGTGACCCAAGGGAGTGGCGACACTACGAATAACACGGTAGTGCGGCACAAGCTCAAGCAGACTGTCGTCCGCTTCTTCGGCAAGATCCCCCGCCTACATTCGTACGACCCCTCCTCCGCGCCCGAGCTCGCGGGCCGCACCGTAACGTACGAAGCCGCGCTCACGGACAAGGAGATCCAGGGCCGCCTCGTGTGGGAGGCACATGAAGTCAACTGGCGGTGCGAGCTGCTCGCGCTGGACGCGCTGATGGTGGGGTCGAAGGGCTGGTCGGAGTTGGAGCGGTGGGTGCGCGAGGCGGACGTCTCGCGCGTGTGGGGCCCGGGCTCCTCTGGGATGGATATTGCACCGCGTGAGGGGGATATGGAGCGGTTTTGTTGGAGCGTGCCTGGGGAACCGGGGTGGGAGGGGTGTAGAGAGCGGCTGCAGGCCTTTTTGGAGGTCTTGGGCCGCTGGGAGGGATGTCCGGCCGAGTTGACCAAGCCTTCCGACGCGGCGCTCAGATGTGAGGCGGCGGAGTACGTTCGGTTGATGGAGTGCGCGGTTGAGTTTTACGTGCGTACCTTTATTGCGAAGTACCAGCGTCTTCCTATTCCGCCTGTACGGGCTGGGGTTATTTTGACCGCGTAGTCGTAGTTTGTACTAATTAATGTTCATCTTCGTCTTCATATTCTGCAAGGGCATGGTCAAAGCAAAGCACCGCTTTTCCGACGGGATGCCACAACAGACTCAAAAAGCTTAACTTGATGATCGACGCCTGTGTCGCCTGAACGACTGCCTCGCAGGAAAGGGGAATAACATGTTTGTCGTTCCAAGGTCGTTGCCTAGGCAGGCTGACTTGACCGTCGAACAGGCCTTATGATCAGCAACAACTTCACATATATGATACCAAGTAGGGTATAATTAACTGCGACGCTTCACAAGAGGGTATCATACCAGGTCGCCTAGGTCGCCAACAGGCATATGTCGAACAGCCAAACACGAAGACCGACAGACCACCTTATGTCCAGCTACGCCGCGGTGTCCGAGATATGGAAGACCTCGTTGACTGCGTGTGCGACCAGCTGCTCGTCCGGACGCTCCGGTAACGCGTACTTCGCACCATACCGACGCTGCTGGAACAGCGCGTACTCCTCTTCCCTGAGCATCTCGCGCGCACGCGCGACCTGCGCGGCCGTCCGCGCGCCAAGACGTTCTGCGTCGTCGTCGCTGAGCGGAGCCGGACGCCGGACGAGCTCCGCGTAGGCCGGGCCGAGCCAAGAAGGGACATCATGTTCCTTGGCGAGCACTATGGTGTCGATAGTGGGGAGGGAGGCGCGTCGGGCTGTGAGTTCGCGGATGGCGTATTGGCGAACTTTGGTGCATTGGAGGCGGGTGGAGACGCGGAGGATGGTTGTCCAGTCGGCCAGGGAGACGGAGGCGGGGTCGTATATACTAGATCGTAGTCAGCACCTGGAATAGCGCATGTGAAAGGAAGCTGACCCATGATAGAGAAAGTCGAGCAAGCAGTCGAACCCTTGTTGAGTGATATCCGCGGGCAGAGGAAGAGGGCTTTCATCTGAGCGGCCGAGCAGGTCATTGCCCTCCGCAACGACCCTCCGGAAGTAGTCTGAGTGGTGCTCGAGCAAGTATCTGTGGATCTTGTACAGCGACTCCTGGACCTTTCATGAGACAATGAGATAAGCAAGACATACCACGGTGCTCGAATGCACACACCTTGAGCACGACCATCCCCTCTTGCATGTAGAACACTGGATGTCTTGGGAGATTGGCTGCACGAGGTTGTTCATGCGCCGCTGCAGTCATCGCGGATGCGCCAATCGCCGGCACCCTCGCGCGCGGCATTGCGACAGGGTTTCTCCGCGGTGATGAGAGCGCGGCAGCCGACTCAGGGCTGGCCGAAGGGGTAGGGCGCGAGCTCGGCACGCTGCGCAGACTATGTTGCGAGCCGTGCTGCGAGCCTTGTTGCGAGCCATACACGTTTGGGAGCGGCCGCGGGCTCGAATACCCCGAGTTCCCTGGAGAAGGGGATGCGAAGCGCACATCTGAAGGAAAGGGCACCGGGCTCGCGACGAGTGCCCCCGGGCGGTACTTTCCCGTCGCGAAAGGACCGGGCGTCGGCTGGTGCACGAACTCGACGGACGACGCGGGGCTCGGGGTGCGCGTGAGGCTCTCCGCGCCCGCACGCTCGATGATCATCGGATGCGACCGTAGGTTGCTTAAGAACTCGGGGTGCGTCGGGAGCGGCGAGTACGTCGTGTTTGTGCGCAGTGGCTGCAGCTCGGGCGCTCCGTGCCCCGCGCTCGCGTTGGCGCTACTGCTCGGGAGGAGCGGGAGGGAGCGCATCGGGGCGGTCTTGCGCGCGACGGGCGTCCAATCGTGCGGCATCCAGACGGCGGGGCTGGGCGGCGGGCCGGGAGAAGGGGATGGGGTCGTCATGGTCGCCCACGGCGAGGGCAGCCGGCTGGGAGGCTCAATGGCGTCGACGTAGTAGCGGCCTTGCGGGGGAGCAGTGCGTTGGGCCATTCGGTTATGGTCGGGACTGGGTCTGCGCTCCCGCGGGTAGACATAGCCCTAAGTAGCGGCTGCAACGCAGATGAGGCATGGAGAGCGCAAGTGGACGGATAGCGGCGACAGCAGGTCCACGCTGCAGAGCATGCGGCTGCGAGTCTGCAACCGCCTGCTCTACACGACTGGCGCCTTTGATCGAGAAGATGGTAGAGGCTGAGCTACCGCAGCACGTTGGATCTGTTAAGGTAAGCTGACACAAATGGGCCAAAATGTGCAGACTCTCGCGATGGACGCCACGACGCGCTTCGGAAGTATAGCAAGGATCTGACAACCACCACGAAGCTAAAAAGGTTGTCATGCAACAGGCATTTAACTGCCGAATATAGCCAGAATCGAGCCGTTAGCTCTATTCCCCACACGAAAGAACAGTAAGACTCACCAAGTACACGGGATCTTCGTATGGCGCTGCCTTGCAGATCCTCGCTTGCACAAGGGCCCCGTACCGCACGTCACAGCAGCCCACAAGAGTGACGAGTTGGTCCTCCTCAGGACCTTCGTACTGCATTGCTATAGCGAGCCCTACGGTTCGTAAGGCGGTGTCTTCCGCAAGCATTCTACATCTACGTCAAAGATGCCTAGGCTCAAACCATCTTTCCAGCCTGTCTGCACTGACTCGCCGATGTGATCGAGGTCCAGATGCGGGAAGACCCGGTCCCGCTCCATTAAGCACTCTGCCACCTGCTCGCCCAGCTCCTGGACTGCGTGAAAAGGTGCCACGAGGAGAGTCGAGGGGAGTTTCGGGAACGCAGTAAATATGAGGAGCGCGTCGAGTGCCATGTCAGGCGATGCGCCGGAGAGGTCCTGAACGGATATTTTCCGGGAGTCAACGTCTAACAAAATGACAAGATGATCAGCACCGTATTGCACATGCGCGCAGATACACATTGTCGTACCTTCCTGGCGTATGGCGAGGAGGTGCCTCGGCGGCATGTACGTCTTCCAATAGACGATTTGGAAGTCATGCGTGTGTATGCCGCGTGCATCGTTGTACACAATGTCGTGTATACGGAAAAGCGATGGGACGACACCGCCTTGGTGGAGAACGCCGAACAAGACGGCGAGGGCCGCGTTCGCAGTTATCCAGGATATCTGCGGAGCGTCTGAGTGGCTGTTGGTATGGCAGGGCGGCATCATCATCAGGGGCGTACCAAGAATGACTTCCGTGCTTGCGTAATGCGCGCGTTATTCACGGCGATGGCTATCATCGGCACGAGCAGAGGTGTCAAGAAACGCGGCTCCTGGTGTGGTTGAATAGACAGGAGTGAAGTGGCAGACCACCTAACCCAGTAATACGCTGAATGGGGGAGTGAGCATCGGGAGAGGAAGCATGGAATTGATTGTGGCTTCACTTCTTTGCATAATCTCGACGACTCCTGGCTTGCCTTTCGGTACCTCCCCAGTACGCGAGGTGAACAGATCAAACTCGGCCCATAGAACATAGAAAAGCAAGCCGGGCGTGGCAATCATAGGGAGATTCACAACGAGGTGAAGCCATCGAGGATGCAAGCCATGCTCTGCGAGATTAGAGGGCAGAAGGTTGTAGCGCAGGAAGTTCAGTGGGGTGATCTCGACGGTGGAAGGCCGCATAAAACCATGGAAGTAAACGCTATCCACATATACGAAGCCCAAGGTGGTGGTCGAAGTGACTAAGAGTGGGAGGGACAGCAGACGAGCCAAGGCGTCCAGCGAGAACCGAGACTGACGAAGGCTCCATTTCATGATTTCCAGACCAATCGGCAGGAAGAAAGCGGCAAAGGTGATGCGGATGAAGATACCGCAAGTGAAGACGAACGCCAGCAGTGCCAGATATACCGAGCTTCCCTGCGCAGTGAGCAATGAATTATACGTTTGTGCTATAAAATTCGAGCAGGCTGACCTTCGATGATTTCGGGTCAATCTCGTCTACGAGAAGCTTCTTCACAAGAACAAGTGAAAGCGCGACCAGGATGGCCTCGATGGAATTAGAGAATGGCCGTAGTTGATAGGTGTGCATCACGTATGAAGAACCAATGAGCAGCAGAGCTTGAAGTCGCACAGGCTCGTGGACCATGTGATATATTGAGAAGTCTGTGGTGGAGCTCTAGGAGATTTTAGACTCAAAGATGTGTCGTACGTACCGAGTGAGAAGGAAGAGACTAGGAAGGAAAGCCTCTGGATGGCAAAAACCAGGCGCGGCGAAGGTGAATCGCCTGATTCGCCTCAAAATAATGCCCAGAGGATGGGAGAAGATACTCACCATTATGTAGCAGACGCAAGATGGAGAACGGGACTCCCGTGGTCAGCCAGACTGGCACGATGGAACGACATGGGAACACAGAACTCCATTCCCAAGTTTGTACTGCGTTGAGTCCCAGCGTTTTTCCTGATTGAATGTAAGCTTTCATACCTCCCAACAGCATTGAATGCTTCTCACCTGCAATTGCCTCGCCATTCTGGAAGTACTCGTCGGGGTGGATGTATCCCGTTCCGAAGAGAGCAAAGCAAATCCGCGTGATCACCAAACCAAGATAGATGGAGCGTAATGAAGGTCTTCCTATATATTGGAGGGCCATACTAGCAGATCGTCTGGCCACATGGACGAGGGTAGAGGAGGACGAGCACGAGCACCAGGCGGACGAGAGGGAGGAGGACAAGCTTAGGGAGAATACGTTTCACGCGGAGGCGCTTGGAGGCGCTTTCCGGATAACCGGCCCGCAAGAATATTTGAGCGCCTAGTGCGCAGAGAGTGCGCGCTTCAGCGCGCTTGTTGATGCTGCACGGTTCTCCGCGTACCACGACCATCCTCTGTCCCCGAGCACTCCTTTCTGCTCCTCATGGTGAGTGGGTGCTCATGTTCGACCCTTCATGAATCACTCATCTCGAATTGGAATGGCTGCGTCGCTCTCTAGGCCTCCCTTCACTTCTGCTCCGAGTGCAACAACCTCCTCTATCCGAAGGCGGACCCTCAGCGCCGGGTCATGGTCTACGCATGTCGCATCTGTGCCTACGACGAGATTGGCGAGAACCAGTGTGTGTACAGGAACGATTTGCTCACGGTGACGAAGTGCGTATCCGTCTTAAACTCGCCGTGTGACCGGCTGTGGCGAAGGCATATACTCAGTCCTGACAATCACCCAGAGAGCAAGTCGGTGTAACGAACGACCTTGGCTCGGATCCTACACTGGTATGTGTCACTTCATATTGTCACTTCGGCGCGTGCTACAACCCCGTCCCTCCGCTCAGGCGCACTCCAAAATGACATGCCCGAAGTGCGGACATGATGAGTATGTCTCCGAAACCACAGGACAGACCACATGTGTCACTGAACACACACAGTGCCGTATTCTTCCAAGACCAATCGAAGCGGAAAGAAACCCGAATGATCCTCTTCTACGTGTGCACAAAATGCGACCATCCATTCACGGACGCAACACTCGACTTGGAGACACAGCCAGAGATGTGATTGGGTTCTCCGTCAGTCGCGGCTGGATGCGCCAGCATACCCTTTGTACACTACCGTCTTGTATTGCTAATCACCAGTGTTCATTTCGACTACCACAACGAGACCTTAGATTCCAATAGCAGATGAACAACAGGACAGTCGAAGAGCGTCAAACGCCGAGTGGCACTGGTCAAGAAGAAGCTGAAGTGTATTCTCTCGGTACATCCTCGCACGCTGCAGGTAAGCTTCGCCTCCTCGGTCACATTGTGGCCATGTCGCTGTCGCTCAATTATCTCTGCTCACACCTCACAGTACATCAGAGGCTTGAACGATATTCGCAGCGCACGATGACGTTTCTCCACCCTCCCAGGACGAGCAACCCCGAAGACAACCGTGTGAGACTTCGCCTTTGAAAAAAGGGTCAATTTCTGCCCATCTGTTGCAGAAATGACATCCGCCTTTCGCCGCCGGCCTTCATATATCGGGCAGGACAGTGCTCAGATGGACGTTGCTACACCGCATGTGAGCGAGGCGCCCAAGTTTAGGGAGCTCTCTACCATGAACGTTTGAACGGTCACGACAGGTGTGCGTATCTCATGAGTCATGGCAGGCTACGCCTGACCTTCTGCGAGCAAAGTGAAGAGAATAGGCAGGGATCCCATCCGCATGTCACGGAGAATCCTCAACCGCATGGAAGCTTCAGCCACCTGGGACATATAACGCAAGCTGCTCACCACGAATCCCCCCATAACAGCGCCGCCCCCATTTGCTCCACCTCTCAGACCACAGATGACTCAACTGGAACACTTGAAGCATGTTTTGGTATGTCCAGCTCATATGTGGGGTACGTACTTTGCGCAACCGCTTGGGGTTCATAGCTCACGATTCACGCTGCCCGTCAACAGGCCACACGCGCCCGTTGTCGATCCTGGTGGCCAGGATGGCGAAGTTACGCCCTATATCTATCACATTCGTCGTTGCAGCCAAGTACCTGAAAGGCGCAAAGGCTGAAATTTCTCGCGAACTCACGCTGTGCGGTGAAGACGTTCAGAAACGTATCAGGTCAGACCGAGTGCTACAAGTGGACTCCGGCAGTGCACCGCACTAACTCCATCTACCCTTAGGTTCCTACCGGTTGAGCAAGGAGATGACAATTTCGACCCTGCGATATTCGAGCAATACCTCCTCGCAACTTGGAAGCAGCTGTTCGACGGCGACTCTACCATGTGCGAAGCTCTGGACGGCACTCCTTACGCACTCCGCTTGCTCGAATCGCCACTCAGCGCAGTCGTTATAGACGTGCGTACGACTTTAAGATTTATCTGAATTGTTCAGCTGATGACACGTTGTGAAGATCATACTCATGGAAAGCTTCAACGCACTGCGCGAACGCCAGAAGATAGCGACCTCCTTCAAATTCTTCACTTGGTTACCTGTCGCGATCAACACTATACTCTCGCTTTGTCGCTTCGATGCGATACCGCTCGTAGAAAGCGCCGCCGCCCAGATGGAGGTGTCGTTCAACGAAGCGGCCCGCCACGTACGTACACGCATCTTAGCAATGAGCGGAGAAACTGAAGGAACACGATGTGCAGCTCATGCTCGTACCGAGCGGCCAAGTCGTCCGTCATCCAGGACTCCCGGATATGTATGATCACGAATACCAGCCACAGGCGGTGTGTACAGTATCCCTCGATGCTTGTTTTTGCGTTGACTTGGATTGTGTTCCACAGTTCCAGATGCCAGCGGATCAATGTGGCCGTATATACATCCGAATTGGCAGGTAGGAAAAGACCTGATTTTGTCCTGAAAACAGAAAGTTTGATCAAGGTTCCTCCTACAGAGTGTTATAGCAAACGGACGGCGTGCCCACTTTCGACGCGGCCGATTACTATCCCGAAGCGGTGTCGGAGTTCCGCAGCTGGTTTGCGGAGACGTCGCGCAAGGTCTATTACGTCGGTCCACTCGTGCCAGACGGCAGCGCCCTGGCTTCTTCGCCGCAGAATGGGCGGAGAGCGCAAGGCGGCGTTTTGAGCTTTTTGGATGACCATTTGACGGCGCGCGGTGAGCGATCAGTGGTCTACGTTCGTCGTGCCTTCGTATGTGCTAGTTTCGTCTTGCTCACAGCGTACCTTGTCTTCGCAGATATCCTTTGGGTCCTTGTTCTGGCCTAGCGACCCCGGTAAGGTCCACGCCGTCCTAGAAGTCCTCATAAACAGAAATATCCCATTCGTGCGTGATCTGTCGGCATGCCCTTCTATCTCCCACATACTCACGCGGAGCTCCTCGCAGATCCTGACCCACCCCAGCGCACTCGCAGTACTGTCTCATGACACCCTGGCTATGCTATCCGAGTGCAAGAGCGCTTTCGTTACTCAATGGGCGCCCCAGCAGGCGATCTTGGAGCACCCTGTGAGTCTATGTGTAATGTGACAAGACATGGGTACACATCTAATATCGGCACGTAGGCGACGGGCTGGTGCCTCACGCACGGCGGACACAACACTGTCCTAGAATGCATAGCAGCTGAGGTCCCCATGTTCGTACTCTCTATATCACGCCTCACCCATGACTTTGAACGAGAACTCCTCCAGGATTCTCTGGCCGATCTTCACAGACCAGCCTGTGAACGCGATTCACCTTACCGACCACCTGGACGTGGCATACGAGCTCCTCGAGGTGCGGCACGGCACAGGGCTGGGGCCCATCTTCCGCACAGGCAAGACTCCGACTGGGACCCTGGCCGCTGTCCGGGAGGAACTGGGTAAGGTGCTCGAGTGCGCGTTCGGAGAGGATGGGCAGGCGAAGCGGAAGAGGTTGCAGGTATTGCGCACGACGCTGGACCAAGCGTGGGCAGAGGATGGAGTTGCGAGAGCGGAGGTGGAGTCATTCTTGGAGGATTTGCCGTGAACGATCAGCGATTTTGGAGCCCCAGCAGATGCGTACATATATCGAACGTGAGCTTCATCGCGATGGGTGTGGGATGATCCTAACCACATACTTGAATCGTCCTACTACAAATATCGACGTCAAACCTTGATGCCACAAGACCTCATCATATGCTTGACGGAACGTTCATAAGGCACAAGCTTGTTACACTTGTACTTATGTTGGTGGGACGGCGAAGCGGAAGAACCATTCTGACTATTTGGGGACGCGCAGTAATGTCCTAGATTTCCCTCGCCACGAGGCGGCGCTTGGGCGCGACCCGCCCAGACAACTCCCGCTCGGCATCTCTATCTTCTGTTCTGTAGCGCGAAGCTTGGACATCACAGGCGGAACCATCCATAGCGGACAAGCGGTCGGCGGTGGGTGGCAAAGTCGTCGCACAATAGTGTCCTGGACCCGGGCTCGTGGCCACCTCGTCGGGCAAAGCGCCAGCTTCTGATGCGACTCGCACACGCGCGAACACGCCCCGGGGGCGTGCCCCTGGCCAGGCCATGGTATAAAATCGTACGCCCCCCTTCATGCGCATCCATATCTCACACCGAGCCCACTGCGCGGGGCATCGACGACTTCATAACGCGAACATCGACCTAGATATCTACCAGGCGACGACATCGATTCTAGGACCTCAGCGCAGCACCTTACTACTATGATGACTTCCACCCCCCGCGCGGCCACCATCTCATACCGCATGCGCCCCGACAACAGGTTCCTCGTCGACCCCAGCCCGCCCCAAATGCGCCGCGAACGCGAGAGCGCGTGGGTCTCGCGCTCGTACCCGCCCTCTGCGCCCACCTCCCCGATCATGTCCTCACCCCCAAGCCCCGTTCTGCATCCCGAACATCCGCCTCGATCGCAGACGCCAGACAACTGGAACCTCTCCTCGCCCAACGCATCCGAGATGCCGTCACCCATGCGCAGAGCACTCGGGCCCATGCTCTCCCTCGCGCGGGAGACGAAGGAGGAGACGTACGGCGACCGGTCCACGCCCCGAGAGCCCCGCACCGAAGACGTGCCGCCCAGCCGGCGCAGCGCTTCGAAGCCCCGGTCTTCCCCCGCGTCCCCACCTCAGTCGAGGGCCTCGCAGCAGAGCTACCGCAAGTACCGGAGCCCGCGCGTAGAGTCCGAGAGCGACCCCGAGGAAGGCGGGATGTCGCGCTCCTGGCGCTCGACCCCGGGCGACCGCAGCCCACCCCGCACTCCGCCGCCGTTGCCCAACTCGGCTCTGCCGAGCGGTGCGCGCACGAGCCCACGTAGGCAGAAGTCGAAGGTGAAGCGGAGCAGCGTCGCGCACCGGCGACTCATGGAGTCCGCCGCGTTCTCGTCCGACAGCGGTATCGCGGGCTCGCCGCTCTGCCAGAGCCCACTCGTCTCCCTTCCGCTGCCAGACACCCTGCCCTCCGCGTCCGAGTTTGAGCGGTCGTTCTTCCCTCCAGAGCGGCCCACGCGGAGTCAGCAGCGCGCCTCGCCAATTCCGTCACCATCAAGCTCGCCTCTTGCGCTGCAGCCCGTGTCGCCCCGCGCGGAGAAGAGCGCCCTGCAGTTGCAGCAGGGCCCTTCTCAGGAGGATGGCCAGCAACCCCAGCCTCAGCACCAACACCAGCACCAGCACCAGCACCAGTCTTCGCCGAGATATGAGGAGCACTCGCACCAACGATCGAGCTCGGAGGAGCAGTATCGTCCGCGCACGCCGGAGCGGTCATCGCGCAGGTCTGACAGCTTCAACGGGGGCTCAGTTCCCGTGCCGCTTAGTCCGGGGTCAACGCTCGCTCAGACGCGCCCGGCCTCCCCATTGTCAGAGGGACGCTCGTCGTCCCCTAAAGTTCCTTTCAAGCCCCACCAGCAAGCAAGTGGCCCCGTAGAAGAGCCTGCGGTTCGACACTCGCAGTTCTACATGGAAGACGAGATGGTCATCTTGCGCGTAAGTTGTCATCCCTATGTTCTCAGAGTACTCTTGCTCACGATGCGGGCATCAGGTGGAGAACTGCTTGTTCCGCGTGCACAGGTACTTCCTCGAGCGCGACTCGACGTTCTTCAAGGACTTCTTCCAGCGCACGCTCTCCGGAACGGGTATGGGCAAGACGGATGACACGGCCATCAAGCTACAGGACGTCTCGCGACGCGAATTCGAGTGCCTACTTCACTTCCTCTATCACGGGTTCGTCTCCTTCTTCCCTGCACACATGATAGATGCTCATGCCCGCTTCCAGCGCGTCGAACTCGCAGAACGACTCGATCCTCAACCTCGTCCTGCTCCTCTCTACCTCCTCCGCGCTCACCTTCCCTGCCGCGCGCACACACGCAATCACCGCACTCGATCAGGCGTCCCCGCCGCTCGACCCCGTCGAGCGCGTCTTCCTCGCGGAGAAGTACAACATCCCCGCGTGGCTGCGGCCCGCGTACGTCGAGCTCTGCTCGCGCGCACACCCGCTCGAGGACTCCGAGGCAGAGGTGCTCGGCCTGCAGACAACCGCGCGGCTCGCGCGTGCGCGCGAGGCGGTGCTCGAGGAGAAGGTGCAGGAGTGGCGGCGTGCGGTCGAGCGCGCGCAGAAGGGCGAGGGGCAGATCACGAAGGAGGACATGGAGGTGCGCGAGGCGAAGGTCGTCGAGCGCGTCGTCGACGACATCTTTGCGACGGAGCGGTAGATGGTGGTGTACGTGGAGGGTGGATTTCTTGTTTTTTTTTGGGTGCGCTCGAGCTGGACCTGGGAGTGGCATACTAAGTATTGTATCATGTAGGGCTGTTGTACCATAATACCCTAATGTATATTCGCTGACTGGCTGCTGTATCGCATCACTTCATTGTGGAGACACGACAAAGTCTCACATCCATTGCTGGTAGTGGTTCGTAGTGAATCCAATGCGTCCGGCGCGGATTCTTCCTCAATTACCAGTGAGGTTGCTGACTCCAGCGTCAAATTGACGTTGACGTTGATGCGTTGATTTAGTTCTTTCATGTTCTTACTCTCGTAGGCCACTCTTCATCCTAGTCCATCCTTGGCGACTCTTATCAGCGTACACATCCAAGGTTGAGAAACCCTGTAGAGCTGGGCGCAGCCTGAGGCGAGAGGCGACACGCCGTACTTGTTGTATCTTTCACCATCAGCGACGCCGTCAGTTCAGGATGGGTTTTAAGCTGATAGTACTCCTACGCTTGAGCTGGGTTTCCGTCTTCACTGTGATCCTCGGGATCGTGTGCACGAGCTAGGGCCTCAAGCAGGAGGTCATTCGCATACCGACCGCTGCCTCCCCGTTCCCAGACCTCTACGAAGCGTCCATTGCTGAGCTCCAGGCTGGACTTCAAGTGGGCCTTTTCACGAGCGTCGACCTCGTCAAGGTTGGTCATATACATTTATTCATGCTAGTCACTGCTCATGATTTGCTCTTCTAGGCGTGCTTTGCGCGAATCGAGGAAGTGAACCTCCGGGGACCCGCCCTGCGCGCGTTCATAGAAACAAACCCAAGTGCGCTCGCACAAGCTGCAGAGCTTGACCGCGAGCGAAGGAAGACTGCCCCCCGCAGTGCCCTTCATGGCATTCCGCTACTGTTGAAAGACAACATCGCGACGCTGTATAGCGAAGGTGAAAAATCTTGTTTTTATCTCTGGAGTTTCTATGCTAACGGGCATCATGGTCAGGGCATGGACACTGCAGCAGGTCTGCCCTGCCATCGTTGGCCAATTGCACACGTATCTCTAACATACACATTTTGCACGTCTCACAAGCTCCTATGCAATTCTCGGCTCGGTAGTCCCGCGCGACGCGCACGTCGCTGCAAAGCTGCGCGCAGCGGGTGCGATCCTTCTCGGCAAAGCGAACCTCTCCCAGTGGGCAAACTTCCACGGAGCCGGCGTCCCTTCCGGATTCTCAGCGCGCGGTGGGCAGGCGTCCAATCCATACGTCCCGCTCGGGAGCCCATCGGGCTCGAGTTCGGGGAGCGGTATCGCTGCCGCGATAGGACTTGCCGCAGCCACGCTAGGCACCGAAACTGACGGGTCGATTGTGCTACCGAGCAGTGCAAACAACGTGGTTGGGATTAAGCCGAGCATGGGACTCACGTCGCGCGGTGGAGGTACGCATGCATATCATAGCCCTGTAAATGTAGTGCTGACGTTGTAAGCTAAGTTGTACCGATTTCTGAGTATCAAGACACAGTGGGACCAATGGCGCGTTCGGTTGCGGACGCCGCCGTTCTATCATCGCAGGGCGCGATCCGCGCGACAACTACACGTCTGCGGCACCTGCACAGATCCCCGACTATACACGTGCGCTGGACACAGAAGCATTGCGGGGGGCGCGGATCGGGGTCCCCCGCAGGTACATCGCTGCGCAGCTCGATGGCGTGCAAGTTGCCGCTTTCAACGCGTCGCTCGCGACTCTTCGCAAGCAGGGCGCGACGATTGTCGACCCCGCGGACTTCCCCGCTTGAGAAAAATTGATCGTGTGGACTAACAACACGACTGTGCTCAAGGCGGACGTTAAGGTGAGCGCTGGCTTGCACAAGGTCAGTAGGGACTGATTGCTGAGCGCTCTGCCGGTCGGTGTCGAGAGGTACATCGCAGGACTGCGCCAGGTTCCTACGGGCGTGAAAACGCTGGCAGATTTGATTGCCTTCAACATCGCGCACGCGGATGAAGAGCTCGTCCCTCCGTACTGGGCCGACCAGTCTGTGTATGTAACTGGTTTCTGCGCGAGTCTCATCATAAGCTAACTACAGGCATCCCAGCTTCATCACTGCAGATAACACCACCATTGACCAGGCGTTTTACGATGCGCTCGCGGCGGACCTGGATCTCGGGGCAACGCGCGGGATCGACGCGGCGCTCAAAGCCTTTGAGCTCGACGCACTCATCTTGCCGACGAACATAGCATCAACTCCTTCTGCTATCGCGGGACATCCCAACGTGACCGGTACGCATCAAGGTCTCCCCTTCCACTTACTCGATCGTGACCGTGCAATTCCTTTCCTTTTTATTAGTGCCTTTGGGCTTCTGCCCACCAGACACCCCACTCTCACCGGCGGAACCAACGCGCAAGAGCGGTCCGAACATGCCGTTCGGGCTTGCATTCTTGGGGACGGCGTTCAGCGAGTTCAAGCTCATCTCGCTCGCGTACGTGTACGAACAAGCGACACACACGCGCCTCAAAGTCCGTGCATTTCCTGCGGCGATCCCGAAGACGCAGCTCGCGGATGTCATTGGGACGTGAGGACCGCGGCGGGCTGGTATGTCGGCGAGGCGGAGATGAGCGGTCGTGGAAGTCGTCGTTATGAAGTGTTGTAACTGTCTACAGCAAATACACGGAGAGCCGGATGCTTAGGATACAGTCTGGAGGAATACACTGGGCTTTGGAAACCACCGACCGTGAGCAGTCTGCATGAGGAAATGTTATGGACAGAGTACATACTTGTTGGCGTCTGTCAGACGTTGGTATGATGACCTCAAGGATGAGGTCGAGCGCGTCGCACATATAGATGCGGTGATGGAGGTGTAGGGCGGGACTCGACGAGATGTGCTGGTGTCCTCCCCTCATGGGGGATAGCTTGAACGCTCGCAGCAATCAGGAGTAAGGTACCGAGGAGCGGAAATATGTGCATGATGAGGGCGTTGGCAGTGCTGAGGGTGAAGCAAAGGCAATAGTAGGAGTATGGGTGATCTACAAAGCAGTGTCAGTCCATGCTAGGGAGAGGTTGCGATAGCCACCCACCTCAGGGGACGGACGGGGAACTGGGGGACGCTACTGGCATGTCCTGGCCGACATTGGTGCTATATACATAACCTTGAGGCACACATCTACAAAGACTGCATATTTAAACGTCATCAAGCACACGGGAATGTAGCGACTGTTGTGGTCCGCAGGTCGGGGCGCCGATTGAGCCATCGGGTCGCACAGGGACGAAATTAGACACACGACTACGTATAGCGCTTCGCACGCGTGGACGCCGATTTCGGGGGCCGTGACTGGTGTAGAAATACAAATTCATTCCCGTCGCCGAGAGTCGGGATGGAGGAGAGTCTATAGTGCGGCGCACCTGTGGGGGGACTAGCAAGGGCTGGAATTTGCGGAACGCTGAGGAGATGAGGAGAGCTCGGCGAGATATGATATCGGCGTCGAGCGGTAGATGTAATGCCTAAGAATGTAGTTGCGGTGACGTCATTTGTACCGAAGCATCGTGCAATGGAGGAAGGTGGGAGGAAGTACTTCAAGTCCAAGGCGAGATGGTCGAAAATCGGGGTGAAGGAGATCCACGGCAGGGGTATTGAAGGGAAGCCGCAAAACAATCAACACGATGAGTTGCACAGAGTTCGAGGATCGCGAGGCATGAACACGCACCGTAGTACGCTCACTACACAAGTTCGATATCCACCAAGGGGTACTCGCCAGCCTTCAAAGCTCGAGCTAACTCGTGGGCTGCCTGAAGCGAGTGCGCGTCGGCATACCCTGGGAACTGGATGGAGAACCACCCTACCCTTCGATAGCAGGCCTTCCCGCGCTCCGCCCCTGAACGGACCTCTGGATCGACCAAAGCCACGATGAGGCCGTCCAGCGAGTATTGGTCCTGCATGAGTGGGATCGCCCACGTCTCCGTGATCTCCACGTCGGCCTCACAGTCGAATCCGGCAGTCCCGGGAAGCTTCCGCCCATCCACCTCGGCTGCCTGGTTTACATCCAGCAGGTTTTCATCAACGTCCCATTGACGCCACGCAAGTGTTTGTTCGAATGATTGAAGCTCGATAGTGCGGTGTGCCGGGGATTTGTCAGGGCGTAACACACACCGTATCAGCGGCGCGTGCAGGACGAGAATTCCGCCTGTTACCTGCCCGAACGGGAGCGCGTTATCTGCCAGCGTAACCTCGCATTGCACGACCTTCGCGAACACTACCGGAGGGGTCTTCGACAGGCGCACATGGTAACAGAAGAAGGCGCCATCGACCGCCGCCCAAGACCACGAGGGCGCGCGATAGACACTCGGGCGGCGCATGTACGTGAAGGGTTGCTTGTTCCAGAGTAGGTCGAAGACGAGTGAGCGGCGCCAGAGCCCCGCGAGGTAGTTCGTCCCCAAGATGCGGTGGAAGTGCTGTGCGACCGCGGCACACGCGACGAGCTTGTCCGACGGGACGCTCGCCGAGCGTTTGCTGTACCCTGCCATGACTTCCTCCCATGCCTCGTGTATCTGGTTCCACTCCGCGGAGTCGTGATCGGAGAGCCTGGTGTGTGGACTGGGGAGCATGATTGTGTCGGGTAGTCGTTTTTCAGACAAGACCTCGCAAAGCGAGTTACCGACGTTGTTTTGGATGGTGGTCTGGCATCTGAAATGGAGGGTCTTGGAGGTGAAGATAAGAACGCGCGGGGAAAGCAGGTACTCTTGCATGCACCATGCACGCGTCGTAATGGGCCCGTTGTCAGCGCTGTATAGCCATGAGTCTGGCGTGTTCGTGACTTCTGTGTGTGAGTAATGCGGAGTGATGTGTATCGTGCCCACTTGCTGAGTCGTCGCGGATACAGCTTCGGCGTGATCGCCGGGGTCACCAGCAGATTTTGGAGGAGGGCAAATGAAGGGGATGGAGAAGTCACCGCCCGTCAAGGGGTTGCTGATGTCCATCTGAGGCGGAGGCGGCCGATCCTGGAGAAAACCCTGTGTGGCCCTCTCCGCGCTGGCGGCTATAATAGTCAGGTGAGCATAGCGGTATATGTCGTGCATGTGTCCGAGCTCGTGCAACTTGTCTTCATCGGAGTCTTGGATGATACACAGGCTGTCGATCCAGAGGAACTGAAATCCGAGTGTTTGTGTGACGTAAATCGCATCGCGAATGGTCGCGGGAAGGAGGAAGGGGTCGATGCGGCGGGAGTATGTGGATATGTTGGTTGTGGTGGTTTTGTGGACTTGGTCGCCACCCCAGACGTAGCTGAGTGTGAGATATTTACCGCGGCGCCCACTGGTTGTGACTAGGCGCGGATGATTGATGTCGGTGCAGTCAATGAGACGTGTGGGGAGGAAGGGATCCGGAAATACTGAGAGAGCGATGCAGCGTTCGTGTCCATAAACACACTCATCGATATGATCCTTAACGAGAGCCAGTGCTCGAGGAGATCCAACGTCCAGGATGGGGCTTCGCATGAAGATATAGGGCGCTGCAGGATCATCTGATGAAGGAAATGTTAGCTTTGGCACGACGAGGGTGATGAGTAATATGCCAACAGACCTGGAGTTGTGTGTACCAATCCCGTCAAGACAAGCCTCGATCCGTGGGCAATCACAAGTATGCATTGGCAATTTTCAAGATGGGTCCAACGCCTTTCCTCATCAGGGGCAAGCCGTTCCACGTAGCTGCCCACAGTGAGCTCGAACGTATCCGGCCACGTTGCAGGATCGTAAACTGGTTCCGTCCGAATGGCTGCCGCTAGAAATCGACACAATACGCAACCCGCGAAGGCACGGGAGTCCAGATCTGGCAATGAGGTCCAGTACGAATAGGACTCTGGCCACTGGTCGTCGAGCAGATGTTCGTCCCCGGATGGCGTATAGGTTAGTCCGAATTGCATCGCGAAGGGTCCCTCCCAGCAAACTTGGCAGATAGACGACGGCCTAGGAGACAAGGTACATTCACCGACACGTTCTTCGGAAAGGAAGGGAGGCAGCTGAGAGTTCGGGATATCCATGGAGATCAAGTGGGGTGGCGGCGGTGCCTGGCAATATGTATCGAAAGTGAGTGAGTGAGCGATGAAGAGAGCGAAGAAAGCGGATGTCCTTTCTGTTATTTATCATCCCCATAGCGGCTGTCCATGATCTTTGGGGCGATGGGAAGTGTCTTCAGGCATTCCAAGCGAGCGAAGGTGCTGTACTGATTCCAGTGCCTGTCATGTCATAAAATCGTTTACCGTGGGAGACGAAGCGGGGCGCGGGTGTTCACGGGCGCGGAGCAATGGAATCTGGATAGCCCCGTCTTAACACGCTGATGTGTAGTGCAAATATAATAGACCATGCATCAAGCTGAAAGCTGAAAGTCCAAAGTTAGCAGCAGAGAAAGGGCGCGAACTTGTCGAATACACGCACCGTGTACCTACACTAGCTCGATGCTCACTGAAGGGTACTCATTGGCCTTCAGAGCACGGATGACCTCGCGCGCCGCTTTCTGCGCATCCCCTTCGTTTTCCAGCCAGTCCATGAAGCTCACGGAAAACCACCCAACCCTACGGTAGCTGACCTTCCCACTGCGCAAGTCTGGTCCTAAAGGGTTCTTCGGATGAGCAAGTGTGACAACGAGGCCAGTCGTTGAGCTTTTATCCAGCAGAATAGGGACGGCCCACGTCTCCTCTGTCCCCGCGTCAGCTTCACAATCGAATGCTGCCGTCCCGGAAAGCAACGGCCCATCTACCTTGGCGAGTCCGTCTGCGGGATGCGAGCTATCGCCGACCCCCTGCTCGTACCGCGCTTGTTGAACAGACTGCAACGCGATCTCGCGATGCTCGGGGGAATGGCTGGGGAGCAACGAGCAGCGTATCAACGGTGCGCACAGGACGAGGGACCCGCCCGTCACCCGCCCAAACGGGACCGTGGTGTCCTCGAGCGCGACCTCGCACCTCTCCACCTTCGCGATCTCCACCAGAGAGGCCTTCGACGGGGGTGTCACGCGGTGGCAGATGAACTGTCCGTCCACCGCCGCCCACGACCACGACGGCGCGCGGTAGCCCTCGGGGCGGTGCATCCACGTAAACGGGTCCTTGGACCAGAGCAGGTCGAGCAGGAGGCTGTGGCGCCATAGACCCGCGAGATAGTCGGACCCGAGGACGCTGTGGAACTGCTGCGCGACCGCCGCGCACGCGACGAGCTTGTCCGACGGAACGGTGGCCATGCGGCGGCTATACTCCTCCACAATTTGTTGCCACACACCGTGCATCTCAGCCCACTCCGCGGAGCCGGGGCATGCGAGCGCGGCGGGCGGACCGGGGCGTAAGAGGGCGTCGGGCATGCGCCGTTCTTGCAGGATCTCACAAAGCGAATTGCGGACGTTGCTCTGGGTTGTGGTCTGACACCGGAATTGAAGCGTGCGGGAGGTGAAGATGAGTACGCGCGGGGACATTAGGTACTCTTGCATGCACCATGCGCGTGTCGTGACGGGTCCGAGGTCGCCACTGTACAGCCAGGCGTGCGGAGAATCGACGTGTTCCGTATGCGAGTGGTGTGGGGTGATGTGTATCGTGCCGACTTTTGGTAGTACTGTCATCCCAGCGCGCTCGGGAGCAACGGGAGGTGGAGGGCAAATGAATGGAACAGTAATGTCGCCGCCAGACAAAGGGTCGTTGAGGTCCATCTGGGGCGGAGGTTGCCGATCTTGGAGAAAACCCTCGCTGACCTTCTGGGCGCTGGCGGCTATGATAGTCAGATGCGCATAGCGGTATGTGTGATGCATGCGCCCGATCTCGTGAAGCTTGTCCTCGCCCGAGTCTTGGATGATGCAGAGACTGTCGACCCAGAGATACTGGAACCCCAAAGTGCGTGTTACGTAGATCGCATTGCGGATGGTCGCGGGAAGGAGGGAAGGGTCAATACCACACGTATATGCGGATATGTTGGACAAGGTCGTCTTATGGACTTGATCGCCGCCCCAAACATAGCTGAGTGTGACGTATCTACCGCGACGGCCGCTTGTCGAGACCAAACGTGGGTGGTTGAGATCGGTGCAGTCGATGAGACGTGTGGGGAGCAGAGGATCAGGAGAAACCGAGAGAGCGATGCAGCGTTTGTGCTTATGAACGCACTCGTCGATGTGCTCTTTTGCGAGAGCCAGTGCGCGTTTGGAGCCAACGTCGAGGATGGGGCTTCGCATGAAGATGTGGGGAGCCGCCGGATCATCTGTTTACTCCCATCAACATTTGGGCCAGCGCGGATCAATAGCCTAAGGACATTGTAGAGTGAAGTGCATCCCAACTCACCTGGAGCCGTATGTACGATTCCTATGAAAATCGGTGATTTGTCTGTGACGACGAATATGCATTGACTGTTCTTGAGTGCAGTCTGATTCTCGTCAGTGTCTTCTTCCACATACGCCCCCACCGTGAGGTTAAACGGCACATCCCATGACGCAGGGTCGTATGTAGGCTCTGTCCTGATCGCTGCATTCAGAAATTGACACCATGTACAACCGTCAAGGGCCCGGGCCTCCATCGCAGCTAAAGTGGTCGAGTAGGAGTAGGATTTTGGCCATCCCCTGTAGAAAATCTGATCACCCTGGGGTGGGCCGCAGGGTAGTCCGACATGTATTGCGAATGGGCCCTCCCAGCAGACCTTGCAGATGGAAGAAGATCTAGGAGGGAGCGATTTCTCGTCGACATCACCCTCGGCGGATACGGATGATACTCGACAGAGGGTGGGATCCATATTCGTCGCAGGAAGAGAGGACTAGAGAGAGATGTCTGTCAGAACAATTCAAAGTCATGAGAGGAGATCAGCCCCATGCTTACTGCGGTCGATGAGGCTCAAACAACATCTACTCAGCGAGTGGTAAGAACACTATTTCCACCGGACCAAGCCGGGCCTCTGAGGCCTTTCAGTGTGGCGTATGTGTGTCGTGCTCCAGACGTAGCAGTCCGTGTCGTGCTCGAGCCAGAAGATCATATGCGGATTCGAATGCCAGTGCATGGATGATGCTGCTGAGCGGAAGGTGTGTTGTCAAAAGTTTGGGCGCGGAAAGGCAGCGGGGTGGGAGTCGATCATTTCCATTTAGGGAAGCTTTCGAAAGAATAAGGAGTCCGGCCCGAAACAAACTCTTCCCAATCCGGGCCAATTCAGACGGGCGCACTGGCAGTCTTGCCGCTTCTCCCCTCTGTCGCGGCACTCGTCTGGACCTCCCACCATTATTACACGATCTGTCAACGGCTTTTAGTCTTTGGGATTATCGCCCATGTTGAAGTAGCGGTGAGTCGTGACTGGGCAGACCGATGTCGCTCTTGGTACTGCTCGCGACTCGTCGGAGCGAACTGTTAACCAGTCGCGTACCGGCCACTCTATCCCTGTCAATCGAATCAAGGTACGCCGAATTTGCATATTTGCATAAGCAATAGAAGGCTCAATCTATGTGCAAAGTCGCCAAGGGCATGGCTAGCTAAAATGCTCAGCCTGAGCTCGTTTGTCTGCAAGTCTGAGCCAACGTAGGCCAACCATTATAATAAACGTCAAGGCCCTCTCGAGTTGATCACCGCCAAGCTCCAAAATCCCTATCCTACCCCCGCCCTGGCGCACCTCTTCACGTTATTCTCGAATAGGCATTGCATTGTCCGGACCGACATCGTCATGTCCCTCAGCGCTTTTCTCGTGGCTAAGTTCGACACGCGTCAAGGGTGTGACCCATTGTCCTCCGTGACGATGCTTCGAATATAAAGCAGGCGATACCCCGCCGATCTCTCTTCTTCCTCCCACTACAGCCATATCCACCAGCCTACACATCCGTGTTTACGATCAAGTTTGAGCTCAAAACAGTATGTTTTGGACAATTGCACACCCGCGCGCGACTCTGACTGATATCATCCACAGGTCTGTCGACTACTACGATATTCATGGACGTAGAAGGACGCTTGCGCTTCACGCGCTACACCGTCAAGCGCGATCCAAATGGCGTCGTAATCCAAAAGAGCAACCCGTACCGCGGCCTGCGCGCGCCCAACGGCTTCATCTGGGCCCACTTCGTTAACGAGTTCGTCTACATCCCGCGCGTCCCGAGTGTACGCAACTACGTCACCACCTGGTCCCGGAGTATGGTCAAGGCTCTCGGCGAGAACTACGACGAGATCGAGGGCCTATGGCACACCCCGCTCGTGCCCCCGCGCCTCATTCGACCCTGGCCTGTGCTGAAGCTTCCCCCTGGTCACCCTGCTCAGCCCGAGCCCCCGCTCGGCGCGATCGATGAAGGATGCAAGTGGGAGCATTCGGATTTCATGTGCTACTCTATCCGCGCGGATAGCTCTGATGACCCGGACTGTGACCCGGCCAAGAGCCTTTCGGTGTACACTCGGCTTGTGCCGCGTCGCTGCCCTTCCGATCCTTCTGAGGAATGTTCAGGGCGAGTCGTGTTCAACGAAGACGTCGATTCCGCCAACGACGGTCAAGATATGCGATACGACTTCCTGTGGTGCAAGCACTTCAAGTCACGGCTGGACGCGGAGGACATCGAAGACAGTCACCGCTCCATAGCTCGGGCTATCACGGAGTTGACCGTAAAAGGAGTCATTGCTGACGGCAACGGCGGACAAATCATAAACAAACCTCAATTCACCACTGATGACGGCCAACCTAGCACACTGACCATAGACAAGTCCCTCTACAAGATCAGGGTGCGAACTTCATCCTGCATTTCGACGCCCGAATCCGGCATATCGACCTCCAGCTCTCCCTTCCAGTCGCCCAGGCTCGACCCTGACACCTTGGGAGAATTGCTCGCATCTGCCGATACCGCGGTTGCCCAGGAGGAGGGTACTGCGACAACGCAGGATACAATGTCGATCGAGGCTCTTGACCTCAACGCGGACGCAAGTTCCAGTACAGACCAGACAGCAACATCAAAGGAGGCTTTGCCTGAAATCGACCCGTTCTCAATCGATGGCCTTCCGAAGCTGGAAGAGTTCCTCCCCGACGGCTTCCTCCCCGACATCCTCCTCGTGCACGACCCCGACCGCGCCACCCGGCATCGGCAAGCGGCGAGCGAGCCCGTGAAGTACAAGCGCGTCACCTACCAGCTTCCGAACGCCGCCAACATCGATGTAACTGAAGCGAAGACGGAGGCTCATGTCGCGCACCTCCATTTGCGCGAGACCAACCGCCTCGGGACCGGCCACCACTCAAAAGTCTACTCCGCCCCGTTCACGCTCCCACCGCCGCTCTCCGCGCACTCGCGCACGGGGCAGGTCACGGTCGCGGCGAAGCTCGCGTTCCCGCACTGCACCGCGCACACGCTGCTGCACAACGAGGCGCGCACCTACGCGCAGTTCCCGAAGCACTTGCAGGAGGAGTACTGTGGGTTCAACGTCGTGCCGCCGTGCCGCTTCCCTGTACCCGTCGGGCCGGTCGTGCCCAAGTGCTTCGGGTTCTACCTCCCGGTCGGGGAGGACGGGAACGTGATCTGGCGAGAGGAGGAGGGCGCTAAGCACAGCGAGTGTTCGGAGAGCCGGCCTTGCAAGGTCAAGTGGCTCTCGCCCATTTTGCTCATGGAGCAGTGCGGCGAACCCGTCCTGCCGGAAATGTTCACCGTCGACCAAAGGTACGTCCACGCTCCCGCGCGCCGCGTCTCTCGATCTGTGTTGCTTACTGTCCATCTTACTAGGACGGAGGTCTTTTCGCTCGTGCTCCGCCTGCACGACCTGCACATCACGCAGGGCTCGTTCTACGTGCGCAACATCATGATCCAGCCGGGCCCGCTCTCGTTCCCGCGCGCGCACCGCTCGTTCAAGCGCCCGAGCTTCCGCATCATCGACTTCGGGCGGGCGCGCTGCCTCGATTTGCTCCTCGCGGGCAAAGAGGAGAGCAGGCGCGGGGGTTACATCACGGACTTGCAGAGGGCGCTATGGGACGAGGAGAAGCAGGCGCGCGATGAGCTGTTGATCGAGGACTGCGGGTTCTGAAAGCTGAATGAGTGATGAGTGAAGGTGCAGAACACGTAGAGGGGTAGGTTGCGTGTGCTACTGTTCGCGATGTCTGTTGGTGTGCTAGTACGATCATGTTTGTGGCGAAGTTCTGAATGGCGATTCGGCAGTGTGTTTCCTATATGAAGTCTGAGCCTCGTCGCGATGTGCACAACTTACAAACTAACCCATTCCGATTGCGAGTGAACATGGCAACGAGGTTTCCGGCCATGGAAGTGACGTCAACCCATCCAGGGCGAACATTTACGCCCACCACAAGCAACTCCACGGGATGGCTGCGCCCCTTGCGAGGCCCCGTCTTGGCATACGCATGCGGCGTGCCAACCGTGGCAGTGATAGCGATGCACGCGATCGGCCTCCACAGACACTACATATACCTCCGTGTGCGAAGAAAGCGGAGCACACGACTCTTCCCCCACGATGACCGATTCTACGAGCAACAACAACGGCAAGTCTGAGGGGTGGTTTGGCAGCTTGGGGGACAAGGTAGCGCACACAGATGATGCCTTGAACTTGGCTACTGACAGCCCGCGAAGGTGAACGCAATGGCGGGCGGAGGCGCCTCGAGCGAGACCAAGGAGGACAAGCTCGACAAGTGTGAGTCTGGATCGTCCGAGCTCTCGCGCGTGCGTGCTCATAAGCGTCGCAGCGATCGACTGGGTGCAGGAGCACGTCCTTGGCCAGGGCAAGCAGGACAACGAGAGCGCGACGGAGCAGTTCAAGGACGAGCAGATGAGCGACTTCCTCCGGCGGGAGTACAAGAGCGCCACAGGGTCGGACTTCTTCGTGAAGGACAAGTCGTAGACGCGGCGGGCGCGTGCGCGTGCGAGGGGACACTGAGCAGAAGGAGATATCAAACCTGTACACTAACGTTACCATGAAGCACTATACTTAAGTGCTGCTTCCCATCTTCGACCTAAAATGCGACAGCGGCAACCGGAGGGTGAGGTTGCCGGTCAGCTTTAATGCTACAAGAAAGTTACACTTCGTAGGGTCCCGTCCCAGGGCCTGATTGACTTCTAGCGTGGGCGACCCGCCCGGTCACGCGAACATCTTCTTGAACTGCGCCTTCTCCTTGTCGCGCTTGCCCCGTAGACGACCGCGAACTTTCTCGAGCTCACCAATGATCGCCTGGTCCTCCTTCACGAGCGCGTGTGCCTTGACCAGCGCCTCCTCCGCCTCGTCGTCCTCCTTAAGCACGACGTGTGCCAGTGCTTCACGGTAAAGCGCCTTAGCTGTTAGCAGACGGTGGTTCCGAGTCAGCCGGGGAGGTCATAGAGCGCGCGCGGGGAACAACACGAACCCTTGTCCGCGTCATTAAGTGCGAGCGTAGCGATGGCGCGATCGGTAACGCGAAGGGCGAGACGCGCGTTGGGAGCGCCGCCCGCGCGTATCGCCGCCAGTGCGGAGTTGAGCAGGAGAGGCGCGAGCAGCGCCTGGAAGGAGTCCTTGAGCTCTGGGGGAGTGTCCTCGGGGAGCTGGATGTGGCAGTCTAGGTACCGGATCGCCTCTGCGGAACACGAGCGCCGCACGTCAGCGGACGAGCGGGAAATAAGCAGGCCGCCGCGAACACGTACTCTGGTACTTGCGAAGCGCCTCTTCGTGTTTGCCTTCCTTGAACAGCTTATTTCCGACCTCCCTGACCGAGCGCGCGATCTTAAGCGCGGCCTCGGGGCTAGCGAGCACGTCTTGACCGTCCACCGGGTCCTGGTCTTCCGGGTAGTCCTCATACACGTCGCCGTCCGCCACGGCAGGCTCGGCGAGCGACGGGTCGTCCGGGGACAGCTCTCCACAGTCCGCGATGACGCAGGGCTCGACGGGGACGTCGCCGCTCGCGGTCTCGGTGTTCTCGACCGCACGCACGATGGACTTTCCGCGCAGGACCTCGCCGAAGACAACGTGCTTATTGTCGAGGTGGGGCGTGGCGTTGCAGGTGATGAAGAATTGCGAGCCGTTCGTGTTCGCGCCGGCGTTGGCCTGGAGCAGGGTTCGGATCGCATATGGCAGGACTGAACTCGGATGTACGCACCATGGAAAGGAGGAAACGCTTCGAGTGCTTCACTTCGAAGTTCTCGTCCTCAAACTTCTCGCCGTAGATGGACTCGCCGCCGGTACCGTTCCCTGCGGTGAAGTCGCCACCCTGGATCATGAAGCTATTCCATGCGTAAGCACCAGAAAATATATGGGTCTAGTTGTAACGCGACGTACCCCTTGATTACGCGATGGAACGAGCATCCCTTGAAGTGGAGAGGCTTTCCAGCACTCCCTTCACCCTTCTCTCCCGTGCACAGCGCACCTGCTCACGATTAGACTATGCGCGTCAGATACATACGCATGGATACATACGGAAGTTCTCTGCAGTTTTTGGTACAATATCGTTGTACAGCTGCATGACGATCCGTCCGGCCGGTCTACCTCCGATGGTAATGTCGAAGAACACGAGGGGCCTCGTCGACGCCATAGTGGATGCTAAGAATATTTCAGAGGTTCGTGGAGTAGATTGCGAGAGTAGTCAAGATGCGATGGTGGTTGGAGGAAACACATTTTGAGCATTGCGATGGGCGCGTTTCGAGAAAGTGCGAGAATGAGGCCGAATGCTTCCAAATCGGGGCAAAGGCTTCCCGGCCCGGTACATCCGCACAAGTGTCATTCCGTAAAAGGCAAGGCAATCATACTTCGCGCGCTGTGTCGCGCGGCGAGCATTCACAGGGACCGCAAACAGCACAAAAAAAGCAACAGTATTTTTTGTAGGTGCCTTCATATTATATATTTACATTTACGTAGGTCTCTGAGCCATATAGATCTTGCTGAGGGGTTAGATGATAACATCTGTTGAACTCAGAGCCTGGAGACTACCTGGAGACATACCAAGTACCGTTGTGTTCGCAATCACAATGCCATACTACACTCACTCATGGATTCATAAACTCCCGAATACGTAATTGGAGAGGGCCTGTATAGCTTCCGAAGGCTGCCAAGACACCGTGCCGGGCCCACAGGACGTGGTGATCCCGCTCCATGTCCATCGCCGGGGCTATGTACACCTCCGCATGGTGCACACATAGATACCCACTGCGTCTACTGTCCGCTGCGACATGTGCAGAGCCTATAATAGGTGCCATATGGGAGCTGCGTGCAAGAATGGCGTATGGGGCACCGCGCAGTGGCGACCGCGTCTAAACTTGCCGATAAGCCGAGACGCCTTCCAAATGGGGACCTCCATGTGGGCTGGAAATTAAACGAATTTGACCTGATTGTCCTCGTACCAAACCTCCGACTCTCGGCTGGTACTCTGTTTCGTGCATCTGTCTGTTCTCTGCGGTACCTACTGTCGTGGACGACGGATCGACGCCACGAATCTCGACGATGACCTGTGGGTACCTCCGCGGCGGCAGCAGTCTTACAGCGCTCTCAGCGGTACGTGCGGCATGGGAAAGCGCAGTGCTTCTTGACCGATGTTCCTCATGGTCATCAACTCTACCTGGGATCTTGTCCGCCTTGGTGCCTGCCCGACCACGCGCGATGCCTGCACGCCATGGCCTTCTCTATAGTTTCATGATCAGCCACAGAGATCTCGCTCGGAGACCACGCGATGACTCAACACGATTGGGTGGTCCACAGCCTAGTGGTATCAAGGGAAGATGTGTTGTAGATGACGCCGGACGTCTCACCAACAACACGCGGAGCTGGATATAACTAGCCACATGCGGCGTGTTGGTGCAGCACGACGCCCCTCGAGTCATCGACTCGCCACCACCACCATGGACGCAGGCCTTCCGCAGTACGAACGCTCTCCGTTGGCTCGTTCTAGCACTTCATCCGCATCTCGTGGTGTGCGCCCACCGACGGAACATCTATACCATCGATTCACCTCGTCTAAGGGTCAACCCTGGCTGACCCTTAAGGTCGCTAGCAAGGCTCCTGCTTCCAGCTATCTTCCCGCTTTTTATCAGGGCGAAGCTATAACTGGTAGCGTCGTCCTATGTCTAGACCGGGAAGAGACCATCAAGTCAGTATCTGTACAAGTAAGCAAAAATACTATCGCACCAACTTTTACTTTCACTTACTTACGTCGATTTGCACGTCGGTGGACAGCTTTTCGGGCAAATGACTTCCTCCACCACGGATGTCCTCAATTTCCTCCAAATATCTCAGGTTCTGTGGCCCCCGTCTTCGTCTTCGGCGCTTCAGAACAGCTCCCAGAGTACCGCTAATCCGGGAAAGCTATCTGGGGAACACAGTTGGCCGTTTTCACTCACCTTACCCGAATCGTGTCTCCTCAAGTCGCCAAACGGGCTAGATCAATCGTATTCCCTGCCGGCATCGTTCTCGGAGCGCATGGCCAGGGTTCACATTCAGTATCAAATTGTGGTGACAGTACATCGAAGCAGATTCCGGGTGGATAGTACGTGAGTACCCTAGATATTGCTTAGTTGCCGTCTGCGTACTGAGTTACCCTAGCCTTGGCACCGTCGTCGGCTACTGCCCCAAAATCCAACCAGGCGCGCCATCGCTAGCACGCCAGATTGCCTATCTGGAGAATAGCCCGTTAATCGGTCCTGACGGAGATCCAGATGGCTGGCAACTCCTCGAGCCTCTCCGCATCAACGGCTCAGTCTTCTCCACTCGTTCCGTAGAGGCCACCTGTACGGTAAGCTCATGTACAAGAGAATCAGGTCGTGTCTATATACTAAAACTGTATTTCCGGTGTGTAGCTCGCGTTAGCTAAACCCGTGGGTTCACCGGTCGCTTTTTGGACTTGATCGTGCCGACCTTGACGTCGCCAAACAGCTGTGTTATACGCGGGGAAGCGTCATACCCTGCCTTATGACGATCGAGACCACCGATCCTCAGGCCCTAGACCTCCTTTCTGCACCGCGGAGCCCAGTCGTCCGATTGCTGCGGCGAATTTCCACGCCGGACACCACGGCTGGCTCCGCTGGCACGAAAACGCTTCCGGGCTTGGAGTTCGAGAGCAGTAGCCAGGAGGTGACCGCCGCAGTGTGGTGGTCCGAACATGCAAGGGACCCGAGAAGCCCTCAGAGGAGGGTGCTGCACGGGGAGATCCATCTCTCGCCCGGGCTGAAGCCCACCAGCAGATTGGGCAAGTTCGAGCTCTCAGTGAGTGTTACGCCACCATCCTTGCGTTACCTGCTTCCCACCCTGCACGCGTGCCTAGTACTCGGTCGCCGTCTACCCTCCGAGGGCGGTCGCATTCCTGCCCGATGGCGGCGCGGAGGCGGTGCTCCAGAGCGAATGCGTGGTCATTGGCACCGTCTACGCCGCTGGGCCCAGGCCGAGAATCCACTCCCCTCCTGGATACGATGATGCGAGTTCAACGGGTCAGGCCTCCGAGTTTCGTCTCTTCCGGCGATAAAGCTGAAGCGCGCAGCGGACCACGCTGCGCGTCCCGCTTTCTGCCTCGTGTTGATATTAGGTCTCTTGTAATCCATCCGCTTTTGTTGGCCTTCCACTTCAAGCTCAGCCACCATTCTGCCCTGTGATCTCATAGGGCTGGGGCGGTACTCGTTTACTCACACGTCTCCGGAGGCTCTGAGTCCTTCCGCCCTATTCGGCGGCAAACACTGCGCCCGGAGTGCTAATTACTCTGTAGGTACGGGCCGGGCCTTCTTGCTCAATTTGTCAGGCTTCCTTCTGAAAGGCCACTTTTAGGATCCAACAGGGCCTCCTTCTCTGAGACGTAATCCTCATCGTGCGCCCCGACGTACTGCCCGGTCCCGAGGAGCGCGACGGCTTCGCGCAGGGGCGCGCCGGGCTTTCCTTTCGTGCGTATTCTCGCCTCCAGCCACGCCCCCATGTGTCGTAAGCGCCCCGGGGCACGCGCACCCCGTATCCGAACAGCAATTTGCGTCGTGCCCGTTTTCGACGGACTCGGCAGCTCTATCGCATCTTCAGCAGGTGAGTTCTTCTAGGAAGGGCAACTCATATACAAGCTGACAACACAGATCAGATTCGGGGCATTCACCGTCGGAACGCAAGAGATGCGCTGGATCTCGCTGTCCGACACCTTCGATCGCGTGGCACGCCTGCTCGGGGTGCATCTCCGGGTGGGTGCGGCGGCGGCCCTGGATGAGGTCCGAGAACTAGTGTCGGCGCTGCCCCTCCCCTCTGCGCACTGTGCGTCATCCGCTGGCGTTATGGTTTCCGTGATGCACATGCAGACGCGGAGGCAGGGTCCGCGGACGCGGTGGCGTGAAATGGTCCTGTCTCGGCCGAGTGGGCGAATACGCAGCCAACGCTCCCGAACATGTGCGCTGCCGCCGTGCCGTCCCTTGTAGCTGCAAATTTACCAAATCCATCTTCACTACGTATCCGCCGTGCCGGTTGAGGTACGTCCAGATGTCTGCAGATTTTTCGCTTCCGGGCGACATGCCTCATCGTGTACAAGCAGATCTGAGCAGTCGCCGGATCTTATTCGACATGGCAGGGCACATGTGTGCCCCACAACCCCGGCGGCGCTGCGAGCGCCCTCCCTGAGGAATCTAAAGTGACAAATGCAGCGACGCCAGCACAGACTCAGAGGTATGCGGGGCGCCAAAGGATGTATATAACGCCTGGCATGTCCTGGCGTCCCCCTCATCTTCTCTTCGTTTATAGTTTGCGCTACTCTACCGCATCGTACCTACTGCTAGCCATGAGCTCCCAGGCCAGTCGCGCTCTCCGCATTACTTTCCGCCCTCGGCTGACGTTTATCCAGACCGGCACCACCCAGCAGGCCGCCAACCAGGGCCAAGACTCTGACGACGACGTTTTCGACCAACCCAGAACCCCGCGACGCACGCCCATGGCATGCCTGTTCTGTCGAGGTAATAGGTCGTCTATCCGAGGACCACCGGCGCAGCCTGCTGACAGCGATGATGACTCGGCAGGCCGAAAGCTGAAATGCGACGGCCGCCCGACCTGCGCCAACTGTAACCGTCGGGGTCTCGCCTGCACTTACACTCCAATGTGAGCCGCGCGTGCGGTCTTCTTCGGTGGCGTGTACTGACTCGCAGACTTGTCCGCAGCCAGAAGTAATTTGCCTTCTGTCGCTCTTCCCCCGATCCTCTCGGCGCCGCGCCGCTACATTGTCCTATAACTTAATACCATAGATAGTTCGAGACATTATAATCAACTGTGCTACCCAGACCCGCTCATATGCCGTGAAGCTCCAACTTGTCCATAAGCCCGAGTCCAAGAGAACGAAGAGCGCGGACGGGACAACCTTCACCCGATGAAGTATCTCAAGAACCGCCGTTTACCGACGGCGGAGACAGGCATCGGGGAGTCTAAATCATCGCGGAATAGCACGGGCGTGAAGATGGCCACTGAAAGAAGCACCCTCGCGGAGATGTTTAGCGATCGAGGAACGACGAAAGAACGGCACAGCTTACCGAGGCGCTCGACCTTGCCCGTAAACGACTCTTGCTGCCCGACAAAGTGCAGAAACGCCGTCAGCGAAATCCAGACCTGATCCATGTGGAGTGAATGTTTCATGAGCGCTCGTAACCGTGAGTGGATAAACGGATCTTACGTTTACGTTGACCACGGGGAGTGCATCGAGGAGCTGCGGCGGCGTCAGTGAGGCGCAACACTGGTATACGAGCGTGCACATGATGCGAATACCTCGAACGCCTCGTCTCTGCTTGTCATCTCGGCGCACTTTGCGTGCAGTACGGCGGGGATCACCGGCTCGACGAAAGACGCCAAGAGCTGGAGGAGCGCATCGGCGAACGCCAGCGCCGTCTTGGGTCCGCTCTCAGGTCCGTCGACTGTGAACTCCGCGCCTGTATCAAGGCTCTGCGTCGCGCTGTTAGAACGGCATGCGCTGGGCAAACAAACCAAACCCCGACCTCACGAATCTGTTGCACGACGTGCTCGTCTCCCCGCGCTAAGAATATCTCATCCTACGTATTCGGAGCATTAAAATCGCCGGTAAACGCTCCTAGAATATTAATGGCACTCACAGCTTCAGTGGCATTGCTCATGAGCCAGTTCACGAGGCGCATAATTTCGCGGGGAGCGTTGACACCTCTGTCTTCGGAGAGCAGGTCGCTCGGCGACTTCAGCTGCCTGACAGGTCCGGGTAATCGGACAAGCCAAGCGAGGCTTGTCGCGAAACATGTGCGCTCTGCGTCCGCCGATCAGGACGAGCCTCATGCGAGATAGAAGCTGAGTTGGTGGTACCATATTCTCCGCCTATCGCCACAAAATGGTCTCTTCCGAGAGCCGTGTGGATGACCAGCGTCTCCTCTAGCCGGGTCGAGCCCATGTTCATCTGGGCCGCGACGTCGTCATCTATGAACACCGTCAAAGACACCTGGGCCTTTTCCCCAGGGAGCACTAGGCCCTAAGATAGCTGTTAGTCGAGGTCGAGTACCCCTGACGGCGTAGACCACAAACCGCCATAGCATCGATGCGCAGCCATCCGGGGCCTTGGGAAACCACGATGATAAATTTACTGGCCGCCGTGTGGTGCTGCAGCGTTACTCACATGATGTTGAACCAGGAGCCTGAGGGACGAAGCGGTACACGCACGGGACCTGCCGTAGGCAATGTTAAACGGTTGATGATCATTCTACAGCACGCCAGACCACCTACCTTTCCGGTATTTTCGATTTCCAGCGTTCTTACTACAGGGCGCTTGTATCTGGAATTATTCCCCATGGGTATCACTGCGAGCTGCCAAAAGTACACAAGAAACACGTACGAGACTAGGGAGAAATCGATGTTCGTCGGCCCAACCCGCACGCGCGGCCGCTCCTCCACGTATTCCGCGCTTGAAACATCGCGCCAGATGCGCTCTACGAAGGTTTCATATTCTGGGAGGGAGACCACGGGGACCTGCACCGCAAAAAGCGCAGCGTTTGAGCTCGGCAGACAGACAGGAGGACGGACCGCGGCACAGTCTGGTGCCTTGGGCGGATAGAAACTAGCATACGCCGTTCCGGAGGTCTTGGGCCCGGTGAAAGGAGAGGAAGAGACGTACCTGGACTTCGAATCCGGCACTCACGGGTCGGTGGTCGCTCATAGTGATGGTCGAGTGGCTGCTGTAGGACGCCTGTTTCACCGTCACCGCCGATGATGCCATGTGCAATATGCGGTCTGTCCAGGCTGGCTTCCGCCTGAGACGGAGGCATCAGCCACGTTTAGAGCGGTGGAGCAGGGCCGGCGGCTTGACAAGAGCCTTGGACGCACTTGACATCGTACCCCAAGCGGTCCGCCAACAACCCAGCGCCAAAGCGATACGAGCTGACGGCATAATTCAAACGTGAGCAGACATGATCGAAAGCTCCGCGAGCGCGTCTGGCGAAACTTACGGTGGATGCGATATGGGATACTCCACAAAGTCTTCAAACGCCTTTCGGCTGCGCCTCGAAAGGGAGAGCTGTGTATCGAGATTGGGTGCAAGCGTCAGCTCGGGACGCACACCGTGACACTCAACGTAATGGCGGCCGCACCTGATCGTACCTTCGTAGAATCGCTAGATTCTCATCCCTCAAGGTCTCGGATGCTAGCAAGTTCCGCACGTCGGCATCCGAGCAATTGATTCGGTAGTTCAGGTCTATGCCTGCAAGTTAGCGCATGTCGTGGTCACAAGGCTCTCCAGCCTCAGACAGCGCACATACCACCCTAAGTGCGAGCGCGATTAGTTTGAAATGCCCAGACGGCATCTCGATAAAGAGTGGCACTGCGAAATATATATAAACACGCACTAGCCAAAAAAGCACGTCCGTCTCAAATATATTCAACTGCACAGTCGATGGCCCATAGCCGCCGTTCGGCGCTGTCGAGTCGTCCGCCGGGATCCCGGAGTCAAACTGAAGCCTCTTTGATAGGTCGTGGAAATCCGCATTACGCTTCTCGAACATCTCGTCAAACGCCGCGAGATGCGTGTTGACAAAGGTCAATGTGGCAGGTTTTCCCTCGTACTCCCCGGCGCTGGCCGGGAACGGCGTCGGTGTGAACAGAAGCCGGACCGCAGTGGCGCCCTTGTTGCCCTGAAATTGCACACATCTTCAGACGCACACACATGGCGTAAAACAAATAAAACACACCATGATGCCCATAATACCCGCACCCACGGAGGATGTCATAATCTCGCTAAAGCAGGCGTGTAGACGCTTCTTGATGACGATTACGAGCAACATGCCGACCAACTGTTTAGACACAAGCTGTGCCATGCGCAGGAACAACAACATTAGCGCAGGGTCGCACGGTGGTCCAACTGCGAACACACGGCAAGAGAACCTGGCGCCTACCTTTTCGTACAGGACGGCCTTCTCTCCTAGCCCTGCGAACACGGCCATACACCATGCATCCTCGCGGACAGTTTTCGTGGAATAAAGCAATGCCTCTGTGGACAGATCAAGTTCCTGGAAGCCGAGCACAAGCATGTCGGGATCGTTGTGATCCTCCAAGACGTTCGAAGGGGCGGCGGTTTCCTCAGATGTTGCATCCACCGGTACTTCGACAAATGTTCCACCCTCCGAGGCCAATGACAATGATTTAGAGTGCGACGCATCGTGTCCCTGAGAGGCTTCGCTGATGTCGATGGCCTCTGGAAAGTAGACCAGATGTTCAATGCATGTGCATGGAAGATACCAAAGCCAAGACACGAACCCATCCGCTCCTCGATAGGGTCCTTCTTTCCATCGCCAAGGGAGAGAGGCGAGAAGTCTTGGATCGGCGGAATGAATGTCGACGCCGGACGCTCGAACTGCCCCCGCACCCATGCCGAAAGGTCCTGTGAAGGAAGTTTTCCGTTCACATTGAACGTTCCGACGCGGATCCTGTAGCGGTCAGCACGGTCAGCACGTCCGCGTACACTCGAGGGCAGGTAAGCAGGCACCTGAGCTCCGCCTTCTCGCATCGCGCGAACACATCTTCCTCGACCTTCGTGCGCATCCAATCTTCGCGAACCATCTCTATATCTGCGATATCGTTCCCGGGCAGGCCGGCGCTCGCCGCCGACAGGCGGACGTGCGTCGGCTTCCTGATCTTCCGCAGATCAGGGGGGATGGGCGACACTGACACCGCGTCGGTGAACTTTCGTGCGCGCGTAAATGGGAAGGCGGCGACGTACGGAGCGGCGGCAACGCGTTGTCCGCGAGGTAGGGCCCCAGCCACGCGAACGGCTCGAAGTCGTAGTCATCGTCCGTCTCCGTCGCTGCAGCCGATCAGGTGTCGGGTGGCGGCAAAGAAGCGGTAAGCACGCACCCAAGGCTTCTTTGAGGCGCCGGCATTCCACCAACACTTGGCGCAGACCGGGGATGTCGTTCGTCTGGAGGGCGATAGAGTGAAACGGGCTGCCTTGTCCGGGATTGATAGTCACCGTGAGCTCTGGGAAGGGCGGTATGGGACGATTAGACTGCGCCCAGACACTCGCACGACTGGCTTACCCGTTCTCGCCTGACTGGGGGTGAGCGTCCCGCCAGGCGGCGGCGAAGACAAGTCCATGGTCGCCCTACGCGGCTGCGACATGGAAATGGAAAAATCGTCCACTACCGGGAACGCATGTTCTACCAAGAACTGCCCTGAGATAGCGTGTATTTGCGGCGGCTTCTCGCTGAGTACAAAGACACTACGTGAACCAGCGTCAGCGGGACCGCACCAGGGAAACAACCGGTCATAAACGGGGATAAAATAGCATATAGGACATATCGGCGGATGGATGGGCGACAGAGAAGCATATGCTTAAAACATGTCCGGCGCAGTAGATTGAACAATGGCGCGCTCGAGCTCCCGTCAGCGCGGCGTGGTTACCCGAGACTCGAGGACGTCATGCTGACCACCACGAGACATCCTGTGGGTGTGCGCTCCGATTAGGATACGGATCTTCACGACTACGGACAGCTCGAGGTTAGCAAACCCGCCAGTGGCAGCGGCGTCGCTGCCGCTTGAACGGTCGGCCATGCCACCGCCCCATGTCTGCGCACGCACGCGGCAACCACACTGGAAATTTGCGAAGGTGGGCGAAGCACTGTGGATCGGACACGAAGGCCGAGGGTGCGCACCCAAACCGCCTCGAGGGCGGCGAGAACGCGGAGAGGACCCTGCGCGGCGGGCGCTAAGACGGAGGAGGAGTGAATTTAACCGCCTGACGCAGCGTATTGCGAGCAAGTCAGTCGCCTTACGGTAGCCTTGGCACGTACCGAGCTTACGGATAACTGTGCAAGTCTTGCCCCAATGTCCGAATTCACGGCCATTGCTCACGTACATGTACAGGTATGGCGCTCTCCGTTGAATCGTCGAGCATCTTCGGAGTTGGCAATAGACACGATAAGGCATCCTGTCAACCTCCACGAGATGCATGAAACAGGGCGACGCGACCTTTTCCCTCGGCACCGGCACCCCGTCGCATTGGAAACGCTGTGCGTCCGCGCCGGATTCCGCCAGTGAAGGTTCAAGCCTTGAGCTCGCGGCCGCTGGCGCGATGTTGCACCGTGAGGCGTCAGCCTGCGGCCTACTATGGCTTCTCTTGAGCCTTGAGCGTGGTCACAAGGGGTTCAAGAACTCCGCGCCAGTGTGTGCGAATCAGTGAACCGCACATCCGCCGCGATACGGGCGCTAGATCGCCTACGCGCGCGCACGAGCGGCACCTCGGTTTGCTCGTCCATGAGCGCATCGACCAAGTGACACTGCTCGACGCCGCCCGGCAGCACAGTCTTTTACGCAAGACAAGGGCGCGCGTCGAGGCTGACGCGTCGAAAGATTTGTGAAGGTCTCGTCCAACTCTCACGTCGTGCACATCCACCGCTACACTCCCTGGGCGCGCACAGCGCACATGCGGAGGACATGAGGTGGATCCTCCGCATGACACGCTGCTTGCTTCGCATGTTTACCGACCTCGCCCTCGCACACAGATCCTCTTATCTCTCAAGCGACTGGTCTTCTGACTCTCTTCACCTCCCCCGAACGCGAACGCAAGACGAACGTGTATGAACGCACTCACCATCCCTGCTCGAATTTGCCGTTCGGGCTCAGGTGCGACACCACGGCGAGGATCTTCCTCCTCTGCACTACGGGTGTGTCACTAGCACTAGACCATGTCTCGGAGTCCGTGTCGTTCCTGGGCGAAGACCGCGCCTCGATCGCGACCTTGGCCTCTTCCGTCGCCCGGATGAGGTCTTGCACGACGTCCATGGCCGCCGGTACCGCTTGCGACATCCCGAGCGATAGTTTGTTGAGCAGATTCTGTCTCCTTCGTTGTCGACGAGCTCAACTACGCAGGTTCACTAGAGGATTCGAGACGGAGGATGGTAGAATGTACTAAGTTGCTGCTCACGCATTTCGATCAAGCAGCATTGGGGGTGTCCGAGGTCCTGTACTCGGTACAAGCGCGTCTCACGCGACACGCGACCGTGCGTGCCTTTACGCACTTGTCCTTCCCGCTAGTCTCCGTTGCTAACCATAATAGACCAAGATGATAGTTGAAACGAATGTCATGACAGAGACTCCTGCAGGAGAAAGTTAGAACAACGTTACAGCACCAGCTGAGGAATTGTCTAAGGTTTGCTGCGATCGTTGCATGCCGATGATCATCCAAACGGCAAATGCCGCGCCGAATACTTGAGCGCTACACTGGCACTAGTGGGCTTCACGCACTTCTGCCACATTTGAAAGTGTCCGTTTTCTCTTGGTGAGAAAATCAGTTCTCAGGTGTCCATGTAATGAAGAGCTGCTAACCATCGTAACTTTACCAGCTTCTAGCCAGCTTGAACAGTCGTTCAAATACTTCGAAGGACCCGGAACACTGGTCCAGGGAAGACCCGGAAGAGTGCCAGCGGTCGGGAGTTGCCAGAAGGGTCGAAACTCCCACGTTTCCCCGCATAGGTCATCGGTGGCAGAGGTGGCAGAATGACCTGGCCGAGCTCCAGTCTCCGCCTCACACCATCCCTTCCCGCGAGCCGCGGCCGCGAACCTCCTAATTCTCCCGGCGGCGCACGCCACAAGGCCTTGGAGAACCCGAAGGTCGTTGTGTGCGCGCACAATCACGATGCGGCCGCCAGGACGACGCGGACAAGGGTGGGACGACGGCCGGGGGCGGCGAACGGACTAGAATGGGGACTAGAACAGGCGGGAAGGCCGCTTCGAAAGTGCCAGAACGTGACGCATGCTTTAGGCTCGGGCTGTACACTCGCCCTCCCTGCGTCACGCGAGCGCGGGGCACTCTCCAGGCTGGTGGCGCAGCTGCCCCAGGCCCGCTATATAAACCATATCACCCGCCCGCCGACGCCCCCCACTCACACACCACCCACCATCACCCAGTCGCCATCTACTACTACCACCGCCGCAGCCCCTCTCACCCTTCCTCACATCGTTCTCCTCGTCCAAGACACTCAAGCATGACTCGTACTGCACGCGCTGCCTACCCCTCCGCGGTCAACAAGGACCGCTCGGAGGCGAAGAACGGCATGGACAAGCACATCCCCAAGGGCGGCGCCGGCCCGCACAACTGGGGCCGCCTGGAGGACGAGTACGAGCTCGAGAGCGCCGCGCTCGACGACGAGCAGGCCGACTTCGAGGACACCACTGGTGTGCCCCCTCCCACTCCGCCCAATCTGCGACTGCGGTGCTGACGCGTGTGCGTAGGCCAGGTCTCGGTGAACAGCGACGCGGAGCGCCCCCCGACTGAACGGCGGGGCAGCTCGTTCACCCCCGAGGAGATCCAGCAGGGCATTGAGATCCGCAAGAAGGCGCTCAAGTCACCGGACGTCGACCTCGGCTCGATCGCGCGCACCGCGCCCGCCATCTCCACCTCGCCCTCGCAGTCGACCCCCATCGTGACCGACGCTGATGTGAGTGGCCGCAGCATCCCGTCTTCCATGCTGCGGTAGCGGTAGCTGATGTGTGCTGCAGACCAACAAGACCGTTTGAATGAGGGAGATACTGTATAGGATATAGACAGGGACGCTGTCGCAACATAATCGGGAAGAATCGAACGTCGAACGTGTAGTGTGTACATATAGCATCCGCTGGGCTCGTAGCATTGTTGTCGCCATCTGTAATTGTATTCGCTTGTGCCATCCAGCGTGATCTCGTGTGATACTTGCTTCGAAGCACTTCATTGCGGATGCTTTCCATCTCGGTAGCACCGGTTCTGTCCACATGATCAAAGTTCGAAGGGTTCGAGCACGAGTCAAATGTATAGTACGCATCATGCGTTGTACAAGTGCTCACATGCAAAAAACCAGGTACATACTGTGCTGTTTGGATACCTTTATAACGGACTATATGCGCGTTTTGACACATCCATAAACTCCTTGCATAGCATAGCATCCGGAGGTTGAGGGGATTTCATCAGTGAGGACCAACGCTGCTGTGTAAATGCACTGCATGCAGGAGAAGTCACATTCTCTGGGAAAAGTTCCGCCCCGTTCTATGCAAATCTCTGAGCCCCAAAAGACGTCGTGTGCTGCGAGAATAGGCCTGTGCGCATATATCGGCGCATCTTGGAGTCGCCGAGGCCTTCGGCCGAAGGTCCCACTCAAGCTTCAAGTTCCAAGCATCAAGACCGGAGGCCAGTCAATCTGCTCGCCGCGCGCGCGGAGAACGCCAAGCTGTTGAACGTAGTATGGAGCAAGGAAGATGGTCATGTCGGCCAGAAGTCGGCCGTCCTCATTCTCCGCATCGTCCGACTCTGGCGACCGTTAGGGTACTCCGCACTCTTCTAGATGCGCGACCGCGGCTGGGAGGTATGTTCAACCTCAACCTTCACCGCCGGGCTCCCTAAGCGTAGCATGAGCGTATGCAGGTTGTTCGTTCAGCAACATGACGGACCGGAATGAACTTACATCAGGGTGGTCCGGACGCAACTTGGCCGCCGGAAGCCGGCGACGCGCCGCCTTGATAGCTAGTTGGCCTACCACCGGCAGACTATACCACTGGCAGCCTTCTATTTACACGACGTTAACACGCGAACATCGTCCGCCAGTGTCCCGAGCTTCACAGTACGAGGAACCCGGTCGTGCAGCGAGGTGCTCCGATGCCTTCAAGTAGAGCGAATCCGGTGGGACGAGGCACCAAGGAGTAAGGCGCATACTGCCCAAACGTCCTTCGTAAGGAGCAACAGCGCGCCTGCGAGCACTCTACACCAACGTCAACTGACTGAGCGAAGGGTTTGCGGCACCGTGCAAAGGGGCTTCGTTGCCGTTCGATCCTTCTCACTGACGAGTCCCCCGTATGGTCTAGCAACGGCGTGTGCGGCAGCATAACGCCGTGTGGTTCGGGGGCGCCACGCTAAGACGCGTTAGTTGGACTTTCAGGAAACAGGAGTGTATGACGAACTCATGGGGCCCAAAATCGGCCTCCTATGGCGATCGAGGGCGAGATCACTTCGATGGAGGACGACTTCAGTACCTTAGGAGTACTTGTAATATGCTGGGGATATGATGCTCAGGTGTGTTCAAATGTCGGACCAGACAAGACATGGGAGCCTCACGATTGCAGCGGAATAGATCGTGTAGCCGTGTGAACACGTATGCAGACCAAGCTCGATGCGTTCGTGGACAGAGTTGCATGAGATCGAGAGCAGACGTCAGGCAGTAGCGCGGCGGCACGGGCTCACGACCCGGAGATATCGGACTTATCGGCCCCATTATCATTCAAGCCCCCTCACTTTACGTTGGCTATCGCAGACAAACGCTGAGCGCGGACGTCCACAACATCATGTACTATCTAAAACCCAACGGGAACAACACAATACTACACGGAGACGGCACGAAGCCTTCAACAGCTCCGGTGCTACGATACTAAGGATAATACTAGCGTCCTCCACCTATGCGCCAGTCGTAATCTGCGGGAGCAGTGTCTACAAGCTGGCAGGGGACAAAACGGCCCACTGTTCAGCGCGAGGTCCATGTCCAGGTCAAACGAAAAAGAGTCCTCAACAGCCCTCTCCAGCGGATCGTCTCCGAAGCTCCACGCGCGAACGCGAAAGGCTTCTTTCTACACGAGAGCGGAAGGCATCGCCGTGCGCGTTCAGTACACGACCGTGTCCGGGACGTTGAAGAAGAGGTCCTGCCGCGCGGAGCTCTGTTAGCAACTTCCACAGCCTCAGACGGGACACAACACTCACCACGGCGGTAAGGGTAGCATCTGCACCCAGCTGCGACTGCAACACAGCAGGGTCGCCAGTGACGTAGATGCCGGTGCCGGACACGTAGAGGTATTGCGCGGCCACGCCTGCCGCGGGGAGAAACACCGTCAACCTTTGCGCATCGAAGACGAGGGCGGGGGATATACGTACTTCCGTCGGGGTTGACCCAGTGGACGGAGAGCTTCCCGTTGATGTCGATCTCGAACTGCGAATGCGGAGGCGAGATCAGGAAGGGTGCCGTGGCGGGGGACGCAGATGGGGACGTACGATGCTCGTTTGCGCGTAGCCGATAGCGTAGGTGTCGTACACGTATGTCGATGTCGAGCTCCCTGCCGCGGCTGTACGGGGGAAGTGTTGAGCATCCGCATCTGCCTCACAAAGCGAACGAGCACGTACTGTGCGCCCTGGTGTTCTGCAGCTCCAAGTAGTAGGCGTTCCTGTCGGTGCCTATCTCAGCCAACACGCTACCAGTCCACGCATGGCCTAGCTTACCCTGGGCCCAGGGTCACTGCAGCGCCGGAGCGGATGGCGACGCCGCCGAGACGGTAAGGGGTGCTCTGTCGTGGGTTCGGGGCAAATTAGCATGTACCCTCGTGCGGAAAGGTCGGGACGTCATACCGGGTGGGCCAGCTCCAAGAGCGAGCTAGTCGACGACGTCGACGTGTACTGGTAGGTCGACGCTTGCGCGATGGTGCTCGAGACACCGTACGCACCCAGCCAGCCGATGGCATCCGAGCGCTTGCGCACAGCAGTCTGGGTGTCGGCAGGGAAGATCCCAATCGTACCGGTTTGTCTGCACGGCATGAGAATTTAGCCCCACAGAGCAGATAAAAACGGAAGGCACGACTTACACAGTACCGGGGACTCCGGACGGTGCGGAACGTGCAGCGTCTGACGGCGACGGACGTCCAGGTCAGTTTCGGGTTTCTCAAAAGCATGAGGGGGCGTACTCGTGCGGGTTCCACTGTAAAGCCGTCTCGGACGTGCCGGGGCCTGGCCGCGAGCCATACGTTCCGCGTTGGTGGCAGCACGGCGGGAGGCAGGAGACGCGTGCGCGAGGGTAAAGAGCGACAGCGCAAGGAGCGCGAAAGACACGACGCGGGCGAGAGTGAGCATTTTTGCAGCGGAGGGGAGACCGAGGAGGGTAGGGAAGAGGGAAAGGATGAGGACGCGGGTCAAGACGAGCCTCGAGGGTCCGCGACGCGTCCCCCGCTCGTTTTATCGCGTCTTTCACCCATCAATTGCATGTCAAAGTTTGTGGAACATGCATGCCAGAGTCGAGAGGTAGGCTAGGGGCGGTGGCGCGCCGCGCGCCTGAGCGATCTGGCGGCCATTAAGGAGGCCTAGGTCGCGCGATCGGCCGCGCCGGAGAGTCTCTCGGGCGATGCAGTGCGGCTCCGGGTTGGTGTGCCTGGACGAGCTCAATGTTGTGCACTGATCCGGTAAGTACGATCGCCCGTGTGCCTCGCCGTCGGTGACAGCGGCGACCAACTGTAGGGAGCGAGACCGCGGCCACATCTGCTAGGACGAGTTCATGCCGAACCGAAGGCGGAGCCGAGTGTTTCGCGACGTCGCTAGCTTGGAATATAAGGGTTACCCAACAGAACAACACAATCGTGCTGTATGGCGTTTTCGGAGGCAAAGTGTGTCCTATGTCGGTTTATGTCAGGAAGAGTTGTAGGCATGTATAAAACGTCCGGACCTACTGAAATTGCCCAAAACTCAAATTGACAACTTATATCTCTGGTCCTCGGTTCGCCAGATGATAGCAGAGCCTTAGAGCGGTCTTCAAACTTCAATTATTCTCGACATGTCATCCTCCACAAGCTGGGTGCAGCGTAGTACGTCGAGGCCGTCGCACAGAGCTGCATGGATCACTAACGCTCAGCCATTTTTCAAAACTTGACTGTAGTTAGGTTAGCAGAATAAGGAAACTCGATTCGCAGTTGAAGTTGACGCAGTTGTCGTGATGGCGGCAGGACGCAAGAAAGAAATCAGGGCGTCTATTTCATTATTCCAGTCTTTCGACTGAAAATTAAAATGTCCTGCTATCTCATAACGCGCGAAACGCTGTTGATCGACAGGCAAATGTAAACTTGGATTGGAGACGTATTTCGTACATGATGTTGAGACTAGTAAGATACAGAGGACATACAGCGATGGCACACACGACATGGACAACTACAGGCTGGCTACAAGTGGAACGACTTCAAAGGTAAAAGACGACAAGGGCCAGCAACAGCGGAACGGTTGCATGTATGCGTGCTGGGAGAAGGAAAGGATGAGAAAGAGATTGTCTATAGAACGAGGGAGGGTGTATGACGGGAGGAAGACCGCTGACTGCTCTTCGAGCCGACGCAAAGACCTCAGAACCCAAAGTCGTCGATGAGCAGCTCCTTGCGCGCGCGATGCAGCTCGTCGCCCACGCGCGCCATGAACTCCCCGCGGATCTTCTCGCGCGAGTCCCGCCACGACCCGAGCCGCCGCGCGCTCTCGAGGTGCCAGTCCCACGACTCACCGCGCCCGAAGTCGATGATGCGGAAGCTCGGCGTGTCGTAGCTGCGCTCCGCGGGCGGCGCTGTGAGCGGCCCCGGCTGGATCATGATGTTGCGCACGTAGAACGAGCCCTGCACAATCGCGAGATAGTGCAGGCGCAGGATGAGCGAGAAGCACTCCGTTCTGTGAGAGAAGGGTGAGTATGGGTGAGATGTGGGTGAAGGAGGGATGGGACGTACCGTTGATCGATGGTGAACTTGGACGGCTCGACGGGCTGCCCGCACTCCTCCATGAGCAGGATGGGCGAGGGCCAACTAACCGTACACGGGTTGCGCTCCGAGCACTTCTCGTGGTCAGCGCCGTGGTCCACCACCTCGCCGCGCGCGTTCACGGGCAGGTAGTACCCAAAGAACTTGGGCACGATCGCCGTGGCCGGGACGGGGAAGCGGCACTGCGGCACGATGTTGTATCCGCAGTGCTCCTCCTGGATGTGCGACGGGAAGGTGTCGTACACGCGCCCTTCGTTGCGCAGGAGGTTGTGTGCCGTGCAGCGCGGGTACGCGAGCTTGGCCGCGACGGTCACTTGGCCGGTCGGGGAGTGCGCGGACAGCGGTTCTGGGAGCGTAAGGGCTGCGCGGTATACGTACGAGTGGTTCCCTGTGCCGAAGCGGTTCTGCTTCGCGAGGTGCAGGTGGGCGACGCGGGGCTCGGAACCCTCTTCGTCGCGCTTGAAGATCGGGGATTGGCGGATGTACTTGATAGGCATCATGATGCTGTCCTTGTTCTGCTGGTGGGTCGTGTTGTCGGGGTCGTGTACGATGAGGATGTCCGGGAAGAACTCGGTAGGTATGAACTCCTCGAGTTTTGGGAGGCCGGTGACCGAGTACATCGTAGGAAGAGGCCCGGGTTGCGTCTCTTTTCCCATTGCAGAGGATGCAGGAGCTTGGGAAGATGCAGAATCGTCCGCAGAACCTGCAGAATCACCTGCAGAACTTGTTGCAGACGATTCTGCAACGGATACAGAAGCCTCATCCATGAATGCATCTTCAATTTCCTCAGTCTTGATCGTTGCAGCTGCATGGTCCGGATCTTCTTCCGCGGGCGCAGGCTCAGATGTAGGCTGGGAGGGGCCGTCGTTGGTCGTCGCATCTCCATCGAGCATCTTGACATCGATATCCTCAGACTTCACGTCGTCGGGTGTCTCGTCGGAGGCCGCGCTAGCAGGTTCAGGCGGAACGCCACAATCTTCCTCTTCGACCTTCACCTTGACATACTCCTCATCCGGGCGGATCTGGTACTCCACCGTCTCAGCGTGCTCGCACTTGCACCCACCATCAATCGCGCCAATCGGGGGGCTGGTGGAAGACACATCATGGCCGTCGCCCGGGGGGAGCTTCAGCACGGGCCACGCGCGGACCGCGCGCGGCTCGACGAGTGGCTCGTCCCACGCGTGCTCGTCGTAGCCCTCGCCGAGGTCCTTGAGCATGCTGCGCGACCAGATTGTGACTGCGTTCACCTTCGGGATGCGCTGGATCCAGAAGAGATCGTCGAGCGTGTGCCCCCAGACGAAGCCCTCCATGGTGCGGATGCCCGCGGGCGGGAGCGTGCGCGGGATGATGGGCCCGTCGGGGTTGCGCTCCCACCAGAGGCGGACGTCGCGGATGCGTTCGTCTTGTTTCTTCTTGTCTTTGGCGGGCATGTTGGCTGGGTGATGTTGAGGAGAGGGTTGCTTGATGTGGTGGTGGTGAGAGAGATAGGGCTGCAACGAGTTGGACGCGTGGCTGACGGAGAGTGATCTTCGCACCTGTATTTATGCGGCCACCGAGGATCGCTTAGCCAACAATGGCCAACGCGTGTTGATCTGCCCAAAGGGCGAAGTAAGGGACATGGAACGAGCGAACAAAGAGTCTCGGTGGCGGCGGCAGTACTCCGCAGGTCGCCCAGCACAGCCACAAATACGTTCTCGGAAAGCGCATTTGGAACGTGAACGTTTGAACGCCAACGTAGACATGCGGGGATATATTCCTGTCGCATTCGAAACACGCCTATGGCTTCGGATACTGTACATCGGAACTACTCTATAGTACACAGCCACAACTACTTGAAACACTGCAAAAAACAAGCAAACCTACCTTGAAGCCCTCCTGGGAGTACAAGTACAATCATCGCGCCCGTACGCGCGTTCAAAACTCCTCCGCCGCAGCTGGCGGGTCCTTCTCCTCCTCCCACGGCCGCAGCTCCCACAGCCCGATCTGCATGTCCCGCTCCCGCGCCTTCTCGTAGCTGTTCCTCGCCAGGCGCGTCGGCTCGCCGCGGGCGTGGCGCGGGTAAAGCACCTCCGTGCGGCCGAGGCTGGACATGCGGTAGCTCGGCGTCGCCAGCGAGCGCTGGTCCTGCGGGACGTCGAGCGGGCCCGGCTGCATGAGGATGTTGCGCGCGTGGACGGAGCCGTGCGCGACGCCGGCCTCGTGGAGCTGTTCGATGAGCGACCAGCATTCTTGTCTGTTCGGCTAGGTGTAAGCTCCCAGGAAATTGAAGATAGCTGCAATGTGAGATGCGTACCGTGCCGCGAGGCCCATCTTCTCCAGCTCAATGGGCTTCCCACAGTCTTCCATGAGAAGGATGGGCGAAGGCCAGTCGACCGCGCAGTCGCTATGCAGATATCCGTCGCAATGCGGGTGGTCGCCACACAGGCGCCTGCCCTTGGAGTCCACCGCGACGTAGAGCCCATAAAAGTTCGGCACCAGCGGCACCGTGTCGTCCTCGCCTTGCACATGCGTCGGCAACATCGAGTACGCCTTGCCCTCCTGCCTCAAGAGGTACTGCGAACGACAGTCCCCCTTCGCCAACTTCGCCACCACGGCAACGTTCCGCGGGGCGGCCCCGGCGGCGCCTTTCGGACCCAGCGACGCGACGAGCGGCGCGCGGTACACTGCCGAGCGCCGTCCATCTGCAAATTGGTTCGCGGGGTCGAGGAAGAGATATCCGCGGCGCATCGCCGCCCCCGGGGACTCCACGCGTGCCTTGGGGATGCGCGGGTACGCGCGGACGTAGCGTAGCGCAGTGTCGGCGCGCCGGGGGTGGCGGCCCGTCGCGTCGCCGCGGTCGAACACGGATAGCTCCTCGGGGAGGTTCCGGGATGGGATGGTTTCGGTGAGCGGGGTGAGGTCGGTGAGTGAGAACGGCCGCTCGATGTGCAGTTTCGTTCCGGCCCCTTTCTGGGCGGATGATGCGGGGGATTCCGTAGCCACGGGCGTCGCGGTGGTTGTGGAATGGGTGGCGGGCGCAATGAGCTTTGTGGCCGCGTGTTTGTAGAGTGCCTGGAGGAACGTCGCGTTCGCCGCGGCGATGTCGACACTCATCTTAGGATTAAGGGGTCGCAGAGCGGGCCGCGTTCGTTGCGTTGGAACGAGGGCCATCCCGTTGTCGGAGTCGCTCCCCAGAGAGGATAGCGACGACGTACTTGAAGATGATTGCATATCTGGTTGGTTCGGAATTCGGATCTGTGGGATGGCAGATGCACGCGTCGGCGACTGTGGCGCGTGTAGCGAGGGTCGCGTATCGAGACTTACGGGTGGGATGAACGTGTCGCGCAGCGGTTGTCAACTTGCAGATGGTGGTAGGTGATCAAGGTTGGTTGGAGGTATTGATCAGGGCTGGATTGCACAATGATCAAGGTGGCCCACGGTGGCGAGCGCGTCTTGCGAGGCTGACGAGTGGCTGGGGTCGATTGTGAGGGGTGGGCACAACGGAGGCGACAGTCGTGGTGGTACAGAACCAAGCAGGATGGTCTGGGACACAGCACGGTGGCTGAAATATCCGGGGCTTACACAATGGATGGATGCACAGGCCCGTGACAAAGGCGGGGTAGGCCTAAGCGCGCGCGCTTCCGCGCGTTTCCGCCATATCGGCTCTAGATCTGGAGGGGTGGGACAAAGACATGACTCCGATGGGCCAGCTGGGCCAAGCCCTCTCTGCGGCCGCGGGTCCTCCACTCTTGCGCGTGTGGCCTGCGAGCGGGGAGGTGGAGGAAGGTGGAGGAGATCAGCGCGGGCGTGGTGGCCTGGGATGGCCCGCTTCGGCGAGTTCTCGCATCATCCCCAAGAGAGATCCTCGAGCTGCCCGTCTCAGTCTCGACAGAGAGGGCATGCACGGCTCAGGATTGGTGCAGCTTGGCAGGTGGACTGTGTCACCGGGGGGAATGCTCGTTCGAGCGACGCAGACCTGGGCTGAGACATAGGGCTCGCGCTGTGATTGGATATCACATGGCGGTAATGTAGGCCTGTGGGAGGACAGCGGATGAGTGACGCATATTCCTGTCAGGACTGAGTGAACCTACCGTGCATGAAACCTTGCCAGTGCTGAACGTGCGCCCGCCGACGGCAACTTCAAGGCACAGGTAGACTCAACGCCAACATGACGCACATCGTGACACGGCGACTCACTATGTCACCCCTACAGCCGCGCTGATTCTCGGGAACGTCGAGATAACGGACGGCTCTTACTGTGCTCACCTAGATGTGGAGTATATCCGGGAGACGAGCGCACACCGGACGAAGGGAGATGCGAAGAGATCCAGACGATCGTAAATGAATTCTAGTGTACGTACAAGTAGTAAAGTGAGCAGCTCAAAGATAAGCGAGCAAGAGTGATAAATAGCGCAGAAGGGGTCGAAGGGAGAAAAACGCAAGAACGCCCAAGGAAGCAGACTCGCAGAAAGTCCGAATGCAAAAGGAGTCCGTGGCACCGCGGCCCCGTGGTGGGAGACCGACAGCGTAAGAAGACGAAGGCGAAGGATGCGTGATATGCAAACAACGGCAGCAGTGGGATAGGCTGTACTAAATGGCGGAGTATGGGATGGATGGATGGGATACAACGTGTGCGATAAGGATGGATACATGAGCAATACATTCCCGCGCCCAAGGTGCGTGGGGCGGGGTCCGGGTGCACTGGCAACGCGTCATACGACGGATTCAGCGAGTCGTGAACGAGGCATGGTTTGGCGGGGCATTCCCGCAATGCGTCGTGAAAGTCTTGTGGGGCGTCGTTGTACCTGTGGGGAAGGAGGCCATGTTAGCGCTGCGGACTCGATAGACCTCGGGCCACACGCTCGGGGTAACCGCGGTGCGGCCATTATATCCTTTGGCATGGATCGCTCCAAGTACCTCGAGCGATCCAGCCATTCAATAGGCTAATCGCCCGCTATACGGCGACTTAGGAAGGTCGGATCGCCTGACGCAGCTTCTGCAGGCTTCGCGCAGCAGAAGACCGCGAAAAAGCCGCACCGCCGGGAGCCCGTCACGAGACAGCAAAGAGAGTACTGACGTGGCGCGACATGATGAGCTTGGCCATAGACATGGGTCCTCGTGAATCAAACGTTTGTGCGACTGTGGGAGGCAACGAGCAGAATGAGATGAGAACCGTCGTACAAGCAAACAAGCGAGTAGACGCACCTATGCGTGGGCGTTCGACCTGCCAATCCATCCGGGCGAGCTCTGTGCCTCCAACATAGCCATCGGTGTGTTCCTCCACCTCGTCGTCGCCGATGAGGGAGTTTATCGAGAAGGAGACGGGCAGGCCGCCCCAGCTCCAGGGATGGTGCTTTCCAGCGGCGAGGCTCATTTCCGAGGCCGGGGCTGAGTCGACCCCAGATTCAAGCCTGAGCTTGTGGAGGGAGCCAGATCCAACGCAGACGACGGCGAGGACAGAAGTGAGGAAGGAAAAGACAGAGAGCAGCTGGAGGACGGAGAGCGATAGGAATTCACTCATGGTGACGCTCGAGGGCCGTTGACAGGGGATACCGGGTTTGCCTGCGTCGTCGTCGTCGAGCTGACGAGGAGTGGTGGAGGACGCGGCAGGCGTTGAGGACAGCTCGGGGGAGGGGATGGAGGTCGAAGGAGAGTCCAAGAGACGCGGGTGGGAGCATGGGCCTGGCGGGGCCATCTCGGTTGCCATCCCGCTCCCACCGCCAGCGCTTCTCTCCATCACTCTCCACCGCCATCCTTTCTCTGACCCGTTCTTCGTTGCGCTCCTCGTCGTGCTGGACAACACTGCGCTTTTCCTCAGTATGCTCTCACTGCTGCGGGCGACGATAGACGGACTATACGGAAGCCCCTGATGGAAAACGCCAGTCTTACTCGTCCAACAAAATATAAAATGACTGCGGCATATACATCCTCGGTGTGCTCGGAGTCGCTTCACACGGCTCAAAACATGACACTGTCATAGCTGGTGTAAGAATGGACTGGGAGCTGTATAGGGTGTCTCGATCTACCCAAGAGGTGAAGTTGTTAACCTACCTCACAGTCTACGCATTCCGAGACGTTCCGAGGTCGGTGTATGCACCCACGTTCTATTCGCAGTATACATCTACTGTGCCAATTTATTGCGCTCGTTCGCGCTCACAGTCTATGGCAGTCCTCGCTGCATTTTTAGGTGCGTTGACAGGTCGGTGCGTGGTGGTCTTGTGCGTGTTGAGCTATCGCTCAGATGCCTGCTCGTGCCACCACGCGATGAACGAGCGTACACCATGCCCTCAACAGTCTAGTAGCGGAAAGGAATTGAACCTTGATCGCAGAAGCAACAAGCGACATCGACGAGACGCGGGGGTTACTGCAGACGTCAAGCTTGTTGGAGCAGTGTCCAGATTCGCTCTGGGTTACCCAGTTGTGGACCACGGTTCCTGATCTATACTCGTGAGTGTATTCCTCCTTATGTCTTGCTGCGTGCTGAACATCATTTTGTAGATTGCGCGACTATGATATCACAGTTCTCATTCCGCGTTGGGACCACTGAAGTAATCGTGGCTTTATAAAGCCGCTTGCTCGAATTGCGTGGTCATATTTCAGCGCACGTCTGAGTAGCAGAGCGGCCTAGAGGAAGAGGCGGACAAAGGTAAAGGTCGGAACCCCCTTGTGTATCTTGCCCGGGGTACCCGAGGAGGTCGACAAGTATAGACGGCTCGGACTTTCCACAGATCTACAGGGGCGGCAAATTTCAGTCCACACCATGCCGACATGGTCCGGCCCGCTACACGCGACGTGAGTGCGGATTGTCATTATAGATGTCTTCGTTGCTGCGCGAACGCGGTTCTCCCGCCCCGTGGACGCGTGTTTGACATCCAAATGAATCAAGAACACATGCAAGAACAATTCTCTCTAGATAATCCCGCCAGTTCTCACCGCCTACAGGGCACGCAACCGAAAGAATATTTGCACGTGTTACAAGTGCGCTCCGACCTCGCCTTCAAGGCGCCCGACTGCACGAGATCGGGAATGCCGCTCGTAGGCAGTATATTGGTTGCATCGAGGTAAGTGGCATACATCATACTCCCCCGACAGATCGTGACGATGACCACCATGATCCACACAGATATGCCACCGCTAAATATTCCATCGTCGAGCGACGACATCTCCGTGGACGACAAGCCAGCTCTTGCCACTGGCCACATCGACATCGATCCAATCCATAAGGCTGCTAGCGAAGCCGACGATGTACATTCCACCGCGTTGACCTTCGTCGTAGATCTCATCCCGGATGTCGAGGACACGAAGGACGTGACCTACCTAGGCGATGCAGCGGCACCGATCTCAGAGGAAGATGAGGTTAAATGCGAAGTCGCGGCCGAATGCACACCACCGCATTCCGCATCTGAGAGCAATGAGTCCTGCGCCGCGGTAGACGTGGATTGCCCACCAGGTCTGGAGCCTCCACTACCCTCTCCGAGTCCTTGTCCCGCGAACACCGCCTCTGCTACCAACGCCGATATCGAGATACCAACCGAGGGTCCTGTGCATTCCGGGGCTACCATCCACATCGAACTGGACGATCTCCTCCATCTCGAACCGTCGATCTTTCAAGAGGATCCCACACTCTACTCCCTAGACGGGGTCGAACCCCTGGAGACCTTCATCCCCGATGCGCTCCTGCCAGACGACCTCCTCGTCCACGATCAGCAAAACATCACCGGCATGTGCGACCCCGTCCACCCCTCCATCCCCGTGCGCTACGTGCGCGTCCTCCCCAAGTCGCCTGGCGACACCACGGGCGCGCGGAACGCCTATCTCGCGCGCGACTCCGAGAAGCCGGTTCGCGTCGCGCATCTCTATCTGAGAAACATGAACCGACTAGGCACGGGGAGCCATTCGACTGTATACCGCGCACCGCTGGAGCTGCGCCTCGATCCGGACTCGCAGGAGCGCAGCAGGGTGAGCGTCGCGGTGAAGGCAGCGGGAAGCCAGTGTGGCTCGCATGCGATGCTGCAAGAAGAGGCCCGGATCTACAGCACGTTTCCGCGGCGTCTCATGGAGGAGAGCGACTGCATTGTCGACAAGAACGCTATGGATGCGGGTAATGTAGAAGAGGGACATTCGGACGCACCACAGCCGCCTACATCAACCGCAGAGCCAGCCGGTGAGCGTCGCCCTGTGTCTATACCTATGGTGGCAGGACTTACACACTCTGAAGAAGTAACCGACGGGTTAAGCCATCTTCCACCAGTCGTGCCCAAGTTCTTTGGGCACTACTCTCCGCTCGACCTAGTCTATGGCGAGACGTCCTTCCGCTACCATGAAGATTGCTACCGAGATTCCCGCTGCACCGTCAAGTGGCACACACGCCTCCTGCTCATGGAAGAATGCGGCCAGCCAATCGACGTAGACGAGATGGAACTAGAGCAGCGGTGCGTGCACTTGACCCGCGCGGTCTGATTCGATGCTCACGCGTACCCCCATGCCCACAGCGAGGCGTGCTATAGGCTTTTTGAGCGTCTCCACGCGGAGAACTTCGTGCAAGGCTCCGCATTCGCGCGCAACTTGCTCACGCAGCCAGGGCCCCTGTCCCTCCCGCGTGAGGAGCGGTCGAGCGCAAGTCCGAGCTTCCGGATCGTTGACTTTGGGCGCGGCAACGGGTTCTCGATTACGAGCAGAGAGCGGAGAGAGAGGTTCGAGGGCTTCTGCAAGGATGAGCTGAAGCGAGCGAGGAACACGTTGATGTTGTGAGTAGCTCCGAGAGCGGCTGAGCATCACTTCGCGTCGTGTACAGCACCGTGACATTCCCCAAACTTTACGTTCCTCTTGGCGACGTGCTTTCCTCGTACACAAGGCAACACGATGGACATACAGCGCCTGCCTCTAAATCGACGCGATGGAGGTGAATGCGCCAAATCACCTTGCTGCCACCACATGTTACCATCGTGCCTTCCCAATGCCCGTCTTACCTTCGCCCATCTGGTTATCCGAAAATCACCCATCGATAGCGCCTATCCTACGCGAAGTCGTGCACTGCTCGTCCTTACCTGGGACATCCGAGGGTGAGTCGAACAACCCGAAAAGGAAGCTGTTGCCTAGTTGAGTGTACGTGGGACGAGCATCCAGAACGTCAAACCTTGCCCTGGCTTCGACGACACGGGAAGCACTGTAACGTGTAGCTCTGACCTACACGAGGGTTGCCATGATGTAAACTGCCTGGCAGCGGACGTTCGAGCAGGTCCTGCAGGCGTTGACGGCTGAGTTGGTGAGTGCGCAGAGGCCTCCCAAAACCCCTCTAGTTGACCCACCCGATTCTCCCTACTACCTTCCAGCAGGTGCCCCCCCCCCTTTCATGGCGACCGCTACGCAGACTCCCACAGAGGTGTCGGACGCCTTCATGCCACCCTCTGCCAACGATGTCCAGAAGTCTACAGGGCTTGTATCAAACGAACATGCCAGCCCGATCGCGTCCCCCCTCGCGTTTCCTCACGTAGACAAGCATGATCTGCCTGACGGCCACGATCACGCTCAGGTGGCGTTCTTCGTCGAACTCCAATCATCATGCGACAACGATGCCTCTAGCTTCCACAAATTGGACAACCATTCTCAGGACGTCGTGGATCGAGATGATACGGAGCTGAGCTTGAACTCGGTCGGTGCGTCCGTCGAGGTGAGTATGTCAGATGCCACACCGGGGGCTGAAGGTGGCTGAAAGATCTTAACCAGTTGACCCATGATTTGACGGTCGAGACGGAGAAATCAGAGCTGCTTGATTCTCCCGTCGTGCTCAAAAACCCTCCTGGCTTACACGCGCCCGACCTCGATACCCCGCCCGTTGACCCGGCAACGCCACCGCTCTGCGATGCTACCACGCATCCTGACGTTGTTTCCATTGCCGAGGCGACGCAAGCCACTGCGTGCGTCGAATACCTCACTCCTATGGTTGACGCCTCGAATCTGTCGGAGAAGGCGGACGTCCTCCCGCCGATGGACCAGTTCACGATCGCTACGAAGACAATCGGGTCCCTCGACGGCGACGGAGAGAACTGTGGTCTCCCGGCCCCTACGTTCATTCTCCGTCTGACGACGACGCTTCGAGCGTAAATTGTGACGACACAACATCGAGTCTAGATAGCAAGGCGCCCCTCGGGCTCGAGGAGACTTCGCAGACCCGACTCGACACCGTGCCCTCATCTGAGGTAAGTGTCACTATCATATAACCATTAGACTGCCGGGTGATCATGTCGACCCTCCATGGAGGTTGAGAGCGCGTCTCCGGGCCTCGACTGTCCTCCTGGCTTGGAGGAGGCAACAGTCGTTGCGCACCCATCTCCTGGCCTCGTGGATGAGTCTCATCCTACACCCGAAAACCCGCCTGAATCCGCCACACTTCCACCGGAAGAAAAGGCAACGGCGGCGGCGGAGGCACACATTCTCGAAGTGGATCCCGCGAAGTACTCTTTGGACGGTCTGGAGCCGCTGGAGACGTTCATCCCCGCCGCGCTCCTCCCCGACGAGCTGGTAGTGCACGACCTGCGCGACATCAACGGCCTCTGCGACCTTGACGCTTCTCCTCGCACGGCCGCGAAGTATGTCCGCCGCTTGCCGGCGCGCAACCCAAGCTCAGCGGACGGACCACCTCGCGTCGCGCACCTCTATTTGAGGAATGGCAACTGCATCGGCAAAGGGCACCACGGGGCTGTGTTTGCCGCACCCATGCGGCTGCTCCTGGACCCCGAAGCGCATGAACAGAGTGTGGTGCGCGTCGCGGCCAAGACCGCGTTTGGCAGATGCGGCACACACGAGATGCTGCGTTGCGAGGCGCGTGTGTATAACGCCTTCCCGTCCTCCATCATGGAGACGACCATGGTGGTCGATGAAGCAGACGACACAGACTCGGATGTGTCTGCACATGGAGGCAGCGCTAGCCTGCCGCCTTCCGACGGCAAGGCAGAGGGAGAGCCTGAGCAGGGCGAGCCCAAGTCCGTCGCCGAACCGGAATGCGGAGACCTGCCGGTGACGCCAGAGCCACAGGCAGAGGTCACTGCGCACGAGGACCTGACCCCTGCGGTGGGATGCACTCCCGAGGCGAATGGTAGCGACGAGGCGAAAGAGACCCAGCAGCTCCGCCTCGTTCCGGCGATCGTGCCCAAGTTTTACGGGTACTACAAATCGGTGGACGAAGAGTTCGCGTCAATGAGTGACACGCACCCACATTGCGATAGAGACTCAGAATGTGACGTTTCGTGGCCGACGCGCATCCTGCTCCTAGAAGAATGTGGGACTACCGTCGACCCGTCTCTCTTTACAAGGGACCAAAGGCACGTCGTCATCGAACTACCATTACTCATCTTCCGGCTAACCGTTCCGCTATGTACTAGGCACGAGATCTTCGGTCTTCTGGAGCGTCTTCATGGCGTGGGCTTCATGCAGGGTTCGGCGTACACACGCAACTTCTTGGTTCAACCTGGGCCGCTCACTGTTCCCCGCGCGCAGCGTTCGATAGAGCAACCGAGCTTCAGGATCATAGATTTCGGCCGCGGGGAGGCTGCTGAAGGCTTGGGGGAGCGCAGCCGCCGTAGGTTCTATTCGAAATACGACGGCGACCTGGGGCGAGCTGATGAAGAGCTGGGGCTGTGGGAATATTAGAAACGTACAGCTGTAGTAGCGACTCACTTTGTGCGGCTGTGGCGTAACTTTCATATTCGGAATGACATCGCGGCCTCAACTGTATTTATGTCTTAGACCTACTCTCAGTCCTACGGTAAACCATACGGGCGAGCTTCACTGAGTGCCGGTGAACACCAGGGAGACATCGTTAGAGTCGTCAAGCACTGCAAATGTTATGTCTGAAGCTATCCGACTTTGATCACCAAATATCATGCGGCGGAGGAGGCTTTTTGACTCACAGACGATGCTGTATTAATCACAGGCAGCCACTTGATGAACGCCCTGTGACTGCGACCGAGCCAGCCACGGTCAGAAAACCCTCTGCGAGTGGGTTCGCTATGACAGATGGTTTTCAAGTGATTGAAGCCTCTAAATAAAGCCTGAAAGCCCAGAGTGAGATGCACCGTACTAGTGTCCACCCGGTGCTGCTTTCAGATTGTCTACCAGGAAGCCCTACGCTAGTAGCGCAGTGCTAGCAGTAATTACTGTGGTCCAAGGTGACGAAGACAGCAGGAGAGGCGCTGGCGGAGGTTAGGGCGCTTCCTGGGCCCGGATGTCGGCGCTACAACGTTGTCCTCTACCATCATGTTGCCGCCGCTGTGCTCGACTTGGGTGCCCTGACGAGTGCAGAAGAGAGTGCCGATGGCCCAAAGCTCCTTTTCTCGAGCGTCGCTGAGGGCTCAACGAAGGGTGCATAGTACGTGTAACATCGTTGAATCCATATGCTCGACGTGCACTAACGCCTGGAGGCATCCTTCGCAGCTACTTACGTGTTAAACAAAATGCTACGATCTCTATAAACACCTCCTGGCAGTAAGGTTCGTCTAAAGCTCCACGTACGAGCGCACTATCGTAGTGCAGCCCGGCCTCCTCGCGCAGCACGAGGATAGATGATCAGTCGATATCCTGGCCTTCAAAATCATCACCTTTCGACGTATGACGATGTTCGCTAGCGAGGCGGAGTCTGCATCAGAAGAGGTCAAATGAAAGGTTGCGTCCATCAGGGTGAAGTTTACTTGCTGAATTTACTCTGCGCATCACTTTCAGGTCGTGGAATGGCGTACTCCGCTGGTCGGGATTGCCTCCTCATGGATGTACGTCATACACACATGACGATGCGTTGGTTCATGGCGAGAAGAATGGCATAACGGCCAGGAAAGTTAATTGTTCCCTTAGCCATCGGCCAGAATATTGACATGATGGTGCGCGATTTGCCATTGTCCTGCCCTCTTAGCCACATGTTGCTGCGGGAGCCCGGACGCGTGTGAGCCGACTTACTGACATAGGAATGGGCCTGCCTACTTCGTCGAGCCTCCGGCACCACGCACTCCGCCATGGCTAAGAATCCCAGGTTGTGCCATCTATCCTTTGGGCATGCGGCTTCTTCCTTTTAGCCATCCGGCAAGTGGGCGGTCGATGTGCCGCGATTAGCCTCAGTGAAAGGTATATTATATAGCACAGCGGAGATCTTCAATTGTCGCTCACTCTCCTTCCCCATCTCACAGCCATTGGAAAACTCCTCTGAAGGCTATGAGTATGGTCCTCCCCAACGCTGCCGAGGCAACACCAGCACGTGCATGTGTCGAATCTCTGGTTCCTTTAGTCGACGCCTTGGGTCTCTCCAAGGCCGATGACTTTCAGATCGAATCTAACCCACCAACGAACGACCTTACGACCGTTATGAAGGCTGTGGGTACCTTCGTCAGCAGCGGAGAGGACCACCCCACGCCCCCGACGTTCATTCTCGATCTCACTCCCGGCGACGACGACACTTCAAGTGTAAAATGCGATGACTCAACATTGAGTCCCAGTAGCAAGACACCAGTCGAAGTCGAGGAGGCTTTGCAGCCGCAACCACAGAGCGCGATCACATCTGACGAGGTAAGTACCGCTCTCCCATACTATCCATCAGACTGCTAAGTGACCATGCCCCTGTGGAGGTTGAGAACACATCACCGGAGCCCGGCTGTCCTCCGGGCTTGCAGTCGGAGGATTCCACGGTCGCTGTGCATTCATCCCCGGAGCCGGGGAATGAACTGCATCCTGCACCTGAAGAACCGCTCGAAACGGCTACATCCACGCCCGAAGACAAGGCGACTACAACGGCTGAGGCGCACACGCTCGAAGAGGACCCGGCACGCTACTCCTTGGAGGGCATCGATCCATTTGAGGACTTCATCCCGACTGCACTGCTCCCAGATGAGCTGGTCGTGCACGACCTGGATAACATCAGCGGCCTCTGCAAGCGCGGGTTTTTGCCCCGCACCCCAGCGAAGTACGTGCGCCACTACCCAAAGCGCCCCTCCGGATCCGATGCGCCGCCTCGCATCGCGCATCTCTATCTCAGCAAGAACAACCGCATTGGCAGCGGACACAATGGGTCAGTGTTCGCCGCGCCCATGCGTCTGCACCTGGATCTCGACTCGCAGGAGCAGAGCACGATACGCATCGCGGCGAAGACCGCGTTCGGCACGTGCGGGGCGCACGATATGCTGCGCATAGAGGCGGACATATACGATATATTTCCGCGCTCCTTGATGGAAGGGACCCCGGTGGAGGCGGAAGCTACGGCAGTGTCTCCGGCTGACGCGACAGCACGGGAAGATGGTGAAAAAGGTGAGGCTCAGCCTGAGTCCACCGCCGCAGAGCCCGCACGCGGAGACCCGTCGATGGTACCGGGGCCACAGGAAGAGGCTGCCCCGCCCGAAAAACCAACCGTGGCCGTCGAATGCAGTCCTGGCGTGGGCAACGTCGATGATGCGCAGAAGGCTCAACAGCCTCGTATCCCTCCGATTGTACCCAAATTCTACGGAGTTTATAAATCCGTGGACGAGGGGTTCGAACACCTGCACAAGATGCACCCGGCATGCGACGAAGACTCGACCTGCAGCGTCTCGTGGCCGACGCGCATCCTTCTTCTGGAAGAGTGCGGGACACCCGTCGTCCCCTCGCGCCTAACCTACGAGCAAAGGTATGTCCTCTTCGAGCTATGGCTGCATACTTTCTATCTCATCGCATGTCCCATTGTTCCCTACAGAACCGAGTGCTTCGAGGTTTTGCAGCATCTGCACCTCGCGGGCTTCATGCAGGGCTCCGCGTACGTGCGGAACTTCTTGGTGCAGCCCGGGCCCCTCACTGTGCCCCGTGCGCAACGTACGATGGAGAAACCGAGCTTCAGGATCATTGATTTTGGCCGCGGGGAGGCTGCTCAAGGCTTATCGTGGAGTTGCTATAGGGGTTTCGAGCGGTTTCACGAGGGCGACTTGGAGAGAGCTGCTAGGGAGTTGCACTTGTGATTATCGCCACGGGAGATTCATTAGATCTTGTAGTACAATTGCATGAGTTCGAAGCGTCGATGTTGTTTATGTACACTGCATAAGTGAATTGCTAGCGTCCAACTCTTCTTAAGCCGGGGCGGACCTACTACCTTAGTAGACCATCAGGTCACGCCGCGGCTGAGCGCGGCTGCCGTGTGATTTTTTGAACCTCAAGTCACATCATATTGCCGTCTCAACGCGACCCTACTATAACAATCCTCCCTCGAACCTGCGCTCTACCCTCGGCACGACACCAGTACACAATACCAGGACCTTCGGATAGCCTTCATTGAGTGATGGTGAACTCAGGGGAGACGTCGCCAGAGTCGCCGAACACTGCAAAGAAGTACAAGTCAGCAAAGGTTGTTCGAATACTTGCAACCGTTACGAAATGCAGCCCGTTCCACTCACATACGACAATGTAGTCATCGCGGGTGGCCACCTGCGGGACAGTGACTTCAACCGAGCCAGCCGTGATCAGGAAACCCTCTGCAAGCGGGTTTTCTATGTCCAAATTGAGTTGTTGACCGCAAGTACTAGTCAAAGCCTGGAATATAAATATGCCGGTGTCGAGATGCTGCTGGCCATCCTCGAGGTACCCGAGGAGCATGCCACCGATCGGGTTCCCCACGCTGGCGGGAATCCCGGTCGTGTTCCAAGTGACGGTCTGCGTCGTTCCGACTGTCCAGACATCACCGGCCTTGGGGGAGGTGATCGGCGGACGGAGAACAACAGCGGGGGAAGCGCTGACGGCGGTCGCGGCGGCGACGAGGGCAGCGAGCACGGTGGTGAATGTGTTGAAGAACATACTGTAATGAGATCGATCGAAGAAAAGGTTGGCTCGTTCCAGTGAGAGAGAAGATGTAGGGGGCGTACTGAAGAATTCAGCCTTTAGAGCCATGGCTTTTATAGAGAACAGACACATTCCATAGAGGGCTCGGACGGGGATGGTAAGATTCGCAATCTTGAACTCCGGGGCTCGACGTGAGTGATTTCTCGGCAAAGCTGCATTTAGTCCGCTATGTGGACAACGAACGGTCAGCGTGGCCTGTCCGTCTGACAAGATTCGCCTTCGAGGCGGACAAACTACTCCTGTGAAGGAGTACGCGTACGAGTATCGGCGGCTCTAGATGCGTAAATTTAGCGATACTTACATGAAGCCAGAGTAGTTCGTGACGCGGCCCAGTGTCGGCGTTCTTGAGAAGATGAAGTCTCCCTCTTGGGTAATTCAATGCAGTAATATCGTTTCCGTACACCGGATTGCCAGTGTCTAGCTCTTGTGAAGCCGCGGCAGACTATGGACGTCGTAAAAATTCAGCTTGGAGTGGAAAGGTTGGCTCTTCAGTTCCACAAAGTGACACTCACTTTGTTGAGACAGTTAGTCCGTCGGTACATATGCCATCTCAACGCGACACGAAAAGATGTACAAAGTAGCATGGTGTGCACTCTCTTCGGTACTCCAGCCCTAAGTGAAGTGAAAATAGAGCAACTGGGTGTAATAAACGTGAAGTATAACAGAGGTATCGGGGATATGGTGTTTGAGAGTGACCATCGTAGTAGACTGCCGCTCAAGAGTTCCGTCTAGGCTGAGACGGAACGCGAGGGAATTGAGCCATAACCTTTCCGTCATATGGTCCGCTCGGGGGAATGAACTCCGTATCCGGCGACGCGGGATATAGGAGCCTTCCCAGAGCCTTTTCCGCAGAGGCGGGAGGAATCTCGGGCTCGATGCTTAGATGGTATAGCGTGTACACCCGGGCAGGTCGGGACAAGCTCAAGCCGAGTATCTGTAGGCCACCCGACGCCGTCTTCACCACGTACCGCGCCCAGAGTAAGACAGATTGGTCTTCGGAAGCGCAATTCACAAGCGCAGCTGAACAGAGGCCGTCCGTCTCATCCGAGGGCAGCACGGGGTCCTTGTATCGAACGGAGATGTCGGCGACCCTGAGAGGGGGAGGGTTATGGGACGTAGCAGTGACAGAAATAATGATGCGTGAACAGGCGCGGGGATGGCTGGAGTG